ATGTCAGGTTCGTGGCTGGAAAAGGGTTGTATTGCTATTGACGAGGTTGCGTGGAGAGGAGAGAGGCTCCGGCCACGGGCCTGCTATATAGTTGAGCGCGCGCTAGCAGGCGCCGGCAGAACTCCGGGCGCCGGAAGAACCCTCGGCCCGGGGATCACGTGACGTCCATGCACGTGATGATCCGAGGCCTCGATGACTACCAAGAGAATGCTGAGGAACGACGTGACAGTCTATTTCACCACGAGAGTAGGCTCCCTACAAATCAGGGCCGAATGCGACAATACAAACGTAACTTAGAAATAAGAGCTATCCCAAATATTTAAAATTAGCTATAGAGCACAACTTATAAAGTAATATAGCAGAACTCAATGTGCATGTTAAGTTTTAGTCGCTTGAAGTCCAAGTACCCCTCGTATTTTCCGGCACGGCGGGTTTTCCGGCACGCAGGGAGGGACGTTACCTCGCATTTGACCCGGCACGCACGGGGGGAGGTTACATAAAATAGATGAAGCTCTACGAGCTGGTATAATGACAGAGGAAACCTTAATGGGCAAAGAGAAACAACAACAAACCAACCAGGTGGAAACCGAAAACATTAAACGGTGATGATGTGCAGGAAAACAGAGCTCCAACATTCAGTCTCCCGCCCTTCTCCAAAAGTCACTATCATTGTCAATGTCGTAATCATCATAATCATCACTATCGTGATCATAGCCATAATCATCTCTTCAATGTCACTGAAAGACCTGTTGGAGCATAACTCTTCCACTTGTTCTTTTACGCTGATTGTCCATCCGTGGCTCTCCATTTCCCTTCTTATACAGGCACTCGGACCCTCCTCGTACACCTCGACAATGATCTCTTGTAGGGACAAAATGGCTCTGAATTGAGCATCAACCAGCGCCAACGCCTCAGCAGCGATATTGGGGCTGTCAAGTTCATCGAGCTCAAGCTCCGTGTTATTTGTGCTATTCAGGGACGTCGTAAGCGTGCTTAAGTTGGTGCATTCCCTTTGGATCTTCGCGAGAATACGAAGGCTGCCGTCCTGGATGGTGACGTCATGTCGGTCTAGAGAGCCGAATTCAGGAAAGTTGAGATAGATATGCCGAATATGTTTTGCGTTGTTGCACCCAACTTGATCGAGGAAAGCAGTTACGAGCTCAGAGTCGGGCACAGCGAGGTTGAAGCGATTCTGGGCGTAAAGCAGCGAGGAGGCTTCGCGGTGGACCGCCTTATTCACGAGAAGGAGCCCCGGAGTAAGCGCTCCGAGTTGGGACTGCCCAAGCCAGGGGTGGGTCAGACATTCAATGGGTTCTTGCAGCACTAAGAGATGCTCATATATGTTGTTGCGGAGTTCGCTGGGGAGGCTGAAGAGGAAGTTCGTCGACATGTTAGTGATCGTAGGCTGTTGATGCTTCGTCCGCTGTGAGATTTAGTCGACGCTTCTTCTGCAGACATTACATTCAGAGGCACAGAGGGGCGGACGATATCGGACATCTCGTCACATTGATGTCAGCAACGAGGCGCAGATCCTTGGCTTTTGGGTTATGTGACCCGATCTTGATAGCCGCTCCATATTTGACTGGTCAGATTTAGTCACGTGACCCAAAAGTGGCTGAAAACATTGTGGTACGAAGGAGCTCGTTTTTCTTGAGTCCTACCCTGCCACTATATTAGGCGAGGGCATAGGACTCAAGAAAAACCAGCTCCGTACCCTCTCTGCATGACAACAGGGCGGCTGCGCGGTGTTCATTTGCGGCTAGGTTTAGACGGGACTCGGCACCGCGTGAGGCCAGTCATTCGCCCACTGTTTCGCGAGATGCGGGGCCAAGGGATACGGAATGCTTGGCCACATGAGCGGCGTGCGCGGACAGCTATCGAGGTACGAGCTGGTGTTGTGTGCTGAGTGCTGGACACCCTCCCATCCCGTCTCCGTGATGCATGAGGCCACAAGGCTTGAGCCACACATTTAACATTCGCCTCTCACGCAATCTGAGATCGGCGGTGCCACTTGTCAAGACATTATTCCCGCCTTCTGTTGCATACATCGCCACCGCTGGGCCGAGGGGGGAAGGCAGATCAAACATGCGCAGCAGCCCACAGGCCCAGGCGCGTCTTCAGCCGTCTCCACGTTGCAGTGCCCACTGCGCACCCGGCCGGCTCGCTATTGGCCGGGCGTCACGATGCAGCGGCCCTGACAGACTCCATCTGCTCTCGTCGCCGAAGTCGGTTGGAGCCTTTCTGGTGGCGGTGAACAGTGCCGTCTGCCGCACCGACAAACGCTGCATCAACCTGCTGGCCGTCAAGCCACGGCGCTGGTCTGCTGTCTCTGAGGGCGCCCCTTCTACCGTAAAGGGCTGCCATTGCCCCTCGTCACCAGATCAAGACCATGTTGCATGCCTCGCATGTGAAGACAGACGTCCTGCATCATATCTACTCACCATCTCACTTAGTCACCAGCTTGTCTCCCCATTCCCCCCTCCGGTCTTCTCGCACTTGTCTCCGTCCCTCAACACTTCTTCCGGCCATTTCTCGTAGCGTCGGCTCAACTGCACACGACGTGGTGTTGAATATAGCGCAAGCGCTGGCTGCTGGGGCGGTGAAAAGAAGGCCAGTGCAAAAGGGTCTTGCCGCTACTACTCGACCAACCACGCTGCTCCTGAAGCATTCCTAGCACCGCGCCGCTTCACGATCGTCCTGGTCTTTATCCCACTGCAGCCCTTGGCGTCACGCGTGCCCGCTTTGCTAAGGACCGTTGCCGCAATTTGGCGAGTTGTTGGGCATATCCTATATAGTGGACCTGCCCGCGAACGACTGTTTCTTCTGTTGTGACATGGGCCAGACCCTGTCCAATCTTTTCCTTGCGATTATTGTAAGTTGTCTCTATACATGTGGGTGTACTGTCGAGTCACATCCGTCTGCGTGTACTTGTTTGTCACTGCTTGTGGTGCGTCAGGGTATATTCAAAATCTAAGGTTCATGATTCATCCTGAACCACGGAAACACACTTAGATATGATTCAACGCACCACAAGCAGCAGCAATAAAGTGCACATTTATCAGGAGCATATCAATTCTAACTCTTTCAACAGTAATGTCACGATAGTGAAGAATCTACCATCATGGCCGGACCTATTTCCGATACTTCTCTCCCTCTCAAACCACGAAAGGCAAGCCGCCACGGCTCAAGAATGCATCGAGCAGACAGCGGCTTCGTCGACTCGACCACCCACCGCCAGTCCTCCGAAACCACCCGCACAAGTCTCTCCAACGACTGGAAACGCCTATCCGAAGAGCGCTCTTCGCCAGCCGCGCCATCCTCGGACAAACTCGACCAACTCCTCCAAGCCTCCAAAATGAAGGCCTGCCCTCATTCCAGCAGCCGCCACAAGTCAGAAGGACGCAGGCCGTCCGTCGTCTCCTCCACCACCTCCAACTCGCCCCCAACCTCCAAACCACGCCACCGCTCCCGCCCCAGCTCGCACAAATCCTCCCGCCACACCCTCGTCATCCACCAAGCCCGCCCCCAGCTCCGCGGCTCCCAGACCATGCCGCCCCTGCCCACTCGCGACGTCGACGACGTCCTCGCCCTGCACCACCGCAGCTGCACCCTCTTCCGCAGCTTCTCCACCGCGCCCACAGCCCTACCATCCGCATCAGCCGTCAGCCTCTCCCCATCCATCAACGAGGACGAAGAGTACCCGCATGGCTACATCCCCGTCGCGCCGACGACCATCCACTGGACCTCCCCCAGCACCCGCCGCCGCGAGTACGCCGAGATCGACCGCTCGTGCCGCGGGCTACGCGGGCTGCTGGGCAAGATCCGCGGCGCGGGGTCGAAGCCGCCGCGGTTCTATGACGAGGCGGCGAGCGATAAGGGGAGTGTGCGGCGGTATCGGATGGACTTGCCCGAAGAAGACGAAGATGAGGAGGAGGAAGGGGGGTTCGAGAAGAGGGAGGAGGAGGGTGGGAGTGGGAGCATGGTGGGGCTGAGGGGGGAGAAGAAGAGGTCCGTGAAGCGGTGGGCTTGCTTTTGAGAGAGCATGAGAAGATGAGACAGGCATAGGACGGCGTTTTTGTTGTTGCAATGTGCGATGATACCCTTTTCCAGGAAGATCCGGATTCCTGGATGAAATGTTTACGATTTACGTACGGTGTTGGCTGGAGATGAAGGAGAAATGCGCATACATGAGCATCAGCGGATTTACTTTTTCGGAATTTCCTGCTGCCGGTCTTGCATTTTACACGAGTATGGAATTCGAGCATACTTTTAGAACAATATACATCAACGTCAATACTTGAACAGAGGCATTTCGATCTGGTTTCTGAAATCCCATATATCCACCTACCTACCTACCTAATCCTCAATACTAACGAATTTCAAACAATCAAACTTAGAGCGTATACACGAACTCCGGGTTCTCCTTGTCCGTCAGATCGAGCCACTCCTGATTCTCCAGCCTCTCGTACTCCGGCGCGTAGCGCACCTTCGCCTTCTTCTTGTTCTGGTGGATGCAGTACAGATGGATGAAGGCGAGGTCGAAGAGGCACACGCCCCAGCAGACGATGATGGTGACTTCGGCGGGGACGTAGCGGCTGTATTGAGCTAAATTAGCTGGTATGCTCGAGATGAATGGGTGAGTATGGGGGGACAGAGAGGGCACGTACGGCGCATCACTCGCGCGGAAGGTCTGAGGCCCAATGATATTCCCCGCGCAATACCCGACCAGATACATCGCCGCCACGGTCGTCTTCTTCGTATACCCGGCTACGTTTGTCGAGATCAGACTCAGGAGAGCCACGAACGGGGTTGGACTGGCTGTGGCGAGGTTAGTAATGAAAAATAATCCGCCTCTTCCCCCCCCCCTTTTCGGTTTTTTTTGGCGTACCTTGGGTAAGATAGTATCCAGCAAGCCGGCCCTTGTTGTTGTGCAGCGGTAGCGCGACGATCAGCACCATGCCGATGATCGCGACAACGAGGCCAAACGAGGAGATTAAGATGCGGTGTCCGAAGCGATCCCCGAGATACCCGCACACGATCAGGAATACGACTTCGACGGCACCGCCGGGCGTCCCGTAGAGGAGGGACTGCTGGGGCGTGTACCCGAACCCGACGATGAGCTGCGAGAAGAAGTTGGAGATGCCGCCGTTCGGGATATCAGCGACCAGCGCGTAGAAGAAGAAGGCCCAGCTCAGCGGGTCTAGCAGGGCTTCTTGGAGCTGGTACCACTTGAAGTGCTTGTTGCCCACGCCTTGCTGGTTGATGCGGATCCGCTCGATGGCGAGCAGGCGGTCTTCCTTGCTCAGCCATCGCGCGTTCATTTGGTTGTCGGGGATAATGAAGAGGAAGACGATGCCCATGCACATGGTCAGGAGGCCGGTGACGAGGAAGACGATTTTCCAGGGCTCGATGCTCGTGCCGTGTTTTTGGGTGCCGACTGCGATGCCGTAGGCGACAAGGCCGCCGAAGATCTAGTGGAGGCTCTGGTCAGTTCTGAAGCTGGTGCGAATCTAGAGGATGTGGGAACGGAAAGCATATGGCGTGCGGGGATCGTACTTGTGCGAAGCCATTGAAGGAAAACCAGATTCCCGTCCGAGTTCCTTGCTCTTTCTTGGTGTACCACTGGCTCGTGAAGAGGGCGAAGCCGGGTGTTACTGCTGATTCGAATACTCCGAGGAAGAAACGGATGGCGATGGCGCCGGCGTAGTTCTCGACTGCGGCGAAGCATGAGAGCACGAGGCCCCACATGATGATGTTGAAAGCAGCTGTGAATCATCAGTATATTATTCTTCAGTTCAAGGAATGGGTTCAATACTTACAGTACTTCCCAAGCGGCAGTCTTTGCAAAAGCCGATTCGTTGGATACTCCCACGCGAGGTAGCCAAAGTAGAACATTGAGCCAAGCCAGGAATACTGGTTGCCGGTCAAGTCGATTCCGCTCGTCAATTTGTCGTCGCTATGTGGTTTCTTGATGCCCATAATAGAGGCGTAGCTCAGGGTGGTCTTGTCTAGGTAGTTCAGGCCGTATACTAGACACATGATCTATTCATCATCAAATCAGCATAGGCCCCTATTGTCTCCCCCTCAAAGTTCGAGATCCCAATTCCACACAAGCTCCATGCCTTCACATTAACATACCGGCATCAAATGGCAGTCAATCTTCCAAAGCAACCGCTTGTTCGTCGCCTCGTCGATCTCCAATACCTGCCCCTCAAAACCTTGGAAAGCCTTCAGCGCGGCATCCGCATCGTGCGAGTGCTTCAGGATCGCTCCCGGGACAACGCTCCCAGTGCGGATTGCATCTACAGAGACGCCGGGGATGGGGTCGACGTCTTTTCCCCCATCACTTTTCTCGTGGGGTTTCTCGATTTCGGGGTCCATGATGGTTGAAACAGGAGATGAATGAAGTAGACCGGGACAAGAAGGGGTGGAAAAAAGAGGCAAGGGAAGCTTAGCTACTTATCCAATCACTCCATTGCGCAACTATAGCACGACGTTGCGATAAGTCTATACTGGGAGACGTGGACGTGATAAGACCCACCGTACCCTAGTTTCTGGGACACGCTTCTCTGACGGCATCGATAGACGGCACGGTACGAGCGGTAGTCTGGTAGCCGATCCCTCCAGATCGACGGTTGTGCTGCTTCGACCTGCAGAAGTCGTAGTATGTGGGATGACATCAACGCGGCTCTAGCTCCATTCGGCAGCTGTGACAGAGCGATTCGCTAGGGTCTTGATAATGGTGTTGATCCGGGAAGAAGTTCTTTTTTACGGTTAAACTGGCCAATGGTGTGCCAATTTTTGTGTAAGCTCTTCAGTAAAACTTGAAGTACTGTACATTGTTTGGATGAAATATGCGTTTTATCTAGGAGATGGTGGTGCCTAGTATGGATAATGACGACGCCTTGACGCCGCCCAAGGAACAGTAGTTCCGTATGTATAGACTTGTTTACATAGGGTAATGTTTGGCACTATACAAATTGTGTGCTGAGAAATAGGCATCGTGAGAGTGCATACCTGGCATGGCAGACGGAGCGGACGTTGTTTCACCCCCGCGACAATTTAGCGACGTCATTGGCTGCTCCCGAGCTGAGGTAGCCTTCCAACATTGCAACAACATCCTCAAAAGCGGCACACGACATGTCCAATTTCGACCCGAATGCCATCCTTCGGGGTGCCCAGCTCACATTAGTTGGAGGTGCGTTGTCCATTGAGAAGCCGCTCGGCTCCGACGATTCCTAACGGACGATATCCAGCACACCGAGCCCTTCAAAATCCAGGCCTCTTCACCTCCGACCACTACCGACAGGCTGCAATTGCTGTCGCCGCTGGCATTGCTATACGAATAATCATCGCAATTCCGGTACGATCCCTCGTCGACTTATAATCACAATGCGGCTGACGCCTGGACTGCGTAGGTTATTGGAGTCAGAATACTACTATGGATTCTTTCCCTGTTCATGAATTTGGACGCGGTATCTTGGGACAACTATGTTGTTGACGGCCTATACTTCCTAGAGCACAGCGTGCTCCAGGTGCCGTTCTTCCTCATGTCGATGATGCGATACGTTACTCCCACTCTGGACCGCATGTAAGCTGCCAGCCTTCCTCATAGCGAACACATGTTTAATTAAGCTCAGGTTCATGGATTCCCTGCAATGGGTTGACCAAACCTACATCCAAAAGCACAAGTCAGACAACCCTCAGACCCTTCGAGCGATGTACTACCCAAACCTCATCATGTACTCCACGCACGGCGACACACACGTGAAGAAGAGCTACAAGGCAGCTGCAATATCATTCTTAGTCAGATACGGAAGACGAGCGGGTATATCGTTGGCCATCTACGCGCTTTCGTTCCTACCATACGTGGGCCGCTTTGTTCTTCCAGCTGCAAGTTTCTACACTTTCAACAACGCTGTTGGCCTTACACCTGCTATGGTGATATTTGGCAGCTCGGTCTTCCTGCCCAAGCGCTATATTGTGATGTTTCTTCAGTCGTACTTTTCCTCGAGGAGTCTTATGCGCGAATTGGTAAGAACATCTCAATTTTAACAAATTCGTGGCCCTAACAGATCCTAGTTGGAACCGTACTTCTCACGCGTACGCTACTCCAAAGAGCAAAAGAAGCAGTGGTTCCGTGACCGCGAGGGGGTCCTCTTCGGCTTCGGCGTCGGCTTCTTCATCTTCGTCAAGATCCCGCTTGTTGGCGTCCTCATCTACGGCATCGCTGAAGCATCAACTGCGTATCTCATCACCAAGATCACGGAGCCTCCACCACCTCCATCTCAAGCGGAGCAGTTCAAGGAGAGAGACGTCCGCTGGAAAAACAAGCACGAATTCTTGAACCTACCCTTGAGTATGCTAGACGCGCACAACGTGGCAACGAGCGAGAAGGAACACTTTCCTGCGCAGAAGGTGATATCAAGACAGGAGTTCAGCTGATTCAAGACGCGTTGGGGACCTAAAAATGACGGGTGATGGATGAGTGATGATTGGCATACATATTGATACGGCGTTTTGACTTTGTGCATAGGTTTCGCACAGTGGAGTAGGTAAACTCCATACATAACCAATTAGAAAGATACACTGCCTCTACGGTCTATCAGAAGCAAGGATAAGGATTGATTCTCATGAACTGCCGGCATCATGGAGCAGACACCAAACGTTATGATACCCCGCTCAGCCTAGCGGGGTAGCATTCCTCGCTCCCTTATTTGCGTACAGATGCACCACTGCACGCTACGTAAGAGGTCTTTATCACTCGAGCTTATCGGAGCTCCCCTGCACAGAAGCTTCCCCTCTGGGCCAGATTGTCCCGTCTCCACGGAGGACCAGCTCCACCACGGGCTTATTTCTAAACCAAGCGGGCTTTGAACGTTCCCCGCATCTTCTACATCAATTGAACAATCCCCGTTATCTAATACTACTGCTTCTCTTTAATTGAGCTTTCAATCTTTCTCTTGTACACCTCCAAATAATTATACACGCTTTCGACCTTCACCATGGGAACGAAAGGTCTCCGTACTGCCGCCAAAGTCTCTCTAGACATACCAGCAGCAGAACAGCCATGCCTACACGTACGCTCCCTCTCCATGCCCAATCTCTTATTCTCGAACTAACCTGAACTTTTACAGAATCGCTGGCACCCAGACGGTCCGCCCCTTCCATCCCACCTCCCTCTGTTTCCCCCCACTAACCTCCCCCAGTCCCCTCGGCTGGTACCATCGCCAACAACGAAGTCGTCAAGATCGAATGCGTCGACTGGACCGGCGGGCAGATCGGGAACAACGACTCAGCCGACGACGTTAAGAATGTCGACCTGACAAAGATACACTACCTGACCGGGCCGTTTGATATCGAGACCGCGGAGCCTGGAGACGTACTGGTGGTGGAGATCCAGGACGTGCAGCCGTTCCAGGACCAGCCGTGGGGGTTCACGGGCGTGTTTGAGAAGGCGAATGGAGGGGGTTTCTTAGATGAGCTTTATCCGAAGGCGTAGGTTGCTGTTCTCTATTTAGTTAAACAAAGAGGAGGATAGTACACTACCTACTACAACAGGGAGATATAAAAGCATGGTGCAGAAGGAAAAGAAAGCTGGCCTTTATAGAGAAGAACATAATGCTGATAGAACCGGTGCGAGTTTAGAGCAAAAGCCATCTGGGACTTCGAAGGCATCTTCTGCTCCTCGCGCCACATCCCCGGCGTCCGCTTCGCCGGCCTCATCCACCCCGGCATTTTGGGCTGCGCGCCTTCGCCCGAGATTTTGGCAGAGTGGAACCGCCGCGAGGGCGAGCTCATCACCGCACACTCGCACCTGGATCGCGACGTTGCCCTGCCACCTAACCCGACGAACGTGCACGCCGGCAGTGCGAACGCGTCGCTGAAGGAGAAAATCGGGAAGGAGGGTGCCCGGACGGTCCCCGGCCGCCCTGAGCATGGCGGGAACTGCGATATCAAGAATCTGAGCCGCGGGAGTAAGGTGTATCTACCTGTGCATGTGAAGGGGGCGAAGTTCAGTGTCGGGGATTTGCACTTCTCGCAGGGCGATGGGGAGATTTCGTGTAAGTCCCGGATATAGATCATACTTTATTGAGGCGAGGGTGAGGCTAACGCATAGCAGTCTGTGGTGCTATTGAAATGGCTGGTGTCATAACCATCAAATTCAGCGTTATGAAGGGCGGCATGGCGCAGCTAGGCATGAAATCTCCCATCTACGTCCCCGGCCCCGTGGAGCCGCAGTTCGGACCGGGCAGGTACATCTACTTCGAGGGCTTCAGCGTAGACGAGCACGGGAAGCAGCATTACATGGACGCGACAGTTGCGTATCGACAGACAAGCCTGCGAGTGATTGAGTATTTGAGGCGATATGGTATGTTATTGCTACGAAAGGCGGGACGATGATAAAAGTACTTACGAGGAATGCAGGTTACGACGACTACCAGATCTACCTCCTCCTCTCTTGTGCACCAGTTCAGGGACATGTGGCTGGGATTGTCGATGTAAGAGATCTCTTGCTTTCAGGAAACCAACATTGCTGACTAGCTTACTAGATTCCAAACGCGTGCACGACCATGGGTCTGCCGATCGACATCTTCGACTTCGATATCTCGCCCGATAAGCCTGCAAAGAAGATGGATATGGGCGCTTGTGCAAAGGCTAGCTCATAGATGTCTCTGAACTTGTCATGTTACTGAGATTTATTCATTCGAAATATAATTGGTCACTAAAACCTTCTATCGAACGGTATAATACAATAACTCGTCTCAGATCCGTGTGCCCTTGTCTGTCGCTGCTTAAAGTTCCTCGATGCATTTGTGAAAATCTAAACTTTGTTGTTTGGATCAATCAGTAGTTAAGCTCGCCGGGCCGCCTTAGGCAGTAGCTGATGGAAAGACACACTTAGCTGTGCTGTTCGTCACTCCAGGTTTCTATGGACATATTGGAGCACCTCAAGCTGTGGCAGAACAGTGTACATGGATCAAATGACGACGTACTGTATACCATACAAAACTGTACTCTTATCTCCTTCCGCAAACGCCTGGCCCATGGTATACCCAAGCCCTCAACCCCCTTCTAAACACTCCGAACTCCAAGCTCCATAATGCGAAAATCCCAGCCGCTAGATCGCTGTCCCGTTCATCGTGCTTCATAACCCAGCCTAGAACGCCCAGCCCAATTCCTACAACAACACCATCCCCACCGCCACCCCAATCAACGAGCACAGCGCAACATCCCACACCCTCACCTCCCCCCTCCCCCAGCCTCCCGCCACCCTCTCACCCCCGGACCCCGACGCAGTCGGGCTCGCCGCACCCGTCCCCTGCCCCTTCTGCTTCTCGCTCGCACTCGCCGCCGCCGCCAGACTCGCACTCACACTCGACGCCGACGCCGCCGCCGCAGACTCAGCAAGGATGCTGCTCGTGGCAGCCGCGAACACCGCCGTCGCGGGCGAGAAGCCCGACGCAGCCGCCAAGCACGCCGTGGGCAGCGAGAAGTTGGTCGCGAAGACCGTCAGCGCCGTCTGCGCCGGCGGCAGGGCGACTTTGCCGAGATGCGCCTTGAAGTCGGCGCCGACGACGAGGTCGATGCCGACGGCGGGCTCGATGAGGACGAGGGGGCCGAGGTTGTGCAGCACGTCGTTGATGGTGGAGGCGGGGAGGGCGGTGTTGTTGTAGGTAGCTGGGAGCGTGGAGTCGGTCGAGTTGAGGGCGTTGCAGGCGGCGTCGGTGGAGGCGTTGGAGAGGGTGGAGATGGTGGCGGAGAGGGAGGGGAGGTCCAGGAAGACGGAGACCTCGGCGGTGAGGTCGCCGATGGTGTTTTGGGCGAAGGAGAAGCTAATGGGGATGGTGGGGCGGAAGGCGGCGGTTACGGAGAGGGAGACGTCGGTGGTGTTGAAGGTGAAGGGGAGGAGGGTGGTGGTTGGGACGCTAGGTGGTGTTAGAGAAGTAGGAGACGGGGAGGGGGAAAGTACGCACAGGCCTTTCATGTTGGATTGGGTTAGGTTTCCAAAGTTGACCTTAATGGAGGAGCCGGTTGGGGTCTGGTGGTATGGTTAGAAGGGATAGAATTGCATTAGGGGATGATACTGACTTCGAGGTCAAAGCCGTAAGTTAGCTCGACTGCACCGTTGATCGCGAACTCTATAGCAACGACCGCTTCGAAAACTATGCCAGCCTGTCCGATTCCTGGGATCTATGTGAAGTCAGTTCTGCACATTCGGCCTAACCAGGGTACAAAGGCAGTACTCACAACAAACCCTACGACAGGCGCCGTAAAAAGCGAGTGTTGAAAAGCCGCAGAGTGTGAAGGCTGCGAGCTGAGCTCGACATGCGCAAAGAAGCTGTTGAGTTGAAGCTCGATTGTTCCAGCTTGGATGATATCAAAGGCGCCTCCATCCCCATCGAGGACATTAAAGTCAAAGGTAAATTTTCCAGACGAAAGAACCAGAAACCCGTGCGTGGTGCAGTTTTTACACCCTATTGTGAAGGGTAATTGACTCAATGGGTTGTTTGGAATCGTAGGGAACGTAGTATCAAGTTCTTGGAATGAGAGGTCTATGACAGCGGAAGTAGCTGTTGATGCTGCCGTGGATGGCACTACTAGGGACGGTATAGCGGTAATATTCGGTGCTGAAGTAATGGTCGACGTAAGGGTATGAAGGCGTGTAGAAGTAGTATGGACAGTTTGGACTGCATGGCTCTCTGTGGTGGCGCTAGATGGAGACTCCCGGCGGAGCACACGATCGTGGCGACGAAACAAATGAGGCTCGTTGGTATGTCCAAACTCGATTTCGAACGTGCGGAAGGCCTCTTTGAATGGGGTCCGTGTGACTTCCATCACGAGTGATGAGCCGTCTTCTGAGACAGTCAAGCCATGCACTCTATTCGTCGAAAGACTTTGGTTAGCTGAGAAAGTACGCAAGGGGTATGCGATCTTACTTGAATATTGAACGCTCTCCTTCAGCATTGCATGTAAAGTGAGATGTGACTGCAAAGGCACCATTTTCGTGATGGCATGCATGTTTGGTAGCTTCAGCGTCTTTTGGCGAATCGAAGCGGAGTTCAATCGTAGACTCGGTACAACGAATATGGCTGAGAAACTGTTCGATGTCCTCCAAGACTAGGATTGGGGCTTCAGACTTGATTTGAACGGATGACACAAAGGCCGAACTGTCGCCGTATTGGTTTTCAGCTGTAGATACCGTGAGCGCATTGCTGAGAAGGAAATCCAATCCTTTCCTACCTTCGGCGTAACGGAGGTCGGCTGTGAATCTCCTTTGAATTCTCTGGTCTCGACTAATAAGATCCGCTTTCTTTGATACCGCCCTTAGTTGCCGGGAAGGTGGGCTGGAGTGTCCCCTTGGAGAGTATGGTACAGCTTGTATTGGCGATGGTGTTGAGTAAGCGCCACAATTCGCAATTAATGGAAGAACGAGTAGGAACAAGGCCCTCCAGCTTGACTTCGGCATGGCTGAGCGACAATACTAGAGCTCGTGACTCGCTCAAATTCGAGAGAGAACAGCAAAAGATCGAGAAGGAGTCTGAAGCTGGTATGTATATGTGAGAAAAGAATACAAGTATGAACGCTGAAATGCAACGAGAATGCTGAAAATTCAAAGGCCTGCTGCAATACAGATACACAAATGTAGATTTGGACTTTGAAGTAAGAGAATCCTACCGGTAAGCTGTATATATCAACCCCATCCTCCATACGGCGCAGCACCGCACGGCCTCCCTCACCTGCCTCATTCCGACGCCCCAAACACATCCATATGCGCAATCTCTGTTATGCTCAGCCGCGGGGGAGCGCGGTAAGCTGTCCAACGTCTCAAGAAGCCGGGGCTAGCTCCAAAACGGTAAATAGGTAGGCTGGAGGACGTGAGCTGCTACAAATGCCTGAGGCGAAGACCATGCATCACAGGGTATTGTTCGCAACAGAAGTGCAGAGGGGCACTGCCCTTGGCCGACTTCAAACAGGTGGTGCATGCCCAGAACGCATGGCTGAGCGGGATGAGCCCTGAGGCTTGGGGGCGGAGGGGAGGACCCTGGGGTTCGGAGACTTGCTGCCGAAGTGGCACGGTTTGAACATTGAATCCTTCACCATGGATGAATTCTTACTAGTTGGTAGGCTCTAGATGGCATTGAGATGGTGGTTGCTGCTGTGGTTGTGAGGAGTTCAAGCCATCGGGAAGTGAGTTCCACACGAGGTCTTCATAGCTTGCGACTACCAACAGAGCCTGGAATACCGATCGGTGAACATGAGGCGTATCAATATCTACAGAAGGATTTCAGAGCCGAAGCGGCGTCGGGCGTTCCCTTGTTCGTGGTGGTCCGGTACAGAGCGCGCTTGAGCCAGGTCAAGATTGGACGCTGTGCCGCAGGAGTGCGTTTTTCTGATATATGCATCTTCATAACATGCAGCGTACCCATCAAGATATCACCAACTTACTTAGGCGCGCGCGTTGAACGATGCTTGCGATGATTGCGCTGGCAGTGGAGTTGGTGGTGGGCGTGATGTTGGAGAGGCGAAGCTGTTCGCTCCAAGACTCAAGAGGCACGCAAAATGGTACCATCGTGGGTAGCTTCAAGATCTACAACGGTTTGAGACATGCCAATCGTTTCATCTCGGGGGACAAGGCATACACTGCACACTTGCAATCCTTATCCGCCTTGAAAGGCAGTGTCGGAGCGACTGTTTCAGCATGGTGTCGTTTGGAATACTTGTAGACACCGCTCCCATCCTTCGTTGATGACTGAAGAGCGCAAACAGGTTGCCAAAGGCGGATACGGAAACCCACAGCATATAATTACACCGGAATCTCATCTTCGATCAAGCACTTTTGAAGGCTGTGTCTGTTACTTTGAAATTGAGCTCGTCGATCAGAGCTAACGACCCTCGTTGTCTAATAATATCTACGAATGCGGGAGACGCGCATGTACAAGTTCCATGCTCCACGCAACCTACTATCCAAGACCCTGTGGGTATCTCTGTTAAAGAATACAACCCTAAGATTATTACAACCGAGAATAGGTGAAGGAGATCCCAACGCACGCTTTCCAACGCTGCATAACGACAAGGAATAGATTCGTACAAAACAACCGTTACATGAACGCTCCTGGACTCCCACGTCCACTCTTCTCAATGTCTTTGCCGTGTGTCGTGTCATATCGGTCATCATCGTCAGTGTCGTCGTCTTTCTTCTGATTGCGTGCTCGCGGCTCGAACGCAAACTGGGGCAAACTTGACCCCGATGGTACGGTTTCTAGCCGGTGGCCTCTTAGGTCTATGAAGCCTTCTTCTGTGTCTGAGTAATCGGGCGGCGAACCGCCATAGTCTGGAACGCCGAGCAAATTCTGAGAGTCGCCCTTGACCAGACCAAGGCGCTCCTCTTCCGTTGTTCCATCAGTGCGTGGCGTATGGTCCTTGCTACTGGTCCTTCTAGACGAGAAGCTCAATGTACCTCGAGACGTAGGTCGAGCTGATTCACTTCCTTCTCCAGTGCTTTCCGCCCTGTTTCGATGGAAGACGTTCTGGAACGAGAACTGTCTCTTGGCAGTATGTGGAGGCGGTCTTGGAGGGGCTAAGCTATCTTTTGATTTCCCTTGGTCCGCCTCAACAACGGGAGCCCAGTGGATAGCTGGCTCATGTGGCTTGTAGCTGGTGTCTTGTTGCATGTCTCTTTGCAACCCGGCTGGTAATCCATAAGTATGGGCTGTTGGGATATCGGCGGACCCTGGGGGGCGGTCCTCATCCTTTGGGAAGTGCAAACCCTCCATTGGGAGAGGAGATATAGGCTGATGTGATCCAGATTTGCCCCTAGATCGTAACCGGGTAAAGAAGCCGGGGTGAACGTCGTCTTCGTCACTCATAACAGACTCATTCTCGTTGGGAAAATGGGACATTCCCAAAGGCGGATGTATAGTCTTCCGCCGCTGCAAAGGTGATTGTCCGGGCTCTAGGACGGTCTTGCGCCTCCGCAGGCCGTCCCATTCGACTTGTTCGTTCTCTCCAATCGGGGCCATGCGTTCTTCTTGTAGCTTCTTGGCCTCCTGAACTTGTTTCTCTTGTCTCGCCACTGAAAATGAGCGAAGAATAGCGCCACCTCCACGGATAGTGTCAGCTCTAGGCTCGTACTCCGGTTCTTCTTGTTCGGCGACAGTTCGGACTTGATCAAGATCGCCCTTGAAGACAGCCGCGTCAGGGACATCTTTGGCGGACTTGGAGAGTTGGAGTAGCACAACTCCGGCGCAAATCTGCAAGAACCCCATGATTACAGTGGAGATACTCGCTGCCGTGCCGTGGAAACCCTGGAATAAGACCGCGGAGGTGACGATGGTTGAGCTGGTGAAAAAGACGTAATATGTAGGAGTGACAAGGGCGGCATTGAAGAGATTCAGTGCTTTCTGTGTCATATTTAGCAAGCTTTTCGATACATGAGGGCAATAGAGCACTTACGTTCAAAAATATGATCTCTGTGACTAGGGTTGAGATTACGAATACAAGGAGGACATAGATGAACCATTGGTTGAACTGGGCTTTCCCGCCAGCTTGCGCGACGATAGCAGCCCCAAGGCCTTGGGTAGCCACGACGCTCAAGCCTCCAATGAGACTGCAGATGCTGAGATATACCATCATGGACTTCTTGCCGTACTTCGGTCCAAGCCATAAGGCTATAATGACACATGCCACGATAGTAACTCCGGCATAGCTGAGAAATCCTGGAGTAATAACAAGCTTCTTCATGTCCTGGATGTCGGAGACTGCCGACTCCTCCGGGGCATTGACAACGATGACGACGGATCCGATGATGCAGTTGAAGCAACCAACCTTGCCAACGAAACTCAGACGCTCTTTCAGAAAGATGGCGGACAGTATAGTAGTGACGACGACAGACAAGGCTCCGAGGGGAGTAACCAATATGGCATCCACGAAGGCATAGGCGGCAAAATTGCACAGCTCTCCGATTATCATCAAGGTCATGCCAGACCACCACCAGGCGTTCTTGAGATATCCATAGCCCTCTCCTGCCTCCTCGTTATATTTCACATTTGCCTTCAACAAGCCCATCTTCTTCAGCACAAATGATACACCAATGAATAGGCCCGAGGCTACGGCTAATATTAGGCCAATGACTTTGTAGACGGGGGGCCGCGGGGCGCTGTCGGATGCCCGCGCAGCCAGCGCAACCAGGTGCGCCGTAGTATCCATGGTGGAGAGCGTTGGCGCTCGGAGGAGGCCCAGGGTCGGCAAGGCTCGAATCGAGGGGGTTTGGGTCTAGGAAGAGGGTCGAGGATCGAGGATGGCTTAATGCAACCACAAAGCGAGGGACAAGGAGGGATAAAATGCAATCAAGAAAGGTTCAACCGCGGCGGAGGCATGAGTAGCAATTGGCAAGGCTTCAGCTGAAAAGAGGAGTGCGCGAGTGGCGTATATGGGTCACGCCGGCCAAGCTTTGTGATTAGAATGGACGCTGTTATGGGAATGTAGAGACCCGGCAACGGCGGTATTGGTGTTTGCGGCAGTCGAAGTCAAGCTGGAGGAGCGCAGAGGATGGCGAGGCAGAGGAGACGGGAGGAGGCAATTCGGACGCAGGGCTGCTTTCGGCTGGTGGCAGCTCAGAGGAGCTCGTAAGTCGTGGTGGAGGTCGAGACTCGTGGCTGGCGCGGGGATGAGGCGCAGCAGCTGGGTAGGTATGCAGGCGGGTGTTGGCGGCGATAGAGGTGCAGGAGGCGAGAAGGGCACAGGAGAGGCAGCAGAGAGGAGGATATACGGCGCAGAACAGGACTTGGTTCGCGGCGGCAGCGTGTTCCAGGGTGGCCGTGAAGCTCTGTGCTCGACTGGTTGCTACGAGGAAACGGCACAACGGTGCAACGTGCGTTACGGCCCCAGCGCCAGGGACGCAGAAGTTGCAAGTTGCGCGTCAGCCAAGAGTCCATCCGTCGCCCGACGTCTGAACACCACCGAGAGGGACCTGGGAAGACACCATCGCCATCGTCCAGCCGCCCGAAATAGACAGCCAATCCCTCGTGCAGCCGCCCACCGTCAACGTCAATGGCTCCCGCCGCGATCGACCCCGACACCCGCCACCATGGCTCCGACATCTTCGCCGCCAGCTCCATCGCCGACATCCACCAGACGCTGGCCCACCTCACGCGCCAGGAGGCCTCGGTCGCCGAACGCCTCAACACCCTGATCGCCTCGCAGAAGGACCTGTCGCGTGAGCTCGGCCGCCTCGATCTGCTGCGCGCCCACCTCGGTGCCCAGGCCGTCAACACCAGAGCTATCAGCAATGGCATGCTCTCTGGTGCGGCCTCTACCGCCAACCGCATTTCTGGCGCCGTCAAGCGCCTGGACCACGAGCAGGCCAACGTCAAGGCCACGCTGGAAGTCGTTGAGCAGGTGGCCGAGCTCAAGTCGTGTGTGCTGGGCGTCAATGGCTCAATGGGTGCTCCCCAGGACTGGGAGACTGCCGCTGGGTACCTCAGTCGAGCCTCCAAGATCCCTCCAGAAGTCATCAATGGCAGTTTTGCCGAAGAAATAGTTCCCACTGCTGAAGTTCCCGACCCTCCGCGTGTCACCCTGGATGCTGCTGCCGAGTCTCTATGTGGCCTCTTCCTGCGTGAATTCGACAAAGCGGCCACTGAGGGAGACGGTGCCAGAGTTACTAGGTTCTTCAAGCTCTTTCCCTTAATTGGACGATCCGATGTAGGTCTCGATGCCTACGGGCGTTATGTCTGCCATGGAGTAGCGTCGAGAGCCCGGACGAACTTGAACTCCGGCAACGCTGCGCTAAGAAGAGATGGCTACTTCTACGGGAACACACTAACCAAATTATTCGAACACATCGCCCAGATAGTCGACGGCCATGAGCCCCTAGTAGAGCGCCATTACGGGACAGGCATGATGGTAAAAGTCATTGAGCGTCTCCAGATCGAAGCAGACATTCAGGGCGGCATTGTTCTCGATACCTGGCACGACGAGAAGATAATTGACAGGAAGCTGACTGACATCAAATCCTACGCTTTCTCCTTCCTTGTGCAGAGTTTCCTGCCTGCGCCCAAGCCATCCGCAGGAACCCCTCGGTCCAACTCACCCGCAAACGCTGCTGGTCGCTCGAGCGAGGATGAGGGTGTAGATATGAAGGAAGTCGACAGCATTCTAGGCGAAACAGCATTGATGCTAGGGCGCTGGGCTCTTTATTCTCGGTTCCTAGCCTCGAAATGTGCTGTAAGTATTCTATTCAACACGGCAGCCGATGTGTGCTCATTATTTAGACTCCTGAATCAGACATCACGCCTGGCAGTGACCCACACGGACTCAAAATACCCCCTTTCCTCTCGACTAGCAATCTCTACAAAAAGGTTTCCACCCACTTAATAGAGCCCTTCAATATTATGACGACTTTCTTCTTCCGACGCTCTGTGGAGAAGGCTTTCCAGCTTGATGAATCTCCCTCTGATCTCAATTTGAACCCGAATAAGCCTTTGGGTTCGAATCCGCCGTTCATCACATCGGCCGTGGACGATGTCATGTACATCGTAAATCAAGTATTGCAGCGCACTCTGTCCACTTCTCAACGCTCAGTCGTCGCTAGCGTTGTGCCCACCATTGGACGTGTTCTAGGATCCGACTTCGTGGGCATGATCCAGCGGAAAATGCGAGATGAAAGCTACCCAAAGGCTGTGATACAAGGCGCCTTGCCTCCTGAGGACAAAGTAATTGCATTTCTCATACTAGCCAACAACGTTGATATCGCAACAGACTACATCAAGAGAATCGTAGACCAACAGGTAGGGCCCCGTCAAGGCCCTATAGATAACGCGTCCGAAAAATCGAGTTCCCCGCTAGACGACCTTTTCCCCTTTGGTCACGACGCGACCTTTGTTGAGCACACTCTCCGGTCCATGGAACAAACTTTCTCTACCAAGGCTGGCGAACTCCTTCATGACAGCATCCAAGTCACATTCCACCAAGTTCTCAAGCCTCGCATTCGACCCATTCTGGCTGAAGCCTTCCGCGATATCGACTACGCGCCCAGCGCTACAGAAGATCTTCATGGGAACCGCGATGGTGACGAATGCCCCGATGGCGACGATGCTGATCTAGTAAAGTCACGATTCGACCGCGGTTGGGGCGCCTTGATTCGCCCGATAAAGCGCATTTTGACACCTGCCAACTTCGACCGCCTGCTCACATACGCGATAGATAGACATTTAAGCGGCGCCTTAGAGAAGCGCATCCGAAGTTACTATGGCCGTATCAATGAACTCGGCGCGGTCCGTCTAGAGCGCGATATCGCTGGCATTGTGAGCGCGGCGGTTGCAGGCGGGAAATACGGGCTCCGAGACTCATTTCTCAAATGTACACAGATGACCATGATTATGAATATGGAGGAAGACGAATGGGAGGAGGTTGTGAACGAAGAGCCTGGGAAAGAGAGCGGTGTTGCATGGGTTATGGACTTGGAGGAAAGGAAGAGGGTGAGAGCTCTTGTGAAGGAGAGGGTTTGAGCAAAAATGGCAGTCAAATTAGATGTTGGTCACCGCGTATTCCGCCTCGGAGACCAGATGAGGAACATACCAGATGGGATTTCGCAGCTAATAACATCCGGTGGACCGGCTCCTATTTCTGCACATGTCGACTTAAGCCTATTCCAAAGTTCTGATTTGGGGTCTCATAGACTTAACATGGTAAAAAATGGTAGAAGTTAGGCTCTAGGAAGGTATAAAATTCAGGACGTCGTAAATCGAACCGGAGAATCAGGTCAACTTTCATACCGTTGAGATGTATGAACGGGAGCCGGTCCGTCCGATTTTCACTCAATTTGAGCGTAGCAAAATTCGAGATCATGAATCATAGGGTCCGTCCAACGAATTTGACCAGACCTTTGGATGCTGGAGTTCCTCCTTAGCACGTAACTGCTTTCAAGATTGTTTTTCATGGCCTGATTCACGAGCTCCGACAAAAACATATCAAAAACGGGTGTAGATCGCACGGACTGGCTCCTGTTTATACATCTCAACACTTTGTAATCTTCCCCAATTACGTGTTCAGATTTAGTGTCTCATGGACGATTACCCACATTCATGGCCCAATTTACAATGTCCGGCAATAGTGTGTCAAAATCGAGTGCAGATCACACGGACTGGCTCCCGTTTATACATGCAAACACGCCGTATTGTTACCTAAATCTACTGGCCTGATTTACGGCCTCCCGCAATGACATGTTGAAACCGAGTGCAAATCGCACGGACTCGCTCCCGCTGGTGCATCTTAACACATTGTAATCGTGACCTAAATCCATATCCTGATTTACAGCGCCCTAGCCTTTGCATTTCAAAATGCGAGTGTTTTCAGCCCCATAATTTGGACCAAAACGACCTACATTTCAGATATAGAAATTACTCCCACTTGTCCATCTCAGAGCTACTCTCTTATCATCAGCAACTTACCGTTGATGTCGAAGCCCTCCGATATCCATCACGTGGACACAATCAAACCCCCAAACCAACCCACTGAACCAAGCCGATCCTGTAAATCCCCGTTTCACCCCCCACCACCAATCCCCCTCCCAACCCGCCAACCCTCAAATCCTCAAACACGTCAAGCTCCCAAAACCCTGTATCAGAAACCCACAGCCCCGTTTCATCAAAGCATTCGCCTCGCCCCAAATCGCAGCTATCTCCCCGCCTTATCAACCCCCTAATCCGATAACCCCCAACGTACTAACCCACACACACGCACCCCAGCCCTACGCAACCACCACCGATCTCCAATGCCTAATCTCAATCTCAGTTTAACAAATACCCATCGTAAATCTGAACCATATTCCCCCACCGGCGGAGGCCCCGACTCCCCCCCATTTACGTATCGTGTGATGAACCCTGATCGGTGAATGGGGTACATACATAGAAACAGCTCATATCACACCACTACAACATGAACACGAGAGCAATGCTTCCCCCACCACCTCGAATCCTTCAAGGACAAGATGTGCATTAAACGCGACGGGAGTAATGCAACAGCGGGCGGCGTCCACATGCCGAGATGCCGGCTCGCATGCGGATATGAAATAGAGCCTCTTAGAGATACAATACAATACAGCCTTTTCCTCCGTCCGGGGCGACCCAGCCGCTAAAACCAAGCCACAAAACCACTGTAGAAAGGTTGCATTTCCGCACGCTTCCAAAGGGGGGATGGGGAGGGGTGAAATAGTAACAAACCCCCTAACCAATCGATATCACAGCCACTTCAACATTCGCCCGGAAAAGGAAGGGTCGACCAGGGTTCGTCGACTCAGGGTTTCCGCGATAGCTCATCGGCACAGAAAAGACAGACCTTGTGTGCATAGTTACAATATGCGGCCGCGGAGTGCCTTTGCAGAAGGGCACGAGCAACGAAAAGGCACGGGCCTACGCAGCGGCATCTGGGGTCCCGCGAGCCCGCTGTGGCGGTTCTGCCGGCGATTTGCAGGCGCGCGCACGGCCAATTGGCTATGGGGAAGCATTTGCGGGACATGCAGGAGGGTCTGTCTTTCGCTCCATCAGGAGCTGCAAAGCGCGGAGGCGTGAATTGGGGGGGAAAAAGAGGCGGTGTCTGGCGGGCAATTCAGGGCGGCGAGCTTTGCCGAAGGCACAGGTGCCACATCGACGAAAGAGGGGCAGGGTCCTGGCAAGCGTTTCGATTGGGGGCCGAGTGGGAGGGCGATCTTGTAGATCGCGTCGGCGACTTGGGAGTGGTGCTGAGTGAGCTAGCAGGCTGAACGGTGAGGTTGTGGCGAGCGCATCGAATGGCCCTGATGCGTAGCTGGGCGGTGTGTTGGGTGGGTGGGTAGCTTACTTAGGTAGCGAGGGATACGAGATACTGTACTTCGCCATGCTAGGAGCTTGGAGTTTGATTGGATGGGAACGAATGGCTGGTGGTTGATCCTAAGGAAGGATTCTCTCGCGCGGTCCCGTTGCGGTCTGACAGCTGCGGAGTCGGTTCGCTCATGCACATGTATGTACCTCCATGTACCCTCCGCCGCTGTCATCATTGCAGTATTTGTTGGTTTCGGGCTCTAGGTCTAACAGAATTCCCGCAGTGCCGATTAGGCGATTTGGAATCTGAGACGCAGATTTGAGGCAGGAAGTAGAATAGTTGACTTACTTGAAGTAGTAGAGTAGCGTTGCTGAATCAAGATCGGGAGCGGAAGGGTCCTGCAGTTGCTGACTACCTACATTAGTTCTTGGCGTTAAAAATGCCTACGTCCGAGTGTGCGTACGACCCTGGGGTTGAGGAAGTGGAGTAGGTGGGGGATGCGCAACAGGACAGATTACAGAGGGATTCCGTGGCGTGTCTCATGGTGAAGATTGGGGGGGAGTTGCTGAGAGTGTTTCCATGTGATCTTCAAGTCGTGGCACGAAAAGGGAACATGGGTTTCCTGCAAGGGCCCACTTTTGAAGGTTTCTGCAATGTCCGCGCGATGGCAGGATTTGGAGATGCTTTTACTTGACGGGAAATGGCGGGGAAGACGGTTCATATCCTGGCAGACATGTGGTGCAGGTGGTGAGTCGATGATCTTCTGAGCTTCAAGGTTGCTCGTGCTAGTGGATGGGTTCGGAGCTGCATTGAATAGGCCAGGGCGCGCGTGACAGATTTCCGGATTGGGACTGTGAGACATGACGGTCCTTTCGGAAGATAGACCATCGCAAATATGGGGATCGACCATGGAATCAAAGCCTTGAGAGTAGCTATGCTATGTAGGTTCGGGTTAGCAGATCCATATTCGCCCATTCGATAGAAAAGACTAATATTGTACTGTAAGTGCATGAGGTACGTCTTGTATATAATTGGTCCATGAAGAGCTAAAGCATGATAAAGATGACCGGCCTACGACTAAAATGATCTCCACGGCCTCCAGTCAGGTAACGGAATTAGCGTATATCTCGTGAATACAAGCGCGCATCTCGCAAGCCAAACGGCCCGTTGAGCTATGAAAGTGAGGTGCAGATGGCCCAAGCTGCAATCCTGAAGAATTATATTGGAGTCAGATGGATATCCCCGCCAAGTCTTCAAACTCAATTGAAATGACTTCGCCCTGCCATTTCAAATCAAACATCGTCAGGAAACCCAACATGCCGATATCCGGTCCTCACTCCACGACCATCTTCTTTGATCCTCGACTTCACCCGACAGATATGCTAGGATCTAGGAACACGGCACGCGGCACCAGGCACACCAGTCAGGCACCGCCACGAAGTGCCTGCGGCCTTGGACGGCTTGCCTAGCAGCCATGTCCTCGGCCCGCTGCATATCCCGTCGTCAGCTCCGCGGACGCACCGGCATATTCACACTCCAGTGAACATCAGACACGTGCATAGCAACCGTGAAGAGGCTGGGCTGTGGGTTGAGTTGCTGCATCCGGGCGGCCAGCAGAACTGCATTGACAACTCATGCTAATGCAAGGTACTTCCACGTACCTGAGCACGCACCCAAGGTTCCCCTGCCTGGTGCTCGGCATGTTCCTGCGTTGCGTGTTCGACGCAGGGCGACGGGCGACGGGAGACGGAGCATTCCGGCCAGAGACGATCGATGGCGGGGAAAAACGAAGTAAATGCTGAAGCACGGTGGCATTGGACTCTGTTGAACTGACCACTCAGCAGCGGTTATACGGCCACGATGCGAGTCGATGCGTGTGCCTGTATATTGCTTTGGCGGCACGAACATGCAGTAAGGCTGACGGACCGCGGGATGACGCACTGGGGATTACCGTTGGCTCCAGTGAATCTAAGCTCGAAGTCCAACGACATCGCATTAGCAATTGCCGCATTGACCGCGCGGTGCATGTCCTGCATGCCTCTCGAGACAGGAAACGCATTGTAGCGGCGGGTGGCCAGCGCAGGAGCAGGACCTGTTCTTATAAGCTGCTGGATTGGAGGACTTGAGAACGGAGCTTGCTGATGCGCGTTTTGAGCTGTCGGACCCCCGCAGATGGTTTCCCAACAGCACGGCTCAGCGGCTACGAAACAGACATGGCACTGGAGCCACACCTCGCATGGTCCCCCTGATGCCGCCATGCTGCCTTCAGTGGTGCTGACGGGTGCAGATGTTCGTGGTGCTGGCCGGGAGTCTGGCCAGCATCCAGACTCGTCCTCTAGAGCATGAGCTGAGAAATGGCGAGATACAAGCAGTAGCTCCAAGGCGATCTCGCTAGCAACGCGCTTGCAGCCCTAGCAGACTTACGGTGAAAAAATAAAATGGAACAAGCCGAAGGTCGCACAGCGTCGGACATGGCATAATTGGATTGCGCAAAATTGAATTTCAAGAACGACATTGGCGAATGTTACGCCGCCAGAAATCGAAAATATGCCAAGCAAACGTTTGCCAACGGCCTCCCAAAGTTTTCCTGTCCGGGTATCGCCGTGATCAAAAGAAGCTCCAGTCAGAAGCCAAGTGTGCAGGAATATTGGAAATAGATTCGACGACCGTATCTGTGCCGCGGCCCAGGCCGCAGCACCAGATTTAGAAACGCTTTCCTAAGTGGCATGATACTTTTGAACGTATGAAAGATGGAACAGATAGAAACTCCAGAGCAGGCCTTCGCCAAGACCAGAGAGCCCAAGATACCACCGTCATGCACCTGTTCACGCCCCCACCTAGCACCAAGCTCTGTACAATTGCAAATGACTACCTAGGAGCCCATGAATTCCGTGAACGTGTCCCCAACACCCAGAACGCCTTCCTCATCATGCAAGAGGGCCAGAGGTGCAGCTCTGCCTAAAGTAGTCTAACGCTCACCATGCGCGCATCCGTAGTCTATCGAATCGTCGCTGACCACCGGTGAGTGGCGCCGTGGCCGTGTAACCCGTCATGCGGCCGCCTCGCTCGCTCACCCAAATAAAAACGAGCCCGGGGTTCGTGTTGTCCTCGACCAAAAAGAGTGTAGGCCTCGATAGATTGGGGAGAACAAGAGCTCGGGCACCAGAAACTGTAGAGTAAGGACTGTGGACGAGGCTGTGGGCCAAGCGCGACGATGGTGTTGCTGTCGAGAATGGGGCGGCGTGCAAACGTGTAAAGCCGCTGGGTGCCCTCGAGGGACGACTTTACACATTGGAATCGTATTGTCGCAGCCTGGTGGCCTAGTGGCTCAAAGAATTACGCATTTCGTGTTCTTCTCGCTGCCGTGCTTTCCTCGTGAGCCGCCGGCACGTTGCCCGTTTCGACCGTATCTGGCTGCGTCGCGATTACCGTAACCATCTCCTCGAGTTTTCCTGTCCGATTTGTCTGCCCGCGACGACTTGTGGCCCTGGCCAAAAGACTGTTGGCGTTGTCGCCTCAGCTGCCGCACGACATCGTAGAAGGCCTTCTCAACATTCACGCAATTCTTCGCGGAAGCCTCCACAAAGTCGCATCCCAGCTCGCGAGCGAGCGCGCTGCCTTCCTGGGTCGAGACTTCACGTTCTGTCACCCTGTCGCACTTGTTACCCACTAGCATGACAGGCGCCGGGCCGAAAGCAGACCCGTTCGATGATGCGCTCAGTGGCGAGCCGGGGTATGTTGGTGATCCGGATAGCGATGATTCTTTAACCCGCTGAATTTGGTGGTGAAATTTTTGGATGCGTGCGAAGGACGACCGAGACGAGATGCTATAGACCAGCACAAAGCCCTCGCCGTCCCGTATCCACTGGTCTCTCAGCGCGATGTATTCTTCTTGGCCTGCCGTGTCAAGCACTTCCAGCATGCATGACTGGGAATCAATCTGCACTTGCTTGCGGTACGAGTCCTCGATGGTCGGGTCGTATGTTTCGACAAAGTGGTTCAGGCATAGCTAGAAATACAATCAGCGGTTGGCATTTGGCAGGTGTGGAGGGGGCCCACCTGGATGGTCAAAGCTGTCTTCCCGACGCCACCGTCCCCGAGCACCACGAGCTTGTACAAAGTCATTTTCCCCGCCATGATGGAGAGGTGTTCGTCCGGAGACTGCTATGCTGCTTTCGAGTCGTGGGAAAGATGCGAACCAGACGTCTGGAAAAGGTGTTGAACTGATGGGCCAGCACCGAGTATATGGGCAGATCGGCCAGCACAGATAGCTGAAGTGACGCAAGCCGCAGCAAGATCCCACAGCCACGTAGTTACAGGCGACCTTGCACGGGTACGCAGAGCAGCTGATCAGGCTTTCTCAGACTGCCAGCTGGCCGGTGGTGGGCGAAAGGGATAATGCAAAACACGAAGGCAGTACGTGGCGGTCGTCCAAAACGTGTGTGGCAGAGAGAGCACAAGGTGTGCGTGCTGCAACGGCGACGTGCGGCTAGACGTAGTCGACTCAGGATCGATCTGGGTTCGACGTAGGACTGAGGTAAAAGTGGGAGCCGACTCGAGACGAGACGGGAGGTAGCACAGGATGCAGTGCACCACGCAGGACTGAGAAGCGACGGGAAAGCGGGGCGGGCCAGCAGCAACAGAAGTAGGAGGAGAGAGAAGAAGGGCGAGCGAGCACAGCAGAGCGGATTGGCGTCAATGAGCGGAGTGGAGTGAGACGGGCAGAGGATGGTGTTGGAGAGTCGAGGTGGTGGAGCGGCGGTGGATGGCCCGAAGGAGGGCGCGAGACGTCGTGCGGATCGCTTCCTGGCACGTGTTTCCACGTGAAGAGCCGTTTGCTGAGCAGTGCGCACGGCGCGGATATCGTCAGTGCAAGCAGTATCGCTGCAACAGCTCCTTCAGCGGCGTGGGAGGGGACGGGCTGCGTGGGGGACGTGTCTGGTTTGGAGAGGGGGAAGAGAAGAAGCAAATCGGCAAGATAGCTGGCCTTGGAAAGAGGAGAGGGCTCGACGAGCGGGCTCTGATGCACTATTGGACGAATGGACGGGCCCTCGATTTTCGGCTGGTCTGCACCCAACGCCCCGAGTGCGTCGCTGGGCACCACGCCTGCGCATCTCAAACGCCCCCGAGTCCCCGTCTGCATGTCCCCGACGTCCAAGCTGTCTGCCAGCCTTTGCCGTGGTAGGACCCATAGCCGAGTGGTCTCGTTGTTTCTGCCTCACCACCTCCCTTGGCGGCACCCCGATTTGACGCCGCTCTGCGCCCTCTCGAGCCTTCCCGCTGCACTCTCGCTCTTTTGTATTGTGCTATGACGCAACCGGGCCGCCTGCTTGAGACTCTGCGTCTTTCCAGGGACGTGGCGCCCATGCTGCCTGAGACCGCGACCTGCCCCATGAAGCTAACGTCCACCCACGCCGCCAGCACGCACCACAGCTTCAAGGCCGTCCAAGGAGGTTTCTGAGTCCTAAATTCTGCGACTGTGGGCCTCCCTGGACTGCTGCTGGTACTCCTGTTGCATCGAAGCCAGCGCCGGGGAGGGGGGCGCTGCTGGGGAGAGTTTGGAAACTGACAGCGCTGACCATGCACAAGTCAGTATGCGCAGATGGGCCAATTTACGCTTCAACGGAGCATCGCCAGTGGTGTCTCTGATGTGAGATATCCAATAAAGTCTACTGTGCGTCCAGCCAGTAGGCTGCTGGCTATATACGCTCAAATAGAGGGGTCGTATATCGTATGGTAGCCTCAGTCTCGACGCCGTGGACCCAGCTCTTTTCCTCGGTCACTAAGGGGAAGTGAATAGACAGTAGAGAGAATTAGCAAAGTCCAAAGCGATCGCCCTTCTGGGGCAGCTTGTTACCTTTACCGTGTTGAGCTTGGATGTACTACGGCCTTTCTTTACGTCCGGTGAACATAGCGCTAAACTGAGTCGATCCTGGTATACCTCTTTTCTGGACTAGTACTTAGCCGACTTGAAGATTGATTGGCCAGAACGTTGCTATTTCCCCCTAAAGGCGCCCGGAGTTGCTCCCTTATACGGTAAGTCTGTGGCTTATTATTAGAGAGTGACCACCGGACGTAAAGAGAGGCTGTAAGCGAGTACGCTTACTAACTAGCGTTTGGCACACGTGATCCGCGCTGGCCCTCGAAAGACCTCAAGATCGACTGCCGTACCGCTTGGTAACATTCCTCAAGCAGTTGCTAATTTCGTCTAGTACCGTGGTACTGTGCCTCTCCTGTGGGCCATCTAAAATGCACGCAGTACCATAATCGCTTTCACTCGCACAGTGGGCTCGCGTTGGTTGTTATTCGGACCTCCCTGGCCGCCCTACAGACTCCAGACTCCCAGCAATTGCGTCGTGACAGCAGGACGGGTCGACGACTAGCTGCTCCTGCGTTCTAGACGTACTGGCGGTTCCACACACAAACGCAGAGTCAGATACAGAGTCAAATCGCAGTCTCGCCCGACAACACCTCCTCCAGTCCGCGCCTGATTCAAGCCCTTGAGTCGCTGGCCGCCCCGCTCGCGGCACCATCAAGGTCCTTGTCCAGGCATCTGAGCAGCCTTGTAGCCGACGCCGGTGCCCAGCACGGCTGCAGACATGGCCACACTCATCGAGCACTGCATCCGCTGCTCTGGTGCCCTTGTTGCTGGGTCTGCTCCACAGCCGGCCGCAGCCTGGTTGACGAGAGAGGCTGTGTTTCGCGAGCGCCCGACGGCTGTGTCCCGAATCGCCCTTCCCCACAGCTGCAGAGGCCGTCTCCAGGGGCACGGTCTAATTTGACTGTGAGTTCTACCGAATCACTCTGGCATCCGTCTGAACAGCCTCACGCCGTGGTGCCAAAGTCAATATCACGGCTCGGTAGATGTGAGCCGTGGCATTCCATTCGTCGTATCAGCATCTTTGTCTTACTTCTTTTTTGCATCACGAAACAAAAAGACCTCGCGCACGCCTTCCATGGCGCACCACAGCTTCGCACGGAACGGATCGTGATAACCCCCTGAGAATTTGTCGCCGGTTTTTGCCGCGGCGCCAGGCCTTGCAGGTCGTGACGGTGCAGCCGCCTTTTGTATGTATGTCTGTCCCTACTGGGTAGTTGTGCGGTTAGGAGGCAGCGCAACGCCGCACTATGTCGATACGGCACGACTCGCTGGCACGACTCTCGAGCACACCTCGCTGGCACTCGGCGATGCTACGGTTGACTTCGAGCGGCCTCCCTCGCGCACAGGAGGAAGCACGGCAGGACGGCAAGGCTGACCCAGCCAGCAAAATGCCGTCTGGCCGCAGCGGCGAAGTTCACGGACCGGGTGCGGTATGGCGAGCAGCGGCGCCCCACACGGCCGTAGAATCGGCGGGATCACCTTAACCTGTGCCCGGGACAGCGCTACTGTAGGAGGGCGCCAGCACGATTCAGCATGTGCACCGAACTCTCTCCACGGGCCGCCCTCCCCATCCGTAGCTGATTCGTAAAACAGCAGCCCGGTCCCCGCCGGCGCTGTGAGCTCGTGCCTCTGCCACCGCTGCGGGAGCGCGGCGAGCTTCCGAATGCATGAGACGTGAGCCGTCGATTGTAGGCCTGTCTAGCGCGCCGACGGGCGCCGACCGGCTGTGTCTGGGTGATGGCCAGGATTCTAGAATGATTCGATGGCTGGAGCTTGGAGAGTGGTGTTGATATCTTGGTTCTGCTGGCGTATCGAGCAACACCAGAGCCTCGCGATAGTGGGGGTGGTGATGAGCGAAATGCATTCACCATTCGAAACAACCCCAGACACCACCCTTGGACGGAAGGATGCAGAAGAGCACTGTGCCTTCTGGAGACAAGCCACGGCATGTTCCCCTCCCGTCGACTGTGCACGTTTCCAAGACTCACCTCACACAAACGCTGGTCGCGGCTATCAAGACCCGCAGCCTCCCCTGCTGCTGCTGCTGCGGAGAAGAGCAGAGTCGTCTCCAAACACGTCCCTTGTCTGCTAAGAAAGGTGCCCGTGCCCGGTACCTCATCCGCCGTTGCAGGCCCTGCTGCCTCAAAGTATCAATACAAGCTCCACGCCATGCCAACAAACCATACATAAGTACATGAGCCTACACAAATGCGGGTTAAGGAGCGAACAGCTCACGCATGCAGCACGCCAAGTGGCCCCCGCAGCACACGATGAACACGTGAAGATAGTGGGGCGCCGGCTCGACGAGTACTGGAGGACTCGATTGTTAAACGAAAGTGTGTGTGCTGCAGTGCTTGCACGCCAAAAAAAAAAAAAAAAAACCGGCAATCTACCACGGCACTTGGGGCTTAACAAAAGTGGCACTCAGCAAGCCGCGGGGTGGGTGTTAACATGTACCTGTACCTATGCCACTGCTTGGAGAGTTTCAATGTATTCAAGCGGAATGGAAGATGTTCACCTTGGGCTATGTGAAAAGTCGCTGAAGCCATCCAAGCACTGGCAGACGGGTGTACACCCAGAAGAGGGCTTTGCGAGTGTACCACGGCACCATTGTGCCGCTCCCTGCGAGGACAGCCTGTAGTCGACACACATTGTAGATCGAAGTTATGCACCAGTAGCGCGAGCAATATACTTTGGAGCTTGAAAGTCTCCCGGCGACGTCGTCAATTGCAGTGTTCCGGCCGGCCGGTCTGACGTACCTCAACACCTCACTAAAAGGTTTACGGAGGAGCTCGCTTTTAGTTGATGCATAGCTAAAACCACATAACCATTGCATCAACCTCCAGGACCTACCACGAGGCCAAAAAAATTGCGGGAAAGCGCTCTACGCTTCTTGAGTATACATTTCTCTATTCTTATATCTAGATTATCTTGCATTCGAGAGTGTAGGTGCAGTGCACGGAAGTTGAGAGCATCTTGGCGTTATGCAACACTAAAAACGAGCTCCTTCGTAATGAAATGGTGGAATGATTTGCGTAGTTTACCCGGCTACCTCAAACGGCATTAACCTGCAGCTTTGTGAATGGACTTGTGCACGACTCTCAAGCGGGAGGCGGCCCGTTGCGACAGGGACGCTGAGATGAAAGAATTGAGCCGGCAGCACCAAGCCCGGCAGCAAGACGCAAGTGAGACACCCGTTTTGCGGCTCCGACTATTCTACCCCCCCCTTGACTTGTCATACTTTGCGGCCCGCACCAGCACCTATCATAAACACCACAGCACGCCCAAACCGTTAGAGTGGGGTACTCACCACTCCTGGTCCACGTTCCACGATCAGCGATATGACAGGCAGGAGGCGGGCTGCGTGGCACAGCACGGGCTTGAACCAGTTCCGCAGTCCCAACCACACGGTCACCAATCCCAACCATGGTAATTTTCAAGATTAAAATCCTTCGATGAGTCTGACACCACAATCTGCTCACAGCTTTGCCTTCACCCTCGCCTCGGGAGCTCTGTGCTTCTCGCTCCCCTTGTGCGTGAAATACTCCCTGATCTTGGCCCGGGCCACCTCGACGGCATCGATGTCTTCAATCGTCGTCGGAACCTGCACTTCCTTCGCAAACTCATCATGCGTTGCGTTCTCCACCAGCTCCCGGAGCACCCGCCGTAGCGTCTTCCCGCTCCTTGTCTTTGGGATCATGCCCTTGCCCTGTATCATGCCCCCCAAGCTCGCAATTGCGCCAATCTGCTCGCGGACCTTCTGCTGGACCTCCTTGAAGAGCTTATCGTCAGGCACGGCTGGGTGAGGGTGGTGGTGCGTGGATAGCGTTACAAACGCAAAGGGAAGGTGACCTTTCAGTGCGTCTGGAATGCCAACTACTGCGCATTCTGCGATATCAGGATGCGAAGTCACCGCTTGCTCAATGGCACCTAAAAAACCGTTAACGACAGAGCCTCGAGTCATGCTGGCCTTCATGTGAATGCTTGCCTGTGCTGAACCGGTGAGCCGCAACGTTAATGATGTCGTCTGACCGCGCCATGATGGAAATGTAACCGTCCTCGTCGATCATGCCCGCGTCACCTGTATCGAGCCATTTACCATTGAACCTTTTGAGGTAGCCGCGGTAGAATCGATCTTCGTCTTCCCAAAGCGTCGTGAAAGCTGTTGGAGCCAGAGGGATCGCCATCACAATATTTCCCATGGTCCCGCGCTTGACCTCATTCCCCTCGTCGTCAACAACGCGCACGTCGAATCCCGGCATCGCCTTCCCAGCCGAGCCCGGCCTGATGGGCAGCGGAGCATGGCGGTGATTGCTGGTAAAATCCTTTCCCGCGCCCGCGCTCAAAGCTATTCCGGAAATGGGACTGCCTGATTCCGAGGACCACCAGTTGTCCACGACGACGGCGCCACCCGCACAATGTCTTTTAAGTAATTCTCCATACATCTGGACGATGCTTGGCTCGCTGCGTTCGCCGGCTAGGAACAGTGCTCGCAGTGTCCGGAGACCGCCTCGACTTCCGTAGATTTGCTCGAAGTAATCATTGTCGCCATCGTCTCTTCGGATTGCGCGTAGAGCCGTTGGCGCGGTAAACATAGTGGTGACTTTGTATTCTTCTATGATCCGCCAGAAGGTACTGGCGTCTGGCGTGCCAACGGGTTTGCCTTCGAATAAGACAGTCGTCGCACCAGCGAGGAGTGGAGCATATAAAACTAAGTGCTTAGTTTAGTAATGTTCTTGCAAAGAGTAGAGCCAGAGAAAGTAGGTCACTTACTGTAAGAATGGCCTACTACCCAGCCAATATCGGACGCACAGAACATCACGTCGCCAGGCCCGTGAACGCCTAAGAGATACTTGATCGAGAAGTTCAGTCCAACGGCGTGTCCGCCGACCTCCCGTACAACGCCCTTAGGCAGTCCAGTCGTTCCTAGTTATCTCGTTAAACTCCCAATATCAAATCCCACAGAAATCACTCACCACTGGTATAAATGATATAAAGGCCATCCGAGCTCTTTACGGGCACAGCGGCAGCCTTCAAACCCCTGTTCCTTGCACTCTTTACCAGCCTGTTCCAATTCCTCTCGCCGGTTTCTCTGCTGATAGGGTCCCATCGAAGCTGTTCGCGCTGCCAGATGATGATCTTTTGAGGTTTGAAGCTACTTTTCTCAATAGCTTCTCGGATGAGTCCCTTGTATGGCATCGGGGGTTTGCTTCCGTCAATGCCACACGAAGCCGTCATGATTGCTTTTGGCCTGGAGGCTTCCATTCGTTGGGCTAGGGATGGCGGGGAGAAGCCGCCGAAAACCACCGCGTGTATCGCTCCAAGCCTAGCAATGGCTAGCATAGCGAACAATGCCGCTGGGATCATTGGCACTGGAAAGGTTTATCAGTATGCATACCATGGCACGGTGTATCGAAGTAGGACGTACTGTAGATGAGAACCACGTCACGTTTCTTCACGCCCTCCTCTCTCAATACTCCGGCAAGTGTTTCCACTTCATGGAGAAGCTCCTTGTACGTGTACTGCTCCTTGAGGCCGGTCACGGGACTATCCCAGCAGATAGCAACTTTATCGCCATTGCCGTTAATAACGTGTCGGTCAACGCAGTTGTATGTCGTTGAAATCTTCCCGCCTGGGAACCAGCTCCAATGATCATGCGTGACGCCGCTCTTGAGTTTCTTCGTAGTTCGCTGGAACGCCTTTTCGGGTTTCTGATGCCATTCCAGCTGGCTCGCCTGCCGGCTCCAGAACTCCTCTGGGTTCTTCAATGAGTCCTGGTAGACTTCGTCCTGAATATGCTGCGCCATGGTGCACCAATCGAAGTCAACTTGTCGTAGGTAGCTTTATTCAATGATCTGGGCACGAGGTTGATGAAAGCGAGAGGGAGCAAGGGCTTCAAAGAGAAAGAAGACGCGGCGTGTTATGAAGTGACGTCGGCAAAACACTCGGACCAACGGCAGTCACGCCTCCGAGGGGTGACGCTCTGGATCGGGGCTACGGTTGAGGCTGATGATGTCCCAATTGAAGCTTGCCCCGCAGGCCCGGACGTCGGCCCCAGATTTCGGTTAACTAACGCGACATAGGGAACGTGATCTTATTGGAACAGAGCGCTGGGAGATGGACTAGGTCGGGGTGCCGAGTATCGCCTTGGCCAGAACATCAGGTCATGAAACCTTGGAATGTGGAAGCTTGTCCCTAAGGACGAGGTTCTAATACGAAGCATTGTGCTTTCTTGAGGTAGCCGAGGTTAAGATGGCGACGGATCTATTGAAGTGGAGTAGTATACATTTATAGATCATGAAGCCATTGCCTCATCGTATATACAAACTAGACTTGCTTGCTCGCCGATGCTCCAAACTCAAGTGATGCGTGAAAATGACTCCATCGCGGTCGCTCAAAATGTCGTCGATCAATCAGGACATAGTCCAGCCGTTTGAACTCGTTATAGCTCCACAGCCAAAGGGAAATCGACATGGCTTCTGATGCATCCACCATTCATACAGCAGACTTGGCCCTCGCTGCCAATCTGAGCCTGTGCTTCTCCATAGCCTCTTCGATCTTCGTCTTCCGCCATGTGCATTCGTCCGCGAACTCGCATATTCGACACTTGAACGCCTCTTCTATGTCAACTCCCTTAGCTTCTCGCTCCCCTTTCCACCATTTCATCTCTTCGCCCACGTATTTTTGCAGCACCGCGGTATCATACGCGAATAGTTCGCTCCCAATAATATCTCCAGTCTTGGACCATCGAAACTCGGCATGCAGGACGTCGCTGATCGAAGCTGATCCAGACATTGCGAGACTGAACTCGGTCATCATCAGGCTCCAGAGAGCTGTGAGGTTGTTGTAGGTCTTGAGCTCGTGGTAGAATTCCCGGGATACGTCGGAAAGATCGTCGGTCGATGGAATATTCTCCTTCCAGGAGTCGAGGTCTTCGATCTCCTCGATGAAAGCAGGTGTAAACGGTTTCAAAGGTGTCAAACTGTATCGAGAAAAGATAACATCCGCAGGAACAGTATTAGCTGCTAGGGCGTCAAGCAGCATCCGATAGAGCATCAGCTGGTAGAATGTCGGACGAAGAGACACGCCTTTAGGCATGTATTTGCTACCGCGGGTTTTGACGTCGGTAACATACACCTTGCGCTCTGGAAACGGGTTCCCTAGCCATGGGCCGGACTCTTGGCTGGGTGAGTTGGTATTATGGAGGAAATCCGCGATAGATGTCTGATTGGACGGAAGGGCTGCCTTCGCACCATTCTCAGCCTCTGCCTTGGATTTCTCCAGCTTCTCCTCGAAATCTGGGTCCGGGCAAGAGTACGAGATCTCATCGATAATGCCGTTGACAATCTGCCCGTCTATCACACCCCATATCTCCAGTTCGCGAGTCATTCCGGTAAGCCTTAGAGTACGAAGCCCTTGTATAACGTTCCAGATCTTGAGACCCCACACATCTTCCTTAGTTTTTGGTCGCACTTGGACAATCTCATGAACCTGCTCTTCTAGCACCTTGTGTACCGCAGACCCTTGTTTCATCGCAGGAGTAGCCTTTTTGCGCCCAAACTTTGACAGATTGTACCAGTACTGCAATTCACACCATGCCGGCGAGACCAAATCGGTCACCGAAAGAGGCTTCTTGGGTTTCGTCCGGAACCTCTGAAGAGGGGAACGGGTGTCTTCAACTTCGGGGTTCGACTCGGGCTCCACTAATACAGCACGTTGAGGTCCAGGCGACTCTTCTCGCGCCACTAAATGCTATCAGCATGTCAGTTCGGAACGATAGATAAGGATAGTGAGGTAGAAAGAGACAGGTCTCACCACCGAAAGACGTGCGCGAGTGCTCTGCGTATTCGATCTCGACAGAAGGGCTGCGCAGTTGACGCCGACGCAAGTCTTCTTCCAGCACATTCGCCCCATACTTCGGAGATGTGGCCTTATCCCGGCGGCCTTTTGGCATAACAAGATCGCGCGTGGGCAAAGTAATGGCTTCATCTTCTATGCTTTCGACAACGAACCGCTTGGGCGCGTTGGCCTCGAGCTCAGAGAGCAGTTCGCTGAGAGTGCTTTCGTCTTCCGTGTCGAAGTCGGATCCATAGTCGCTCTGCGAGCCCTTCGTTAAAACTGTCGCCGCGGAGAGAGCCATGCCATGCTGGTCGTTGGTGTTGAGGAGTGGGCGTCATTCATCCCAGGACGCGATCTCGCGTTGGTTGCGGGCTGTTAGTTCCACGCACGACAACGCATGACTTCGAGTCTGCAATTACCGTTTCCAATCAGAAGCATGTAGACCTCGAAAGCAACGCATATCATTACGCATTTAGACTACTTCGAAATTAATTCTACAGCCTCCTCAAAAGAAGGAATTTCATCCGCCCGCTGCGCTGGCCCTCCCCATTTCACCTTCCCCTCTCCATCCACAGCAAAGCTCCCAGAAGTCTGCCATCTTGAGCCGCTCTCCGTAGGCCTATTCCAGATATTCTCCTCCTTTCCCAAGCGATAGACCGACCACAGACCAGCGGGATTCAGCACATGCATAAAGCTCGAAACCCCAAGCCCCCACCGCCCGAACAGCTCTCTATCTGGATCCACAATGACATTGACCCTATCGGCGCCGCCTACAGCGTTCAGCCATTTATCCGTAGATTCCTGGTCACTGTGTGAAACTGCGATGAATCGCATATCGGGATGAGCTTCTGCGGTCTTGCGCAGGGAGATGAAGGTCTTTTCCGCAACTGTAGGACGTCAGGGCAGCCATCGCATTACTATCATCCGCATTCGCACTCACAAGGACAACCGCAATGTCTCAAGAAAGTCACGACTGTCGGTTTGCCACCGGAGCTTAGGATTGGCAGTCGATCCGTAGACGGAGCCTGCTGCCCTGGGGCTGGCACTGGACTAATTTCCACCTTGGTAGGAGACCACCACGACTTGAGTTCTTGTTGGAAAGTCATTCTCGTAGTATATGGAAGGATGTTTATGAATACATGCTACAGGTTTCTCGCCTGATGAACACGAGGTCCATCGTTCGAGATTGTCAACGTCATAGCGGGGTGCTAGATCCAGCACCAGCCCTTAGGCCGAGGAAGTTAATGCTTTAGAGTAGTATTTCTCCGTCATCCTATAAGAAGCGCGAACTAGTCCAGGCAATTACTCTCTTCTCATACATTACGATCTCTCAAAAAGACTACTCTTCTTTCGCGTCTTCAACTTACAGTACTTCCAAAGTCTATGTGCACCTTGTCCGCAGCTATCGCGTTGATTCTAGAAATCTGCAGAGCCTCGCCAAAGGTCTGGGCACAGTCAACTTACAACCGTGGAAGATGCTATGGCACGTTCTTGAAGTTTTTAGAAGATGTAAAGTCCCTTAGAGCTTGGATCAGAGAACTTACACATGCAGACAGTCGGCCTGCTTGCCGCTGTTGTGGTGCGTCAGCGGCTCATCATAGATCGAGACAAGATGAAAAAGACAGCGTGCTCAATTTGTGTCCTAGTACTGTATTCATTCTAGTTAGCACTTCGCCACAAGCTATCACCAACATAGCGGATCGCAGCCCTTTACAACGAAGACGACTAGACGAGAAACTTCGAAAGCACAGGAGCAGTTCGATCCTGTGTAGGAGACAAATAGCGAACTTCCAGGCCTGTAGGCGATTTGCTAAGACGTAGATGGAGGATTTCTATACATGGTAAGAAAATCTCATGAGTATTCGCCCGTTAGCCTAGACCCATGTCTTACTATCAGAAATTCTACTATGACGCCTCTAACTCATCCGTCACTTAAGCTTAAGCCCGCTTTTTTTTACCATCATGACTTAGACTTCCTCCCGCCGCTTCACGAACTCCGTACACCTTCGACTTCACAGCTTCCTGTACACTATTATATATAAGAAGCAAAAGTAATCGATCCTTTCCTGTGACCAGCTGTGAAACCTTTGATAAATTTTCCAGAGTGTGACAGCACGTTCCAAGAGGTTCTGATCGATATCTGAGCTGGAGCTCCACCATCTTCCGCCCTGCATCAAAACGTGGGATCAATGACATTTATGACTCATACTGGGAGGCGCAAGTAAGACATTCGACCCTTCGCATTATAGGCCACATGGTACGGTGGGTGGCAAAGGTATATGACTCTAAGATGTTGCGTGGAGTTGAGGGAACAGGCGCGTCACAGGATACAATTGTCTTGAAATATTGCTTCTTTAATTGAACTTGAAGAGGGCATGGGCAAATGGGGCTTGGATAGTTGAGCGTGTTACTACAACAGCTGCGACTATAATGAGCGGAAAGACGAGTTCATGATGAGTCAAGGAGGGCAGATTGCGACCGGGCGGCTCAGTTGCAATGACTAAAGACTTTTCATTAAGTGGCCAAAGTCAAGAGTAGTCACAGTTGCATAGAGAAAAGAGTATGTTGAATGACTTTCGTCATGATTGACCAGTGTAGACTGATGTGCACTGATTATGGGTAATGTACATCGCATAACCATTTGGAAACACCCTCAGGTGAACCATGAAAGACCCATAACCCCAGAGCCGTCGTTGATGAACCTCAAACCCAAACGCCAAAAGAATCCCCAACCATTGCCATCACCGTGAGGCCCTGTCTAGTTGATCGAGAGAAGTTGCCGACAGAGACAAAGGTAGACGGTCATCGAGAAACCATCTATCCGCGCTCGCCACGGAGACGACGAGCAAGCTGAATGTCCTTGCTCTGGATGGTGACACGCTTGGCGTGGATGGCGCAAAGGTTGGTGTCCTCGAAGAGGGAGACGAGGTAAGCCTCAACGGACTCCTGGAGAGCGCCGATAGCCGAAGACTGGAAGCGAAGATCGCTCTTGAAGTCCTGGGCGATTTCGCGGACCAGACGCTGGAATGGGAGCTTGCGGATCAGGAGCTCGGTGGACTTCTGGTAGCGACGGATCTCACGGAGAGCGACGGTTCCTGTGTGGTTGTTAGATGGATGTTCAAGTGAGGAAATGACGACGAGGAAACATACCGGGCTTGTAGCGGTGAGGCTTCTTGACACCACCGGTAGACGGGGCGGACTTGCGAGCGGCCTTGGAGGCAAGCTGCTTGCGGGGGGCTTTGCCACCGGTCGACTTGCCTGAGTAGAGTTAGCGATGATGTTTTGATGAAGTCGTGAAGTGGGTGAGGCTAAGCCAAGTGCAGACGCGTCGTGGTGGTGAGCCGCCCAGCCAAGTGGCGCGACCGGCGACGACGATGCGAACGACCGTACAGAGCGAGGCGATGAGGAATGTGAAAATGTGAGGGTAGACTTACGGGCTGTCTGCTTGGTACGAGCCATCTCGGATGTTGATGAGAGCTGTAGAGATGGGGTGTGGTGTTGAGTTGATGGATTGGTGTTGTGGAGTTGGTGGTTGGTGGATGATGATGGAAGAAAGAGGAGCGAGGTGGGCAGGCGGGCTACTTATGGGCAGGGCGGGGCGGCAGCTGCCTGCTGGATCACAGCTTGTTGTGATTCTTAGCGCGTTTCCAGGCGGGCCGTGGCAGCGCTGGAAAGCGCGCGCAGGAACATCAAAACTCGGGCAGGCGACTTTGCCTGCGCACGGCCGTTGTTGCAACTTCGATACGCGAGGGGCCAGCCGGCCAGCGGTGATCCGAAGTTGATCCGCCGTGGCCCTCGCCTCTTCAAGTACGGCCCTCCCGCCGCTCTTCCAACACCATCAGCTCCACAACATCCAGCGCTCTCCACAACCAACTCCATCACCATCCAACCACTTCAAGTCTCTACGACTCCTCAATCCACACTACCTCTATCATCATGACTGGACGTGAGTATTCCCTCTGCATCGCGATTTCTTTGTCGCGTCTCCCCTCGCTCACCACAACAATACTGACGCGTCTCACAGGCGGCAAAGGTGGCAAGGGTCTCGGAAAGGGCGGAGCCAAGCGTCACCGCAAGATTCTTCGCGACAACATCCAGGGCATAACCAAGCCTGCCATCCGTCGTCTCGCGCGTCGTGGCGGTGTCAAGCGTATCTCAGCCAGTATGTCTTCTGCACTCCAGCTTCTGCCTGCATCTTCTAACAGCCTCCCCAGTGATCTACGAAGAGACCCGCGGTGTTCTCAAGACCTTCCTCGAGGGTGTCATTCGCGATGCTGTCACCTACACTGAGCACGCGAAGCGCAAGACGGTTACTTCTCTCGATGTCGTCTACGCTCTGAAGCGACAGGGCCGCACCCTGTACGGTTTCGGTGGTTGATTGCTTTCTCTTCATGTTTTCAATGTTATGACTTGCCTGCCTTCGGGTCCAAGGCGGAGCTGGATGGGTTGGGTCAATGGGGATTTGCTAGCCTGCTGTATCATAGGCTTTGGAGTTTTCGGGGCGGGATCATGGAACAATGATACCAAATAATCCATCATCCGCTTGCCACATCAACATCTGTTCTCTGCTTGTGATTCATGTCTTGCTTGTCTGTGATTGCATCTTAGTGAACGCGTCTAAATCACAACATCGCGTCGCGTTTTCATCGTGAAGCCGTGCGTTGAGGTCCGTGTGAGTATTAGGCGTTTGGGCTCTGGCAATCAACGCGCAGAGACCTCGTTATGATCTATGGTAATGTCCTAAAGCAGTCAAGAGCGTTCGAGGAATTACCGTGCCCTTTCCCTTTCTAATTCTTCCTATCGCCGTTCGCCGCCAAGACTTGATGTTGAGATCACGTGCACCTCTCGTACGGCCCGACCGCAACCTTCCCGACAGGCGTCACCAGCACGTCAACTGAAGATCCGATGGTGAAACAGCCATTGCCAGTCACAGATGTTTTCAGGTCTTCGTGATGCCTGAACGACGAGCAGCAACAGCTAGCCGCATCCGGCACAGGCGAAACAACGACCGCTAGAAACGGAATGGCAGTCGAAACACCAGCATCAACGTTACATCAAGTAGCAGTCGCTGCTGGACAAAGGCAGTCGCTATCTCTAGGTCAAGTACGCTTCAACATGGTGGGCAGGAATGCTCTCTCGCAATGTCAACAGTTTTTCCAGTCTTCCAATCGTTTTGAATTGTATTATTCATCATTGTTACAGCTTCAAGAAGTGTGAGTTCACCACCAGAAAATTCAAGCTGGCCTTGAAATACTAGCGACGAGCTTCCTATCCACCTTGCAGCCCTCCAGACTGATGTCCGAGGACTGCAACTAGGTCCTCCTACCCCTCCTCTGCCCCACTGCGCCGGTTCCGGACTACGTCGGGTATTTATAGCCCAGCATGGTCAACATCATAAAGGAACGGCGGGCTCGCGCGATCGACATCGACCTCAGATCTGTCATTCCACTCTCAAGTCCCAAAATCATCAACGTCAGCATGGTCCTCCCGCGTGCCCCAAAGGCTCTTTTCTTCGATGTCTTCGGTACCTGCGTTGATTGGCGCACCACCGTCACGGATGCCCTCGAACTTGGTTCGCATCGCGCGTTGGATTCGGCTGAGAAGTCGCTTTCGAGCGCTGTCCGCCTCAAGGCATCCGACATGACATACGAAGATTGGGGCAAGCTTGCTCAAGAATGGCGCAACACGTACAAGCGTTTCACGAAATCGCTAGCCGACGACCCCTCGCTCCACTGGAAAACTATCGACGACCATCACCTGGACTCAATACGGGAGCTCTTGGTAGATTGGAAGCTCGAAGGCTTGTGGGGAGACGAGGAGGTTCGAGCCTTGAGCCTGGTCTGGCACAGGCTCAACCCGTGGCTGGATTCCGCGCCTGGTATCACGGCGCTCAACAAGCTGTTCCAGACGGCGACGCTCAGCAACGGCAACTTCAGCCTCCTAAACGATCTCACCGCCCATGCTCAGATGAAGTTCACGCATATCTTCAGCGCAGAGCTCTTCGGTGCCTACAAGCCGTCCCCGACAGTCTATCTTGGTGCTGCGTCCGCCCTTCATCTGCAGCCTTCCGACTGCGCCATGGTAGCTGCCCATCTGGGAGATCTCAAAGCTGCAAAGTCGCATGGGATGCAGGTCATCTACATCGAGAGGCCCCGGGAAGAGGATTGGAGCAAGGACGAGGTTGAGCAGGCGAAGAGGGATGGCTGGGTCGATCTATGGGTAACCAGTGAGGAGGACGGCTTCCTTACTATGGCGCAGAAGCTTGGAGTCAAGCTGGATGAAGAGATGTTGAAGGGTTTCCGTGCGCATTCGGATCCAAATTAGTGCGGCGTGTTGCCAGAGCTCTTTCGCTAGTGTTCATCATTCTTGTAGCTCCGCTGGGACGGAGCTGAGCATAGACTGTATAGACTCTTTTATTGCTTAGAGTTCTCTGTTAAGTCTTCACAGGCTTTGGCATTCTATAGATTTTGTCACTTCGAAATTGTGTTTGACTCCTCCATGTGGGTTTCGTGATTTTCGGATATATATGCTTGGCCAACACTCGATAGAAAATACACCTCCGGGAACTATATCAATGCCTTCGTCGTACTTGTCCATTGTCATCTCGGCCATCTTGACTGTTCTAGTGCCTAGCCGTTGACTTAATCCTTACTCTCTTCCCCGAGTCCCGCGAAACCACCTTCGAGTGAGACCACAACACACTCCATTTATATTATCCGAAGCCATACAGCTGTAAAACCCTTCTGGATAGCTACTGGTACGCTACAGACAACATTTGTACACTTTGAAGTGCAGCCATCCTTTTCCATCTCAATAACAAACTGAAACTAAATATTATTCAAGTAAATCAATACATGATAAACAGTAAAGACATCGAAAGTGCCAGATTTATACCAACCCCCCCCAAAAAGATACTACAAGCACCTAGTAACCAGACCCATCTGCTCGCTAAGTATCTGAGCTTTGTGGTGGTCCAATAATGAACACTAAAGGGGTCAAAATGAGGCTTGGCACGGGCTTCATGAGGCTTCATTTGAAAATCATGGGCGTAAATAATTTTCCTCGGGAAAAGCAACACACGGATCTAATAGATCAAAATTTAAAGTTCTATATAAAGTGTACAGTATTAATTAGGAAGGCTTGTGGTGGCTATGGTTTTCAAATAGCTTTGGTTGTTGAAAATTTGGTGGCTTGGCGGGGGTTTGCGAGGGTTAATTTGAAAACATGGCGTCAACAAGGTATTTATGAGCAAGAAAAATCGGTCACTGAGTATGGGTGGGATACGAGGAGTATATCGATATGTAGTTAATACATACAAGTGCGCTGTAGCGAGTATCATTTTCAAAGAGAATAAAAAAGTGATGGTCGAGTAGACGCTTGGACCATCAGCGCGACCAAGAGAGATCAAGACGCACATTCGATCCACAGCACAACGAGCACGAAGAGCGTGTTACAGCAAAGATCGGACAAAATATTCTATGCCTAAAAGGTCTTAAAACAGAATCCTGATCACAGGAAATCGTGGAGCACCAAAATGGGACCACCTTCCAAACTCCACCCATAAAGTACACAGTCTTCCGATATAATACAGTCCTCACAAGAAAACACACGCACACGCACCCCACGGCGCACTCCTCTTACCCCAACGCCCACTCCACCATCCTACCACCGTCCTCCTCCTCACTCGTCGAACCGCCAACTCCTTCTTCCTACACGGCGGCTCCGGCTCTAGCACCACCAACACTTCTTTTGAATCTACCTCATCAATATAATCTAATCGAACAGACTCCCTTCGTTTCTCATACATATTCCACTGCACCCTCAGCAGGATCTTCCGCTCTAGCAGCGCCGACCTAACGCCTAGTTTGCGCGCGCGGTCCCACAGCGCCACCGTCTCCTCGAGCTCTGCCTTCGCGCACGGCGGGCAGTTGCACAGGAGAGGCGAGAGGTCATAGCGGCCGGTGGAGTCGCAGAAGCCCGCCTCCGGGCCGTCCGTGGTGTAGTACGTGCCGCAGGTGATGCAGGTGCGATACGGTTGGAGGGTGGTGGAGGAGGAGCGGTCACTGGGGGCTGTATTGGGAGGATGGGGGCATTGGGTTTACCTGAACGGCTGCAGATACATAGGAGATTGAGGTGGTGAAGAGTGGGTTGTGGGTTGAGTTGCAGGCGGTACCTACTTCCAGCGCAGGTGGCCGGGCATCGAAGATGCTGGATATGAGGTTGATTGAAGAGTATCTGGAGGTGGGTTTGAGATATAGGTACGTAGAGGGAAGCAGACCATGGGGTTCTATCTGGGCTTGCTCTTTGAGGTACCTGAAGTTAGCATGTCATCGAGATTAAGGGCCATATGTATATAGACCCAGCACATCGGGATCATTACAAAAGCTAGTCAGTGTGGCGGCTCGTCTGCTCATGACATGATTAATGTGCAGCCGTGGCTTCGGTTGCCCACATCGGATAGAAGAAAACTGGAGGATACTCCGAGAGCTTGGCGCAGCAAACATTGCGCTAGATATTGATGAAAGCTGGGGATAAAGTTATTCTTTGTTCGTAGCGGAAGTTTTCCGGAGGCCCAAGCGCATTGCGTGATGAAGGCACTATTCTGGCAAGGCACACAAGTTGAGATGAAAGGAAAGAGGTGATGTACGGGGATAAGGTACATAGAAGTTCTTTGTGATACGGAGCAAGATCCGTTTCAGAGCCATCTGGCGTCGAGAAGCCTTCTAGAAAAGAGCAATGGAAGACGCATAGCGAAGCCCATTTGAAATTGGTGTGAAAGAATGTCGACTTATTGTACGCTATGATTTACCTAGGGACTTCCTGATCTTCACTCTGCAATGTGCTCATAAGTCCGTCATGAATGGCTTCGAAAGCCAACTGCAAGTGGCTCCGGACGTAAGAGAAGCCGTCAATTCTGGCCTGATGGCAAGGCGTAGGGACCATAGCCTGGTCGTGGGAATTGAGGAGAGCCATCCGCGTTCCAAGAGAACTTCTGTGCTCGAATTGTTCTCGCAGACCACCCGTTCGTGGGATCCTGCATCCCGTGATAGACGATCTAGTCTTCGTTACCGTCAGGGCTTGTCGTGAAGCTTGCATGGCCCACGCCATAGGCACCTTCGAGGGCGTTTTGATAGAAAACGCAGCCCTCATTATGCTTCTTCCAGTCTTATAATATCGAAAGTTAGCTACGGTCTTACTTCCGCGGCAAATTTGAAGGCGTAATTACCTTGCACATTCATTGGATCGTCACCAATCAGCTCGAGTTGCCCCAGACAGTAGTTCCTATTGTCGGAGCGGGCTGCAGAGTAGATAACAAAGGTTTGGCCGGTCTTGGGATTAGTGAGTTGCTCTGGCCCTTCATTGGAAGCCAAGCGATTATTGAAGGGCCTTCCATAGGGCGTTTTCTCCCAGGGGTTAGATGGCACGCTGATGATTTGCCTCTCCGAAAAATTGGAGCTCACTGTCCATGGATTGGACATCTTTCTACCTATTAGTACAAACCTAGAGTGCCTCGGACATGTCTATACATACCTTTGTGATACACAAATTGGCTTTATTTCGGTTAGCATGTCGGCAAGACCGATAATGAAGACCCTAGAAGCTTTTACGTACCCGGCCAAGCATCATATTGATGATACCAACAGCTGTAGATATGATAGAGACCCGTAGAGTGCTGGAAGTAGGTGCCATCAATTGCAAATTGATCGTACGTGTTCAGCTGGCTCTTGAGAGCGAAGTCTGCAGCCCAAGGATCGGACCCGGAGCCCTCTAACACATACATTCTATGAAATACGGCAGGACAATTCATGTCGCAATACATGTCGACTTCAGGCGGTGGCGAGTCCCCATTGGGATCTGCCGTAAAGATGACATACCACCTGCCATCGATCTGGTGGATTTCTGGGGCCCACAAGTCGGTCGAATAATTCAGGCCTTCGGGAGGTTTGAAGAGAAGCTTTGCATCGGCGTTCTTCCAGTCTGTGAGTCCCCGACTTCGGAGTAGGGTGATGTTGTCATTGGTAGTGTAAGTCATGTAGTAATAATCATCGTGTCGAATCACCCATCTTGGTAGACGTTAGTAGATTGAGAAGACGTTAGTCTGTAGACAGGAGTCGAATTAATGACTGATGAGAATGTCCTTACGGGTCTGCGCCGGTGTCAAATATGGGATTCGTGAAGGATCTAGTGGTATTGGTACCATTTACCCGGCTACTGGCGAGGCTGAGAAGTAAAGCGAAGAGAACATAAACCGATGCCGCGGTCATCTTGCAGATTGAAAATATGAAATGATAGAGAACATGAAGGCAGATGGAATATATTTCATCGATTTTAGGGATCTACATAAGACTGGAAGACACGGGGATCTTTCCCCGGTTGCGTGATGTTACATCTTCTCCGCACGTTAGCCCTTGGACGGAGGAAGATGCACCGGAAATCCTCAATTGGCACGAGACGCGGCACATGAGTCGCGAGAAACAAGTAGCACGGCCATTGCTGCATGACCGAGTCGTTTTCATGTAGCATCAACGGCAGGTGGTGATGTTTTGAAGCGCCCTGAGCCTGAGGGAAGAGGCGTCCGAGGTGCAGGTTAAGAATATCGACGCTAGCCTAATATGGAGCATTTCCAGGGAACTTCTTCAACAAGATGGCATTTACTGAAGTCGTTCAGAAATATCGAGTCGCGTTTTTAATTTAAGATCCGTGAGGGTGGCTCGTACATCCTCATTTCAATTATCTACGTACCACTCACAAATTATCCAACTGCATCTACACATCTTGGCCATTGCAGCGCGGACCTCACCACCTCCGGCAACGCCACCAATTCTGCCCACGAACCTCCCTCCACTCCCGCACCATGAACAACCAGCAGTTTCGCCGCCTGGTGCTCGACACACCAGCCCGAGCCCAAAATGGCGCCAGCAGCCCACCAAACAGAGCTGGAGCGACGCCCGGCGCAGCGCTGGGCTCGCGGGCCCGCTCCAGCATTCCCATGACACCGTAGGTCCTCCATCTAACCCCTCCACTGCTGTAAACATACTGACAGACATATGACAGACGCTCCGTCCGAGGCTCCGTCAACAACGAATTCGCGCGCCAGCTCGCCGAGCGAAACTCAGGCGGCAAGACCCAGAAGAAGTTCCGCTCCTCGGCCGCGCCCAAGGGCTACAAGCTGGCGGCGGGCTATCGAGACCGTACCAAAGACCGCGTAGATGACGAAGACGATGATAGGGCGAAACGAATCAAGGCGCTGGACGAGCAGCTGAAGGAGGGGGTGATTGACCGGCCTACTTACGAGCACATGGTTGGGGAAATTACTGGTGGAGATATCAGCGCCACACATTTGGTTAAGGGATTGGATCATAAATTACTGGAGAGGGTCATGAGGGGCGAAGATGTGCTTAGCGGAGCGCCGCCGGCGAAGGCTGAGCCGGAACCTGACGTGGATGATGAGTTTGAGCAGCTGGAAGAGAAGGAGGTGGCGCCGCTCGTGAGGGAGAAGGCGGAGAGGCTGCCAGACGAGATGCCGCCACCGCCGCTGCCAGTTGCTGGCGTCAAGAGGTCTCGTGACGCTATTCTGGCTGAGCTTAAGGCTCAGAGGAAGGCTGCTGCGGAGGCGGCAGCGGCTGAATATGAGAAGAAGTATCCAACATTGGACACGGGATTCCAGAGGGTGTCAGAGAACATGGATAAAACTAGGGTTGAGATCGATAAGAAGGGCAGGGAGGTTCTTATAATCACAGATGAGCATGGCAAGGAGAAGCGAATGGTTCGTAAGGCAAAAGTGGCAGAGAATGGAGATGAATCGGTGCCTAGCAAACCTATGCGAACGCTGGATCACGGTATAAAAGTCCCAGAGAAACCGGCTGCGCCACCTGAGCCCGAAGAAGACTCGGATGAGGACATCTTCGAGGGTGTTGGCGCCGATTACAACCCCCTGGCAGGACTGGACGAGGAGGACGATTCCTCGTCAGACGAAGAAGGCGAAGCGCAACCTTCGAAGAAAGCGAAAGCTTCTTCAGCATCTACTGAGCCGGAAGGAGTACCGGAAATCCAGCCGGAGTCATCAGCTTCTCTACCATCGAACCCTTCAGCTCCATCACTAGATACTGCGGCAACGCCTCCACCTCCACCACGTCCTGCTCCTCGCCGCGACTACTTCGCCAGCTCTTCCACCGCAAAAGCACCAGAGCTTACATCCGAAAAACCTGCAATCGACCCTGCGATCCTAGCAGCCCTTAATAAGGTTCAAACCATGGACCCCGAATCCGCACTCATCAACACAGAAGAAGATATGCGCCTTAAGAAGCGAGCTGCTATGCTCGGCGGCGCTGATCGAGATCTGGAGGATATAGACATGGGCTTCGGCTCCAGCCGATTTGACGATGCAGAAGAGTTGGAGGCCGACAAGCGAATCAAATTGTTCGAATGGAAAGGTGCTGAAGCTGGTGATGACGAGGATGGCGACGGAAAGAAGGGTGATAAGAAGAGGAAGCGCGGTCCCAAGAAGAGAAAGGGGGACAAGAATAGTGCGACTGATGTGCTTAATGTTATGAAGATACAGAAGGAGAGCAAGACCAAGGCGCTGGGCTGATCAGAGGGGGTTTGAATGATTGCGCGGATATCACATACGCTACAGCGCGTTTTGGAATGGGGATGCAGGTGGGTTACTCTGGAAATAGGGCTTTGCCGCATTCAAATCCTGGCCGTCGAGGGGAACAAGGTCTCATAAAGGAGTAGTTCATTTGCTACCAACTCCTACCCGTGAAACTATTATCACAATAAGGTAGAAACTACACAGTAGTAGCAATTGCTCCATTCCACGTTGCTTGCTCATCTAGTTCGCAAAAGTGCTCCATTGTCCATGTATGCTAAGACTGCCCTCAAACCAACTCCGAAGTGACATTGGAGAACTCGCCCTTCTCCAGCTTCGTCTTCCAGAATATCGGGTTCGTATCGCTGAAGCCGTGCTTGACCCATCCATCCTCCTTCACATGATACAGGTTGATGTAGCCTCCCGAGTAGGCGTCCCTGTGGGTGGCGGCGAGAATGCTTCGTCGGCCCAGCTCTAGCGCGGCCTCGTCGCTCAGATCGTAGCTGTATTCAGCGTCCAGCACGCCATAGGCAAATGTCTGACCGGAGCCAACGCAGAAGAGGTTTCCAGCGAGGCGTGTGCCGTCGCTATCGATGTAGTAGAGGGCTGGGCCTTCCTGGGGCGTTACACCAGCACACATGGTGCCCTAGAAGATTCGTCAGCATCGATATATTCTCAGATAAGGTAGAGGAGCCGTACCATGCTCAAGCCCATCCCCTTGTACGAGTAGACTAAGTTGGCGAGGATCTTGGAGGCCGCGGCCACGGAAATACGGCGCTTGTGTCGGAGTTCGTGTAGACGGCACTGCATGCCTAGATATGCCAGCCAGTATTGGCAGTCCTGTTCATACAATCAGCCCTGATATCCCGCTGAGGTTTCCCCTAATGCGAGAGGTAGTCTTACAGCCGCACCACCAGCCATGGTTCCGAGCAAGCAGTTGTTGATCTCAATGACCTTCTTCACCGTCTGACTAGCTATCCAATTTCCAGCCGTAGCTCTCGAGTCCGTCGCAACGATAATGCCACCCTTGAACCTGAATGCTAGGGTGGTCGTGCCGTGAGCGATCTTGATGGGGCAGTTTGGGTTGGAGAAGTCGTCCGTCATTGATCGAAGCCAGGCTGATGACTATTAGGGTTATTCCAGTTAGCAAAAATCTTGATTGACGGTAAAGATACCTTGGATATCACGTACCTGAGCTACTGGAGGTAGCGCAAACTTCAGCGACAGCGACGGCGCAACCTGTGATAGCTCCTGTTGTTCATCCTGCGAGTAGCCCTCGTTTTCGAACGCCGGGCGGCTGTACTGGGTGACGAGTGTGTCCATCTTTGGTATGTGAAGCTCGAGGATGGAAGTGAAGAGAGTATTTGGCGATCCAAGTGAGAGGTGTTGATGTGGTGGGTTCGGGGGCTTGCTGGAGAGAGCTTCAAGAGGTGTCGCGCGTTAGGCACGCATCGCTGCGTCAAGCGCCAAGGATACGGAGAACTCCACGTGAGTTGCTTAAGGCAAGATGAGAATCGGATTATTTTCGAGCTGAAGTTTGGAAGTGCATCAAACGGGAGGCGTGAGCACATAATTCACAGCTAGAAGGTGACGAAGATGTTGTGGGACTTTCTTTCTGCCCTTTCGAGGTCTCCAAAATAGCTATCTATCCAACTCATCAAGAGCAAAAGACAATCTCTCTGATTCTCGCGTCCCGTAATCTAGCATGCATTCAAGACTGTGATGACTACCATGGAGGAGCTTAGCAGCACTTTCCTGAGATGGTTTCGAAGATAGATCTGTTTAGCAATGCATATTCAGATGAAGTTGACGATGAGCTTCACAGCTTCACGACGACGGCTATCACCACTACTCCCACGTCATCAGCGACGGCAGATGAAGCTCTCCTCAACCTTCAGAACGTCAGACGCTGGTGATCTGCAGTGTCGTTCCCTCAATCACTAGCAGAAAATGAGGCTAGGAGGCCAAACTCTTCTTCGATCTCCCGCACAAGGCGAGAAAATCAATGAAAAGACAATCAACAAGACTGCGAGCCAGCAAAAATTACGCCGGTGAAGCCCCCGAAGGAGATTCATGACAGCCCGTCGCCGCGTTGTGCAATGCAGGACAGTCTGCCAGGTGGACCGAATTCATGAGCTCAGCCACCCCAACAAGGTCTGCGAAGAATGTTAGTCGTGATGCAAACCAGACACAAAGGGGATTGGAGGCTTACAAGTATAAAATTCGTGCGAAGGTTCAGAGGGCGGGCGAGAACATGTAGGCGAAATTCTGCCAAGGCGCTAGATGACTCATCAGCGCTAAGCAGTTTAGGCGGGGCCGCTACGCAGTATAGGCGTGGCTGGTGCGAGCTGGCCGACGTGCCACACGCGGGGCATGAAAAAGGTGGCACGCTAATTCTAGAACAAGCTGTCTCGTGTGTACACCTGTCTGCCACTGCTTGGGTTGCTTTAATGTATTTTCAGGAATCTAAATAAGATAGAAGCTCTTCGCTTTGAGCTATGTGGAAACTTGTTGAAGCACTTCAAGCGGTGGTAGACAGGTGCACTTATGAGACAGCCTGGTTCATGAGTGTCAACAGAAAGTGGCAGTCCACGAATCCGTAAGGTATACGCAATTTCTATGCTTATGTACACTTGTCTAGCACTGTTTGAGGTCCTCTAGTATGGTATTGTTATTCATGAAATACCGGTTTTGCAAAGCCTGAAGCTCTCCGGGCTACCTCAGACGGTGTTGACCTCCACTTTTTTCTTGCCGAGCGTGCCTGGCTGCAGGTGGTCTGAGAAAAAATGAGGTCTAGACACACTTCTCTGGACTCTACACTTTTGCCATGCCAAGAATTGCCGTCTTCAACCTTGGAAGGCTGCGATCCAACAGGTAATTTGATTTGACCGTAATTCGCATTGGTATGGGATCGCACTTTCGTAATTGCTTGGCGACTTCCGACACCTATATAAGCTCCGTCCCCTTCGGGCTCCTTTCCTTGTTGGGGTGGCTGAGCTCATGAATTTGGTCCACTTTCAGGCGGTTAGAAGCGATAGTATTTGTAACAAAACTACTGAAAGTATCGGGAGACGCCTTCAGCATATCAACGACTACTGTCTTTGGCGCAAGTCTCGAGTTGCAGTATCACAACATCAGCCTATATGCACTTCTCATCACTCTCTACGCCCCCTCAGTCCATCCATCCCCCATCGTCCTCCCCACTTTCCACCCCCCACGCCTCAATCTCCTCCCCCAAACCCACCAGCTCTGGGCTTACTGACTCCTTACTCTTCAAACTCAGCCCCGCCGCCCTCTGCGCAATCGGCACCACGTCTTCCACTCTCCTTCCCTTGACCATCCCTGACAATAACGCTCCAAGGAATGTATCTCCAACTCCGTTTACACTGACCACCTCCTTCGGCCCGACGACCTCGTCGGGCTCGAACAGCCGTACGTAGACCCCGCCGACCTCCGTATCGCCATTCGAGCAACGTGCGAGCACGTACGGCGCTGCAGACGGGCTGCTGAGGCGCGGATCGCCTGCTTTCAGCAGCTTAGTGAGCAGCACGCCGCGCGGGCCCAGCTTGGTTAGTATTGTTGGGATGAACGGGAGGAGCTGGATACTCTGCTGAGGGATGCCCTCGTCGACAAGGGCAGAAGTGGTGGTCAGAGCGAGAGGAACACGGAGACCCGAGGAGGGAATGCCGAGAGCGTCGATGACACGCCACCAGTCTGGGTGGGAGAGGAGGTCGAGACGCGCAGCAGTGGCGTGGAGGGCGGCAAGCTCGTGTGAGTTTGGCGAAGCGAGGTCGACGAGGTGGTTTGGGAAAATCGGAGAGGTGGGTGATTTTGACGAAGGAGGGGGGAAGAGGCGGGTCGCTTTGGCGGTTGAAACGGGCTCGAAGGCTATGAATACGCCGGCGGATTTGCCTGCGCGGAGCCAGGAGTGGAGGGTAGGAATAGACCAGTTGCCGTCAACGACGAGGCAGTTGGGTTGTGTTTTCATGATGGATTGTTGTAGTTGTTGTATGTCGTCTGGTGCGAACGTTTCCATGATACTCATGTCGGCCATGGCGACGACCAGGTCTTTGTTGATGTCGTTGACGGCAACGTACTGAGCTGTGTTGTGGTCTTGAGATTTTATCGAGGAGAGCACAAAGTTTGGAGATTTGTCGGAGTCTAATTTTGCTGCAATGGCTCGACCTGTGAAGTCGTTGCCGAGGACGCTGCACAGAGTGACGGGGCTACCCATAAGTTCTGCTGCTCTGGCTACATTGTAGCCCACGCCTCCTATTGATTGTGTCACAACTGCAGGATTAGAAGTATGGGATTGAGGAGCCATTGCCGACTCGCTCGACGCTCCAGGGAGAGGAGAGTAGTCACAAGATATATCCATGGCTAAAGATCCTGCCACTATGATACCGCCCTGTATTTGCGAAGGCTTCGTTGTTACTGACTCTGGAGGTTGGTGCATCACAGCTTTTATGGGTGGATTTTGCGGTTGTGGTGTTTGGAAAGACGGCATAAAATGCTTCGAGTTACCACTATGTACATACCATCAGCACTGCCCAGTATCTTCTCCATGTAGTTGGCAGTCTCACCCAATAGCATCGGCTTGAGTCTTTTCCAATATTGCAAGCTCTCTGGCAACAATCGTTGCACGCCGAACATTTGATTCAATCAATGCCCTGTTGGCAGGCAAACTCTTGCCTCCGGTGAGTTCCTTAACTTTATTCAAGATGAAGGGCGTGTTGTCTTTGCCGGTGATACCAGCAGCATCCGCTTGTCTGATTGCCTCTTTTATTATGATATCCATTTCATGTTTAGGAATAGCCGCACTCTCCGGGACAGGATTCGCAAATAGAAGCCCAGAAGAGATGCCAAGAGAGTGTTGAGCGTCTAGGTTATATCATGTGAGTAAGGAGGTGAGCAAGTCGGAGACGCGGTCTGATGAGAGCTCGAAGGAAAGAAAGTTGAGAACCTACGTATGATAGCAGCAGCTTCTAACTCGTTCTGAATGGTCGTTGGGCTTTTGACACCACTGTCTCTAGACCAGAACGCAGGGAAATCGACATTACCTTGCCTACCATCTGCGAAGGTACCAATGCCGACACCTTCAGTCTCAAGATACTCAAGAGTGCGAAGAATATCCAGGAAGCTCTTGCACCCGCTACTGATCACAGTGACTGGAGTACGGCCGAGCTCGGTCAAGTCAGCGGAGATGTCCATAGAAGATTCAGCGCCTCTATGGACACCACCAAGGCCACCGGTTCCAAAGATTTTGATCCCTGCTAAATGCGCCAGTATCATCGTTCCAGCGATCGTAGTACCGCCATTGAACTTCTTGCCCGCTAGTCGCTGAGAAGACAGTCATCAGATACAGTTCCAAAAAGGGGGAGATCCAATTGATATTGAGACTGCAGTACCATTCCACAAGCAAAGCCCAAATCCCTCCGGGAGAGCTTCAAGGTATTCTCGTGTCCAGCACTCGACGTGAGCTGGATGAGCTCTTCAGGGTCCATTCCGACGCATGCAATGCCATCTAGTATGCCAATTGTTGCAGGTACACCGCCATTGGTGCGAACAACGCTTTCGAGGTGTGAAGCTAGAGCTACATTGTCGGGATACGGGAATCCTAAGCATGCGAATTAGCTTTAAATAGTAGAGGGAGCTCCAGTGGTGTACCATGAGTATATATGGTGGTCTCTAGAGCTACTACGGACTTCTTAGAATGCAGAGCTTCCTGGACCTCGTCGGATATCCGCAGAAAGCTACTGCTGGGTCTCACATAGCACCGAACTGTTGAAAGCGGCCATGAACGTCTTAAGGGCAGGCCGCGCTGGCGCGTAGCTTTGGGGAGTGAATACATGGTGAGAACCTTAGAGTCAGCGTGCCATTGTATCAGTCTCGCAATCTTTCGACTAAGAAAGGTAGACCAAGAGTGGGAGAGACGTAGATCAAAGGGCGGGGCGGAGGTGGTGAGCGGAGTGGGACCCTTGTCGCGGAGGCCTTGGCAGAATCTCGAAGGACACGACGCATCATCGTGGAGTTTCAACGGCAGCAACACCCAACCTCAGAACTTCTCGAAATCCTCTGAATTGCATCCTCTATGCTCGGGCTCTCTCCCTTACGCCTAACATGAGGTCAATCGCCCTTCTCGCCAGCTGCCTGACAGCTTTGTCGAGCCTCTGCGCCGCCGAGCTCAACCTCACGCAGTCCCTGTCCTCGAAACAGATATTACCCGCCAACTTCAAGCCGCCACAGGTCTTCAAGAATGTCAATCTTGTGCGGACGACCAATCTGGATAAGGCGTATCCGCGAGAGGTCATCAATGTTATAATTGAGAACATAGACTCGAAGCCGCAATCGGAATACTACCTCCCGTTCGAGTCGAGTTTGCTATCGAGGGTAGGCGGGCTCGAAGTTAAGGACAAGAAAGCTGCAGGAAAGCTCCCCTTCAAGGTCGAAGTGGTCGAGTATGATTCGCATAGGTACTTAGGCTACAATGAACCTCATCTCACCATTTGATCACAGCTAATAGTTGTACTCAGTTCCACCCAATTCTACCTCATCCGTCTCCCAGAACCTCTCAAGCCCAAAGCCCAGCAGACACTCAGTATTTCCTTCTCTGTTCTCTCGGCGCTCACCCCAGTCCCGGCTACAATCAACCAAATGGACAACCAGTATGTCCAATACACATTCAGCGCCTACAGCCCCTCGGCCTACACCACCGAGAAGCAAAAGACCAAGGTCAAATTTCCCACGGCCAACATCCCAGACTACTCTGTCTTAGACGCCCCGAACGCGGACAACACCGAAGACCCTCAAAAGCAGGGCAGTACCTTCACCTATGGTCCATACGTCAACATCCCCGCGGGTGCCGAAGAGCTCGTCAGCGCTCGCTACGAGTTCACCAAGCCGCTTACCCATGCCACACTCTTGGAGCGCGATATTGAGGTCAGCCATTGGGGTGGCAACCTGGCTACGGAGGAGCGGTTCTGGCTCACCAACCGGGCGGCGAAGCTGGCAAACCAGTTCTCCCGTGTATCCTGGCAAATGACACAGTACTCCAATCCACCCACCTCTGCATTGAAGGGCCTTGGGATGCCTCTGCGCATCGGATCTCTGAATCCTTATTTCATTGACGACATTGGCAATGTCTCCACCAGCCGCTTCAGGAGTAACGCTCGCGAGGCGAATCTCGAACTGAAGCCACGATACCCTATCTTTGGGGGGTGGAAGTACAGCTTCCGAGTGGGTTGGGATGCGAATCTGAAGAACTACTTGCGGAAACTGAAGACTGGTGATACCTACGTCCTGAAAGTGCCGTTTTTGGAGGGGCCTAGGCAGCCAGAGGGCGTCGAGTATGCGCGCGTCGAGCTCAAGATCATCTTGCCAGAGGGCGCTACGTAAGCTCTCTTCTCCTTGCCCTCTACGACTATACATTGCTTACAATCCTGTTGATAGAAACATCCTCTACGAGACCTCTGTGCCCTTGGTTGCCTCCGAAGCGACCATTCACCGCACCTTCATGGACACAATCGGCCGCTCAACGCTCCACCTTACCGCTATTAATCTCGTAGACGAATGGAGAGATCGTGATATCGTTGTCACTTACGATTACCCATGGACGGCCGGCTTCCGGAAGCCGATTGTTATCTTCTCGGCCCTTCTGGGCTTGTTTACTGTGGCCTATGTCATTGGAACATTGGACGTTAGCATCGGGAAGAAGAAGACGGCTTAGAACTATCACAAAAGGGAAGAGGGCGCATGATATCAGGATTTTATTAGGGAACTGTGTTTTTGTAACTTGTAGAGATCGATACGGAATTACATTCCTTCCATCTGCTTTCTTTATCGATGCTGTGACGTGACCTGCATCGAGACGAATTATTAATTTCACCATCATGCTGCGACTGAATGATCATGTATCGATGCCGCAGTACAGATAGGTCATAAGAAAACTCTCGAGTGTCGCTACAGCACCTGTGTCGCTGTTCTCTAAAGTCCACACAATCTGCTGACTTACAATACGTGATTGGTAAGCCAAGAAGGCGTTGGAAATAAAGGAAAGCCGGTGTGCCGGACTCAATCTAAAGACAAAGCCAACAGACAAATGTCTTGGAAGAAGCTGGAACTATCTTGTCGTAACCGTCCAAATCCATGATCCTTTGCTGTACAGCTGGGATCACTTGGTCAGGAGCGACAAAGTCGAGGCTTTGCGTGTCACGTGCGAGTGGCGCAGGGGGCGAGTGCCAAGGCGCTAGTCAATAATCGGCCTGCGCCTTGTTCTCCATCCACTTCACTTGTCTCACTTGCCGGCCAGCCGCCCTCGCTGCAACTCCTCCAACATCCTCACCAACACCGACCACACCCACTCTCTTTCCAAACCGACCACCGCACTTCTTCGTCGTGTTCCGAGCGCCGCAACTACTGCACACGACTACCTTTCTTTGCGCACCCAACGTCCCGGACGGACGTGAGCAGGCTCACCATGACTTCGTCCGTGTTCTTCAAGTTCAAGTCGTCCAAAGAGCCGCAACGCATCCCCTTCGATGGCACCGGCATCTCGGTCTTTGAGCTCAAGCGCGAAATCATCATCGCTTGCGGGCTAGGCGATGGCAGGGACTTCGATCTCTCTATCTACAACGAAGACACTCCCCCGGAAGAGTACGATGACGATACCACCATCATCGCTCGGTCGTCTCTCGTTATCGCCCGCCGACTTCCTGCGTCGAAGCCAGGATGTGGCAAAGCAGCGCGATACATCTCCGGCACTGCGCCTGTTACCGCCCGCAATACCCACCGAAAGGAAAACCACCTCGACTCGAAAGCCGCGTTCACAGCTACCACCAAGCCTGCAGACCCCAACAAGCCTATGACCGAGGAGGATAGGATCAAGGCCATGTTCAGCGCCAGCGGTGATCAGTGGGACCAGCAACAGAAGCAGATGGCAAGTGCTAAGCCTGTGTACCACAAGAATTTCAACAAGAAGCCCGCATCCGTCCCTGAACATGACCCGCCCCCAGGCTACATCTGCTACCGATGCCACGAGAAGGGACATTGGATTCAGGCATGCCCCACCAATGACGATCCCAACTTCAAGAGCCAGCCGCGCATCAAGCGCACCACCGGAATACCCCGCTCATTCCTCAAGACGGTCGAAAAGCCGTTCGCCCTTACCGAAGACGGCCTAACGGATAATAGCAAGCAACCCTCGGGAGTGATGGTGAATGCTGAAGGCGAGTACGTGATAGCAGAGCCGGACAAAGCATCGTGGGAGCAATTTCAGGCAAAGACCAAGGCGTCGGCAGCGCAGGCAGAGGCTGCGGAGACTGGCAGCAAAGAACTTAGGGACCGAGGTCTGGAGTGTCCTTTGGACAATCGAATGTTCGTGGAGCCAATGAAAACTCCTTGCTGTGGCAAGACTTACTGCAATGAATGTATCGAGAATGCACTTGTTGAGAACGACCTAGTCTGCCCTAACTGCAACAAGGATGGCGTGCTGATTGACGACCTCGTCGCTGACGACGACATGACGGCTAAGATCAAAGCGTACGAAGATCAGAAGATCGCTGAACGCAGAGCAAAGGAGGTCCAGACTCCTGAAGCTAAATCGTCTACCAAAGATACTGCTACTAACCCTCCGAAGGCATCGTCCGAATCACCACTGTCGAATGTCTCGAACTCATCCAACACCACGTCGAACACCTCAGTATCGACTTCCACACCTTACTCCGTCGCCGCACAACCCGGCACATCGTCAAACAGCAAGAAGCGTCCAGCTGAAGAAGACCTCCATAATGAACGCAAACCATCTCCGCCACGTGCTCCAGCTGCGATGCGTCGCCAGCAAGAGCAAGCACAGCAGCAGCAGCAGCAGCAGCAGTGGCCCGCTTCCGTTCCTCGCAACGAACAAGAATTCATCGCCCAGATGAACGCTCTCGCCAACATTCCCCCTATGACTTCCGCCATGAGCATGCCGGGAATGTACTCGGCCGCCCCCATGATGGGCATGAACCCCGCCTACGGTATGGGTATGCCAACGGGTATGGGTATGGGAATGCCAATGGGTATGAACAACATGCCAATGAACATGAACAACATGGGTATGATGAATGGCTATCCTAATGGCAACGGCTGGGGTAATCAGCGACAACAACAACAGTACTACTCCAACGGAAACAACCAAAACTGGGGCCAGCACCAGCAACAACAGCCGATGCATCAGCAGCAGCCCGGCTCATTCCCAAACCAGCAGCGCAATGTCTTTTCCAACCCCGGACCGAATGACGAGGACGCATACTTCCGGAAGCCGGTCAACCCGCATCGGGGCCGACCGAAGCATCGCGTCATGAGGCCTAGCGACTACACCGAGCTCTGATTTCGCTCTTCGCTCTACCCATGCATCACTTTTCTTTTCTCTCTTTGGGTTTGGGATGGGTTGCACAGAGTCTACCACGGTGTTCCGGAACGAGTCTTGGATAGGAACCTTCTGCTCTGTCCACATTGGGTTTTCTGGGGCAGCAGGACACGGCCTCATGGATCCGGAGTTTACGACTATGAATCGAAATTTGCAGCACGAATTGGCGAAAAACGGAGCACACTTCCATGTATATGAAAGCAGAAGCGGGCGGGCCTTCCTTGAGTGGGCTAGCTAGCTTCGCATCCGATATGGGTGGACGGAATTCTGGATCATTACTCCTTGCGGCAAGCAAGCAGGCAGGCATTGCTGTTTTATGTTCTTGTTTTGTTTTTGTTGCATACAAGTTTGGCGCTGGGATAGCGTCGTCGAGCTGTGTTGCTCTCTCTTCAAGCGAGGGCGATGGCTCTGCTCTACTATTGTTGTTTTTGCATGCACTCCACGGATGTGCATAGCCTTACCCTTTGATGATGTTGACTTGAGCTTCTCTGCTCGAGACATTACCATCAGCGATCACAATCAAAAACCAATATTCCCAAAAAAAAAAAAAACTGCTTTTGCTTCTTATTTTGTTGTACTGCAGGCACGGATGGTAGAACGTTGTCTAAGCGGCTTCAAGGCGCTCGAGACACGACCATCACTGATCAAACAAATATTAAACCCCCCCCCCCCCCCCCCAAAAAAAAAAAAAAAAAAAAAAACTGTGTGCTTTCTTACTTGTCTTCTCACTTTGCATGCGGGTTTTTCTTTTATTCAGGTAGCTAAGACGGTGTTTTGAGCCCCTCGCCTCAGAGTCGCTCTCTCCACCACCGTCACAGATAGGTAACCACTCAATCAGATTCAAACATCAAACACCGTGTCTCATGCAACATGCTATGACTATGGCCATCGTGATTGCCCCCAATTAAACATTAGATAGACCCAATCATCTCGTCTCTCCAATCTCTCTCTCTCTCTCTCTCTCAAAAAAAAAAAGGAATTCAATCCGAACCTTTCAAAAAAACTCAATCAACCGAAAGCAACCACAAAAAAAAAAATTCCCGCCCTCCCCCCCCCCAAAACTCCCTTCAATACCGCAGAAAGCAACCTAATTATCGTACAATGGATATTCGCAAATCATGCCCTTTCCCCTTGCCCCAATTCGCTCAGAAACCACCCGTTCCTTGAAAACTAGATACAAAACAACGCCCGGCCCTCTCTGAATAGAAATTTCATAGATATAAAGGTCCACCCCTCCCCCCTCCCCCTCCCCTTCCCCTTCCCCTTCTCCCCCCTTCTCGGTCCAGCCGAACATACGAGAAAAACGACAAAAGTTCCCAAATCCCCCAAGGCTATTCCTCAAAAAACGGCAAAAGAGAATTACTGGTGGGGCGGGGGGCAAGCGTGTATTACAACGAGTGCTAAGAATGGTTGTTAATCCGCACACCGAGTAAAGGAACAAAAGGGGAAAACCACACATAGGCCCTTTCCACAGCCGGGTAAAGCCGCCTAGCCCGATTCGTCGCAACCAAGTAAAGCCCTTCCCCCGGAGCTGGTTTTGTTTACTCTTTCCTCCAATTCATCCTCTCCTTTCCCTTCCCATACTTTCATATAGCTCGAATCATACACCGCAATAACCATACCTTGGTAAAATTTCCTAATCCCATCTTTCTTCCTCGTCCTTTCCTTTCGCACAAAGGCCCCAGGGTATCCCAAACACCAAAAAAAAGGAAGAAGCTCCAAGCAACACAGAATAACACCAGTAACCCCGTTACCATCCCGTGGTCCGACCCCTACAACCTCACCCGGCACCCAGAGCACCAGCATTCTCTGGCGCGAGAGCGATTCCGAACGAAAAGTGATAAGAGAAAAAGAGGAAACTCGGGGATGGGGTATGCAGCATTATAGCTCTGGCGTAAATGACATCAAACATCTTCCTGACAGTTCCGACCTTTCTCTCTCTCGGTGTCGTCGAAGGGCCCGTCACCGAAATCGAAATCACCACCCCTTCTTCCGCGCAAACCGCTTGTTGAGGAGGACAAGCACTTTCGTCACGTTGAACTGCACGTACTCGAGGTCCAGGTCTTCCTGGTTGTCCTTCTGCATTTCGAGGAGATCGTCAAGTTTGAGGTCGAGTTCGAGCAGGCCGCGGTTTCGTCCTGAAGAGTTAGTCAAGCTCAATCCGGGGACAGCTAGTCGACTCTTACCCTTGTAATGCAGCGAGATGACAAATGTACCAGGTAGGGGACTGGTGAAATTGAAGTAGATGTTGGCTCTTCGGTTTTCGGGCACGTTGCTTTTCTGGATAACGCCTTCCTTCTCTAGCTGTTGGTGCGTGAACTTGTAAGGTCCGAGTACTTGGTGCTTCTGCTGTTTCCTGGTCTTGCCCTCGGACTGACTTCGCACGTTGTGGAGGTAAGACTTGTAGGTTTCGAGTTGGCCGACGAGGTACGCATTGTGGTCGCGGATGGTGCGGAAAACCTCCTCAAGCTTCTTGGTCTCTTCTACGACCTTGTCCTTCATGGATCCTAAATGTACGAGTTCTTGCTCGACCTCGTCCCGGAGTAACGCGAAGCCGTCATCCTTGTCAATTACGCCAAGTTCTTGTAGCTGGCTCAGCAGCTCCATGCTCCTGATGCCCTTCTTCACCATGACCGAATCGTTCTTCGTAGTCGCGGCAGCGTCAGCAACTCGGTCAAGTCGGAGAGGCCTCCGAGTCACGGATGTGTTGGCCGGTAGAGTTCGCAAAATCATGACGAATGTGGACTTGGCCTCCATGAAGAAAATCTCCTCTTGCGTAATGTCCAGAGCCGCGGTAAGATCATCCAGCGGTGTCTCCCACTTGCTGAAAAGTGGCAGATTGATGGCCCTGTTCTCTTTTCGTGGCAGCTGTGGAGGAGCTGGACCGAGTTCTTGCAATATGACGCCCAAATGAGAGCTTTCATCTTTTGCCTGCTCAAAATAGTTAAACAACCTACCCACGTTGGGATCAACGCCCTTGCGAGCACTTACCAGCTCAGCGGCATGCCTGTCCAAGAGCGCATGCGTGGCATAGACTTCATTGAGAGTGATGGATAGTTCCAGATCTCTCTTAGAAAGTGCCACATAGTTGTCCATTTCTAGAGTTTCGTAGAAATCTTGGACTTCGCACAAATCCAGCATGAACTTGTTGATCCGCTCTTTGTTATGCTGGATGAAAGGCTGCAGTTTGACCATGTACGGCTCCTTGGCGTATGACGGCTTATTGGCCAGGTTTTGGAGCATCTTGGCAACATAGGTTAGGGTACGCTTAGGGTTCTCTGCCGGGGTGGCGTCGATCAGCATGTATGACCTCGGTGTCACGATTGCCGGATTGATGAATCGGAGAAAGAAGAATCCTCCGATAAGGGTGCAGATTGTCTGGTCCTGTGCATCCGGGTATTTTCGTTTCGACAAGCTTCGGATCTGCTTGCAGATCCATCGGATGCCGTACGGGGTCTCTTCTAAGCCTCTTATGATGGTGTCCAAGAATGCGTTGGCAATCTCCATCAGCGAGGCAACACGTGGTTCGATAGCCTGCTGCACCCGTGGATGTTCGGCTGCCTGTTCAGCGGTCACGCCCTTTGGCATGTCGGCAGGGGGTTTGCCGTGTTGGTCCTCATGGTCCATTAACATCTTCTCGTAGACCTTTAGAGGATTGATTTCGAGGTCCATGTCCTTCATTTCGATGAGGGAATTGATCCTCTCAGCCAGTACAACCTTGAGGTAGCTCTGTCCGGGTCCTCGGCGCGTGTATGTGGTCATCATTCGTGAAACGGGGGTATTTGCGCGTAGTAGGGAAGAGTAGTCAGGGGTGTTATCGAATTGATAGGTGAGAACGGACTGTTTGCCTATATTAGCGCTGTTATTGCCTTATCTTCCCGGTACTACATACCTGAAACATGGTCAATAATAAGTGCTCCTCGCGGCTCTCATACTGATTTCCATAAATTGTGAACATGACAGTTTGTAGGAGCGAGTCAATCTCAGCCATGGTGACCAGGCGGCAGAGATGGGCGATATGTCTAGGCTCGGACTGTAGGAGGAAGAGTAGATTTCCGTATTTTTGCGTCTTCTCGTCGTTCGGGAAGAAACCTTCTTGCAGGTCAGCAGCTTCATCGAGATGGTTAGCTACCTCGTTTTGCTGGTCCTGTTAGCTTTATGCTTGTGGTGGTGAGCAAGTCCTACTTACCTCTTCCAACGCCATACGGTTTTGGATAAGCAACGCTATCCGCGAATCGAGATATCTGACGTCCTTCTCCAACACGAAATTCTTCTTCGATTGCGAGGATATCTTCGATTTTAGTTCCCGTAGGATTTTTTGCGCTGGAGGTCTATTAATACTGATCAATTGTGGCATGATATGGTGGCACCATACCCTTTGCGAGGTCGTCCTCGATCTCCAATTCCTTCTCCTTCGCGGAAATAGACAGGTACAGGGCAGTGACGGAGTAGCGCTTTGACTGTCGCACCGAGCGCGAGCCATCGTGCGAAGACATTGTGTTCTGGCGCGAGACGGGTATGAAGGACGACGAGGACGAAGTCGAAGCTCTGGAGGGAGCGTGAAGCATGGAGACGGCCATTATCTACCAAGGTACGGTAAACTTGCGCAGTGCGGGCGTTTGTCGGGGGGTGGTCGTCCCGTATAGAGGAATGCAATTTGTCGAGGTACCACAAGCCGAGCTCGAGACAAAGAAGCTCGCGCAGCAGTCAGGTACTTGTGCAACGGTATGGGATGCGCTTCTGCGCTCCGGGCTAGCGATTCTTTGTTGGCCACGCAATTTTGGTCGGCGGCGTTTGTGCGCTGGAGGGTGGATGCCCAGGCCGCTGCGACGCTGAGCGCCGCGGTGGTTCGCGCGTGGAAGTTTCAGAGGATTCTTCGCGGGATCGCGCAGGATGGAAGGCGGATTGGTGCGAGCAATAGGAATGCCGGGCTGGAGGGATTGGAGCGCTGGCCAGGGGAGACGTGAAGCTTGGGCGATGGGCGCCGTGTGAGTGGTGGTTGCAGGTGGAGGGTGATTTGGCTGGCTGAGCACTACTGCGATAACGGTAGCAGGCGAGACAGCGGCATTCCTCCCGGATCGGTGGACGGTGAGGGTTTGGACTGCCGGTGGTGAGGGCTGAGGGCAAAGGCGACGTAAGGAAGAGGGGTTTCGCGGCGGACTGTCGTCGCGGAGCAGGAGCTGTGTCTGAAACGTGCGAGGCAGCGTCGGGGACGACGGCGGGCGGCAGGCGGCAGCGAGGCCAGGCGTGCGGGTGCAATCGCGGGCACAGGGGCGCAGGCACGGGCAGCGATGGTCGGCAAGTTGCAGGCAAAGGGCCCGTGGGTGCTCGATGAGGGGACTGCGAGTCTCTGGAGCAGGTGCCGTCGGACGAGCCTGCGCAGTCAGGCTGGCTGGGCGATAGGGCCCGCTCGCACACCTGTGGTCTGGGGGAAAAGGAGCGCGGAGCTGTGGCGTCTGCGGTTTCGAGATTGCCCGCCCGAAGAAGATAAGTGTCAGGGCCGACATGACGCCTTGGCCGGGGCCACAGTAAACCGCGGGCGCTGGCACATGCGATGCGGCGGCATAGGGCGGTGCAGAATAGACGTGCCAGCAGCGTGCCGCCCCGGACGGTGCAGCAGCGGAGCAGTATGCGCCTCCAAACCACGCCGAGCCCTAAGACCGTGATATTCGACCTCAAACGGCGAGAACGAGCACCTCGTGGAGCGCCATCGCACCATCGCAGCTGCCCAGAGAGCGTCTCCCAGAGCTACCAAAGATTGGACGCAAGCATAGTTCCACGCCCACATAGCAAGAACTGGCATTGTTGATCAGTCCTCACCCATTGTTAGAAACCACCCCCCCTTTAGCCACGCCACGCCTACGCGCTTTACCCCTCCCCTCCCGACCGACAGGCACCGCTCCACCACCCAAGCGTTTCAGCCCACACTCGCGCTAAAGGCCAGGTGATCATGCCCCGAACCTCATCGCTTGCACTCCACGACACCACCGTAAATCAATCCTGGTACACGGCCCGCCAAGCTCCGTATCGCAACGAGGCCCGCACGCATGCAGAACAACCGGCGCATCCGCCTCTCCAGCCTATCCAGGAACAGACGAACGTGCATAGTTCCACCTCAAGAAATCTCCGACTGCCTGCACCGCACTCAACCACCGGCGCTGTGCCCATCCGCCGCTGATGTAGGGACCCTCTGTGCGCCCGCTGATCGCCTTGGCTGTGCTTGCAGTGATTACACATCTCCGCATTGCAGCAGCAGAGGAGTAGTGGAAGGCCCTGGGTCTGCGATTGGGTCCCTCGTCAGGGGCGCGTGCTCCTTCGCGGTTTACTAGGCGGATAGTCGATAGCTTGCGCAATTAGGTGCGCTCCGCCTGCAGCGACCGTTAGGCAGAGCTGTGGAGAAGTGTTGAACCAGACGACAAATAAGACCGAGGCCTTTGCTGCGCATATCGCGATTTCGCGCTACGGAGCCGCAGGCGATCGCAGGCCGTGCCAAATGCCAATAATTGTTGTTTTAAATTGTCCTGTGTAGTGCATTGCCCATTCGAGGTCGTCCATACAGGATCTAGATAGCTAGTACAATAATCGTCTCGTTGCTCAGATGGAGGAGGCGCAGCGCAAGGAAACTCGTAATAACAGTTCGAATGCCGTCTATCACAGCTGATGTCGTCGTCATCGCCTCGTGGCTCAGCGCATCGCGAACCGTGGGCCCTCGGGAGATGGGCCTGTGCCCGTGAAACCGCCCTGCAAACTCCACATGCGCCAAAATGGACCCTGAAATGACAATTGCCCCTCGCCGTGGTAGAAAAAGGCAACCAGAGACCCTGGATCCAGCCTTCAAGCCAGCCCTTAATTCAACCTCGAGAAACGACTCCATCGCAAACGCCCGATTTCTATGAAGGTCGCATCGGATAGAGGAGTTTGATCGCCTGCGGTTTGATCGCCTCATCCCCTCACCCATCCTCGTCGGGTCTAGGTTGTCGACTACACGAGTCATTGCGCAAGAACCGCAAGAACCGCCAGGAAAGCAAAGTAACTGTACCTCGCATTAGTCCCTCGCTCCACGATAGTCTAGAGTGAAAGCAGTATGGTGGTTCTTCTTGCAACCCCTCGTGTAGTGAATGTTTCTCTGCTTTCGCCACACTCCACGGTGGCGAGCGAGAGGCACACATGCTCTCCATCCTCCTCCCGGCCAGTCCCCGGTCCAATAAACAGGAAAATCTGAGCACTCACATTGAACCACACTTCGCCCACTCGCGAATCGCCATAATACCCACGAGGTCCGTCTGTGTGACAACCGCCGCCTGGCCCAGCCCGATAAGCACAATGATGAACAGCCTGCCCAGCAAGCCCGGAATCACCGCAAACGCCATGAGGGGGAGTATCAGGAGTACCAGCATCAACGGGAGGCCCAGCGCTGCGGACTCCACTGGGCCCGCGCCACCAACGACGCCCGCAGACGATCGCCTGCGGCGGGCTATCGCCAGGAGATCGTTCCTGTGCTCCAAAAAGCGCGACTCGGCCTTGTCGACAGGCGCGTGACGCTCCATCCACGAATGGTACGCCTGGATGTCATCCGCACTTGCGGGGTCTAGTTCCTTCATCATTGTGCTGTATGAGGAAAGCGCCTGATCTAGAAACTTGTTAGCGGGGGGCAAATAGATACACCATGGTTGGCATCGCACTGTATTGGCCCAGTTTCATGTAAATCCTGCCCAAGCAGTCCGTTCGTCGGTAATGCAGTTCTCCGCCGTATCGTGCCTCTACCCGCCGAGATGCAGGCATAATGTGCCCCTCTTCGCCTGGCGGCGTCATCTGCGCAATGCATTCATCCAGATACCTCAGCTCTTCCTCGAGCTCCGAGATCTCGTCTTGCACATGTAAAAGGACGCGGTGATTGAGGTTCTCGAACTTGCGATACATGGGTGTCACTCTCGTTGCTTCTGACGCGTCATCTTTGGGGCGTTCAGATAGCTTATCAGCCAGCAGCTCATACCCTACCAGAGTTGTTTTGGTGAGATCCGGCCCGGTTGGATAGTGTGGCGCTTGTCCATAATGGAAAGGCGGAGGCGGCACAAGCATGCTGTTGGAACCCCCTGGGCTCATTGCATAAGCATTGTCAACGTGGGCTTGTGAGGGTGGGTAAGGGGCTTGTGGGGGTGGATAATAGGCAACTGATGAAGGCTGGGCGGCTGGCGACGACCACGGTGGCACTTGAGGGGCTTGTGGATACATCGAAACTGAGGCGGCGTCATAATGGGCATGAGGGTCGATTAGTGGGAGTGCTGGTCGAGGATGTGGGGAGGGGTCGCCAAAGAATTGGAAGTTAGAATGGGGCTGTGGGCTTTGCAGAACGTGTTGCCGTAGCTCCTCTTCCCGGTCTTTCAGTCGTCGGTGATGGCGGTCATGGGAGCCCGCCCTATGACGTTCTGAAGGTGATGTCGCAGGGGCAACAGGGGGTGGGACTCTCTGCAGCGCGGTCGTGTGAGATGCATCGTGGCCCTCTTCGTCGCTGCCGTCACCGTCGCTCTCTTCGTCGTCTTCGGTTTCTTCCTCTTCATCTTCTTCCTCCTCCTCTTCTAGGTCGTGCACGGACGGCTGGTGAGTATTATGAGCATGCTCAGCTGAATCTGGACTACTGTCCCGCACTGAGATGCCAGAATCACTCCTGAATCGCTCTCGATGGACACCTTCGTCGTGCACTAATTTTCTAGACGACATGGGTGGGGACGTCATTGGTGACTCGATCTCAGGCTCATCAGCATTCGAAGAGTCTACGCCGTCATCGTCGTTATCTGACAACACAGTTGACGCTGAAGACGACGAGGATGACGACGTAGGCCGGTCATCGCTGGCTTGGGGTTGTGCCGAAGTCACATTCGCTTGCATGTATTTAAACACGCTGGGCTCTCCTGAAGACGCGTCCATAGTGTTAGGGGTGGCTGAGGCGGTCTTCGTTTCAATGCGTCGACGTTCCTTGGACAGTCTGCGTTTCGATATGCTAGATCTGTCGTAGGACTTTTGAGTCACGGTTGAGTTGCTCCCACTTGACGTATTAGAAGTGTTTGTGAGATCTGACACAAGCGAGAGCATGGAGGGGTTGGCGAGATTGGAAATTGTATCAGCGCGGCGCTGGAGTATGCTTTGCTTCTGCCGGGCGGCACGACGAGCCACTACACTATCATCTTCGACAGCTCTACTACGACGTGGTATTGCTGTATCCTTGATGCCAGCCGAGGAACTCTTCTGACGTCGCTGTTGGACGTTCTCTTTCCCTTCCAGTATCCGGCTGAGCTTCGGGAGATATCCAGCAATATCCTTTTCCCGCGACTCCGACTCGGATGTAGATGGTCTCGGGGACGTCGATTTGCGCGGAGAGGCCTCTCTGGAGGTCTTGCGAGGGGTGTATCGTCCTTGCTTGTTCTTGTGGGGCTCAGCGTTATCTACATCAGGCCCAATTAGAGATGCTGGGTGTGCGGGTTCCTCTGGGCGGAAATTGCTCTTCAACGAACGTCTCCGGGGTACAGGAGTGGTAGAGTTCGACGCAGTGCTAGTGGAAAGACCGCTGGGGAGGGTGCGAGGGGCCTGTAGGGCTGAAATTTGAGAGCGATTGAGGCCGGGGAAGCCTTCTGTGGAGGCTCTGCGCTCCGTCTGCACGAAGAGGCGCACCAAAGTTAGTAAAACAAATGCACGCGTGGAATCGAAACAGTCGCATGACAAGAAGAAGCCCCGAACGTACCATGCTACGAAGATAAGGCGTTGGGCGTGGGTGCTTTGCTGTCAGTGAATCTGATATTGGCGTCGATGGGCAGCATGGAGGGCACTGCAACTAGCCGGATGGGATGGGTTACACCCCAGGAAGAGAGAGTCGGCGGGGAGGCAAAGTGCGATTGCTTGCATGCTGGAAAGGAGCGTGAACGATATGCAACGTACGCCTTGTGCTACAGGCTGGCTCAGGCGTTCAGGAGACGCAGATCAGGGATGAGGGCTGCTCAGGAGACAGCTGTCAAGCAAGCCACGCGCCAGAGCCCAACGAGGTGACGGCATCAGGGCCACCATTTGGGCTGGGGATGCGGAGAGATATAGGCGACGAACATCTGGCGGCGCGAGAGTGGCAGGACGCAAGACAGCGAAAACCTGTGATCCATCCACAACCGGGCGACGCTGCAGCACCGGGCGGCCTATCATGCGGTGAAGGGTGCGCCGCGGCGATGTGGAACGCGGGAAGATCACCACCCGGCAGCCAATCGCAGAGAAAGTTTATTTGAGGATATTTTTGGAGGGCGAGGCCAGTTGCCCTCACATGTTGATTGTTGATGTTTTCAATCGAACGCGTGTCAGCGTGTACGCAACTGCTCCATCAAGCAACTGGAGTCCGAGGGCTTCGGCAGCTCTGTTGAACGCTCCACGTGCCGATCAATCTCGATTCCACAGTACGAATACGAGGCCCATTCCGAAACCATGCCCAAGCGATAGCCGCGATATTTAACGTCGCTGTTCCGGCAGCACCCTAGTTACAATATCAAAAACCGAACGGTTCTAACCGTTGCGGCGAAAAGAAGGACCTTAACCGCGCTCCACCGCTCACCGCTTCTTGCACCTGCATTGTTCGGTGAGGTTAATCGCAGCGTCGGGGCCAGTGCGATTCAGGTGCAAGCACCGGGGCATTCAGTGCTGGGCTACCCGGGTTGCTGACACCCTCATCTTGAAAGTCCGATGCCCAGAGAACTGATTGGTGGCCTGGAGCGTGGTCCATTGCCCAAAGGGGCTATGTAGACGTCGTTTCACCCCCAGAGCCTGTCAGCAGGCCGATCCTATGAGCTTCCGATCTTGATAAGAATTGGGTTCAGGGCATCTCCAACATATGTGTGTCTGGCTAGCGATTGCCACATTATCTCTTCTAGTCCACGTGGACGATTGTGTCAGGGCCTTCTTCTACATACACCCAATATCGTCCTTTGATATCATGACCCCAATCTAAATGACGTAGCGTAGTCAACCCGCTACCCCAATACCCATCTAACGTTGAGTGTAGTTTCTCTAAAGTCGTGATAGTTGGGGAACTATATGGCACCAGGTCCTCAGAAACGTGAGATGTCGCGCCCAAAAGCCCAATTGAGGAACCTAGCACAGCGTCAGCAAACTCGGAACCCGTTTCAAGCTAGCACCATCACATGAGAACTCACCAGTATATCGGGATCAGCACCTTGTTCCTCCAGCTCACGCTCTTCGTGAGGTACGCACCCCGCCACAGCACCCACGCTGCGCGCCCGGAGACGCTCCCGCCGCCGCCGCCCTGCATGATGGCATTCCAGTTACCAATGTATGCCATGACACCCATGTTCTTCCACGTGAAGCCACCCTTGTCAAAGTCACCCTTGTTGAGCCGTTTGGCAAGCCACTCGGCCTTTTGGGAAGCCACCTGGGCCGTTGCTGGATACGTTGTGTTTTCGATTTTCGCGCAGTCACCAAGAGCAAAAACGTCTTCCATAATTGCTCGCTGCTTGCTTTCGTGGTCACCATCGGGCCCAAGGAGCACGCGTAGCCGGTCGTCGGTGATGACGGCTCCGGTTTTGGGCTCTTTGCTGACGGCCCATTGGAGAGAACCTCGTGATAATTCGGAACCCGGGGTAAGGTACTTGACTCCTGATTCTGGAATAGATGGGATCTTGCCCAATGCCTTTTTTGCAAAGGGGTTGATCATAAGACCAGTACCTGTAGAATGCGTCAGTAATACTGCATCTTGATACAGGCGGCAAAATCCTCACTCCAAACAACCATGCCAACGCCTATGTCTCCCTCTTCTCTGACCCGAAGCGTCCAGCACGGGTACTCGTCTTGGACGTCTTTGGCGGTATTACTGTCCCCCGGAGGCCCTTTCCTGAGCGACTCAACGTGATGAGACGTCTTGATCGCAATGCCCTCCCTCGCGAACACCTTCATGGCATACTTCCCGAGATCTTCGTCAAACATTGGCAATACCTTTTCTGCCACATCATAGACCGTGATCTTATAGAACTCCATCAACTCAGGATATATCCTTGCCAGGTCCTCCTTGATGATGTCGTGTAGCTCCGCTGAGAACTCAATTCCTGTTGGTCCACCGCCCACTATCGCAAAGTTCAGCAGATTCTTCCTCATCGCGTCCGTTGTGGTTGATAGAGCCGCCGTCTCGAAGCATAGCAGTATGCGGTTCCGTATCTTCCGCGCATCTCCAACATCCTTCAAGAACAGCGCGTGCTCCTTGACTCCTGGTGTTCCGAATGTCTGACTGTAGCATCCCACAGTGATGATCAGCTTATCCCATGCCAGGTCGAACGTCTTCCCTTTCTTCGCCTGTTCTGCCTTTCTCACCTCCGGCTGGGTCTCCGCCCGACTTCCAGAGAGCGCGAAGCCCTGAGTCGAGTTATCAGCACTCTCCTCGACCGTAACTTTCTTGTTCTTGAAATCCACCACATCCGCCCATCCTTGGAAGTAATTGACGTTAGATCGCCGACTCCTCACCGGCTCGAGTGCCGTCCTGAACTCGAGCGTTCCGACCGAGGTGGAAGCCAACAGTGGCGTGAAGGCGAAGTATGACCGCGGCGAAACGACAACAGCTTGGTACTTCTTCGGGTTGAGCTGGCGAGCAACCGTGTATCCTGCCCAGCCAGAGCCTAGAATCACGACGCGCTCCCTCTCTGCACGATGTCTTAGCAGCCGCATGGTACCTCGGAATTAGAAGGATCTCTTACGGTCTGAACTTGTATCAAGCTGATTGACTGTTATATCTCGTCGCTGGCTCGGTATCCCACGTGAAAGGCGGGATGCGATCGGCCTCGAGGGCAAGCTTCTGCTGGCTAGGGCGTCAAGCAATCCAGTAGGCAATTGGCCGAGCTGCATACGCGGGCTGGAGGCTTGCATGCTGGTGTTCCTTCTGTCCTGGAGCTATGGGGTTCCTAGGCATTTTTGTTGTTGATATATTTTGCCGCTAAGGCCGCGCTCATCCGCCGCTATTCTAAGCTATGACGTAGGTATTACGCCCGCAGATACCCCATTGAGCGGGGGAAATGGTATTAGTTTGCATACTTCGATGTGAAAATACAGGTATATATCGTTCAGGAGCTTTGCGCTCAGACGGAGGGCGTTCCAATGGTGGTGAAAACACCGGGGGAAAGGAGGAAGGTTGGAGATTCTCAAGCTGCGCCGTCCCGAAAATATCACATGCCACTTCAAGGACTCGTGAACTACATACAACAGAACTGCTAAATAACCACATTATCCAGATGCAGTAGAGCTTGAGAGGTCATTCGCATGAGTCAGCTTGAGCGCTCCGAGTATTTATCTAGCCGGGTTATAATTGAGTGAGGTTGGTCTCAGCCTTGACTTCGTGGTATTCCGTAATCTCCCGTCACCCCGTTCACCCTTGTGAAACTCAGGCGAGTTCAATATAATCAAAAAGAAAAGAATGTACAAGCCAGGCTTTTTCGCTACAATGGCCTTCACCCTATTTCACCCGCAACTACCACTTTAGTTGCGGAGGTCGGAAGTTGGATTCAGAGCAATTGATCCAACTGTAACGAAACGCGGGATCTTATGAAGCAGTATATGTGAAGAGAGCGAAAGCAGTGAGTGGAGAAGAGATTAGATGAGATAGGAGTCTGATGCTAATGTGGTTGTATTAGACGAGCAAGCTCTCTGCACTTATATACATCCCTCCACAATCAAACGGTCGGTCATGAAGGCATACATTTCTTGAAAGCTTCCGTGTTAGGATCTAGTGGACAACTGAAGCTCTATGTTACTGCATTTTGTCACCAACTGTATCGCACTCGAAGCGAGACCTTGGTTTGTTCTTGATGCGGGAATTACTAGAGCGAGGGTAGCTTGAATATTCGTTTCTGTCGTGAATTTTGCCTCAATTTACATGCGCTAACATGCCGAGGATCTCCCAAGCAATCGTACGAGAAACTACTAAAGTAAACATGCTAAGTTTTGACTCGCCGACTCTTCATAGCTTCACTACAACTTTAACAGAGCTGGACTTCTAACCGCTCACCTCGTGCTTCGCCACTTGTGCAGAATGGCGGGGTGGTATCTCCGGAGCTGAAAGACTGGAACTTCTCATGACTGAGCGAAATTTGAGCTTGATGGGAATTCTGTAAAGTACATGGAATGCGGGACCATTCAAAATAAGAAATCAATGGGAGTCAGAAGATCGTTGTATACTGGCCAATTTGCAACTATGTGAGGTCGTTCTCTGATATCACCACGTGATCTCCCGAAATTGCCCGCCACTCATCCATTCATCCTCGTGTGAATTAGGAAATTCGTTAGGCTAAGTAATCCAGAATCTAAGTCGGGTATTATCTGTCGTTTCAGCTCCATCATATGCCAAGCGCCAAGCAAGCCGACTCATAGCAGTGTGTCCCCCAAGGCGCAGCGAACGATTGAGCAACCTGCTCGGACCGTGTCGCTAGCTCCCTTGATATCTAGACTGGGGTTGACTTCTACCAGATCTAGAGCAATGAGAGAGCCCGTCTCGGCAACGCACTCGGCGATGAAGTCGCCTTCACGAAGCGTCAGGCCGCCTCGGACTGGCGTTCCGGTGCTCGGAGCCCACATTGGGTCTATGGCGTCGACGTCGAAGGACAGATGGATGGGCGTATCGCTTCCGATCCAACCAAGTGCCATGTCCATGACTCTACCAATACCATGCCTTTCGACCCGTTAATACAAGGCGTGAGTGGGGTCATAGTTTCAAACAACTTACTTGTCGATATCATGCATCGAGAACGCTTTGATGCCATGCTCCTTTAGGATCTTCTTCTCTCCGCGGTCGATATCCCGGAGCCCAATGTAGACTAGCTTTTTGACGTTGATACGCTGGTCGTCCTGTATCCAACCGAATATATCCTCGTCCTTTTCCGTCGCCAGCCCGGTCAGGAACGCAACCGGCATGCCGTGGATGTTGCCGCTCCCAGAAGTCTCCGGAGTATTGATATCCGCGTGTGCATCCACCCAGATGACAGCTATTTCCTTCCCAAGTCGTTCCCGCGCCGCCTTCGCCGTGCCGGAGACGGTTCCAATGGCAATTGAATGGTCTCCACCCAGCGTCAGTACGAACTTGCCGCTCTTGGCGTGCTCATAGACCTGTTGGCTCAAGGCGCGGGTGACGGCGCTGACAGCTCTCGGCTTCTTCATGTTGCGGTAATCCGGGTCCTCTTTGGGCATGATATCAGTATAGGAGTGGACTTGGCCATCGTAGGTAACGCTGAAATCGAGGTCCTCTTCCAGTTGCTGGATCAGGCCTGCCTCGATGAGGGCCATGGGAGCGGCATCAACACCTGCTTTGGTCTGTCTTTATGTCAGCATTTGCGGTTCTTCGTCGCGGAGATATGTCAAATGCATGCAACAGGCTGCAATTGGCTCGAGTGAGTGAGGGCGACTGACCTGGCCTCCAGAGAAGCCAACCGCAACAAGACCCAAGTCATGGCGACTGGGCAGGAATTTCGGCTGTACCGTGGGTGCTGAAGTCATTGTTGTAGGTATGTAGTGACGTGGAAAGAGGGGTAATAGTGTAGATAAGGATGTCAGAGGGAGGAGACCTAGCCGTAGGACACGGAGTGCGGAAGTCTGTGTGAGGTAGGTGGTAGGCTAAAAGTATCGTCGAAGCGATAAAATCCCGGATTTGGATGCGACTTTTGGCCGGAGGTGAAGGGATGAAGAATTGGAGGGTGAAGAGGGCAGTATTTATGGCCTCCAGAATCTGCCATCTTTACGTAAATCGAGGCCCTTCAGATTTTCTCTACACGCCTGCTCCTGCACTTAGGGGAACAGTGAGGGCAGACTGCGGTACTGCGATCGCTAAAGGCAGGTTGTGCCTGGTGTTTATCTAGGCTCTCACGGGCTGAGACCCCCACTTGGCCCACGCTAGCTATCCCGCAATCGCCTCATCAGTCAGGAGAGAACAGCGGCACTACTATAAAGCTGTATACGGCGTCGCCTCCTCTATAGGCTCTGCTAGCCGTGTAGAGCTGATTCTCGTCTCGTTAAACTTTGCTTAAAAAGCAAGTTATTCCCAAATCTCACTCAAACCACGTACACGGCTCACCACCGCTTCCCGTCGGCTCCCATCACTGCCGTACACCTCCACCGCCTTTCTTCAGAACTATCATTCCCGGGTTTCCCTCAATCGTCACAAGACCAGAAGGATTGATAACGAGAATCCCTGTTTCATCCACTCATACAATGCTCCCCGCCATCCGCCTCACAGCGTCCAAACCTCCCTCGCGCAGTCACACCCTACATCTCCTCTGCCACGTGAAGCCCGGAGCTGCATCTAAGCGTGAAGGAGTTTCTGCTGTAACCGCATCCGGTATTGAGCTGTGCGTGGCAGCGCGGGCGCGAGAGGGCGAGGCCAACCGCGCTGTAAGAGCGCTGATCGCTGAGGTGAGTCGTAGTCCACTATTAGGCGCAATAGAATTTCTCGTCATGGCCAGGGACCGTCCAAGGACTGTTAGTAATGACAAAAGTTGGGCGTGCTTTATTATTCCGAGAAGGTTTTCTGAAGTAATTGTTGGAAGGGTTCTAGGCGTAAAAAAAGGTAAGCCACTCTAACGCGTGGTAGGTCCTCCATGTACCCAAATCAGACGTAGAGATTGCAAAAGGGATGAAATCGCGCGAAAAGACAGTCGTTGTATCAAACATAACCATCGTCAAGAGCAGCATAGAGGAGACCATTGAGGGCATAAGGATTAAAATTGAGCAAAGCGTGAGTACTTGACACTAGCGTTCAGTGACCTCTCTCGTTCAAACTTCTGCCATCACCCCCTTCATTATCGAATGATACAACTGCCATCCACTTCGAATCTGCCCTATCTCTTTGCAGCTAGCATTCCTCCACTCCTCAAAGCATCCTTCGCCCCGTTCAGGTGTACTGCCAAGCGCCCACCTCGGTGGTGTTGAGGGTCGCCGCGGTGAACCCCAAGCATGCAGGGTCGTAAACGATGTCCGGCAAGAGGCCAAAGACCTGGTACCCCTTCCCCTCGACAGGGCATGCGACCAAACCACCCTCGAAGCTCAAGGTTCCGTAATTCGGACTGTCCTCGACGCGGCTCCAGCCTATCTGAGTCGAGCCGGCGGGGATGTTGGCAGAATGGGCCTGCGTGAAAGACATGGCACCATCCGGGCCAATGTACACTGCCCAAGCGTGTTAGCGTACTTACGCGGTTGGTGGATTGGTAGTATGAGCTTACCCGTTTGTCCCCCCGGAACTTCAACGTACAGACTGAGAGTGGGCGAGGAGTAATCGCTAGAGAAGACAGTCTCGTCCCCCGCCGGACATTCCGAAGGGTCCAGAGGGCAGTACGATGAAGTTGGCGGTCCTGCCAAGTAGAACTTCTGTCCGGATGCGGCGAGGTTGGAGAAGTGGATCGGGGAAGCGGACCTCAGAGCCATCACGGTAAAGGGCTGAATTTGGGCGAGGGCGGTGGCCACGAAAGTGGAGATGGTGAGAGCGCCCTTCATGGTGATGCTGGGTTCGAGGTGGATTGATGGATGTGGGTCGATGAAGAATGACGCGGACTGATTGATGAAGAATGGGTTGGCTGGATCTGGGAGCGAGAAGGCAGAGGAAACCTTTATGTACTCGTCTTGACCCGGAAGTAGCGAGCTTGAATTGAGACTGCTTTGTTTACTCCCCTTCTCATCGGCCCTTTCTCTTTATATATCTAACCAATTGCCCGGCCCCTGTCGATGTCAGGATTGGCGTGGAGGTCACAGGGTGATCATCGCGACGGCCAAATTTTGGGGAACGGATCGGACCACCCCCAACGACGTCAATCACCAGTTGCACTTGACCGCCTGCTTCTCTCGAGAGCCGAGATGAGGCTCGGGGAGGGGCAGGTCTGTGTGTAGCCGTGGTCGTGCGCCATTCGGTCCGCGTAGTGTCTGTGTACAAGCATTTGCCACTGTTTAGTTGCTTCAACACCCTAAAAAAGTGTCAAGGAGTGACTAGTAACTACAACATCGTTCCTTCCCAGTTGTGAACTTCGCGGCCTGGGGTGGCTAGCAAGCCCGCAGATCATTCAATATGACGGATTCGTATCTTATATAGATGTCAGTCGTGTGCGGAGCACTCTGGACGAAGAGTCTCCATAAGTTGATGCCCTGATAATTAATCACCTCACTCACGATCTCGTCCAAACTTCGAAGACTAGTGAAGGCATTCCAAGAAGCAGCAGACAAGTGTACCGTGGAGTGTGCAATCATAGCGGATTTTGCCTTGCCACAATTGTCCTCGTGGTCCACATGTAACGAGAATTCGGAGTGAAGCCGGCGATTCACAATGTTGCATCGTGAGGAACCATAGACGTCAGTGCGTAGGCACAGGGGCCACCTGCATCACATTCCTCTTTGGACTGGTGAGTGGGTAGCGCACAAGCCCACTGGCAGCTCAACGGTTGTCGATCGGGAACTGCTAGGGTATTGCATGTTACTTGACGAGGCTGATTTAGGCATGGATTTGAACGTACCTACTCCAATGTCTCCTTGGAGGTGATGCAGCGCGACTGTCAATAACATTGCCCCGCGCAGTTGTCGCAGAGGCTTCATTTACGGTTTCAGGTCATGAACTCCCGGCACTTCCCCGCCGTACGCACAAAAGAGAGGATACCATTCGGACCCTTCACAGCCCCTGGGAAAGTTGGTCATGAGGCTTGGAGAAAAAGTACAGTGGTGGTAGAAAAGAATAGAACAACCATCCATCGGGTCCGGCATTCCTCGTACTTTTTCGGAATCGATAGCTCGGTAGAGCCATATCGAGCTATATGCAGCTTCGGTATTGGACATATCCAGGCTGATTCGTGGCGATGCTGCAAGGGTTTTGACCATCTCGAATGCATTGGCCAGTCACAGCCCGGAGCTGCCGGGCCGTCGCCGTTGTGACGTGACGGTTGTGGCTCTTTAAGCTTAAAACAGGTACTATTAATAGACTCCCCTTCGTTGCTCGTGTCCACGTTCACGATACCGGTGCGCAGGAGTTATGTCGCCTTCCCCGTTCTGCAGTAATCAGTGAGCGAGATGACAGCTGATACGTGACGTCTGTGAAACAAAGATAATAGCCAGCAAAGTGATAGGATATACAGAATCGATTTGATAATGGAAAATGACCTTTGGGTCACCTTCTGAACCCTCGCGATACTTCTACGTACCGAGGCAGGATTCAGCAAAGGGTGGTTATATCCCAAGGCCTAATTACTTAGTTCTCGCATAGTTGATCGATCCAGCCTCGGAATACCGCTTGCTCTAAATACAACCGTTGCGCCTCATTTCCAAAAAGTCCACTGGATACTGGGGTCTCGCGATCATCGTGTTATGTCGACAAGAATCCAATGGTCCAACTGATATGCGACTCTTGTACAATTGCAACGGCCACAGCCACCACTAGCATTGTACCATATGCTGTAAGCTGAGCACAAAAGCTAATCGCTAAGAGCTGTCCTTGTGGCAATCACATCCACAAGCACAACTTCCCGCTAGCTGTCCCAGCGGCAACCCAGTCTTGCGATGGATGGAATTTGGCCACGGCCGGCACCGCCGTGATGCCCTCGCCTCCCAGCTGCGCAAGCTGTTCGCCTTTACTCGTGTAGATGTCCACGAAGCGGTTCATGTTCCCAATGCAGAAGCGTTGGATTCCGTCCTGGGGTTGTAGTTGCCATTGTGCACGCAGACTGTTACAAGCATGTTAGCAATAAGTTTCGTGTTACCGAACATTTGAACTATAATCCTGCGTTTCAGGAAAGCAAAGCTTACATAGTAACCCATCTTCCGGTTTGGTTGTTATGCGGTATAATCGTGGCCGGTTCCATTTCGTCGTCGGTCAGAGTCGTCCCAGCCTTCCAGTCACCGCAGCCACTGAAGTCGTGGATCTTGACGGTGTCATCGTACGAAGCCGTAGCCACCTGACCTGCAGAATTCCATGCGGCGTGTGAGACAGAAAGCCTGCTTTCGTGTTCACCAACCAGCGCTGGTAGCCGCAATTCGCCCTTCCCGCTGATCTTCCGCAGGTCCCATATCTTCATCGTGCGATCCAAGGATGCTGTCGCCACGAGGTGCGCTTGCTGTGGGTGTAGAGAGAAACCTCCAATCTTCTTTTCCGACAATTGAAATATCTCCAACCCTGCAGACTTTTGTGGCGACGTCCGCATATCGCACATACCGAATGTACCTCCTAGGGTTGAGAAATATAGCATATTGGGATCCTTTGATGCGATTTCGACACCTGAAAGGGGGTCGTCGTCGCCCTTGTCTACCGGTGCATACACTTCCACAGCTACCCCCTTTGCCAGATCCAGTTTTCGAATCGAGGAATCGTATGAAGCCGAGTATAGCGCGTTCGCATCCGATGGACTGAACTGAAACGTGCAGATTGTCCGTGTATGAAGCTTGAATGTAGTGATCGCGGGCCCTTCCTTTTCGTCCTCTTCTTCGTCATCCTCTTGCTTCACCTCGGAAGCTTTTTGTGAGCAGTCGCAGATTCCCAAATTCCCCAACTTGTCTCCAGCAAACACCAGCGGCTTATCCGCCGTCGGGTGGAATCCCATTGAGTAGATACGCTCCGGCGTGATCTTGATCTCATTGGGCTCATAATCTTCCCAAAGCTCCAGCCCACTCATTTTCTCTCTTAATGCTTTCAACTCTTTATCACTCGTCTCCTTAACATCATTCGCGTTGAAAGTCCGTTCATACGGTTTCGTCTCCCTAACATTCCGTAGAAAGTTGCCCCCCTGATCCCAGCTCCGCCCTGCAACCACAATATCGCTGAGATTCAGGTCTCCACTAACACGCTGCCGTTTCGCACGTTCCGCTTCCTTGAACGCATCATGTTCGTCTTCCGCCTTGCGCTTCGCCACTTCACTATCGGCGACTATTCCACGCAGACGCGACGATGTGCGACGCGGGCCAGTGTCCTCTTCCTTGATCTTTTTAGGCGCGGGTTTCTTCGACTTGGCCTTAGCCTTGGCCGCGGCTTTTGAGGAGGGAGCAATGCCAGCTTGAGCGGCTTCGAGTTCGAGGGTACGGAGGAGTGCTTGGGTTTTGGCTATGTTTTCTTGACGCTTTTGCTCATATTCGCTGAGCTCGACTTTGGGACCGCGCGCCATGGTGGAGGAAGGGTGATGGGTATTCCTATAGATTAGAGCGACAAGAGCAATCACTGTTGCGCGCAGTTTCTGTAGACGTGGGTTGGAATAGCCGGACCGTAAGTGTGTCCGACAACGAGAAAGGAGGTTGGTGAAGTCTATGGGTCATTGTGGCGTCCGACGCGTTAAAAAACGCGAAGCGGGTTGGAAGTCACGTGGGTCAGATTAAGTGGCACGACGATCGCGACATCACTCTCCACATTCACGTCGAAAGTGAACATGATGCATGAAGAATTTCCGTCACTCACAGTCGTCACTTTCAATCAGAGTCAAAAGAAGCCAGATAAACATATTGAAACCTGACTACATCTCTCTATACTCTCTCTCTCTCTCTCTCTCTCTCTCTAGGTACAAATTAATTCAATCTCAATCACACACCCGAATCTTCCTCTTCCACTCCCGACACCGCAGTGTACGTCTCCCATGCCGCACAAGTCGAATTAAGAGTATCGTAGTCCACCAAAGCAGAAATCTCGGTCGAGCGCTCTACGAATTGCAACGCAAGACCTTCAGAGGTATGCCAGCCAATGTGGCAGTGCATAAGCCTGTATATCATGTCAAAAGCGATACCAGTGACTTAGTAAAAAGAACTCACCAAACTCCTGGGTTGTCTGTCAAAAAGGCAATTACCAGATACCCGCTCGTCGGCAGAGTCGCCACGTCTCTGCGAGGCGGATTGTCCGTATTCAGCGTGACGGAGTCACTGTAGGTTTCAAATTCGCCACTAGCGAGGATAAAAAAGTCGTGGCCTATATCAGAAACTCCATATCAGCATCTTCTTCGTCTGAAGCTAAGTGGGAACTTACCATGCAAGTGGATTGGATGTGGTACAGGAATAGTGGTCTCAATGACCCAGTAAACCCACTGCTCGCTAGTGCTCAGATTGTACACGCATTCCTCGTCGCTCCAACTTGTCTCCCCATTATACACTTGTAAGATGGTCGGGTCCGCCCACTCGACGGCAAAGCTATCGGTGCCAATCTGCCAACGGAAGAGGTTGTTCGCGTTCTTCCCAACTGCAACAGTGAGGTCGTCGCCGGTGGGACTGACGACAGTTTGTGAGAGGAATGGCACGAGATCAGAGACGTCTTCATCAATACAGTCGTCAGTGTAATCGTAGGCAGTGGAGGTCGGGTCGTCGGTGGAGCTGGAATCGTAGCGAATGATAGCTCTTATGTTGTCGCTGTCGTCATTATTGCTGCACTCGGACTGCGGAATGGCTCGCATCCAGTAATTGGCAGTGTCTTGGTCGGCCGTGACGATGACATCGTAGCGTTGTCCTGTAAGCTTTTAGCGATTGTTTTTCTATACTCTAAGGTGCGCTGCGTAAAGCTCACCCATGGTAATGTCTAATACGTCCGTGGCGTAAGGAACGATAGGAACAAAATCTGCTGCTATGACAGTCATGGTGTGATTATCGATGGAAAATTTGAAATGAGTGTCGATTGCGCCATTGACGACGCGAAGGAGATAGCTGGTCCCGGATTCGAAGGTTCCCTCAAAGCGAGTACCGCTACCATTGTAAGCGTTCAGTCCATTGATGAGGCCCGTGGTCATCAGTGGTGGGCCGGAAACTTGAGCGTAGGTGTACAAGGCATCGACAGTGTCGTGACTCCAGTCGCTTAGGACCACGGCGCCGAAGTCATCATCGTAATCTCCAGTGGCAGGTCCGTGGATAACGATAGGGCCTGTTCTTGTTAGACTGGATGGCTTCGAAGGGATGAAGCATCGAATGTTCTTACCGTAGACTCCCTCCCACGCCTGAAGCGAAAAGTGGGAGTGATACCAAGATGTCCCGTACTGGGTTGCTTTCCATGTGTAGCTCATGGATTCGCCGGGCTGTTGACTAGGATTAGTAAAACCCAACTCAAGCGTAAGAGAACTTACAGCAATCGGACACTGAGTAATGCTAGGGACACCATCGTTCATATTCGTGTAGTTCTGGCGAACGCCGTGCCAGTGAATGCCGGTGCCGTTGTTTGCAAGGCTATTAGTCACGTGAATTACTACGGTGTCTCCCTAGGTCCAAGTTAATGGCGGTCTGGCTATGTGTATTAAGGGGATAGCATACCCAGTTGGCTTCTATTGTGGGGCCCGGAACAGTCCCATTGACAGCCAGAACGATTCTTTCGAACCCATCCGGAGCTAGCGTAGTGTTCGTAACTTCCAGCCAGTACTGCGTGAATTAGCCACCACGATCTGTGTGTACGATCTGTGTGTTCCAATCTTCCGAACACTCATACCTCGACCGTGACCCCGGTTGTGGGTCCATCAGTATAATAGTTGGTGCTCGTATCATAATCGCACCAAACACTCCGGTCACTAGCCGTATTTCCATCGCACGTTGCGACAGCTGCTGAAGCTGTAGAGACCGCAGTTGCTGCTTGAGGGGCAGGGATGGCTGATGCGACGGCAATGAAAAGACCAAATAAAGGGAGGGTAATCATTGTGAGCTAGGGTGGTCCCTTGAACGGGAGAGAATAGATTGAAAAGGGTGAGCAAATCAAGGCCAAGTCTAACGAACAAGAATCGAAATTATGACAAGAGAACGAGGCCAAAGTATGTGAACTCGTGTGGTCTTGAAATTGAAGTTCTGCACGAAGGCCTATAAACTCTTTAATCTGGTCGTCCCCTTTCGGTATCACGCTCTCACAAGCTTCTGCTCTTGCACATCAATTTCCAAAAGCGTTATCCCGGCTGATTGAGGCTGTGATTGACACATAGCCTGCGCGCAACAATGTTTCATACCAGCCCTTGACGTGGACGTGGCGCAAGCGACTTTCCGTAAAGTATCTTGATATAGATAGGCGTTTACATGGTAATGCGTGGATACATGAAAAATCAATAGCGGTTGGCCCAAATCGGAATCGTCTTCCCACCAGAAATAGCTATGGGTACGCATTTGAACCTGTCCCTCGGGTCTATGCATGTTGTTGACTTGTAGGGAGTTCGTAAGCGCTTGCGGAGACCGGACTCCCTGCATCAAAGAGCCAGGGTGGAGTAATCTTGACTTCTAGAGACTGGGTCTCATGAATCGTGTGTAGATCTAAGCAAATTTGGGACCGTAAACCTCTGATTTTAGAAAAATTCGGGCGAAACATCAGTGACGGAAGCTTAATAGACGATGTACTCGGGGGAGAGAAGGAACGAGAAGAACGAAGCTGTTCCATTAGAATAATCCCCACACATAACAATAGAGATGACTTGAAAGATAGAAATATGTTGAGTAATGCTAGACGTTTTTTAGAGAAACGCCCTTTGGAAGCAAGCGTTTTGATCCTTGGCTGACCAGGGCTACGACGCCGTGACGACAAAACCCCCGAGTCGAACCAGTGACACTGTACCGGCTCCCAATGAGCTTGCGTGCCTTTTGGTGGGGTTTATGAGGAAGTACATCCTAAAGACACTGGTGACCGCAAGCGAGAACTATGTAATCTTGGCGCCATTGCCTATTGATGCCCTCCCTGCAGGTGAAGTCACGTCGACACTCACACAAGTGTACGTAACTACGCTTGCTCAAGCTATTGTTTCATCCAAGACAGTGCCCTCGGGAGCCACGGGGACCATGGAAAAGGCGTTAGGGGCTCTGGAGGAGAAGCGTGGAGATGGGCGGTACGAGCCGAGAACGCGGCAGATACCCGGTCTATATCGGGGTTAGTATTGGCCTTAGTGGACATCTCGAGGGAAACCACAAGAAGAAACGAGCCCAAGACATGGTGGGTAGGGATGCAAAAGGCTCGGAGGACGCGTGTGGTTGATGAGGCTGTCGCTAGTGAATGTGAACGGGCCTCTCCCGAAGCCGAGACGCGAGATCTACCTCCGATCCAGCGGCCATCAAGCCCAAACCAAGCACCTTTGCCGACGAGTTGCGTCGCCCTAGTCACATAAACACCAACAGGTGGTACGACGACTCGTTGTTTCAATGCTTCTCTTGCCAAGCTCCGCCATGCCACGCGTCCACAGCTGCCAGCCTTGTGGAGCAACTTTGTTCATGCAGGAACAGAGGTTTAGGGAAACCTCCCCAATCCTCCTATCTGATCTTGATCATTGGCCGAAATGACCCACCTAGGGCCACATAATGAGTGACGTTGCACACTGACCCTTGATAGTAGTTCAGAGTAAAGCGGACGAGATTGAAGACATCTCAGCCGGACGAGGGCCCAGGAAGGATCCCGGCCGCTTTGTGGTAGTCGTCAGCGCTTCCGCATAGAGACATACAGGGGAAGTAGAAGAGCATTATAGCCGTTGTAGAAAGGTCTGCTGGTTGGCATTGAAACTTCAGCTGTATATCAAATACTGAGGGCGCCCTGCGAGCACAAAGCTATCTACACTTCTTACATTCTCTATCTCTCTTCTCTTTCACACTTCAGCTTAGTGCTTCATCCAATGCTTCTCATTCATATCATATCTTTCATGGTCTGCGCTGGCTTGCTGGCGTCGGCATCGACACTTAAACTTCGGGCTGATGATGCCTCTCATACTTTCAGCCTCTACGCGTATGGAACCGATATCACTCCAGGACTTCCACTCTTTTACGGCGACGGTACGTTCTGTAGCCCTTAGCACACAAAAAGGACCAGCCCTTACCTCGACGCCGACTAGGCAAAGCATATATCGGAACTTCCACCCCCTCATGGTTGTCCGAAGGCGTAAACATAACCCGTAAGCCCCTTTCCCAACTCTCAGCCGCCCCAGCTGCATCCATCTAATACCTCCAGTAACCTCCACGGACGACGACACCACGTTCGTCGCCGCTCCCTCTTCCAGCTCCACAAACTGGACCACCACTCCAATGATGTACATCGACACCACCTCCGACGCCTTCCAGCCCGTCGGCTTCACTTCCACCAATTCCTCCCTGTCTGACGGGCAGGTGACCAGCGGCTTCGGGCTCTACGGCGGTTGGGCGATGCACCTCGCCGACGACGGCACTGTGGAGATGGGCTTTTACGCTGTCGAAACGAACGTAACAGATGTCTATGAGGTACTGTGGAACGCAGCCACTGCGACGCCAACGACGGGCACGGCGATTGCGCTACGGACTATAGCGCCGGCTGTGGTGTCTTAAGTGTATTTTGAATTGTACTGTAGCTTAGGGGAGAATTGGTTGTGGATTCGGGTTGTTGTGACGGACGGAGAGTTCTTGGTTCCGTATGCTGCAGTTAAGATTGCAACGCACTGTTGGTTAGAGCGGGCCTGGGCGCAATTCGTCGAGCTTTTGACTGGGAACGTAAGCGCATATAATCAATGCTATTCAGCTTTATATGCAATCAGAGCTTAGTGTGAGATCCTGGAAAGAATCGGATTTGCGACCTCGGGATATTTACATCTTCTCTGGATTGGAAAAGATATTCGGAGACTTCAAGAAATGATAAATACGCCTACCCTTACGTTGTAAAGCGTAGCGTGCCCTACCGCTTGCAATATTTGGAATCCCGAAATGTAAACGAAATGACTGATATAAGAATCGGGGTTTTGCAGCTCACTCGCTTAACATTTTCTTCACATGCTCTAGGGGTTATGTTATCGTTGAATGCCTGTTTGTGCAGATTGTAAAGAGGATGTTTGGTTAGATGCCTGGCTATATTGTGCGTAAACGATGTATAGCTACTAAGCCAGACCGACCCAAGGGGAGCCCACGTGACCAATCTCTATCCAATCTTCCTGTTGAAGCTTAACCAGGTGCAAGATCTTCTAAGACATAGGGAGCTGTCGGTAGATCAAAATAGCTCTAAGACCGGGAAGAAGCACATGAGACATGTGATATTTGCGATAGCCAGGTAGATAGTTATGAGTCATTAGAACGTAGTAGGAGATGCACTGGAAGGAGATGGCTGAAGATGATACACGTGGATGAGATGATTTAAGGAAAGGGGGAAAATAATCAAATTACGCATTGTCAAAACGCATATTCTACCAAATATCAGATCCAAAATGAACACCATGCTAAGTATCAATCAATGTATACCCAATAAAAAGCATAACGTGTGTGCTGGACCTCAGACTATGCTCCAGGCCCAAAAGTCTCCTGGGTCCCCAGCCGCTTCCCTTCCGGCGTCATGCCAAATTTCACTATCGTCTCTTCTGCCGAATACTTCATGTCGGCTTGCCTCGGGTTCTCATCCAGCATTTGGCGATCGTGAACTGGTAGTCCGTGGTACAAGAAGGGCAGAACTGACGTTTTCAATACTTCGTCCCTCCGACACATCCATACTGTCATGACCAGGAACACGACACATCCGGCGACAACAAAATGGTTGAGAGACAAATAGGCGTAGCGCATTTTGAAGAAGCTCTGCAACTCGAAGACCGTGCCGTGTCCAGAAAGACGTCCATCACCATCAGCAAAACCGGCAGGGACTCTTAGCGCCATGGCCCGATTCATCATACCAGCGAGGTACGCGCCAGTCGCAAGGAACGTCTCAGCAGGGGCCAATTGGGAGGCATACCGTATGAGCGCTTGGTATTGGCTGTTGACGAAGAATGTTTGGAAATGCGTGTTGTTGCCATAGCTGTCCGTTACGTTAAATAAAGAACCAACGATTCCTTCCGAGCTGTGGATTAACCACTTCTGGAGAGCGAATTGCGCCTTTGCATCGACCTGATACAGGCAGTTCGGGTCGGTGGAACTGTCGAGCTTTGTTCCATTCACGTAACAGGGTTCCGGCCGAATGTAGATGTCGTTCGTCTGGCCGTAGGCGGTCCTTGCTTCCGCAGAAGTATTCTTGAACGTTGTGAGATCCGGTGTCGCCCAAAGTTCCCCTCTTGTAACGTTTGTTGTACTATATGTGGTAACCGCCCAGACCAGGACACACTGTACTGCCGATGGTTTGTAATCGTTATACGCGTCGACGTATATAGCTTGGTAGTTGAGGATCAATTGACCCATATTCTTCCAATCGAAAAACTCGTTTGATGAATACAGGGCCGTTGCGGAAGTGTTGAGAATTCCACCGTTCTTGATGAGCATAAGACCCTCCGGTAACTTAAGATATGCATCGTCGCTTGTGTCTAGCACAGAAGATATGTCCCTGCAATCTCCATCGACTTCCAAAGACTGGTACGGTGCATATGTACAGTTGCTCGAGAAGCAACTGAAAGGAAGTGGGGGCAAATAGGGCAGGTCGCTCGAGGTGTAGGAAAGGCCAAAGTTCATAGCTCCGATCATATCAGCCGCTGGGAACGACGATGTACCGTTTGTATTATATGTGAACACTGAGTCATAGACTACGTTTCGCGGAATGGTGGCGTTATTTTTGACTGGTTGGAGTCGTGGCTCAATGTTAATTACGTTCTGTGCGAGCGTGTCCATGACTAAAGCAGAGACCGTGACGAGAGCTCCAAAAGAAGCAAAATGCCTGTCGCAGCAATTCAGTGTTAGTAGATATATTCTGTAAAATTGGCCGGCAGTACAAAACTTCAGACAAGTACCTAAAGACTAAGGGTAGATAATAAGTAGATAGATAGGCAAACATACCAGAAGTTGAGATAAACCAGAAGACGCGCTGAGCCTATAGTACCCCTACTGGCTTCGTCGAAGGCTTATGGTCGAAAAGGGTCAGGAGATAGTCATTTGAGAGCGCGTGAGGGGTGACTTACCCTCCATTTCCGACAACTTTTGGTAGTTCCAGAAGCGGTGCCATTTCAACTGACCAATGCAGGCGGCTATGGGTATGAGGGAAGCTGCTTTGGTGATCGTGACCAGTATGGCGACCTCGGAGTTCAGACTCCAATGATTATGATACAACTGGACGTTGGTGTTGTTGTAGTGATGAAGGAGAAGAATAGTGACGAGATGAAGCACAACCGCGACTACGCATGCTGCGACCTCATACACCCAAAAGTTCGCAAAAATATAAGTCTTCTTGTATGCAAGCCTCTTCTGATGACCACCAGCACGCTCTTGTCGCTTGCGGCCGGAAGGGTCTGGAGATGTGAAATAACCCGTCGCGGTTGAGGTGTGTGGGGTTTTGCTATCCCCCAAGTCGACGTCCTGCGTTGGGGAGATGTAGTCCGTTGGGGCATAAGGAGCAGCAGGTACGCTGGAATATTGTGCCATAGTGTCCAAATACTGCAAAACGAGAGAGATGAGGGGCGAAAGCGGGATGTAACAAGCCAGGAGGGCGACTGGTTATGTACTTCAGCCAGGGTGCAAGTACCCATGTAGTGCACTCCCGGGAAAGAAGCTTTCAGCCCTGGCGATGCCATGATTTGAGATTGGACACCGGAAATAGGAATAGGACTGAATCACCGTGCTGAGAACGGACAAGGGTTCGCAGAACGGACTTGATGATGGGGTGAGGGGATTCCTACATGAGGCTGATGGCCGAGCTTAGCGCGTGGAGTTGCATAGGGCGATCGAATGCTGACGCCAAGCACCCAGAAGCAGAAAAAGCTTAAAGTTGGGTCCCGCCGAGACGGTATCTGGGCCAGTAGCATCAATTGTAGACCTGACAGTTTTCTCCTGAGGACGGCTGCCGATCCCGGTACTTGGTCGTTGGTGGACTAGCGGGTGTCTTTGTGGACGCCAGAGCCGGGATGAAACGCGCCTGCATGAGGGGTGCGTCGGTGGCGGTGTCACTCAAGCCCCTGCCAAGTCAGCGTTTCTTCCCAAGTGCTGCCCTTGAACCTGGACGAGTCGAGTGCCTCGTCGTCCATGAATCGGACGCATGCTGCAGATAAGAGATGTTAGCCAACTTGACGAGGTGTGTATCATGGGATTCAACGTCTACAGTCCCGTTATGACGAGGAGTGATGATGCGATGGCGCAGTCCTGAATGGGGGCCACAAGGGAATTATTTGTTTGAGGGTGCTCGGCTGGGTGTTGGAGATTCAAAAATAGCCCAGCAAGGATCTAGATAGCTGAAGCCTGGACGCAGGGGTTCCCCATGGACAACGGCAACACTAACCTGCTTGTGTTACTGAATCATAGAAATGAGGATGTTGTTGAAATCCACTACTGACGTCTTGTCAGATTACACATGTACAGGGGCCATAATCGTGCATGATCTATCCGACGACGATGAAGCTGCCGATTGCTGGAGCCGCGCCGGCCTTTTATGACAGCAATTGCGACCACGCGACCAGGGCACTTACCTCTGCCATCGCTCCATAACCGGGCTCCCATTCATCACCTAGACCGAAGGCAAAATCAGAAATAGGATATTAGCTGTCGTAAGTCTTCCGTCATTAGAGGAAGTAGAGTATTACGTACCACCCCAAAAGCAAGCCAGGCCATAGCCCACGACTATTGTACGGACATCCAATGCTGATCATCCCTATCAACAGCATGAACGCGTACATGAGGTTCTGCTCCGTTTATGACTGGAATGGAATGACATGATATTCTCTAGCTCGAGCTTCGCCCTGTGTTCAAATCGCTTGGTTCTGAGCGAAGCTTGCGTTATCTGGTAAGGATCTGGGCCTGAAGAAGCGCTTAACGATCGGAGCGGATTGCATGATAGCAGAAGGATGGTGATTTTCGTAATCCTTCAAGAGTCCTCAGGATCACGTAACGATCCGGGCATCCTACATACCCTGGGTTCGGCTGGTAATGAAAATGACCTGAAGGTGGACAAGAACTTGTTCATGTGTATCAAAAGAGAACTCAAGATGACTCTAGACTTCTTTCACAATTCGAGACTCTTATGCTAGCCTCGTCTTCCTTTGCGAGCCATCCAACACTTCCACTAAAGTATGCTCTGGACGGACGCCGCGTTTCATCTATAATGGAGTTTGTCAACGACATAAAGCGCGTTGCAATTCGGACCACACAAGTTTCCGAGGAAGTTGACGAGTAACATGACGGCGTATGGAGTTACCGTCAACCCAAATGCAGCGTAGCCGTATCGTTCGATCCAGTCTACTCGTGAGCGATATGGCGTCGAAATGGGATCATCTTGGCCAAGTCGACCGCACTGTTCGGAATCTTCTCTCCAACTTCTGGCTCCCACTGACGAGGACGTAGTACAATGCCTCGTCATAGAAATCCCTACACTCGTTCGCCGCTGCGTGAGGAGCCTCATAGTATTTTCAGCATTCCAAACAAGAGAGAAGTTCGGCACTTTGGATGACTAGTAAACTTGCGAGGCTACCTCAGACAGCGTCAACAGGGTGTACGCAGATTAGAAGCGTATTCGCTGTCCCCGGTTTCTCGTAGTACGGTTGAAACTCCACAGACAGTGGCAGGACAGTGTACGGATATCTGTGACAAGGCACTATAGCACGCAAAGAGCCCCAGACCCTGCAGCCTTTTCTAAGTCAGATATGGCAACGACGGTACTGCACATTAGAGCTTCGATGCCCAGGAAAGATCACACATTGTAGGAACTCGAGACATCTTAAAGACAGTAACGGCGAAGAAAAAGGGGAGTTCTCCCACCCTTATCAGAACCGTTACGTTACAAGCGACGTATTTGAAGAGAAAGAATGCTGCAAGATCACTCCATTCGGTAGTCGTGCATATCAGATTAGGGTTGCCATAATTCGAAGACCCTTCTAGCAGTGTACGTGATATGATTTGGAGCGCCGCTGCAGTCGCTGAAGTGGCGAAGAGAGGGACAAGATGAAGGAGGGGGAAATATTGGGCAAATCAACGCGTTTGATCTGGCATGATGATGTTTCTTGAAGGGAAGTGAGGACGAAATAAGAAAACTCCGTGGCTCGTATTCAAATCTGAGGTTGATTCTGCCTTGTCGACAGACGTCACCTCCGCACTTTTAACTGACAGCGCTCGTACCATCAGATTCCTCTGTACATATGTCTCCCGCAATATAAAGCGCTTCAGTATATCTTAGCAAGTCTGAATGAAATAGACATACTACTAACATCCAAGGTCGTAGATGAGTTTGTGTGTTGGTGATCGGTGGGCGCCCTGCAGACGCCACTCCCCGCCTTCGTATTCCATCATGCCCAAGTACCCTAGCACGTGCCTAGGTAACCATTGAACCACCACTCGTTCAGCCAAGCATCAATAAGACCTTTCAAAAGATGAAGAAGTCCAGATAATGCTTACAGGCATCCCCAAGCCAAGGATGAAAGCATAACTCGGCCTTACTAAGCCCTACGTTTTAAGTAGTTCCCGAAACGGAACGTTACGCAACGCTTTAACGCTTAGCCACACACTTCGTGTCTGGGCGTCCACGAGGCTCTTTCATCCTGCGATCCCGCCGTCTCTATTGCCACCCACTCACTCCCAACAGTGCTCCTTCACTCTTTCAACTATACTTACAAACTTTAATAAACGAGACCTTTTTCTCACAACTTCAACTTTCTCAAAGCGCGCGCATTACCACCAAACCTCAAACTACCCCCGCAAACGTCCACCCCAAACTCTCACTCACAATGTCCTCCCAGAAATACGTACGACGCCTCCAATCTATCCCAACAATAGGAAAACTAAAATCCCCAGGAACCCCCCCAAAGCCCACCTCCAGGCTACATTCAAGCCCCACCCGCCGCCTACCACGACCCCAACTACAGCGGCTCCCCCGCGCCGCAACAAGGATACTACCAGTCGCCTCCACCAGGGAACGCAGACTACTACGGCGGCCAACCACAATACGGGCCACCGCAGGGACCGTACGGGCCGCAGTACGGGCAGCAGTACCCTCCACCACAAGTATGCGCAATCAAAACTTCTTCACCGGTATGGCGATGGTGGAACATTGGCTGATATTAGTCGCAGGGCATGTATTACCAACAAGGGCCGCCGGGGGGTTATTACGATGATCGGGGAAGAGGTGGAGGAGGCGTTGGGGAAGGGCTCTTGGGCGGGCTACTGGCTGCGATTGCGTGCTGTTGTTGCCTGGACTGCTTGTTCTAAGGGCACAAGTTTTGGCCACAGCCCGACGAGTTCCTGCACGAACACTTTCTTCTCCCCGAAAACCACCCTCTGCATCCTGTCCGCGGCGCCTGGCGGCCGTTCGAGTTTGGGCCACGCAATTGTCTCGGCCAGACGCTATCGATGCTAGATCTCAGGGTCACGCTGTTGATGGTGGTGGGGAGTGGCAACAGTTAGGGGACGAGATGCTGTAATGGAATATGCCTGCAGGACAGGCTGAGGGAATAGTGCCCAGGACTCTGGGCTGCGCTCAAGTAGTTCACCCGATACGGGCGTTTGTGAGGTATTGCGTTCTTGTATGATATTGCGGGGAGGTTGCGTTGACGTTGAGTGAGATGTGTCTCATCAAGTAGTACTTTAATGTTAAACACTCAGTCGCAGTATTGGCAGAGATTTGGCAATAATCAGTACATGAATTATTAAGCTGCTAGATGTATCACACTCTATTTAGTAGTCACTTGCACACATAAACCAAATTAATTAGCATCACCAATCACAGCCGGTTCGAGGACGTTCGACGGTACGTAATAGGGAGGGTTCGCGGGGACGGGGGACGAGGTATCGACTGTGTAGGGGGGTGACCGATTATTCGTAGTGTACATGGATGTATCTCAGGTAGAACCGAATCGATCGATCGAATCGTCGTGCTAGAAACTTTGACCGCCGCATCGTGGAAACCGCCGAAACCGACCGAGGTGAGGGATCCGCATCGAGTCGGACTGCTGACATGATCAATTTGGTACCAACCCGCAAAAACCGAAGCCAATATCCATTGAAAGCCACCGCCAAGGAAAAAGGAGAAGGAAATCGAGTCATTGGGTAGCCACCCAAGATGACCTCACGCTTTTCAGACGATCTCTGGTTCCCTAGACTGATTTTAGTATCGTGCTTCTTCGAAGTCCTCGGATCCTCTTGGAGGGGGACGGGAGGAGCTACTCTGCTGTGTCAAGGTCGTCATGGACGGCAGGAGGAGGAGAATCGACTAAGTTTTCGGGCGCAAGGTCAGATCTTGTTCGAGAGGGGTGGGTTCCTGCACACCTTTACGGTCGTCTCCATTGGTGCCGTTCTCCCGATCGTCTTCGGGACGAACATCCTTCATCTCACGGTCGCGATCATCCGGGCTGCGAGAACGGTCACGGTCGCGTCGGTCGTAGTCGCGCTCGCGTCGGTCATCCTTGCGAGGAGAGTAGTCGCCACGTCCACGGCGCGGTGGGGACTGGCTTCGGCGACGCGGAGAACGGTCTCCTCGACGGGGCGGACGGGCATCGCGACCGGCTCCGTCGCGACTGGCGCCAGACTCGAATCGCCAAGAAGCAGACGGGGGAGTTCGGGCCCACTGGAATCTGTTAGGAGAGCGGTCAAGCCGGCGCCGCAGTTGTTCATACCTCAATCTTCAGCAGATCGTCGCGTCCGATGCGCTTGTTGTGCATCTCATGGTACGCATCGTCCGCATCCCGACGACTCTCGTATTCGACGAACGCAAAGCTACTGGATGTTCAGCCGCAGCCTGCTCAAGACGGGGACATTTAACTCACAGGCGGGAAGAAGCCGAGCGAGGGGCTGGAATATCGCAACGGACAAGTCGGCCATAGCTTGGAAAAGTCAGTTGCTACTGGTTTGTAGGTGCGGTGATGAAGCAACGACGTGCGTAGAGAGCTTGAAAACGGCGCCTTCGATTCGGATGTGGTCTCGGTAGGGGACAGACGATACGGGGCGGATCGAGCGATCGATAGAGGGAGGGCGGGGAGGTAAAGGCAGGATGTACATAGAACCGCTTTGGGTTGGGCGAGGAGGGCGGTTGGTGTGGTTACGATGCGTGGAGGACATACCGTTCGAATTCGTAAGCCAGGTCGCGTGCACGGGTGCCGTGGCCGAAGCCGGTCACGTAGAGAGTAGTGCCTCCACGAGACATGTTGAGGAGTCGGGTTGTCGTGCCGATGTGGGTGGTGAGAGAGGTTGAAAGGTGAGGTCAGAGTCGGAATGAGGCGGCGAGGCAGCTGCAACAAATGTCGAGCAGAAAGTTGGGCTTGGCAATCGCGGCCGTTTAACCGACGTTAACCCGTTCCTCGTCCTCTGCTTCATCTCCGTCGCTGCACTTCCCTTCACCTCCCCGCGTACATCCTCCGCCGCTCCATACCCTACACCCAACGATCTCTTCGCGCGACTCACACTTTGCTGTTCAGCTTCTCACAAAGGCGTTGATACCAGCGCCCACGCCGCGACAGCAGCACAAAGTCGCCACCGTTCTTTGTTATCGCAAAGCCCTCTTTCCGCCTTCACCTCGACGAACTCCCTCTCACATTCTTCCTCTTCCAAACACCCACGATGTCTATCGAAATTGGAGTCGGCACGCCGCTCGCCGAGGCGCTCAAGACCGCCATTCAGCCGCAGCTCGCAGAGGCTGGCTGGGCCACCGGCGGACTGGACGACCTCGCTTTGGCCGAATACATCGTTCTCATGCTGGTCAACGGGAAGACGCAGCAAGAGGTGGCTTCGGAGATGGCGATGGATTTCCTCAGTCTCCCCCCCGACGATGAAGGCCCGATGAACTTCTCAAGGTGGCTTTTCGAGCAGGTCGACATCCTCAACCGACAACTGAACGGTCCGCAACCGACCAACGGCGGCAACGCGGATGGCGCAGACTCCTCTCGGCCAGGCCAAAACCCCGGCACTGACGCTGATATGGGCGATGCGGCTGACGTTGACGGCGGCGCAATGTATGCCCCTATCTCTGCGAATTCTATTTGTGACTATGTTAATCGAATTTCTAGACCTACTGGACCGAAGGCCATGCGCAGCGGCAGTGGGAATGGCGTGCAAAAACCCCGGGACAAGCGCATGCTTGGACAGCTCAACAAGGCCATGGACAGATCGAGCGACGCGGCTCTACATCGCGTGCGAAACGGATCCGGGACAGGCCGCGTGAACTCACACTCCAGAGAACCACCGAGGGGCCCTCGAAGCCAGCAGCTAGGCCGTGGTGTTGCTGCAATGGCAAACGGGAGAGGCATGGGCCAAATGGGCCCAATGGGTGGCATGGGAATGCCCGGAATGCCGATGTCAATGGGACCGAATGGGCCTATGGCTCCTGTCATGACGCCTCAACAGCAATTGCAATTGCTGCAGATGTACGAACAACAGGCACAGATGATGCAAACCATATTCCAAAACCAGTCGACGCCGAATGCCTACGTCAACCCCAACTTTCACGGCAAAAAACCACAGTCGGGAAAGTCTCTCTTCGACCGAGTCGATAACAAGTCCGGACGGTTCAACGAAAAGCGGCCATCAAATTACAACAAGTTCTCGATAAACGAATCGCAGGACGAGACCATGACGGATGGCGCCGATTCCGGAGCGAACGGAGAACCAAAAGACCCATCCCAGACGAGGTGCAGGTTCGACGTGTCGTGCAGCAAGGCCGACTGCCTGTTCGTTCATCAATCTCCAGCGGCTCCACCAGGAACATCGATCGACATGAACGACACGTGCTCCTATGGCGCTGCCTGCATGAACAAGAAGTGTGTAGGGAAGCACCCTTCTCCTGCTCAGCGCGAATCGCACAAGAAGGAGATAGACTGCGCCTACTACCCACATTGCCGAGACCAGGCCAATTGCCCATTCCGCCATCCTGACACGAGTATGCCGCCCTGCCGGAATGGTGCCGACTGCACTACTCCCGACTGCAAGTTTGCACACAGCAAGGTTGCATGCAAATTCACTCCCTGCACGAATACTCGTTGCACCTTCAAGCACGTGGAGGGTCAGAAGAAGAGCCGCGCAGATATGCAGTGGACGGCAGACCGCAACGGAGACGATGGCACAAAGAAAGAGCACGTTAGTGAGAGGAAGTTTGTGGACGACGAGACTGCGGAGGAGGAGCTGATTCTGCCCGGGAAGTCGAGTCAAGAAGAAATGGAGACACAGATCATCACCTGAACGGAGGATGCTTCTGACTAGAGAAGTGGGTGTATTCAGGCTTGGGTCGTCTATTGACGGTCATGTATCATATCATTAGGAAAACTGGCGTTCGGAGGCACAGTGAAGGTTGGGCATATTTCGGAGGCCAGGGACACGGCATAGGTTCGTTACTACTATGCAGTACGAGGTTGGATTTGTAGAATGAATTTCCTGTTACCTTAGGAGGATGACTCCTGCCTGCTTTGCTTCTCACACACGGTCCTCTCATGCTCATGTGAATCGTACATGACCGGGTGAACTCAAACATGACGAAGTATTCCATCAGATTTTATATACCCTGACTAATTGGTAGTGTAATGACAATTTCCCGACACAACCCTTTACTGAAGTCCCTCGAAGTGCCCTGTAGATTAATACACTATATATGATTAGTTTCAGGGCGTCTACCGGCGTGTTCTGAAACTTTCGGCGCTCGGCTTTAGCGTCCGTGACTTCACGACCACACGATGACCGCTTCTATAGAGCGACCAGCTCTTCAAATCGCCACATCCTCGGTCTGCACAGTGCAATGCGTCTCAGGAGGCATGGTTCTCTTCTTGGATCGTCATTGAAGAGCCTCTCGACGCGTCCAATCCTCTGCTCGCAATGCCATCACCATCAATATTCAACCGGACCTCCGCAGAACATCGCCGTAATCGGAGGAGGCATCACGGGCCTGGCCAGCGCATACTACATTGCCAAAGAGCAGCCGACAGCTAGAATCACAATCTACGAGGCTGGTCCACGGCTAGGCGGATGGCTGCACTCTTCGCACGTCGAGGTTCCCGGAGGGAGGGTGCTGTTTGAGCATGGCCCGCGTTCGCTGCGTCCTGGGATGGGTGCCCTGGTTACGAGTACGCTGGTATGTCAATCCGAGTAGACTTTTATCAGAGGCTTTACTAAAGCTCCAATGCTAGATCCAAGAGCTCGGTATGATCCCTGATGTCATATACACAGACAAAAGCGCCGCTTCTGCCGTAAACCGCTTCATCTATTACCCAGACCATTTAGTGCGGCTGCCAAACCCGACCAACGATTCCTCGTTGGAAATTGCCTTCACTACACTCAGAGAGCCGTTGTTCAAGGGATTCATCCCGGGTGCTATAGGGGAGGCATTTCGACCAACGAGACCAGCAAACTTGGATGATGAATCCGTAGCGTCATTCTTTGCACGAAGGCTGGATCCACGTGTGGCTCAAAACATCATATCAGCAGTTCTCCATGGCATCTATGCCGGTGATGTGAATCAGTTGAGCGTACGGTCAATATTCCCTTTACTATGGACCTTGGAAAAACAAGGAGGAAGTGTGATTCGTGCTATTGCGACAAGTCGCGTAGAAGAGAATATCAAACTTTTGCGCCGGGATAGGGAACTGCTTGCTGAGACGAAGAAAGTGGTGAATCCTGAATTCATGGCTGCGATGGGTAAGGCTAGCGTCTTCTCGTTTCGGAATGGGCTACAGCAATTGGTGGACCGCCTGGCGGAGACAGTGGCAGGCAACAAAAGAGTCACTACGAATTTGGGCACGCCAGTCACGCATCTTGAGCTAGAGGAAGCCGCTAGTGGCGATAAGAAGATGAAGGTATATTGGCTCAGAAGTCCTGAATTAATCAGTACTAATCTACACAATCAGGTATTCACCGAATCTGAAAGCCAGACGTACGACATGGTAGTATCCAGCATCTTCTCAAAAACGCTATCAGAACTCTGTACCTCAAACTCGAAAACAGTACTCCCCGAGCTTGCGAAAACTCACGCAGTCACCGTTATGGTCGTCAACCTCTTCTATGCGAATCCTAAACTAGTCCCGGTCGAAGGCTTCGGCTACCTCATCCCGCAGTCCATCCCCTTCCAGCAGAACCCTGAACGCGCCCTCGGTGTCATATTCGACTCCGACACTATCAAAGGTCAAGATATTGCCACCGGCACCAAACTCACCGTCATATTGGGCGGCCACTGGTGGGACGGTTGGAGCACCTACCCAACCGAAGATGAAGGCGTTGCTGCTGCCCAATCAATTCTTGCGCGTCATCTACATATCACCGACGATCCTGTTGCAGCCCAAGCCAAGCTGCAGAAGGACTGTATACCGCAGTATACCGTCGGTCATATCACTCGGATGAAACAAACTCACAGTCAGCTCATGGCCCACTTCAAGGGGCGGTTGAGAGTCGTGGGCAATTCTTACACTGGTGTGGGCGTGAATGATTGCATCAGGGCGGCGAAGGATATCGCGCAGGATCTAGGCCAATACAACCAAAAATCAGGGCTAGAGGAAATTCCGGCATAAGGCGCTTCATGCAGATGTACAAAAGTAAACTTAGAATAATAAGAGAACTCCAAAAGTTGACTAGCTTGAAGTTCTTGCCAATTGCGCGTGTGTTCAAAACCCCGACGAGGATCTCCCAGCAGTCTCATACCACAAATCATTGCAAATTAGTATCAATTTGAGCAATATCGGTGTCTATTGATCCCCTTCCCAAGTCCCAAGCCCTACATCGTACGATCTATCGCTGATTATCCTCCCATCACGCGTCCAGTCCCGCCATAACCTCATCCAAATCATCTCCCCCATACTCGTCTACCTCTACCACGCCGCCCCCGTTCTGCGCCTCCTCCTCAAGCATCCTAATCATCTCTTCCTCTATCTTCGCCTTATGCCTCCTTAAATCCTCCGCATCCCACGTACTCAGCCCCTGCTGCTCCGCCCGGCTCCACGGCACGCTCATCTCACGCAAAAACGCCTTCGCCGCCGACACAGCCTGATCCACGCTCAGATCCGCATACTTGTCCTCCAGCGCCTGCTGGATCCACTTCGGCAGCTGTTGGCGCTTGGACAAGAAGCGCCGGTCTGCCATGACCATTATGCCGTAGTCGTCCTTGCCACGCAATACGCGACCTAGGCACTGCGCCGCGTGGCGCATGGCATCGAACGACAGGAATTCTTGCTCCTTGATGCGGTAAGTCTCGCGCAAGAACTCAAGACGTGCTTTCAAAATACGCGACTCCGTGTACTGAAACGGGACACCGATGCACAACACTGTGCGGCCGTAGTGGTGGTCAAAATCGATCCCCTCGGACACTTTCCCGCGTGCGACGCAGAGCAGCACGGCGCCGCGGCCGTTGTTGCACGCCGTGCGGTAGGTCTCGAGCGCGAGGGAGGTTTCCTGCGAGTCAGGGGTTTCGACGAGGATGAGCTTGTATTTCCAGACTGTGTCGAGGATTTTCATGCCCTGCCACATGGAGATGATGCCCTCCATGTAGAGGTAGGAGGGGAAGAAGACGACGATGCCGTCAGGGGTTAGCTTGCAGAATTCGGTGAGGAGGTTGCCGTAGTTGCGGATCACGGAGGGGTCGTTGCGCTGCTGGAAGGCGGAGGTGATACGGCTTTGGTCGGTGCCGCGGGGGACGATCATGGGAAGGAAGGATTTGCGGGCGAGGGTCATGGTGTAGGATTGCTGGATGACGGTTGAGAAGGCGAGCATCTTTGGATACATGTCGAGAGGGGACATGGTTCCGGAGGTGATGATGACGGAGCTGAAGCGCTCAAAGACAGGCTTGATGGCTATTGCGGCGTCGAGGCATGTGAAATGGAGAATCGGATTGGGTACGGTCGCTGTATCGGATTCAAATGGTTCGAGTATGAGCAGAAACCCGGTTTCGTAGGTAGCAATGAGGGTGGCGAATGTGGCTACTTCTTGAAGAGGTTGGTAGTCTTCAATGTTCGTGAGCTCGAGGGTACGGACAAGAGACGTAAGGCGTTCGGCACAGAAGCGGAGTGGTTTTCGCTCAATGAACGTGAGATCTCGGAGATGGTTGAGGAAAGAAGGTGGTGTTTCTGAAATGACGTGCAGCACTTTCATTCGTGTTTTGAGGTATTCAATAAATCGCTTCAAGAAAGCAACGAAGTGCTCTGCTCTCCGTATATTTCCAGGCACAGCTTCCTTCAGCAAATCATCTGGTAATGCCGGATTCGACATGAACGCATCTTCGTTCCGCGCCTCGTCTGCTTCTTGGAGGCCCTGGACCAGCTTCGCGTACTCGCTTTGGAGTTTCTCAGCATCGGTTGACTTCATCTCTGTAATCTTCCTGTCCAGATTGTTCACTCCTCTTGTTGCTTTCCGTAACGAGTCTTCCGTCAAGTCGATACTTAGAGATTCTATGCACACGTTGTCGATGTTGTGAGCTTCGTCGAAGACAACAATGCAATCTTTCGAGAGCTCTCTCGACACTCTCTCGGCGATCTTGGGATCAAGCAGGTAATGGTAGGAGTAAATTATTACGTTGCAATATGGCATCATTCGCCTCGCTGTGAAATATGGGCACTGTTTTTGTGACTCGCCATACTTTAGCAGGCCGTCGAACGTCCAGACGCCCGGTGGGATGAGATTATGAGGCTCCAGAAGATCGAGATTGTCGTGATACACGCACATCTCAACGTCTTCACCCCGCTCCTTTTTTTCTTTGACGAACCCCGCCGTCAGACTTCGGCATCGCGCGTCAACCACGGAGCCACTCTTTTCGCGCTTGACGGATGGATGCAGGCACAAGTTCTTACGGCTCGTCAGACCCAGCCCTCTGAACTCTTCCTCGTACCCCAACTGTTCGGTCCGGTACTTCATGAGAGCCTTCAGCTCAGCAAGAGCCTTTTCGATCTCGGACATGGTACGCGAGCAGTAGATCAGCTTCCGCTTCTCAGGCTGGACCTGCTGGTATGCCACGATCAGGGACAGAAGGGACACAGTTTTACCTGTTCCCGAAGGCATCTCCAAAACACAGTGGCCACCTGCGTCCAAGGTGCGTTTGAGGTCACACATGTAGGCATATTGCTCGGGGTAGATGCTGGGATACGGAAAGAGCACCTCGAGCTCCCTAGACCATGTTCAGCGCCGCTACATGCTATTAGTACACTAGGACTCACTCTATATTGAACCTCATGTTGAGAGTTGGAGGTGTCTTTCACCGTGGCGAAGAAAGAGTAGTTGAGAGGAGATGTAGTTGCCTCTGGCTGGAAAGGGCTTAGCGCCACTGCGGATATACTTCGGCTTAAGAACTTCCAAGGGTCGTCATTACCATTTGCACTTTCAAATCACAGGCAGCAACCCCTCTTACATTCATTCTTTTCTTCTTCTCTAGCAGCCTACGACTCTTTAAGTTTCCTGGTTTCTTTTTCCACCGTCACTATGAGCAAGCGCCAAGTCAAGGCACAAGCCAGCAGCAGCCGGGCTGCGTCCAGCGCATTCGGTTCGGGCTTTGGTGCCGCTTCAGCTATAGCATTTGGAGCCTCTTCTTCGCCGTTATCTTATGTTTCAGAGCCTCCGGACCTCTCCGCAATATCAGACCCCAATGTAGTGGTCGCATTCAAGAACCTCTCGAAGAAAGACAGTACAACAAAGGCAAAGGCGCTGGAAGATCTACAAACGTACATCTCGTCAGTTGGCGGACAGGTCGAAGATGGAATATTGGAGGCGTGGGTGGGTGCCCTCCATGGATGTACACATTATACAGATAGTAATACGATTTTATTTCAGATCAAAACGTTTCCCCGCACCTCGATAGATAGCTCTCGAAGAGTGCGTCAACTTGCCCAGTCGCTGCAAGGCCAGATCTGCGCTGCTGCCGGGAAGCGGATAGCCAAGTACATACCGAAGGCTGTGGGAGCTTGGCTATGTGGGCTTTATGATAACGACCGGTTGGTCGTGAAGGCGACGCAGGAATCCCTTAAACTGGTCTTCTCTACCCCAGAGAAACTCCAGAACCTTCGCAAGGCATACCAGCAACCAATCCTGGAGTACTGTCGCTATGCAATCGATAATGAGACTGCATTGACACTTAGCGACGAGCGAACCGTGAGCCCAGATGACGCTGAAGGGAAGTACTGTCGAGTCATAGCAGCTTGCATCGCCGTCATTGGGAGTCTTTTGACGGACTTGAAACCAGAGGACTCTACGAAATACCAATCAGACTACGATGCGTTTCTGGGAGATCAAAAGTTGTGGGAATTTGCAACTTATGAAGACGCTTCCGTAAGACGCTCAACACATAGGTTTCTGAGGACGTGCCTCTTAAAAAAGAAAGGTGAGTGATCTCCTGGTCAAGACTAGACCCTGCAGTTTAGTGCCTTCATGATATTCCAATTATTAGGGAGAATATCTAACGGACTTCTCAAGCTAACAGATTCCAAGATTCGTTATCGTCACACCTACGTACCCTCAGCAAGTCATATTTATATCAAGGTCTAAGCTCTAACCAGACCGGATCAGCATACGAATATGTTGAGACCGTGGTCATGTTGACAGAGTTGTTCCCGTTGGTTTGGACTGACCACTACTCTGGGAAGAAGACAGTTACTCAAAAGTTCCAGCATTTCCTGAAACGCGGCTCGCAGAGCGGACCACGAGAGTTCTGGGATGGCATTGCGAAACTTTTCAACTTCTTACCAAAATCAGTCCTGCCTGCGACTGGGGTTGACGCAGTCGATCTACTCGGAGCAATGCACAGCGGTATAATCAAGAAGGATGAGCCTCGCGCTAATCTTGCAGCAGCCTTCGGTGCATATCTCCATGTAGCTTTGTTGATATGCAGTCTACTTCCAGAGGACGACCAACGTAGATTGATGAGCGAAATGGTGCTGCCAATCTTCTCACAGTATTTGCGGCCAAGTCCAGAACAGTCCCAATGGGCAATACCTGAACCCAACGGCTCTAGGATTATCAGCAAGGTCATGGTGTCTGGAATCATTCCGTCCGTGCTTCAAGAGGAATGGCCTAAATACGCAGAGATGCTCATTGAAGACATCAAGACTTCAGCGCCAGAACAGTCTAAGGACTTTGAAAAGTCTCATAAAGCCCTGATACAGCAAGCAGCTAGGCTTGCTAGTTTGCAAGCTCATGCTCTTGATAATGACTCCTCGGGGTTTTATCGCCCAGTGCTATCCTCCGCGACTGCTTTGATAGTCTCAGTATCTCTAGAAGTTCTAATCAGCCGTAAGGGGAAGCCTTACGGAGCGGCAGGCGTCGTCGCGGAATTTCTCCGCCTTTGCGAAAGTCTCGTGTTTGACGAAGAGCACTGCAAAGACCAGCTGATGTCTTTCCTGCATAATGATCTTCCAAGCCTTTTCATCTCGCCATCTTGTTCACAACTTGCGGATATCCTGTACGTTTGCAAGGACCAAGCAGCGTTCGAAGACTCGTGGAGAGCAACACTCAAGGCCGTCCTAGGAAGTCCAGATTCCCCAGCAAAGCTGGAAGCCCTGGGACACTTGCTTACCTCGCCCAAAATTCCTACTGGTTTCAATCTCGCTTCCTCAGACGCAGAACTGCAGAACTACATAAATGCGAAGGCTCACAGCGCTCTACAGGGCACTTCAGACTGGCTGTTCTTTGGGCAACTCTTACAGAGTCCGTCCACCGCCATTGCTACCGAGACTGCAGACGAGATTCTGTCCAGCATGACGAAGTCGTTGTCAGTTGCTGACTCTACGGCCAATGCACTTGAGGGCTTCCAGAAAGTCACGAACCTTAATCCCTTACTGTTGAAGCATTTTGTACCTACGCCAGAAGGATCCGAGCTGCTCCGCAGTTTGTTGTTGCTTGCAGAGTCTGCAGATGACCAGATAGCACAAGAAGCATCGGCCGTCAACAATAGCATACACTCCATCCTCACACGAGGTTCTGATGGTGGGAACTCGAAGCAATCAATGTTTGATGTCATCCAGAATGGCCTCAAGGAAGCTTCCCGCACTTCTGTATCCGTCAATACTCTCGTAGAACTTGCAACAAAAATCTGGGTAGCGGAGGAGGATTCGACATCTCCCCTAGGGGACGTTGCTGACTGCCTTCTACCGGATGGAAATGCATGGACAGCAGCACTAACCCCCTTTCTTGCTGTACAACCAAGAGCCTCTCTTTCTATAACAAATGTCCTTGGAGGCACGTCCTATCTTGTTCCTCCTAGCTCTTCACAAGAGGCGTTCAGCAAGACTTATCCTCGAGATGGAGACGGGTTCTCGGCCGCGTTTCGCATCGCGTCTTATGCCAGCCGAGTCTTATGCGGAACGGACGTATTTGAGTACATCGCAACCGAACGACAAGAAGAGATCTACCGTCTCACTGCACTAACGGTGCAGCTTATTGAGGACAACCTTGGACTTGCGGGCTCCAACAACCTGTGGGCTCAGTACACGCCGGAAGTTGAGAATGTCGTTGTTCTTTCTTTGGAAGATGCACGAAACTTCATGAACAAGCAACTCACAGACAATGGCTCTTCGTGGGATGATGATAATGAGGGCCCTACGTCTTTCTTAAAGTCGGCGCTGGTATCATTGCATGCAGCATCCGAGGAGACTTCGTCATCTTCGTACTACAGTTCCAGGGCCTTGAGCGTGCTAACCACAGAATTGATTGAAATATATGGGTGGAATAGTCAAAGAACTCCGAATCTTCAGACAGCTCTCAAAGGCCTTCGAAGGAGCAAGAGTAAGCAACCGATATCGAGATGATGGGAACTTTTATTGACATTGACTAGGTCCTTTTTATCCCGCGGCTTTCTTGACGGGATATAGCTTACCATTGTCCACCACGAAATCGTCGACGAGGCTATGCAATGAGTATGTGGCCGAAATCACTGGCTTGGACATTGCTGAGAAGTCCGAAGAAGGTATGTCTCAACTCCCCAATTTTTTTATTTTTTTTGATGTTCCATGTGATAAATTCTAAAATCTCTTCACGTAGGCCTCCGACAGTTGGTAATGCTGAACTTGATTCTTTATAATCACGAAGATGTGAGCGAGGGTATCGCCAGACAGCGAGCCATCTTCTTCGTCAAACATGTCATACCTTGGCTAGAAGACGATTCGATTTCTCTGTCAATTCGTGCAGAAGTCTGTCGCTCTCTGAGTGCACTACTGCCCTTGATCAGCGATATCTATGGATCACACTGGGGTAAGATCCTCAATTGCTTGGCCGATCAGTGGTCGTTACCAAGAAAGATCGACGACCACGGCTCGAACACCGATGCAACCATTCCTTCCATCCATGCATCTTTAAAGCTCTATGCCACGCTGAGATCTCTCAAAGGAAGCGAGGATCCAAACGACGACCTCGTGGATGCTTGGAAGGACTCGGAAGAAAACGTCGCGAGTGGCCTAATCAACCTCCTCAAGCACTCTCAACACTTCCCCGATGAATACCACCAGCCTTTGAGAATCGTCAATGAGCTACTCACGCGGCAGATATCTAAGATCTCGCTCCAGCACCTCAATGAAACCGAAGAACTATTTCCACTACTATATGTGGAATCTCAGTCAGTCCAGCAAGCAGCATTCGATATTCTGCACCAGAAGATCCCGGCAGCACAAGAACAAATCTCGATCGACGCAGCGATTGACAAGTCCACTGCCCGACTCCCTGAGGAACTTCTCTCTCTTATCCTCGAGGCACCGACTCTAGAATCCCTCGCCGACGCCAGCTTCGAGCGCAGCATGCCACTGCCATTACGAGGCTACTTGCTTAGCTGGCTACTCGTCTTCGACCACATGCAGCACGCGTCATACAAGGTAAAGACAGACTACATCGAGCACATCAAGGAAGGCGACTACCTCCCCGGCCTGCTCGACTTCACCTTCGACTTCCTCGGTCACGCTCGCGGAAAACCGGTCGATGTAGGTAAACTAGATGTCACGACCTACACCCCTGACATGGAGCCTCCGGAGCGCGACTCACAATGGCTGCTCACTCACATCTACTACCTCTGCCTCACACACATGCCGTCGCTCGCAAAGACATGGTGGATCGACTGCAAATCGCGCCAGAAAGTCATCGCCGTCGAGTCCTGGACCGAGAAATTCGTATGTTTCCGCGCCCCGCCCCAACCTCCAAACACCGCCGTAATTCTAACGAACCTCCAGATCTCCCCCCACGTTATCACCACCGCCCTCGCCGCCGTCAGCGCCTGGTCCGCGACCCAACCCGCCGACGACGAACCCCTCCTCATCAGAGTCTCGCCCCGCGCGCGCGAGGTCACCGCCGCCTACGAAGTCGACGAGCAGACGATGCGCATCCGCCTCGCGATGCCGCCGACGTATCCGCTGCACCTGGCCCTCGTCGAGGGCCTCAGCCGCGTCGCCGTCGACGAGAAGAAGTGGCAGAGCTGGCTGCTCTCCGCGCAGGGCGTCATCGCCTCCAGCAACGGCAACCTGATCGACGGGCTCACGGCGTGGCGGCGCAACGTGGTCGGCACGCTCAAGGGCCAGAGCGAGTGCGCGATCTGCTACAGCATCATCGGCGCGGATAAGCAGCTGCCGAGCAAGCGGTGCAGCACGTGCAAGAATCTGTTTCATGCGAGCTGTTTGTATAAGTGGTTTAAGACGAGTAATGCGAGCTCTTGTCCGCTGTGTCGGAATGCGTTTAACTATGGGTAGAGGGATGGGCAAAGGGGGGATGGTTGGGATGGAGGGGGGATGGTTGGGGTTGGGGTCGGCGAATACGAGGGTAGACAGAAAAGTACATACATGATAAGATGGATCTTGTAAATGAGAATGCCCTATGCTGTATGAGTAATAGGGAGCCGGTTTCAGAGAATCTTGACTTTGCATTACAAATGTGGTGTCTCCTGTCATCAGAAGTGCTTCCGTTCAGGGGCTCTTCGCCATCGTGTAGGCGAGTTTGACACCGGCTGTATCATACTCGCATTCATAGTGCCATGTATGTCAGAAGAAGAATCACGGGTCTTTCAGCAAAACACTCAGAAGTTCAGTTCAAACGTCTCTATTCGTGTGCCCTAACAACCAACCAAACTCAACTCGCAGTCCCCAATCAATCTTCCACAATCCACAACCTCCACCCGGCACACTTCCCCGCTCTCCATCATCATCCACAGAAGACATAACATCATAAAGCCCATTGTGCTGTTCCAACGCACGAAAAAGCCGCCCAGCAAAGCAAGCACACATCTCAGTGCGCTCTCCGTCCGTTTCCAAAAACGCCCATTTCCGTTTCCTAGGCCGAGCCGTAGCCTCATGCTCCGGCACTGATGCAGCTAGACCTGATGCAGCTAGACCTGACGCGCCCCAGACCCTTTTTTGATCTCCCAAGAATGAAAAAAAGACAGGTCCATAAAACACCAATAGTAGTCCCAAGAAAGCCCAAAGTTTCCAAAACAAAAGTGCCGCCATGCAATCGCAATACTCGAAGAATCAACAGTACAAGTGCCAGAGCACATTGTTGTAATGTAGAGAGAGAAACAGAGAACAAATGTTGCAAATGTAACGTAGCCCTGAACCGTAACAAAAGCCGTTCGAATCATAGAAAAACTCCGAAGAAATAGCTCTGGCGAGCTCAGCCGTGGCCTTGCCTTTGGTGGTTATCGATGGATGGACGCCGTTCCTATGCAATGTTCATGTTGGATTCCGTACTACACAAATGAGGAGTGGCTGTAATTTGGAGACTGAGTAGGCCTTCGTTTCCAGCATTTCCTTATTTTCCAAATCGCAGTCGTCGCTACACAACACACCACCACAAACGCCGGTATGCTGAACTTCTAAATCCCAGACGAGGTTGCCGTCCAATGCCTGGATCATTGCGGCAGATATCCAGAGCGATGGAGAGGTTCGCTGAAAGAATGATTGAATTAGAGGGCGTCCAACATGTCAACATCGTGCTCGGTAGATAGGACGTCATCGGCAGGGCCCCAAGTCCCCTCATAGACCGTTGCCCCTGCGCGACGACGATTCTTAACCCACTGGACGCCGCCACAGTTGCAGAGTTGATCAACCGTAGGGCGCTCGTCTGGATTTGGACTGATCATCCACTCCACGATCTTGTCCAAACACTCGCTGTCGTTGGGATCGATCATGAAGTTGGGAGGCTGGACTAGCTGCTCTGGGAAGTGCGACCTGGGCTCGATGTCGTTAAACAACCTGAAGCTTTCATCCTCGGTTTCGGATCCGCACAAAGTCTCGTTGGAGGCATTAGTGCTGATGTCGGTGATTGGATCTCCGGATTCGTCTCTCGGAAGGCTGCTCTCGGAGCTCCACGTGAGGCTCGGGAGGTCGGTCATATCGCCAGACCGAAGACGCTGCCAGGAGGTACCGTTGTCAGGGAGGATAATGTTGCCAGCGATCTCGAGCATGACCATGCCGAGAGCAAAGATATCGGCAGGCTTGTCAAAGCGACCAGAAAGAATCTCCGGCCCGATGTATTCGCGGTCGCCTTCTCCGTCAATGTTCGGGGGAGCAGGCCACGTGCTCGCCAAGCCAAAATCGCCAATTTTGAGGACGCCTTCCCAGTCAAGGAAGACGTTTGCGGGTTTTAGATCGAGATGAATAAAGCCGGAATCATGAATGTGTTTGACGCCCTGGAGGGATGTTAGCAATGCCTTCATGCGGGAGAAGATGGAAAACTTACCATTGATAACTCTAGGAGAATCTTCCAAATCCGGAAGTCGTCCAACCGTCCCTTATACCCATGTTGAGTCAAGAAATCCTTCAGATTGCCATTCTCGCAGAACTCCGTCTGGATGTAGAGGTAGTTCTTGTGTTCCCAGCTGCCTGCGAAAAAAATAATATGCTCGTTACCGCTCAGTGCCTGGAGGATGTGGACTTCGCGAAGCTTTCGGTCCCGATCCTTCAGTCCAGCATACGGTCGCTTCGCCTTCTTGACAGCCCATACGCTTCCAGAGGGGGCTTCGAAAGATGATCTTGGTGGTGGGTTGATGAGACCTTCAACACGGTAGACTTGCGAGAACTCCCCGTTTCCATGCAACGAGACGTTTTCGAATCTGCTAGTAAGAGCGGTGTCCACATCGTTTTTGGTTAGTCCTGCAATCGGAGCAATAGCAGACTGGCCGTTTGCAAAGTACACCTTGTGATCGCGGTTAGTGGTCGGAGTTGCGGGCGGGAACGACGTGTTTCTGTTCGTGCTGCTGTTGAAGGGTATCGATCCACGACGGTTGGCGCGACCAGAGATCGTTAGCCTACTGGCGTCAGGTGGAACAAATGACTCCGATGGTGTATGTGGAGAGTTGCGTTCAGACGATTCTGAAGCTTGTATCGGGCTCACTGCGGAAAGGGGAGAGTTCTTAGTAATGTTCATTGCGTCGGGAGGAGAAAGAAGAGTTCGAATCGAGCGTCTCAAAAGAGGCGCCGGTAACGGCTTGCTCTGCGATTGTCGCGAAAGCCGCGAACGAGCGAAAGAAAGGGCAGCGGAAGTCGGAGAAACGTGAGGAGAAGGCGTCGGAGATCCATGGAGTATTGGATCACCGCTGTCTCTAACCAAGCTCTCTGTAGATCCTGATGGAGATGACTTACAATTGTTTTCTTGGGCGGGAGATTCGAAATCCAATGCTGTCGGTGGGGTGAATGTATCAGCTCCTAGAGACGTACGCCGACCAAAGAGGCTGCTTCGGAGGCTGTTATCCTTCGATCGTCGACCTGCGCCATCACCTTGCTTCGTAGGGGTCGGCGGCATATCGTCAATGCTGGATTGGCTGTCCATCTTGCCGGATGGCGAAACCGAATTATCATCACCATCGACGTCGATGTCGATGCTAGCGAAGCTACCACGACGATTCATGCTAGGATTTCCAAGAGTACCGAAGATGTTGACTCCTTTTCCGAACGAGATCGGTGTCGCACCGGTGGGATGCAGGCTGAACGGAGTGGTCGGGGTACCGAACTCATGGCGTGTGATGGATTTCCCGAATCCACGATGAATCGACGGAGACGACGTAATGGGAGGGAAAGAGGCCCTCTTAGACGGCGTGTCCGGCATAGCATAGCTAGCATAAGAACCCGGTTGGGGTAGGTCGGCGTTGCGATTGCGCTTAGATATCAATCCCGTCGACATGAACGCCTGAGGAAGTGGCTTCGCCATCTTGTACGCAGCTGGTGTTGCGAAGGATCCATTCTCGGAATCTATTTCCGGAGCATCCCCACCCAGGTTAGGACGGGTAGCACCAAGAGGCAATGACCTGGAAAAGATATGGTGTCGCGGAGCAGCAGTTGGAGGCGCAGGATGCGGAGGAACATGCGCAGGAGCATGAGTCGGTGAGTCATCTCCTAGGCTCGACATGGAAGATGACGGAGTGACAGCGTTTGAGAGAGGATGGGGCTGGTGGCTGATTGAACCGCTACCACGCATAAACGAATGGGAATGCTGCTGCAGATTTGGGCGCCCGGACTCAGATGTAAGACCAAGACCCATAGACTTGCGGAATGGCGACTGGGCTTGTGGCGAACCGAATCCTAGAGAGCTATCAAGAGACATACGATTCCTCGTTCGGGATGCTGCCTGACCTGGAATTGCGAATTCGTGGCCTTGGTCCTGGGCCTTGGGTCGAGCAGCGTTGGAGCCATATCGCTGTGACAGAGTCGACTTCCTCAGTGAGAGCGATTTGCGCAGTGGGGAGCCAGTCTTCTGGATTGGCGACGAGAAAGAGTGAATGCCCATGTCGTGATCATGGTTGCGGAATTGCTGTGGTTGTTCAGAGTTTGGGGTTGGACCGTGATCGAAGACGTCGAAGTCGGGGCCAAATGAAGCACCATGCAGGCTCCTTCTCTTGGCCACTGGACTGCCCAAGCTCGCCTGGTCCAGGTTCATGATGCCGTCGCTACGCTTCAGCGGGCTCGATTTTGCCGGCATTAGGCAGTTCGCACCTGGCGCGCTCTCTCCACGTGAGCGCGTAAATTCGAATTTGATAGGGCCGTCGTCGAGACTGAATCGCGGCACCGAAGGTTTGCACTCAGTTTCGGGTTGGTCGGCAAAAAGCGGTGCGCGCGCGCTCATGTTTTGGTTCTCCTCTCCAGAGCTTCGTCGAGAGGTGAATGGCGTTGCGTTGCCTTGGTTTGCGGAGTCGGCCAGAGCGCGTCGGGGACTCTTTGATGCGGTTCGGCGCGTGGTGCGGCGCAGCGAGAACTTCTTCTTGGTGGTGGTTGGCGCTTGCGACAGTGGTGAGCCGGTATGGGGTCCGGTGGGACTCGCGGGCTTTAAAGTCCTGGGGCTGAAGGCGCGTGATAACGCCAGAGGCGAGATGGGCGAGCCTGGTGAATCCGAGGACTTGGAGTGCAGCTGGAAGCGCGACGGCTTCGACGGTGAACGTGACAGGGAGCGCCGGATCTGCTTGATAGAGGGGAACCCCTCCAGGTGGTAGGAGTGCGGGTGTGGGTGTGTTGGGGAGTGGAGATGGAGGGTGCCGCCCGTCTCGCGGTGCGGGGAATAAGCAAAGTCCATGGCGCCGTGCGATGGAGGGTGGTGAATGTGGGTGTTGTTGTGGAAGTGAACTGCGGCGACGGCGGTGCGTGCTTGCGCCGGGTGTGTGTCTGGGAGCAAGTGAAACCAGCGTCAACGGATGTCTCTGTCGCGTACTTGCGGATCAAGCAGCAGTCGATGAAGGTGAGGGTCGCATTGAAGTGCGGAGTCAATCGATAACGATACGGCAAGCGGACAGCGAGCGGCCTGACGTAGGAATGCGTGGAGTGTGGTGTCGACTGCAGAGCGTCTCACTCGCCTCCAGTCAACGAGCGATGAGCAGCAGGGCGTGGCCGGGCTCCATTCAACGCGGATGGCAGCGCGAGGGGCGGGCTGTTGACGAGGAGGGGAGCGGGAGAGTGGGTAGGCGGAGGAGCGGCGAGGTGTGCTGGCGGGTGTTGGATGGGCAGGCGTGGAGCGGAGCGTGGGTGACGTGGGCAACGTGTGAGGAATGCGCGTCGGCGAAGTAAACAAGCCGGTGGCGAGGGCGCGCGATGCAGCGCTGGTCGTTGAAGGAAGCCGGCGCGATCTGGGGAGAGGATTGCAGGAGGTCGCGCTGCGCAGGATGGGAACAGGAGGAGAGTCGGATTATTGGCATCGGGTCCAGTTCGACTCGGGCCTTCGATGGATGGAGCGGATTCACGCGTTTCTGCCAAGCGCGCTCGGGCCATCCAAACAAAAACGGCCAGACGGCAGCCACGACCGACAAACGCCCTGCACCCACACGTCCAAGCCAACGTGTGAGGTGCCGCGACATTTGCTGCCCCAGACGCCGCCGACTGCTGCGCAGGGACTCGAGGGCGCTGGGCTGTGCCGCGGCTGCCTGCCTGGCTTAGGCCGCCGTGTTGACGTGAGGCAGCGACAGTCGCCACCGTGTTTACATGTTGTTGTGATTGTTATGATTGCTGTGATGCCCAAGATCCGCCCCGATGGCCGCGCAGTGCACCCCCGGGATCCTTGAACCCCTAAATTATCGTCATCTTGCATGGTCCGGGGATGCCCTCGCGCTTCTGCCGCTTCCAGCGACCCAATCTCCCGCGCTTCATGCTGGAAAGGGGTCAAGGGCGTGCGCTCCCCCGGTGCGGCCCGCTGGGCACCCAATTGGCGCCTGCCCTCCTGTCCGGCGACGACGTGGCGGAGATCTTGATAGCCTCTCTATCGATACATCTATCATCTATCCGTCCAGGTATCGATTGTGCGAACTATAAGTCAAAGCACACATCCGACGCTTAACGACACGCCTCGCGAACATCGCACCGCTGCCGCTCTCCAAGACCGCTGCAAAGCGAGCATTAAAACATGACAGACACCACAGGTCGCGCCTGATTCATTGGCCAATTCGTCTTCATGGCGGTGTCGAAAACTTTTGACCGCTGTTTGCTCCCTGCCCCTGCGCCTCACCACTGCACGTCAACTCCACCAGCTGCAGTCAACGTGTCTTCATCACCATGCGGCGCCCGTTGATGCGAACGCCTACCAATTATAGCCTGTCAAGTCCGAGGCCTGTGGAGTCTTCTTCGTCTTCTTCGTCGTCCTCCTCTTTCGGGACTAAATCTTCCCCAAATGGCGTGAGCATGGGTCGATGCTATGGGCCTCAATTGTCCATTGCTCGCTATTCGACACTCGACCAGTGTTGTTATCATACATGGCCTTTGCATCACGCTTGATACCTTGGGATCGACCCAGAATCAATTCGCTCTGATGTGCTTCCTAATTCGAATATGATACGGTAATATTTAGCCGTTGGTAAAAAACACTGCCTGCTCTTAGTAACTTATAGGTACCACGCTGTTCAACCCGAGAGGCTATTCTAGGAAATCCATCTTTTTTTCTTGTCAGCCCTAGTGACAGGATTCGATAATACGGACTCCGACATCTCTAACGTCAAGTTGTGCTCCGCTACGTGAGATATGCACGTGTGAAACACGTGCTGACGTGCACGGTCACTCGGGGAATCAACAACATCGGAACCTCTATTGATTTTAGATGGAGAACGAGATTTGGAATACAATACTGAATGGGATCAATACAATGTCAGTATCGGCCCCTACAGCGAGAGATCATGTGCCAAAGACACACCAGCAGGACCTTGTTGCCTATGAGGCTGAGTTCTGGTCTTCCTCCTCTGTCGCTATCTTCAATCCCCGCATTCAGCCAACGTCAGTTCTCTTGCTTCGATACACTTCCTTTGATGTTACTAATCTCCCTTCAAGTCTATCTGCAAATCAGATCTGTCCTTTGCACCTACTAACACAGTCTTCTTGCAGCCGGACAAGAACGCGGCTACAAGGCTATGCCATTCACAAGGCTCCTTCACTCCAGCACTCATCATGAGCTGTCCAAATCCCAACTGCGACTTTCTATACGAACCGCTCGACCATTCGCGCCAGCAAATTCGGCTTCTTCGCATAACACCGTCAACATCAGAACTCATTAACTGCGAATTGAAGGTGGTCGAACTCTCGGGCGGCCCGATCTACAAAGCTTTATCCTACACGTGGGGAGCGCCGCTTCCTGCTAAAAACATACTAGTCGAAGGCACATCATTTACAGTCCGGGAGAATCTCTATCTGTTTTTGGAGGCGGTACGCTACGATCCCCCGACCTTCTTCTTCACTGACCAGATCTGTATCGACCAGTCTAAAGTTCAGGAGAGAAATCATCAAGTGAATTTCATGGGCCAGATCTACAAAAGTGCATCTGAAGTCGTGGCCTGGCTTGGACCGGAGGCTGATTCGAGCGATCTCGCCATGGCTCGCATTTCTGGTGGGGCACATTCCGGTGATCACCAGGAATCGTCGGCCTTGGTCCGTAGGGCACGCTCTGTTCTTGATTATCAAGAATCGCCGGCCATGGTCCGCCCATCAAGTTTCCCAGGCTATCACAACTCCGTCGTCGAGGGTAACGACTCATATGGTCACCAAAGTTCTGCGAACATCGTAGAGCAGATAAGACATTCTGACGAAAACGGCTTCGAAGGCCTTTGGGGCCTCGACGACTTTGAGGACCTCGACAACTTGAACAACCTTGAAAATCCCGACAACTTCAACGACTTCGATTTCGACGACTACGGCGGCTTCCACGACTCCGACGACCCCAACAATTTTGAAGGCGACACGCCCCTAAGCACAGCTATGCGGTCGCTCTTCAGTCGGCCGTACTGAAAACGTATTTGGATCCTTCAGGAGGTTATGCTCGCCCGATCTGTGGTGGTGTTTTGCGGTGATTATCGTGTTGACTGGTCCAGATTCGAGGAATTCTTCAGAATTGCAAAAGTCCTTCGAGAAAAGCCAGGCGAAGCCAAGCGTGTTTCCGATATCCCTGGAAGCCAGGACGCTAGGGCTATCATCAATGAGAAAGCTGAGATCACTTCTGGTCAAAGGTTAGAATATATTCTTGACACTTTCGAGGGATGGCAGTGTGAGAAGCCTCAAGACAAAGTGTATGGTTTGCTCGGCCTTGTACCAGAGCATCGCAGGGTTCCCATTGACTATCAAAAGTCATTGTACGAGATCTTTACGGACGTCATCCACCGTGTTGTACACGATGAGAGTCACCTTGATGTGGGAAGTCACATTACCCTTGGCCGTCTGCTGAAACAGTCTCTCGCTAAGGGCGAATCATATTCAAAGCTATCAAGCTTGGATGTAGAGCATTATGTCAGAATGGTCCACGCTGAGCAGAGAACAGCTAAGCAGCCACCACATCGACTTGTAGGTGATGATGCTATGGCACGGTTTGTCTAGGAAATGCGCAACAGATTTACCATAGATCTACATTGCCTCGTCATCGAAATGCATACACTCGTTTACCACTGCGTGAAGAGCTTCATAGTATTTTTAACATTCCGAAAAAGAGAGAAGCTCGGCATTTTGGACAACTAGTAAACTCGCGAGGCTACCCCAGATAGTGTTAACATAGTGTACGCAGATAGGAAGTGTATCCGCTATCCCCAATTCCCATGAGTACGTTGAAGCCCCATAGACAGTCGCAAGAAAGTGTACGGATATCTACTGTACGACATGCAATCCTCGACAAACCCAAAAACAAGAATATTCTAATAGAAAATGACACTCCACACACAACCCAGCGACCCCTAACCCTCAATCCGCCGGATCATAACTCTCCCAAAAATCCGAATCATACCCATCCAGCAACTCACAATCCTCGCTCTCATAACCATACGGATCCCGCCCTCCCAGCACCCCTCCCCTCCGCCACCCCCTCCTCGCCCTCTTCTCCCTCCCGGGATTCACACCCCTCTCCACCCCCCTCACCATGCCCCCCAGCCCCATCTCCTCATGACACCCCCTGCAAACCCCGGTCCCCTTCCCCCCCAACTCCCGCTCATACCCCCTGCACTCCCGGCAAAACACATGCCGCACCCCGCTCACGATGACCTCGGACCCCGGCGCGTACCGCGACGCGCGCGTGCCAGGGTCCGGGCGGATGCCGCAGGCGACGCAGAAGCGCTTGTGCGGTTCCTTGCCGTTGAGCCCGCGCGCGCCGCGCACCATGGTGTCGGCGAAGGCGGGGGCGGGGCGGAGGCGTAGGCAGAGGGAGCAGGTCCAGAGCGGGAAGCGGCGGTTGCGGGCCCAGGGGGTGCGTTCGAGGGCGAGGAGGGGGCCGAGGGACGGGGGTGGGAGGAGGGTGTGCAGGTGGTGGCAGGTGGTGCGGAGGGCGAGGATGGTTTCGGTGGGGAGGAGGTCGGTGATGGAGAGTTGGAGCTCGGTGGGGAGGGAGAGGAGGAGGGAGAAGGGGGGCGGGGCGGTGGTTTCGGTTTTGGGGGAGGTGAGGGTGGAGGGAGCGCTTTGGGGTGGTTGCTGGAGAGGAGTCAGTACTCAGGACTCGATTTGCGGGTTCGAATCTGATGTTGGATCTAGACACATAGAGTCGGAAAGGTAGAAGCGTAATCACTTACAGGTGGTAGGCGTGCTTGCTCTCTCTCGAGCCTCCAAATTGTTTCACTGACCTTGATTTGCATTGGGTCTGGAGGGGTAGAGGCCTTGGGCATCGTCGTATATGCCTTTGGGTCCACTAAGTTTGGCGGTTCGAAACCGCTTGATGGTGGATTTCGAACTTCAGTGGGTTTACTGCTCCAGACGACATCCTCCATCTTTGACGCTTGCTCGTTGAAGTCCTTTTCTGTAGTAGGAATAGCCCACAAATCCTCCTCACTCCTCCGCTTCAGGACAGGTTTCTTTGGAACAATACTGTTCCCAGCACTCATAGCTTTCTTCGGCCGAAAGCTAGGCCCTTTAAAGCTCCTCCACCCCTCTAGGTCCTCTACACTCTCTTGCACAACCGGCTTCGCTGGAATATCCCAGATACTCTTTTCCTTCATCTGCTGTTTCCTAGTCCTCCTTTTGTGAGTGTTCTTACCAGTACCCTTCACAGGGGGGCCTGTGTATGTCCACAAGTCTTCATCTTTCGTGTCGTGGATATTTGAGAAGGGCGTCTTCTTGGACATGGTGTTGACATTGAGCAAAGGAAAGTCAGGTCAAGGTCTGGGGAGGAGTGAGTTTTCTATTTTCAGCTCCTCGGCCTGGAGCCGAGTTTCGTGCTCGTATTGCACAGCCTGCGAGGCTGGATTTGAGGTTGGACGGGAGGACGGGAGGGGCCGTGGGCGGTTAGGGACCTATGTGGCGTGCATCAGGGCGGTTAAGTGTGGCTGTGCTAAATTCCAAGGTTGTCCCCTGAGGCCCCAACCTTGAAACGAAAGTTCGATCTCGAGTGAGGGAGTTCAAAGTTCACTTGCTAGTACTCCTAGGAGAGGTAGGGCGCATACACGTAATGATAGCGTAGACACTTAAACTAGTTACTGAAGTATTCAGTCGTAAAATGTCACTTGTCGCCTTAAAGAAAGCTTGGCATGATTGCCCATTCAACTGTGCTCCCACGCCACCAGTGTACGTTCCATATCTCGAATCCGGTTGTAATACCACTCTCATGGAGCTCTTTTGCGCCTTGGGATAACATTTCGTAGTCTTACATGGCAAGGGCGCGGAGTTCAGCGCTGATCGCCACATCATTTACCGGATCGAATTTCGAGATCAGATCCGGTTGATATTCTAACGCCGCTCCTCACCACCAACATTCCCAGTAAGCTCGGCAACGCGAGCTTTGATGCGAGCTACACGGCTCTCGATAGTCTCCTCCCCACTGCTTTCGCCGTCATTTGCGGGGTTGTCTTGGCTCTGGGTCTGTCTGCGAGGAACTTCCTGTCCCGCCGCAAGTTCTGCAACACCTTCAGCAGCTGCCTTCTTAGCCTGAGCCAATCTGTCTTGCGCAGGTCGAGAAAGAGAGGTGGCATCTACTGTCTCTAGGACGTCTAGAGAAAAGTCTGCGATTGAGATAGCTTTAAATGCAGGTTCCGGATTCGGTTGATCGTCTCCAGAGGTTTGTGGCGTGCCTTTGGCGGCCTGCTGTTGATATTCCTCGAAACTTCGCAGGTCATCCCAAGTGTAAAGCTCCGTAGTTGAAAGGTAGATATCCAGATGCCGAATTGCCGCTTTTTGGGCACCTACTTTCGAAGAAGGCTTTTCAGATCGCGTACAAGAGCAATTAGGAGAAATAAAATCGGATGATCCGATTGAGGTCGGAGACAGCGTCAAGTCGGCTAAGGACATCGCTGTTATACGCTTGGACGCGACTGGGTTGAGCATGAATAAGCACCAGGATATAGAGGTTTCCGATATCCGAGGCTGGATGTTCTGAAGCATCCGGACCCAACGAAGGGTCGTTTCGGGATGCAAGTGGTACGCACGTTGACCAACAGGGCCTCGCGTAGATGCAAATTCAGAAAGTGAAGCACCGGCATAAATAGTCGTCATTTCGAGAAAGACGCAGCCTAATGACCAGATATCCGAGGGACGGCCTCTGTGTTCACTTGCTGCCACCTCCGGCGCGCAATACATTTGTGTTTTCTCGGTTACCCCATAGGTCATCGTAGTCAACTGATCTTCAAAGTACTTTGAGAGGCCAAAGTCGGTCAGAAACACGGCATCGTCCTTGATTAGGATGTTCGCTGGCTTAATATCCCGATGCCGAACGCGCTCCTGGTGGAGATATGCGAGTGCTTGCGCAAGGCACAGGTACCATTTCCCCAATCTCTTGCGGGCTTTCTGGAGTAGTTGAGCGGCCTCCATCTCCATTTGACGGTCCCGGTAGTCTTGAAGATCGGATTCCTGGTCTTCTAGGAATTCAGCAAGGCTTTGCTCCGCCACCGTCGGCATCAAGATACCGAAAGCAATGGCCCTACTTTTGGCATCGAGTTCCTCGTAGGTAAACGCGACAGTGATAACGTGAATATGTTTGAGACGATTGAGAATCTGCACCTCTTCGAGGACGGAGCGTAGCAGGCTGCGATGTTTGCTGGGGAGACGCGGCAAGCGTACGACCTTCCGAGCCATCACTCGCCCTGAATGCAGGCCTCCGGTTACTTGCACAGCGTCGACAATAGAAAACCCTCCTCTTCCAAGCTCGCGAATATGGCTGAGCGGGGGTGGGTTCGACGCCGCGTAGACCTCATGCCATACTTCCTGGAGAGCTGAGCCGGAGGACACCATCGACGCCATGGTTATGAGCCGGAATAAATGGCAATGAATAATATATGGCACGAGTGTTTTTGCTGACGAATGAGATAACACTGTGGGTATGGAAGGAAGACTGATCTGCGTTAAAATGCAGCGCGGCTGAACCTCCACAGCCCGGCCGACTCCGCCTGCTCTCGATTCGAAAACGCCCGCAGCTATTCGCGCCAATCGCTGATTACGGAAAACCAAGTGCTAATTTACAGTCTGGCGAGGCCTAACACTTCCCATTTAGGATCATTTCTGCTTGAACTGAACCTACATTTGGTGATGCCAAAGTTGTGCCAAGCCTCTCACGAACACAAGGCTGATACAGGCACACAGGTAACCCCCAACGGCAAGCTATTCCCAAGGCTCTGGTTGATCGCCGCCCCACACACAAGCGTCGTGCGTTCAAGTCCATGGGAATGTCGAAGAACGATGGAGAAGAGTCTTGAAGCCTGGACTGAGCGCACGTCAGTGTGGTTTGTCAACTGGTACCGAGCGACTGCCGGCGTCGGACGCGAGCGAGACCGTTGAAAAGCCGCCCAGCACGGCGGCGGCTTGCTTCTTGTGGCTGGAGGATTCAACGTCGCTCCCGCGTGGGATGCAGGCACGCGCAAGCCCTATCAAATGCGGCAGCGCTGTCGACGACGCGGGTAGCAGTGGCAACGTGATCGGGCAACGAGTGCTGAGAAGGCCATCTCCGATCGAACGGCATGCCGGCCGTCTGGTCGCCGGCACTGGGAGCAGAAATACAGCTCGCTTGGCGTGGTGTCGACGGGAGCAACGGTGCTGGGGCGTGATTCGGCGGGCGGCGGCATCAGGCAGTCAGGCGCTGCTGGTGACGATGTGCATGGCGCACTGAGCCGTACTGTACGACATCAGCTGACGGACCTGCGCGGGCTGTTTTATTCGTCGCATGTGCGCAGAGGCGGGAGTGTGGGAGTGCGGGAGTGTGTCGACAATGTGCTGGCAAATCGGGCGTGCCTGGTGGCCGTCAGCCTGCGGGAGACCCGTCCAACAGCAATCGTCATGCCTCATCAGCGACTCGGCCTACACCACGCCCTCCCCCAGCCGCCAAAAAATCTCCGGATCCTGCGCCACCTCAGCAGTGCATCGCCAGAAGCGACTGCCCCGAGGCCACCTGTCCAGCACCCTTTGGCCCGTCTGAGCCCGCCCGCCGCGCCCGCCGCTTGAGCCATTTCTCGCTTCTCCATTGACCACGTCGGCCAGCATCCATCGACACTTCACTCTGCACGGCGACTCACAGCATGCGAAACTCCTGCCGCTCCCCCACGCCCGCATACCCGACACAATGACCACCAACGACGGCGACTTTCGCAGCATCACAGGAGCGATGCAGTCGGCCGAGCCCCCAGCCGTGGCCGACGACACACCCGGAGCAGCGTCCGCGAGCGGCACTCAAACACCGTCGACCACTCCCGAGGGCGGATCCTACGCCCAGATGCGCTCGCAGGTGCTTGCCGGATCACGATCACTGAACCTGTCGGCCTCGCCCTCAACAGCAAATTCACCGCTGTCGTCCAGGGACAGCTCGCCCGCTAGACCGCCACTGCGCCCCGGGGCAACCACAGGCTCCATCGCAAAGTCAGGACTACGCTCCCGGAAGAGCAGCACTGACGTGAGTCCAAATCGAGGTGCCAGCTTCGCCGGTTCGGGCAATACAGTTCCCTCTGCGGCAGCCATCCAGCGGGCCTTGTCTACGGCCAACACACCCCAGCTCCCGCCCATCGCAGTACCAGACCCTTCGAGGGTTCCCCGGCCGCAGAAGCCGGCGTCAGGCACAAATTCTGGGGAAACCACACCCCACTGGCCTGTGTCTCCACGTCTGAAATCACCTCCCCCGGCTACCGACTCACGCTCACGATCACGCCGCAACTCCCTCCGCACACAACCCCGGAAAGTCGAATCGACGTCTACTGCCCCCGCTATCGTCGTCCAAAGCTCGTCTCCAGCGCCGTTGTCACGGATACCGGCCAAGCATGAAGGCATAAATATTGATGCTGAGGAGCAACTACAGCCGATTATGAAGGGTTCTGCAAGGGGTGCCAGCGGCACGGCGCCAACTCTAGAAACAGTCCAGGAAGGCAGCCTACCTACCACTCCGGCGTTCGATGGGCTTGAACCACAACCGCAAAGGTATGGTTGAGAGAACATCTAGAGCGCGGACACGGAGCTGACCTAACGGCTCCCGTGGCATGTGCTTTCCGTCATGACCGAATAGTACTAACTTTTCACCAGCTCTATACCAGGCTCTCACAGTGCAAAATCCTCTGACGAAGACCGATCCCAACCTGCCTCCACTAAAGTAACCGAAGACCTCAGTTCGAAAACGACAAAAGCTGAGAGTGGAAGCGACAGCGGACCCAACAAAGCTGAGAACAGAGGCAGGACGCTTGACCACCGTGTTGCGTCAACACCAAAGTCGGCCACACTTCCTTCCAAGACCTCGTACTCCTCACTTAGGGCCAACCCGCCACGGTCCGTCCCGGATATTCCTTCTAAGAACATGACTGTTGAGACAGAGACGGTCCCTTCGATACCCCAGGCCGTCCTGGGCGCTAATCAAGGGGAGAGAGTCGCTTCCGGTCGGGATGCAAGTGGCAGTCTACGGTTGAAGGCAAGCAACGAGACTATTCGCCCAAAGCCGGCCAAGAAAAAGGCATCACGAAAAGCTCCCTCGATAAATTCGGGTACTGGTATGTCCTCGCGCGCTCATTATTTTCATCATCATCACCATCCTAGCGTTAGTTTGGATCATCGTCCACGCTCACGTGCTGCGACTTCATTTTCCGGCAGTCCGATGGCACACGAAAAATCGCCGTCAAGGGCGACCTTAATGTCATCGAGTCCGGAAATGGTTGCTCGCAGACCTTCATTACGGACCTCTTCCTTTACTCCGTCTTTCATATATCTTTATACATACACTAACGCTGGTGCTCGAAAAGCGTCCTCCAAAGCCGACGTCTTCGAAGCCAAGGTGGCTAGCGCCGTTGACGAGGCCAACTCCTCCGACTCTGATGAGACCTTCGTCTATGAGTCAAATCCAGACTCTCAACCCCTTCGAAGCCGAAATCACCACTCTAGAACTCCCAGTATGACGTCGATAGCCAGCCTTGCGGATCCTCGCAGTGTGGTCCGAGAATCCAACAAGGTCGTCGGCAAGAGGAGCATGAAGTTTGCGAACAATCCTTATAACAACGGCAGCCCCGACAATGATGGTAATGACCGAGCAGAAGGTACTATGCGTAGCGGAATGTCGCGGCCTAGCGGCGGGAGTAGTATTCACCATCATATCGGACGCCACGGTCAACCCAGAGGAGGACACCACACATCGCTCTTTGACCACGATTCTCCCTTCCCTCAAAACTCGAAAAGCCGCGTCATGGCATCCCGACAATCCTCCAGGCCCACGAGTCCGAGGTTCCCAAACCACAACCCCCGGACGAACGGCAACGGCAACGGTACCAAGAAGAATGGAGAATACTCGACATATGATATTGACGGAGAAGGCGCTGCGGATGATGAGCGAACGCCATTAGTGGGAACGATTCGCGGTCCGCGTACTCGTCCGATCCGAAGACCAAATACCGGGAGTATTCGCGGAATCGATTCTTTTGATCGGCATCACAGTAGTGGCGGCTGGTTCCGCAGGTTTGCTGGATGCCTCGTTCTATCAATACTGCTGCTCGTTTTAGTATTCGGTGCCGTTGGACTCATATTCGCAACAACGAAACCACTGTATGGAGTGGGTGTTCGAGAAGTACAGAACGTCATTGCCAGCGAACAGGAAATCATCATGGACCTTCTCGTCGAAGCAGTAAATCCGAACATTATCGGCGTCACCGTTGCGGACATGGATGTGCTCGTCTTCGCCAAGAGCAAGCATGTCGCTTCAGAGAGGTGGTGGCGCGAGCATGGTCCTCAACATTCTCCCATCGATAAACACGGAGACTTTCTCAATTCCCTGTCCCCGAAGGCTGTTTCCAGCTCTGTAAAATTGGAGACTGAAACGCAGCAGCTCCATACAAGCGACGGCGTCGACGAAGGCACTGATCCTATCCCCGATGACGACGAGGGCAACGGCTATATCATGGAACTTGGGCGAATCTTGCACTTCGACTCGCCGCTCAATTTCGATGGATCATTTATCAAACGCCACCCCCATTACTCTCTCGGCGAGTTCCGCATCTCAAAACCCGGTAACAAAACTGAGACCGGAGGCACAGAGAGATGGGAGAGGGTTCTTGAGTATCCATTTGAGCTTCTCGTTCGTGGCGTTCTGAAATACCAGCTTCCCTTAAGCACCCGAGATCACACGGTACCGATCAATGGCAAATATTTGTACGATCCCAGCAAAGAGAAGGCTTCAGCTGCTGTCACGATGAAGATCGACAGCGGGCATATCATGGAAGATACCCATAGGCGGAAAAATCCGGTATGGGGTCGATGGGACGCCCGCGGACGACCTTTCCACACCCACTCAACATAATTCCGCCCTCGTCGGTCTTCTCCCTTCACCTCCTCCTCCGACCCACACCATTTATGACTTTAGACTGGCCCGACTCGCACGTCCAGCCAAATTTACAGCTCTTCAGCATTAACGACTATTTCCTTTCAACTTCTCATGTACGACTTTGATAGCGAAGCGGGATTGTTTGTGTCTTTTCTGCATGCTCTGCGTTATAGCGTGGTGTCGATGGCCTTTTTATTTGCACATTGGAGGAACACTTTTCGCGTCCTTTTTTCATGCCCTCCGAATGTATTCATTGCATTTTTTCTCTATCAAAGTAGCCGGGCCTTTGGATTGCCAGCGGGGATATCGGAAACTCGACGACCCGCCGATACCGATGTGTGGTATCGTCACAGACCACCGGGGCGGCGACCCCCAAAATACCGGCATCCTTCGGCGCGAATGCTAGTCCGGCTCTGCGACATATCTACCACATTGGACGAAGGACTGGGAGGCGTTTTTTCTACTTCTCTCCTGCTTTTTTTCAATGCAAAAACCCCCGTGGAGGGGTTGGGGTTGCGCAGCACCCCGTTTTGTATCATCTGCAAAAGCCGGCCTCCCGTGGTTTCGGGCTTTGCGTGCCCCTGAGATTGTTCACCTGTATTGGTAGTGCGAAATGGAAATCATTGGGCTGGTTATGGATGGGTTAAAAAGCGTGCATTGTTGATTTTGGGGGGAAATAGCTGAGGTTGGTGGTGGGAGAGGTGAGAGAGGCTTGGAGATTCGGTGGGAATGGGGGAGGTTTGGAGTGTTGAGTGGGTGCAGTTGGGGAATGATACCAGTGGCAGTGGCGACATTTTGAGGGTGAGCGCGAGGCAGTGGGAGGCTAAGGGGCGAGGGAAAGGGGGAGGAGGGAGTGGGATGTATAGTACATGTGCCACCGATGAGAGACTCGAGGTTGGCTGTAGAATGGACTGGTTAGGAGTATGATTGTGCACGTGTGCCGGCATGTGATCGTGATTTGTCGACGTCTGACAGGTATAAATGCTAGCAAGCTTCGGGGTTTCTCGGTTTCGGTAGAGCGATAGATGTCTGTGAGGTTGTTCAAACCTAACTCAGATGTGGATTCGGACAGTGCTCATCCCGTATGTAGACGGGGAGAACAGCTTGGCGGGTATTGGGCTATAATGATGCTCTTCACCGCAGCACAACTGGAAAAGATCTCATCGCGAAGATGGTATGATACCGTACAGCTTAGACGTTCAAGGATAGCTAACATCTAACTACACGTTCTGATCTTGTCCCCCACTATTTTCAAGAGTAGATGTGCAGCATCAACCTAAAGTGGGTGACCGCAGGTCCCCAAATCTCCCATCAGGCCCAACATCAGGAGTATTTGGTTCAAGAGTTTTGCACACACGGCAAGCACGTCCATCATAAGCTTTGTCTTCGCATGTTTGATACCAGAGTACCACACATCGGTCGGACAAGCCGTTGATTTTGAACCCCCCCCCCCCCCAACACCGCACCAAGTCCCAGACATCGATGCGATCCCATAGCCAATTTGATCCTCCCCGCGGCCAACACTGTGGAAGAAATGGAGTTCTGACGAAGCAGAGTAAGCTTTTATAGGAGAAAGTCTAAAGGAACACGTGATTTGAACCCTTTGCACATGTTATATAGCAGCATACAGCGAAAAACCAATATATACAGCAACTGCCTAAAGAAAGCTGAGAGAAGAAGTAAAAAAGTCTTGCCATACTAATCACACAACCATCACCCCCCTCGCCGTTCATCATCATAACCGCCGTTTTCGGCATCCACGAATACCATCCATTAGCCTGTCCGAAAGTGGTCTCGGAAGCCCCCAGCTACTCAAGCCACCCATCCCATCCCATCCCATCCCATCCTCTCCCCTTCCAGCATCCAGATGCCTTCAAACAGCCTTCATGCCAAACTCGCCAACCCCCCCACCACCGCCGCCCCCAAACTCGCCACCCCCCTTACCACATTCAACCCCGCCCACCGCTCCACCAGCCGATCCACCGGCTCCTCCCCGGCCTCCACCACCCCCTTGCCCCCCGTCCCCTGCTCCCGCTCCTGGTTCAGCGCCAGCAGCCGCTGGTTCGTGCCCCACATGACCAGCCGCGTCCACGGCGCCATCGCGAACGCCGCGGCCGCCGCGACGCCGTACAGCTTCGCCGTGCTAGCTGCGGCAGGGAGGGCGGAGGCGTGGGAGGCGTAGGCGAGGACGGCGAAGGCGGTGGTCGAGGTCATGGAGAGGGTGACCATGGGGGTGATGCCGGCGGAGTAGAGGGCCGTCCATTGCGCGAGCAGGAGGGGGTGCGGGGAGAGGAGGATGGTGGGGATTGTGAGGAAGGAGGTTGAGAGGTTGGTGCCTGTGGTGGGTTGTGTTAGTTGGGAGGTTAGAGGTGAGGGGGAGCGCAAGTTGGTGGGGTGAGGAGGGAGAAGGTACGGACCAGCTGCGAGGGCGGCGGAGATGATGGCGTAGCCTTGGAGGAGTGAGGTTGAGGAGGGGCTGAGGGGGAGTAGGGAGGCCATTGGGGGTGTTGGGGTTGGGTTGGGTTGGTGAGGAGTTGGGGTTGAGTTAGAGTTGTTGTTGACTTTGTTGAGCTGAAGCTGATGTGATAGCTGCACTAGTGCTTGTATGGACTCGGAAGGTAGGCAAGTAGTCGAGGCAGATTCGGAGGATGCGTAGATGGTGACTGAATCCTACGAAGCCGTCGTAATTTAAGTACTGTCTTTCATGCACAAGAACGATGTCGGCACATCGGAGGATCCAGATAACTATCAACACTAGCAGCTTACAAAGGTATGCTCTTGCGGCCGTAACCGGCGACGTCATCGGCCCGACACCACAGTGAAAGCAGAGCTGCTTGAAAAGGGACAGCTCGGGCGTTTGCAAGTTCTGTAGCTGCTTAAGAGTCCAAGGTGAGTGATTAGATGATCAACGGAGCCTCGGAGCGATGTTGATGTATGAATCTCAGACGATCGTCCTGTTTCCGATTCATCTTCCTCGCCAATCAGATCGCTAGCATTTCCACAACAGTCCCATCTCAAGTTCACTGCCCAAAGTCAAGAGTCAAGATTATCCTCGCAAGAGAGCTGCAGAGTTTTATAGATCAGATAGGCAACAAAGCAGAGTTTTTTCAAACAATAGTAGGTATAGTTCATGGGTATCAAATACATAACGAGATTTATCCACCCTCGCTCTGCTCGTGAGCGTATTACGAGAACAAACTCCCTGTCGATCTTCCCTAAATTGTTTCCAAATCCCACGTCCATAACCCAACATGAAGTCTAACGGCCAGTTCGTTTCTATATGCCTCAGTCCTCCTTGCCCAAAATCACTACCCCAAGCGCCAGGAACTCCGTCGTGAGTTTGGTCATCAAACGTGTTTATAATGTAGCCAACGCCGTGGTTAAGCCGAAAAACGCCACGTCAAGAAAAAGATATGTATATGAGCAGGAGCCGTGGTTCTCCCTCGATCACCGCACGCCGTACTCCGGCTTTCTCGCCATGTTGACCACAGGCGGCGGGCCATCAGTGTCGGGATACGGTAGCACGATGCCCGCCGGCGGGCGCGACAGGGTGCCCTGCATACCAGGCTTGATACCAGGCTTAACATCGTGCTGGATCGGTGTCTTTGGGGGCCGTGGCGGAGGCGTGTTAGGCATTGTCTCGCTGCTAACGCGCGGCTCCTCACCGCTGCGGCGGGGCGACTCCTTGAAGGAGCCGGCGGACGAGCTGTGGGGTCGAGATGTAAACTGCTCGTTGCTGCGGCGGTAGCCTGAGGTTAATTCGCCTGAATGGCGGGGGTCGAAGGTGGGGAACTCGTCAGCGGACGTGATCATGATCTTCTCGGATTCCAACGGCCGGCGTTGGTTGTGCTGGTAGTTGGATGGGGAAAGGAGTTGTGACTGCGGACGCTGGTGGTCGTAGCTTTGAGGGGGGACGTCTTCGTTCGCTGGGAGCTCGATGGCCATCGGCTCTGTATAGGTAAACGAGGATGGCGGCGCCGGGAGAGGGCGGTCCCATTGGCCTCCTTGTTGCTGTGCATATTGGTTTTCGCCGTTCTGGGCGCGCTCCCAACGTATCTTTGCACGGTAGATACGACCAAGTTTAGCTGCAGCGTCCAGATTCTTACTCTGCACGTCAGGATCCGATAGATACCTGCGTGTGTTTGTGCTGATGTCTGCTAGCCGGCCCCACTCGTTCATACCGAACTCTCCGACGCCGACGTTCACGTTTAAGCGATAGTAGTTCTCCGGGTTGACCTGGCGCTTGGCCAAGGAGTCTTTCATTGACAAGTGTGTCTCTTCGCAGCCTTCAATCTTGGAGATGAGCCGGCGTCGTGCTTCCGCGAAGTTCCCCATGTTAGATCCAACGAAATCCTCCCACCACTCTTGCTTCCGCCCATCTGAGCCGGGCGGCCTTTTGCCAGTGCCAATGCTGACGAAGACGCCTACTTCGCGGCCAGGCCACTCGTTGCAGACGGCTTCGTCAAGAATCTGCGGCGCTGGATTGTACTTCCCAGCACCTTCGTCGATGAAAACAGACTGGCCAATCTGAATGGGTTTGAATGCCAGGCCAGTTGCAGAGGTTGCGCGACCGGCTTGCCATATAGTGCAGTTGAACTCTGGGGCCGGTTCTTTGCGAGAGTCGTACGAACGAAGGAGCACTGAGTTGCCCTTCTTGGGGGTGCCTTTGTATACTGCTGTAACCGCACTATATCACGTATTAGCATTCATTGAACAGTAGCTTTGGTACGGTACTTACGTCTTGGTCCGGTTTTCCCTCGAATCGTACATAAGAGCGTTGGGGTTTCCGTATTTCATCGCGGCAATCCGTTGATTGAGTGGCGTCGACCCGATCTGACTGTACCGACTGGCATTGCTCTGACTTCTTTTAGGAATGTGATAAGCGCTTCCGGGCGTCATAGGCGTCATAGGCGTCCTGAGGTCCACGTTTGACGATTCGTCGTTGTCGTTCCCTTCGTCGTCATAGATGGTGTGTTCCCTCACGCACTCCATGATAGCCTCTTCCAGTTTGGACGCCTTGAACAGGGTGGATCGGTAGGGTATGCCAGCAAATGTCTTATCAGTCTCGAAGACTTTCTTCGTCATCCGTACGTAGACGTCCTTGCAAGTGTCGATATCCATCCGCAGTCGGCCCAACATTATGGCGATCAGGCCGCCTGTGCCCGTCCCTCCGATGAGATCGAAATGGTCGCATGGCTTCGGGATTTCGTGTCGTTTCGGTGCGCGGCCCTCGATCTCGACAAATGTCCGGTGCATGAGCTCTTGAAGCAGAATGAGCATGGAGTAGCCTCGAACACCTCCGCCATCTAAATCGTCAAAGTCAGTTTGGGTCTTACCCGCAACGCGGAAATCACTTACCTAGTGATAGAATGCGCAGAGGCGGGCCCTTCGTGGTGTCTTTCCGCCGTATCCCACTCGATGCCATGGCCATGTCTGTAGTATGTGGTTGTTGGTGGTGGGAGGTAGCTCTGAGAGATGACGTGGTGGTATAAAAGGCGAGGGAAGATGCTTTAGTGTATTCCAAGCAAGGTTCGAATAGTCGTCAGCCTGTAGCCGCAGCTGAAGACCGGATTGTTTGTCGCAAAGGGCTGATATATTCACGAGCAAGGCTGCGTAGCAAGCGCGGCTTGTGTCAGCAAGGACGCGGGTGGCTCGTCGAGGCGTTCACTCAGGCTGACTGCAAAGCGAGGCGGAGGTTGGTCGGAGCGTGTGGAGTTGGTTGTAGTCGTCAGGAAGGCGATAGTGATAGATGGAAGAGGCTGGATACATAGGCTTTGCAGGGCTATTCACGTGGTCTTGATTGCTGGACGGCGGCGAATGTGCCGAGCGCTTTCCTACTTACTCTCCATCACCCATCGAGGGGCGAACTCGCGCCCACATCCGGCCAACGTCACGGCCCAGCATCAGCTTTGCCCGCCTTGCACAGCCACTGTCCTCGTTCTATCCACCACTCACAGTGCGTCACTACCCATCACTGGCCAAGCTTGATTATGGAGAAACCGTTGATTCGAGCACAGCAGCACCCCTCGGGCCCTCTGGACGATCGTCAAACCTGCAGCGGCTCTCTCCTGTCCCGTGTCGGTGCCGCCAGGAACAAGTCTTCCACCTTCAACGGACCCAATGACATGCATCCGTGCCAGCGTGGATGGCCACGCGGTCCCATTCTTCGGACTGCTAACGTGAACCGCAAGCCAGTCGTGGTTAAGGTGGGCCAGCACAGGGTCCAAAGATGCCGGAGTCTCCGAGATCGATGGAGCAGAATGCTATGTTGGTATTCACCATGAAGCCTTGCTCTTCACAGCCGAGCCGCGATCATGACCCTACTCGGACTATGGCCGAGTTGTCTGCATGTCCTAGAGAGCTCATGACATCGTGGGCTATGGAGCAGGATGCTAGCGCATAATCTACGATAGGTTTTGAACGCTTTTGTCCAATTATTATTCCGGTTTCAGCCCTAGGCTCCGCAAGAAAAGTGGATTGATGTGATTTCCGAGCATCTCAACAGTGCAAAGAGTGATATGCAGGAACGAGCACAATGTGGCGTCTCTCTAATGTTGCCGAACACGGAGTAGAGATCACAGATTTCAAGCTCAGATTTAAGGGAAGATTGATATCCCAATTTCTGTAGCACGACGAAGGCATCTGAACATTTTCAAGCTAGCAGCCGAGCCTCAGTCGGGATTCGGCGACTGGGATGAATAGCATCAAAAACAGTGATGTTGTGATAGAAGAGTCTCCATATCGTCAAACGCGCAGCAAAGTCGACAATGGTCATGTGGCTGGCTACTACGGCATTTTGCGGCCGTTCCGGACGATCTTCCGGAGCGGCATAAGCTAACGCGCTGGAGAAATAGCATCCATCCGCCCTTATCACGCCTATCGAGTTCCTAAAGTTGGGGTAACATGTTATCAAACCTCGAAGTGCGCGCGAAGTGTTACACAACCACCTAGAGCAAGAACCACCGTTATAATTCTTCCTGCACTCCACTGACATCTAGCATACTGAGCCACTCTGACCTGAATCGACGAATTGTACAAAAGCAACATGAAGATCAGCCAGGTAAGTCAGCTTCACTTCGATAGATTCATCTTATTGAATATCCCCTTAAATAGCTATACACATACCCTATCAAGTCACTACGGCCTACAGCACTTAGTGAAACTGCTGTCACGAGGCATGGCTTTCCATACGACCGGAAATACATGCTGCTCAGGGTCCGTCCGGATCGCTACGAACCTATGCAGGTCTCCAAAGTCACAGCAATGACCCTGTTCTTCACCCGCATCATCTTCCCCGACGAGGATGAATCTGGAGCTGGCAGTATTGTCGTAACATTTAGGCCTCCAGGTGGCCAGGAGAAGCAGCTATCGGTTCCTCTACAGCCCGACGTCACTGGCTTAGATACTGTTGAGGTTACTATGTATCGTAGCGGCCTTGACGGTTACAAGATGCAAGAGAGCTTCAACAAGTGGTTCTCTGACTGCTTTGGCTACGACGTCGTCTTGGTTCATGTGGGTAATAACACGAGACCCTCTCTCTTTGGAGAACAGGAGATCGACAAGCCAACAGGATCATGGTTTTCAAGCATCACGAGCCTTGTCCCAAGCTTAGCCATGTCGAAGCCAGATTACGATCAGCTCACGTTCACGGACTGTGCTTCGTATCTTGTTGTATCCCAGAAGTCATTAGACGACGTATCCTCACGACTTCCAGATGGCGAAGAGATGGATATCACCAAATTCAGACCAAACGTTGTTGTGGACGGAGCCGAGTCAGCGTGGGAAGAAGACTTATGGGGAGCAGTGCGGTTAGGCGATGCTGAGATATCCCTCAGGCACAACTGTGGTCGCTGCCCAAGCATCAACATCGACTACTCTACTGGCAAACCCGGGACTGGAGAAGCGGGGACTATTTTGAAAAAGTTACAGAAGGACAGGAGAATTGATACAGGCTCCAAGTATAGTCCTGTCTTTGGGAGGTACGGATTCTTGGAGCCGAAGGATGACGCGAAGCGAGTGAGAATAGGTGACGAAGTATTCGTTACAAAGCGAAACTCGGAACCGACAACATGGAGTGCGCTCCCGATAGAAAAGAAATGCCAAAACCCACGCTAACAATACTGCAGATTGGAAAATGTAACGATACCGGGCTATTGAGAAGGGCGTCCTCCCACGACCTCACCACTTCGACGTTAATGTTTGAACGACATTTCCCTTCAACTTCATGATTTATCAACAACGTTGCCTGTAAAAATTGATGGACTACCTACATACATCTGATTCAATCTAATCATCTTCCCGTGATCCATTATCATAGTCTTCTCCCTCTTCAAAGCTCTCATCATTCCGCCTGCGGCTTTCAGGCGACGTGAACTCCGGCCACTCATCGATCATGAGCTTGAGATACGCCAACTCTTTCAGCAACTCCTGAAGTTGTGTAACGCGCTTCCCCGCTTGCCTAGCAAGCTTAAGACACTCTTCTGATGCTGGCCGAAGCTTCTTAACAACCCTCTCGACATTTTCCTTCTCCTTCTGCGTAAGTTTCGGCTTCGACTGGAGCGTAGGCATCGCATTCATCGAGCTCTCCAAGCCGCGAATCAGCGACTGTAGCGACTTCTGAAAATCTTTGCTCTTCGCCAGCAGCTCCTCCTCTGAGCCATTCTCCTCGCTTTGATCTTCCTGGTCTTTCCCCTTCCTTTGATCGGCTTTCGGCTTAAACTGTACTCTCGCGTGCCAGAGCCTGTCTAAGATCTCGTCGTCGGCGTACATCTTGATGGCGCCCATCTCCTGATCAAATCCGGCTTTGAACTCTGTAATCACTGGTTCTGCGGCTTCGTAGCCTTCTGCAAGCTGGATGAGGGCTTTATCGAAATGGACGCTTCGCCCAGACCGTCTGGGTTCAGACCGAGGAGCGGAGCTGAAGTATCGAGAATCATCGTAGACAACAGCAGCGTTATGCGGTGATCTTACTTGGATTGCGCGCCCATACTCGTCATGCTCGGGCGGATATCTGCCGTAAGCCGGCGGGAGCGAGCGAGTCTTTGGGGGAGGATATCTCGACGACATGATCCTCGAAAATGAAAATTCAGTTGGTGTAGGCGGCCAAACTGAGATGTCTCCATTCGGTCTCCACCCGATTTATATGAGATCGATACGGCACTCTTGACAACGCCGACGTGACCTTGCACAATCAAACGTCTGGTCCAATGACTATTGTCTAATGGCATCACGGCCAGCGTATCTGGCAATTGTTTGCTCGGTTCAAACAACTCTCGCGCGCGATCATGAAGTTTGGAGCGCTGGATCAGCAAACTGGGTCATAGCTCTCCTCAACAAAGACCATCAGATAGATATACCCGTTGAGCAATATAATCTCCTCAGTTGCACGGACGTGTAGGACCCGCGGACCGGGCCGTCCGGTGAAGCCGAGTCCGAAAGAGCATAAATCATGATCACCATGTATTTTGAAGGTGGTGATTGATTCAAAAAGCAGGATCCAAGGGAACTATAATTGAAAAGTTTCACCCCTCGGGATATCTGTTCGGAACGCCCTCCTGCAGGGCGACCCTTCGAATGCCGATCTCCCGAACCCCTCCACCCCACCTCGACGACGTCAGGGACCCCGCGGTGGGGGATTTGTAAGTAACGTTTAGAGCTGATTTCAAATAGAGGTTTAACTTAACTAGAAGTCTACAAAAGCAGTAACCTACTACATTCAATTCCATTATATCTGCCAACTCAGTCCGATCAATATTCAAACACTATTGACGCTCGTAAACTCACTACGAGTTTGAGAACTACTGCCCTATGGCGTCCTCAGAATTCCCACCCGAGTCTATCCGCGAGATAGTGGCGGAAGTAGCGAGTTTGTTGAAGGAGAGGAAGGAGACGATTACTGTTGCAGAGACAGTACGAATAGCACCCTTCGTGTGACGCACTAGCTTTGAAGAGTCGTGCTGATGCATTGCATGTCTATGATAGGCGGCTGGTGGATTGATTTCTGCGGCTTTGCTGTCGAGGCCGGGCGCGAGTGGGTTTTATAAGGTATGTCGTGATCAAAATCTAATCAATTGAATGGAGTGCTGATGTGGTGCGATGATAGGGAGGGGTGACTGTAAGTTTGCTCCCTTCATTCAATTACTCCCATTACTCCCATTACTCCCATTACTCCCATTACCCTCCTCCCCCCCTCTTCTTCACTTTCCCCTTTCTCTCCCAACACACCACTCCACCCCCCTAACCCCCTCTTAGCTCTACACGCTCGAATCCCGCATCGCCTTCGCCGGCTGGACGCCCGAGCACCTAAAAACCTACGCCGGCCCGACCCCCGCCGTCGTCGCCGGGCTAGCCGAGCACGTCAACAAGACCCTCCGCTCGACCTACACAGTCTCCGAGAGCGGGACCGCGGGGCCGACGGGGGGCACGACGCGGAATAGGACGCCGTACGTGTAACTTCTTCCTGTGTAGATCGGTTTTGGAGGATAGATTAGCTGGGGGAAGTGAAGGAAGGGGTTTTTTTTCAGGGGCAGTGCTGACGATTGGTGTTAGGGGTTATGTTGCTCTAGCCGTCACGTCGGCCGCAGGCACGGTGACGCGTGAGGTCGAGACGGGGTTGGGCGAGGATCGGGAGGCGAATATGGTGAGGTTTGCGGTGGAGGGGTTGAAGCTTGTGAGGGATGTTATTACGGGGGAGGCGAAGTTGTAGGAGATAGCGGGGGAATGGGTTCTGGGTGGTGCTGATCGGGTAGCTAGGCAATGGTAGCTACAGTATAGGACAAGTTTTGATCCTGTCTTTGCTTATGAAGGAGATCATCTTAGTGTTCGGTCGAATCCGGTGTGGTTTAGTTGGTCATAATATGCTTTGTCTTTGTTAATGGCAAAGTAAGACCCAAGTTCGATCCTTGGCGCCGGACAGTGGCATATCCATTTTCTTTTTGCTGTTTAAGCGTAGATGAAGTGTTATTGAGTCCACGTTAGCGTTTTCTTCATCCTCGTGTTTAGTTCAGTCACTGAAATTAGTTTCAAATAATAAGAAATGGAATGATATAGAGACAGGGACGGATACATAATGACCTTTCCGACCATTAACAGCAAAGTACCAGCCCATCTATCAGATAGCCAATGCCAGGCTGATCCGGATATCGAAAGACGCCCACCAAGAAAGAAAGGGAAAAAAAATGAAATGACCAGGCCGTAAGAACGCCAGAAAACACCTAAGAACACCTCGTGACCATTCGCTGAAATGCGTTTATAAAATCCAATGGGTATCGTCGACGTATACAGGAGGCGCTGGTGAATCAGTCGTACAATCCCGGACTTTTCGTGTAACATGTTGATTAGTGCAACGTAGCAAGGTTGTAGGGAAACTGGGCAGAGAGTTCTCTGAAGGCGCAGTCCTCATGAGTCAGAGAACTGCACTCTGCCGTCTCATCCAGTCGCTAGACAGCCCCGACTCCGTAGCATCCAGCTTCGTTGGGTCACGAATGGTCCTGCGTACTGATATGATCCCGAGGAAACGTCGTGCTCGGCGTGACATGCTGCGATGCCTCTGGAGAATTGTCTGCCGAGCTATTGGGCGTCGTAGAGGGCGACTTGGATATTATATAGAGTTCGGGAAACGAGTTGAACAGCAGGTTCTTCCAGTATGCGCTCGAGGGTAGCCCGACATTTGCTAAACAGCTCTTCACCGTGGGCCGGTCTGAGAAGCGTTTGCGGTCCTGCTCAGGGAACAGGTCTTCGCCACGCACTTCGACGCGGCTGTTGCCTCGTGGTATCTTCTTGCGGGCAACGCGTATGCTCTGCAAATTGGGGTCTGTGTACGGGCGGCCCCCTGTTAGCGATGGAAGACACAGCTAGGCATATTTACAAGGCTGTCGCACACTCACCTGCGTCGAGATTCTTGCAGAGGTCCTGCTGTGACGATACTTCAAGGCTCTTGCTGCCCGAGCGGTAGCGGTACACGAGGATAGGACTCTTGTCGTCTTCGTTGAGCCCGAACTTCTGGCTGCTGAGGGACGACTTGGACGAGTTGGTGCCGGCGGAGGATTTGCTTGCCCAACTCATGGTCGCGGTGTGGAGGGCGTATGCTGCTAAGTGGGAGTAGGGCAGGGCGCGCTGGACCGTGTGGAAGTTCGGTGAGCGGTTGGCCGGTGGCGATGGAATTTCAGTCGTGGTAGGTATTATGTAGAGAGAAAGGGGGCTGGGTTAGCAGTTCCCGGTGACTGTGGAGGGTGTTCTTGGTGGCAGGTGAAGCGGAGATGGGAGAGACGCGGGATGATGAAGTAAAGCGTGAGCCCCAGGCCACGCTATGCAGATGATGCAGTGTGGCTCGTTTGCCAACCTGACTGCAAGAAAAGCTGGGGTTGCTGTGGCGCCACAACTCTCGGCTGCTTCCGGCCTTGGTAATGTACAATAGACGTCCACGGTTCGGCTTCACTTCTGCAAACTCGGATGTTCTGGAGCTGACAGAAACACACTGCTCCTCTACGCTGTCCGTTCCCGGCGTCCCAGTTTTCTCAGATCCCGCAGCGCTTTCAGGCCCTCCATTTTGCGCGAGCGGTTCCAGAGGACAAAAAGAAAGAGCTGGAAGTTGCGTGGGGCTGTGCTGCAAGGAGGTGCACGAGACTGCGTCCTGTTGGTTGAGTTTTGCAGTCGTTTCCAATCAAAAGCCGGCTGTTTCTGCCACTGTTTGTCACGGCTCACGCAGGCTGGATACGCGGATACGCCAGTGTGCTAGAAGGTGGCAGTCCGCAGTTACGCAGTGTCCGTTGCTGGTTGCTTGTACTCAAGATCCTCACACCCTGTCAAGATCTTGACTCCGATTTACACTGCGTGGAAATAGCGCCAACAAGAGTACTCAAGGACCCCTAAGTGACAGAGAGGGCAATTCTTGTCGCGCCGGAGTCACGTAATGGAATCAGCCACCCCGTGGCCCTGTCTCGCGCTGCGTCTTGCAGCCGTTTGCTCAGCCAACCAGCCGACCCAACCGCCCTCCGTCACAAGGCGACGTGGAGAGAGGCGTGATCTGGCCCCTCGCAGCTGTTTGCTCAGCCTTTGTCAGTTGTGCAGCCGCTATTGCTGGGAGTCGTGCAGTCCACAGGAAGCACGCAGGCTCCAAGGCTCTCAACCGAGGTACGCCGGGCGGTACATGGCGACCTCCCGACAGCCTGATCAGTACAGCAGGGTCGTGATATCTCAGGGTCCTTTGAAGTCTGGTGCATCGTGATAGACTCAAGGGGCCGTCGATGCTTGATCCAAGATTCCCCAGATTTAGGGCGGGATGACTTCATCAGCGCGCCCCGAGCCGTGGGTACACAGATCCGGTCGGAGGGTGAAGGACAGCCCCTGATTTAGACGACGGCCGCCTGAACCATGGCTGCAGCGACACGTCCGTCGGGCAAACTGACACCTCTTAGCCCTCTGAGATGCAGCAGATGCTCCAAGAGGGTGTCCTGGTCTCCTGCGGCGCGCAGATGCGTCTCACAGCCCTGCAGATCCCCAACTAGCACTTCCAGCTGCGAGAACACTTGACCCCATGAGTCGAAGCGACCCAGCCACACCGCGCACCCACCCTCAGCGGGCCTGCACATGAGCCTCATTCACGCACCCTGACTGCCTTAAGTGCGGGCCTCATCTCCCTGGGAGGCGTCCGCTCGTTTTGCATTACCTACGCAGGGGACACAGACCCACGGCAGATCTTCTTCATATACCTACAAGAGTGCCATAACCGCCAGGATGCTTCAACCACCGACGACAGACTCGCCGCGCCCACTGAGTGTCATGACCACCGCATCGCAGGCCGACCACTCGGGCGTCGCCTGGACCCAAGACGTGAACCAATACAATGCGTGGGACGATTTGATCTTAACGCTAGGTACGTTAGAAGCCACAAGAGGTGCCAGCGCATACATATGAAGCCCGATGGGGATCCTGGAGCTGTTTGCGCTTCGTGTTTACACCTGTCTGCCACTGCTTGAGTTGCTTCAACGTATTTTCAGCACTCTGCACAAGCTCACTTTGGGCTATGTGGAAACTCGTTGAAGCACTCCAAGCAGTGGCAAACAGGTGTACACACGGGAGATTCCTCGATGCGTGTGCCATTTTTTTCACACCCAGTGTGAGCAGTTGCGCCAGCGCCCTCTCTATGCGCTTTGCTTGTGTTTGGTGCTTCAACCATCATATCGAACTAATACTAACATATTCTTTCAGATGGTGGTGGCATTCGGGGCTACTCCAGTCTCCTCATCCTCAAGTTCCTCGTCCACGAGATCGTCGTATGCGAACAGCGTCTCCAGAAGGAAGAAGGTCCTGTTGTTGAAGAAGAACCGCAAACTTTTGACGAAAACACCCTCCTCCTATGCCACTACTTCGACTATATGTACGGCACTAGCACCGGCGGCCTTATATCAGTTATGCTAGGGAGGCTTCGTATGACTATACCAGAGTGCCTGGACATATACCGCGAGGTCGGCAACGACCTGTTTGGACACCGACGCAACATACTGCCTCTCGCGACTAAATACCACCACAAGCCTTTGGAGAAAGCAGTCAGACGAATCGTCCGGCAGAACTGCAAACACCACAGCAAATGTGACGGAGAGGATTGGCATCCGTGGAGCGACAATGAGCAGTCCGAGAGTTTCTCGTCGCTGCCAGAAGACGAGACGTGTCAGGCAGAAGAGGAAGAAGATGAAGATGAACACATAGTCCCACAAACAGACTCAAAACGGATATGCCAAACGTACGTCCTTTTCCAGAACATGTAGTCGCGTACCCCCCTAGATGTCACTTCATTTTTGCAAAAGCTTTTGGTACAGTACTAGGCCATAAGTCTAGGCACACAAGTCCATCACTGCTTGGTGAGGAGTAGCCCAACTAGTCAGTAGCCAGTGAGTCAAGGTTAGTATGACTTGCACGGCTTGAAACTTGACATCGCGACTAGACTCCTGGAATTCCATGGAGGTACCCCAAGCAGTGGCAAACGGGTGTGCATAGACTTATGGCCTAGTAGTCATTCACGCCCTCATGTCCCTTCCATGCACAAACACTAACAAACCTACAGAATCTGCCTCACCGCCACGCACAGCGGCCAAATCGACGAAGCCTACCTTTTGCGCACCTATGACCACCAATACTCCGACTCAACCCCCGAATGGGTCACCCCTTACAACGAGGGCGCCGATCACCTCAAGATCTGGCAAGTCACGCGCGCCACCTCCGCGGCCCCCTTCTTCTTCAAAATGCTCGAAGCCGAGCTCCACGGCCGCAAAATCGGCTTCAAAGACGGTGGCATCCGCGAAAACAACCCCTCCTACGCCGCCTACTCGGAGCACGCCTCGCTGCGCGGCGAGGACCAGATGCCGGGGCTGCTCCTCAGCGTGGGCACCGGCCGCCCAGACCATACGCAGGACGGCTTCGCGAGCGCGTGGCCGGGCCCCTTCGGGATGCGCAAGTTCACGAAGAAGTGGGCGGAGAAGTTCGCGGTCTTCAAGAACGTGCTGATCAAGTACACGGAGGGCGAGGAGCGGCACAAGATGATGCGCACGATTGCGCGCGGCGAGCACCACTGGTACAAGCGGCTGAACGTGACGACGGGGCTGGAGAACATGAAGCTGGATAACTGGGAGAAGGGCCCGCGGTACGACCCCAGGACGAAAAAGATGGAAATAGTGCCGGGTGGGAAGACGCTGAGTTGGATGGAGAAGGTCACGGATGACTATTTGACGCGCGAGAAGGTGGATAAGGAGTACGCGGCGCCGAAGCTGATGCTCGCGCAGACGGCGGAGAAGCTGGTCCGGCATCGGCGGGCGCGCGAGCGCACGAGGTTGGAAGAACCGGAAAGATGGGAAAGTTTTATGGGGAGGAGGCTGCCCGTGCAAGGGCACGCTGAGGGTGCCGCCGTGGAGAGGTGAGGGTCGACTCCCCGTTCGAGGTCATAAGTTTGGGCACACGGACATCGCACTGCTCGCGCTCTACTCTTGCTCGCTCGATACGACTATGAAGAGTGCCCCAGCGAGCATGTCTTCGCTCAGTCAAACGGTAGCCCGGTTTCCACGGCGTCGTGTTCGACATCCTACTTAGGACAAAGAGGGCACTATCAGGATACCCCAAGCAGACGCAGGGAGTGCCCAAACTTATGCCTTAGTTATGTACCTTTTGGAGCTGGATTTCGGCATACCTGCACCATCGACGCGGTTTTGGAAGGGAGTCGCCGCACACTACTATCTATCATCGCATCTGGAGTTTTCGGTCAAACATCTTTTTCTGATTTCGGGGCATGCATAGCGAAGCGGAGCATAGCGACAATGTGGGATTTGCGAGGCGTGAGGGTAGGGCAGGCGCGCGCGCATGCATTGGAGTTCTATGGTAGTGCCGCAGCCGTTTGGTTTGTGGCTTGGCTTTTCGGATGTACATCATATTGAGGGTTCGCATTTATGGATTTGGTTGAGGAGGTAATATATACCCATGTCGGGGGGGTTTTTCTGTTTAGTAGTAGTTGAATGAAGGAAATAAAATCTATTAGTGCCTTGCCAAAAGCCTGGGCACAGTTTGCTTACCACCGTTGGAGGTACTTCAGCCATCCTCGAAGTTTTTAGAAGATGTAATGTCCATGAGAGCTTAAATCAGAGAAGCTTTCACACGCTGACAGTCGGCCTACTTGCCGCTGGTTGTGGTGCTTCAGCACCTCATGACAGATCGGGGTAAAATGAAAAAGACCGCGTGCCCAAACTTGTGTCCTAGTACCGCACCTATTGTCATCATCGAGTTCACTTCTTCCACGGTCAAAACTCTTATATATTTGTTAAGGTCTGCCGTTGGACTACCCCAATCAAAGAATTCGAAATGACAATCCCTCAACTTTTTATCGCAACAATACAGTAGCGTCCTCAGCGAGCACATCCCCTACTTCGAGCCCACCTAGCTATCAAAACATCTTGCAAAACACCGCAGCAGATGCCGTACCACTTCGTCATTCGACCCACCACCCCTCGGAAACCATGATCGGAAGAGACATAGGCAGCATGGAGAGAGAAGCCGTGAGACATTAGAGGCGAGAAATCCTTCCTCCCTGCACAAATCTAATACGCAAAGACCCAGTTTATGCAAGTCGGATATCTCGAGACGCAATACCATTAATGAAACGGAAACAAGAGACTGACAGAAGGTAAGAGAGAGAAAGAGGCACAGAGGCGCAACACAGGCGGGTCCTGCGCGAGCTTCACTACGCAGGAGTGGAGTCGGGTGGTTGTACATGGAGCTGGATTTTTGAGTGCGTACAGTGAGAGGGGCAGCTGATGAGGACTTTAGTTCACCGACATCATCTTGATATCGAAGACGAGCTCGGAGTTGGCAGGTATCCCGGGGAGAGCCTTGTTGCCGTAGGCCAGCTTGGCTGGGATGGTGATGCGACGCTCACCTCCCACAGTCATGCCAGCGACGCCGATGTCCCAGCCCTTGATGACCTCGCCTACGCCGAGCTTGAAGGTGAACGGCTTGCCCTTCTTGTTTGCTGTTATGAATTAGTCGGTTAATCGAGAAAGGTAAAAGCTAGGAAGCTTACAGTCAAAGACTTTGCCATCCTTGGCAAGCTTTCCGATGTAGCGCATGCCAATCCTGTCACCCTTCTTCGCGGCAGGACCCTTTCCAAGCTTCTTATCGTCGATGGTAACACCTTGAACGATCTTTGGCCCGAGGCCAGTCTTTAGGCTCTCGTCCTTCTTGACACCATTCTTGCCGTTCGCCGCCAAGGGAGACCCAGTCGGCCCCTGTTCAAGGTTCTTGGCGAATTGAACTTTCTTATCGCTCTTCGCGCTGTTCGGGGTGTCCTTCTGGTCCTTCTGGTCTTTCTTAGACTCATCCTTCTTCGCAGGGGTCTCTACTGCGGTGGCGGTGGCCTGGCCATCGTTCTTCTTAAGCTTCTTGAGCTGCTTCTTGCTCAGGTGCTGTTCGCCATTGGTAGCTGGCTCCGACTTCATTGACTTGCTGATCATGTCGTCCAGAGTGACAGCTTGCTCTTCATCAGAGTCGTCAGCTGGGCGCTTGTTCTTGCCCTTTGACTTCGCAGCCTTGACCAGCTTGGGGGCCTCCTCTTCCTCCGAGTCAACTTCGGTGATCCGAGGGTCCTTGATACTATCGAGCACATCGTCCTCCTCATCTTCATCGTCCAGCTCATCCTCATCAGGCGAAAGATCGTATTCCATTTCTTCGTCAGAGGAATCCTCCTCGTGGTCGTGGTTGTGGACATCTGGCTCAATAACGTAGTTTCCAGTCAGGAAGATGGTGTGCGTGCCGGAGACCTTGAAATAAACCTTCTCATTTTCGTTGACAGTAATGTCTAAAGGCTGTTGATAATGCTAGGGGAAAAGTCAGTAGGAGACTCGTATTAATGGGACGCAAGTCGGTACCTTCTCAGGGTCTAGGGTGCAGAGCACAAACTCCTCTATTTCATCGTCCTCTGATTCCTCGTCGCTATCATCTCCAAGACTGACGACGTCAGAGGCCTTGCCTTTGCCCTTCTCAGATTTGATGCCGTTCGCAAGGCCATTCGGAACATCGTCAAGGTCCATGTCTTCCTTGCCCTTGAGCGCTTTCTTCAGCTTCTCGACGATCGCCTTCTTCGACCTGGAGGGGTCGCTCGGTCCACCGTTCTTTTCGTCATCGCTATCCGATTCCTCGGAGTCCTCGTCCTCGTCCTCATCATCTTCTTCTGTTATGCCCAGGCGAGCTCTGATTGCGTCAATGTCGTCGTCGTAGTCGTCGTCGTCAGAGTCGTCGTCGCCGAGGGGGTCAATGCGCTCCCTAATAAGCTTCAATGTCGCACGAGGGGCAGCGCCGTCAGGATGGAAGTCGAGTAGAGGAATAGCGCTGGGATCAAGCGCTGCCATAGTAATGCGGAACTTGGCGGGATCAGCATGGCGAAAAAATATGCGACAAGGTGGAAAATAAGTCTCGATGCGACGGCAGGAAAAATCTTCTCCAGGGTGGGACAGAGCTTCGGTGGCCGACGGCGAACAAAAAGATACTTACGGTCGCAGGGAAGTCTGGCGCAGCTTCAACCAGAACGTCGTCCCCGGGCGGGACCTCGAGGCCATAGACTTGCATGGGAATCATGGAGGACATTCTTGCTCGATTGAATGGATTTTAGTCGATAGATGCGACAGTAGTTGAAGAGGGAGGGCGCTGTACAAGACGTGCGCTGTACAAAGGAGTGAGTGCACTGAGTAGAACGGGCGTCTCAGTGGTTTGAGAGTAGAGAGCGGGAAGAAGACGACTTGGAGGAGCTTGAGGAAGAAAAAGCTTCGAAATCTTGGCGCCCAGCCGCTAGATCATTCACCGCCGGCAGAATGCTCCACTTTGCGGGCCATACAGGGGCATGAAAAAGATGGCACTAGAATACATGAGTCGTCTTTTGTGTAAACCTCCATGCCACTGCTTGTGGTGTCCCAACATCATTTGAAAGACTTGAATCAGATCTAAACTGTTTGTCCTGAACTACGTGTAAGATAGTTCAGCCGACCCTGGCGGTATTATTCTACTGAGAACGCAAGCCAGAGTTAGAGCAGAAAAGCTTGTGTGGGCTGGTTCAGTGTGCCACTTCTTCCCTGCCTTGAGTACGTGCTTAAACGCCACCTTGACGCGCATCGTGTCGCATTCATGTCGACGTGATTCAAAGCCCGCACCACGACAATGAGCCTGTCCGAGGTGGCGGACTTGCTACCAGGGCACTCGCGTAATACCTTTGCGCAAAATGGGCTCCAGGCTAGAGAGCAATTCGAATGCGGTGCGAAAGCGCATCGAGAACCGTATGAGATGAGACGATTCATCTGGAGGTCTTCCAGCTGACAACTTTTGCAGACACTTTCGATGATGAGGATGGCGACGAGTATGAGAGCTCCAAGTTTGGAGGCTTCTCAGACTACTTTCGGCGCAAGAAGATTAAGCTGCAGAATCGCGATGCCGAGTTGCGCTCGCAGTCGGCAGACAAGCCCCCCATCTTTCGAGGAATCGTCGCGCACGTTAACGGTTATACGCAACCATCTCTGAACGATCTTCACAAACTCATTGTGTCACATGGAGGAGGATTCATGCAATATCTGGACGGCAAGACCACAGTCACGCACATCATCGCTAGCAGCCTCACGCCGAAGAAAGCAATGGAGTTCAAGAGATATCGAATAGTCAAGCCTGCCTGGGTTGTTGAAAGTGTGAAGGCTGGAAAGCTTCTGCCTTGGGATAGTTTCCGGGTTCTAGATGAAGGCGCCGGCCAGAGGATATTGAGGTTTGACAACGGGAAAGTTGTCAGCCAGGCAAATACACTGTCCAGGGGCTACCGGGACCAGACGGATACAAGTTGGTATACAAGTCAGCTCAAAGGGGCAGATAGTACACCAAGTGGTTCAGTGTGCACGCCATTCCTGAAAAATCGACCACCGACGCCGGACGAAGATGACATTGTCGATCTCCCTCCCTCACACCAACCCGAATTCAGTGTAGATGACGATGAGCCCGTAGCACCTGTTATTCAGGAGGACAGTGCTATCAGGGATGCCGATCTTGTAACTCCGCCAAAGACTAGCTCACCCTTTCGACACCTCGATTCAGCTCTCTCGAATTCGAGCCCAGACCCACCAGTGGCCAACTTTCAGGATCCAGATGTTCCTCCTGCACGAAATAATAAGAGATCCAGTGACGACGACGTTGCCTCTCTATCTAAGAAGACGAAGTTGACGGCAGAAGAACATAATGCGATTTTGCTCGCTGATCCGAAAATCCGAAAGTCTACTGTTGTGGATCCCAATTTTCTAGATCAGTACTACCGCGAATCACGTTTACATCATCTTTCGACATGGAAGGCAGACTTGAAGTCTCAACTTCAGGTATTAGCAGCAGAGAAGTCTTCATCCCAAAAAACTAAACAGAAGCGGGCCCCAGGTGCAAGGCGATATATCCTCCATGTTGACTTCGACAGCTTCTTCGCTGCCGTGTCCCTCAAGAAGCATCCTGAATACAAGGAAAAGCCTGCTGTAGTTGCTCACGGAAACGGCAGTGGATCCGAGATTGCCAGTTGCAACTATCATGCCAGGAAATTTGGGGTGAAGAACGGGATGTGGATGAAGCGAGCACAAGAACTATGCCCGGAGTTGAAAATTTTGCCCTATGACTTTCCGGCCTATGAAGAAGCTAGCAGAAGCTTTTACGACTGTATTCTCGCTACTGATGGTATAGTACAAAGTGTGAGCGTTGATGAAGCACTTGTCGATATATCGACACTTTGTGCGGCGGAAGGTGGATCTGATGGTAGGAAAGTCAGCGAAGGGAGCATCTATCGAGAGCAGGCTAAGGCGGACGGAGTAGCTCAAGCGTTGCGAGATGAGATCAGGAAAAGAACGGGATGCAATGTTTCAGTGGGCATTGGAGGCAACATCCTCCTAGCCAAACTTGCTCTCCGGAAAGCGAAACCGGCCGGTCAGCACCAAATCAAGCCTGAAGATGTCCTCGACTTCATTGGTGATCTGCAGGTGCAAGATCTTCCGGGCGTTGCGTGGAGTACTGGAGGAAAACTAGAAGAAATAGGGATAAAGTTGGTGAAGGATATCAGGGACGTAACAAAGGAAAGACTGGTCCAAACGCTGGGTCCAAAGACAGGCGACAAGCTCTGGGAGTACTCCAGAGGTATCGATCGGGCTGAAGTTGGCGAACAAGTGGTCCGAAAATCCGTTTCTGCCGAAGTGAACTGGGGCGTTCGATTCGAAAATCAAGACCAAGCGGATGAATTCGTTGGAAGCTTATGTGCGGAGCTAAGCAAGCGGTTACTCAAGGAACGAGTCAAAGGTCGCCAATTTACGATGAAGATCATGAGACGCTCTCCAGACGCACCTCTAGATCCACCCAAGCATCTTGGACATGGAAAATGCGATACTCACAACAAAAGCTTGTTGCTTGGGGTTGCTACGAATGCCACAGAGGTTCTAGCCAAGGAAGCGTTATCGATTATGAAAGGCTTCGGCTTTTCTCCCGGCGAGCTACGGGGAATTGGAGTTCAAATGACCAAACTAGAACCGATAAAAGCGGCTATAGGTGGACAAACGGATGGTAGCCAGAGACGTCTCCAATTCAGGGTCAGCGAACCAAAAGTTCATGTCGCCAAAGCAGATGATCCTATCCAAGACGATATCCAGACGCCAAAGAAACCAAGAGCCCAACCAGATCAACTTGCCTTCGGCGCTGAAAGTTTGAACAAGGACAGCCCAAGCAGAAGGCCTCTGAACACGCTAGGCACGCAGTTTATACTTCCCTCTCAGGTTGATCCACAAGTTCTCGCTGAACTTCCCGGAACTATCCGAGCTAAACTAGCAAGACATGCTCGTCCTACCTCACCATCTCCTCTCCATCGAGCCAGGCCTAGAAAAGCTCCATTTACTTTGACAGCTTTACCTGCCGAGTCTCAACTCGATCCTGAGATCTTAGCTGCACTCCCTGACGATGTTAAAGCAGAAGTACTTGCGCAATATCAGGAAACCCCCGGATCGCCCTCTAGACGCACTGGCGACCAACCCGTTCTCCCCCAATCATCCCGCGAAAACAGAATCCTGCCCCCAGTCTTCAAGAAATCCGCACCTACTCTCCCCCGCAAACGCGGCAGACCTCCGAAGTCTGCGACATCTACCACGGCCTCTGGCGGATCTACTTTAACGCAGTCCAACTTCATTACCACCAAAACCTCTCGCTCCCGCTCGGGAAGCACAGAACCCGGCAACATCAAGCCATCCGAAGACGAAGACCTAGACCCAGACTTCCTCGCTGCCCTTCCCGAAGACCTCCGCCGCGAGGTGCTGGAAGAGCACCGCCGTAAGCGCCTCGAAGTCCGCTCGAACCTTGCCATCGCCGCAAACAATGCCCGCAAGGCTAACGCTCCAGCTCCTGCGCCGTATCAGCCACGCCTTCTTCAGATTACGCGGCCGAAATGCCCGACGTTTACGACGCAGACGCTGTGGCAGATGGACGAGCTGAGGGAGGCTATCACGGCGTGGTGTGAGGAGTTTCGAGAGGATGGGCCGTACAAGGAGGACCTGGAGGCGCTGGGAGTGTATCTAGTTAAGGTGGTTGAGGAGGAGGGGGATCTGGCGAAGGCGGTGGCGGTGGTGAAGTGGCTGGTTTGGGTGGTTGAGGAGGGAGCTGACTCAGGTGAGAAAATGGATAGGGCGAAGTGGGAGAAGGCGGTTGAGAGGGTTAAAGACGAGGTTCAGGGAGCTATTAAGAGGAGGGGGTTGGGAAGGGTGGAGTTCTGAGTGTTTGACATGCATTCGAGGCATTTGTTTATGGGATAGCACTGTGCTTGTTGTATGAATTATATGCTTCACGATTGACATAGAGCATTTAAGCTCCCTTAAACAAAGCGGTAGTTCACGTATCTGTAATTCTATACTTAAACTTCATATACTTTCGATATACACTCACTCTAGGCGTGTATGCACTTGCCTAGCACCGCTTGAGGTCTTCTAATACGTTATCAAAAATAATAAAACGGTAGGTTTGAAAAGGCTCCGGGCCACGTCAGGCGGTGTGGACTGCCACTTTATGTTCAACGGAGCCTGGTACTCGATATGGCTATTTTAAACACTCGGATCATGAAGGTGATAGCCCGAGTCCATAGATCTTACTTCACTCGGACTCTTCATGCTTCGATACTCAATCCGCGCAAGTCTAAGGTCACAAAGTACTAAGGGTCCGAGCGTATATTCCTACACTTGGACCGCGAAGAATACGCTCGGACCCCTTATGCTTTGGACAGTCCAACTTGGGCAAATCTTGGCTAACTGTGGAAGAAAAGTGGTGAGTCCCGAGAGGACTTTCGAAATTTACTCTCGGGCCACCCAAGGATACACTCGGGCCGCCTAAGGATACGCTCGGTCGCTTTATGCTTTCACCCCTTCTGTGTTGCTTCGCAGCTCCAAGGGTTCCTCATGGTCCAAGTGCAAAAAAGGATATACTCGGGCCTCTATGTAGTCCTTTAACGGTTTTCTGCACAGCCAAAACTTGCCCGACTTGGTCAATCCCCATCAAGGAGTATTGAGAAGGTGCCTTCATTCATCTTGCAACGACAACAGCTAACTTCCTCATCATCTTTCACTCTAGTTCACGGGGAACGTGTGAGACCGTGGAAGGCCCAGGCTGAACCACTCAAGCTCCTGTTATCACGGGACCATGCTAGGTGGGAAGAGATCTTAGATATGCTTTCAAGCGGATACGTTTAGGAACCTGCATCGCGAAATGGTCTACTTCCACACGCAGAGTTCCCGGGCCGATTGTACGGATGCGACATGAAGCCAGGACCTTGCACGAACCTTCATATCATCTGAAATAGCACGTCTTCAAGCCGGATTGCGTTTGCGTGAGCCCTGAAGAGGTTTCCCATCACCGTTAGATCTCGCAGGGATGCACTCGGGGATTTTTTTTCAGGCGTGAAGATCGCAATCACGACTTCCCGCCTCGCAATGGCGATATCGAAGCGCTAAAAACTTTACATCAACGTCCATTGTCTGTGGGGTAGACTGAACCTAACACTGGGGTTTTGAAGACTGAGGAGCAAAAGGTGACGGTTGAATCGGTAGGATGCTCAACATCGTGTCAGATCCGCGAAGCGTCCAGATATTTACGTGAAATCGAACTTCACCAGCAGTGATGAAAGAAAGCGTCTTTGAGTGTGTCACTATATTAACAAAAACTGTCAAAGAGGCAGGTGATTAGACATTCATTCGCACACAGGCACCAAGAAAGCGGCCATGGAATGTTTGATTGTTTTTTTGTATTTTTCCTGTGGCCCATACATTCGTGCAATTCCCCTCCTATGCAGCAAGAGAATCAAAGATTAGGCATTAGACACTTTCAATATGTTTTTTGCAAACCCCCCCAACCTATACCGCCCATGCATCACTACCGTATTCCTTTCCATCCCCAACACCATCCACCATCCAAACAACCACCCGCAATATCGCACACTATGATCATTTCAGATCCAATGTATGAATGCTGGCGAGGGCATCTAGAACCACTGATTCAACCAGCTAGAGCACCAGTTGAACCACTGATCACTCTGCGCCGGCGCCGGCTTCGGGGAGCTCGTAACCGTGCAGCGTCCATCATCCTTGACATTGTTGTTCGCCTTGTAGCAGTCCGCATACTGCTGGCGGCACTTGCCGTTAGCGGAAGTAAAGCTCTCGGGCGCGCGGCGGTTGTTCTTGCAAGAGTTAGCGTAGCTCAGGCACCAGTTGTACTGCGTCGCGCAGGCGTCCTGGCACGCGTTGACCTGCTTGCCCTTGCCGTAGCTGGGGCAGCGGCTGAAAGTCTTGTCGTTGAACAGCTTCCATGGGTAGCTCTGGCGCTGCGACGCGTTGTCATTGCAGCCGACGCAAGGGAGCTGGTAGCTGCCGACGGCATTCTTGCCGGCCCAGGCGGTGGGCGTGGCGCAGAGGCAGGAGGCAGTCGGGGCAGCGGTGGCGCCGGTGGTGGTGGTCTTGGTGCTGGGTGGCGAAGGAGGAACGTAGGTGTTAGTCGGGATGGGGCACGACGTAGTCTGGGTAGACAGGGTCGAAGAGCTATACACCGATGAGGTGGAGGAGACGGTGGAGGTGGAGGAGACGGTGGAGGTGGAGGAGACGGTGGAGGTGGAGGAGACGGTGGAGGTGGAGGAAATGGTGGTGGAGGCAGCAGCACTGGAAGACGAGACTGCTGGGGCTTCGCAAGGCTCGGCAGACTCCAAGTCGGTAGCCACGTATAGGTTCAGCCGCAGAGAACCACCACAGGTCTGGGTGGAGTCACCGTTGCAGGGCTTGTCGCAGTCAGAGGTGGGGGCAGGGACGGTTCCGTTTGCGAGCACGACACCGCAGTAGCACTCGCCACCGAACTCGGTGCCGGCAAAGGGGAAGCCGACGGCGCCACAGGCGTTGAGGCAGAGCTGGGTGGTCATATTGGTGCCATCGAGGTTGGCGCCCTCGTTGATCTGGGAGTAGGCTAGAGCACGGCCGGTGGAAGCCTCAGTGTAGCAGCCAAGGGACATGTAGTCGGTAGACACGGCAATGTTATCAGCCTCAGGGAAGGTAGGGTCCTGGTAGATGGATAGTCTGTCCTGGCCACCACAGATCTCACCAGGGTTGCCGTTGCAAGGGAAGTTGCAGTCAGTTTCCGGAGCAGCAGTGCCGATGACGCTGGAACCGCAGAAGCACTGGCCGTAGTACTCCAGACCAGCATAACGGTAACCATTGCCCTACGAACAAAGTCAGTACAGATTAGGCTATGGTTGATGATGAAACATACCTTGCAAGCGGCCGTGCAGATCTCAATGGTAGCGTTGTTGAACTCAATAGGAGCCATGAATGGAAGAGTACGGTTGCTGACAGAGTCGACGTAGCATCCGGAAGACAAAAAGCTGGTGAAAGGGTAAGAGCATGGTGGGAGAGGAGTCTGGGTACGACGCTGAAGAGTCGTGTGGGCCGTGGCCGAAGAAAGTAGAGCCGCGAGGGCAAACGCGCTGGAAAGCGTCTTGATAGACATTCTTAACGAGTGTGGAGTCGAAACGACTTGTGTATGTGTAAAGAGACAAGGCAGAGACAGAAAGAATGATTGACGATAATCTACCTTTTGCGGCTGGGGACAAGACATAAATAGTCCTTCCCGCAAGCCATGTTTCCTTCGGGACTACTTTGAAAGAAGCAGCTCAGGCGCAACCGACAAACGCAGGCTTGAGCTCGCGTTCTGGGCGTTCTGGGCTCGCTGAGGAGAAACAACAAGAAACAAGCCCCAGAGCGTAGCGCCGATGCGAGCTGGAGGCTCCCTCGATGGTGGAGGTATAGCCAAATGGAGCAGAAAGCGTGCGGCTGTAGATGAAGTGGCCTATCAGAATGGCCAGCTACGTGACGCGGGCTCTAGTTCTGGGAGGAGGATGCGAGGGATGGGGCGGCGCGATGACCCTTTCACGCCGAAAGAGGGCACCACGTGACGAGGGCGACCAGAAGATGAAGGCTGTTTGTAGAGAGGCGCAAGGGAACTGACTGGAATGGTGCGGCGTTACCCCTGAGGCGCACGGGGAGTCGCGTGGTAGCGTATTGGTGGCTGAAGTCAGGACATGGACTCTATATCCGATCGCCTGGCCCGAGCTGGGAGATGGTGTCTGGCGTAGAGCCAACGCGCGCGCGAGTGAGGATCTGGCGCTGCTCTTTTTGCAGGCTCAAGAATAATCCGAGAGGCGGGCGGCGTTGTGGAGCCAGTGGAGATCTCTGGCGATGGGATCGTTGCCATCCAAAACCTCCACAGCTCGGCACACATGTTGAGGGGAGTGGTGTACCGAGTATTGACTGGCATGCAGGCGACAGACAGGGCCTCCTAGCAACACGGACCCGTAAACCGCGACGCTCAGCTAAACCCCAATCCAGCATCCGGGAGAGGGAGCTTTGTGGCTTCATTCTCCTATGGAGTGGATCGGGTGACGGTCGAAAACTTCAAACCTTTCTTCCAGCCAGCCTCGACATTCGACTGTCCATTTTACAGGAATGTGGCTCTGCTTGTTGCGGTAAGGAGAAGCTGTGTATTAGCAGTAGAGTACCATTGTTTGCAAAGATACGGGCGAGCTCAACGAAATTCGTCCGGCGCAGAAAAAGTCGTGTAGCATAGAAAGAGTCGTGTAGTCAAGGCGCAAGGGGCAGCGACGGAGGAGAGCGTGGACCATGAGGCTGGACGTTCGAAGAGAGGGGGCGGATCAGCACGCTCCAACGCGCCAGCAACGGCCCCGTCCCGTGACGCAGGGCATGATGGCACCGGTTACGCGCATGACCCAGCGCGGCCGCATTCCCGTGATCTGATCCGGTCTGAGTCGAAACACCAGCCCCGCCTCGACCTCTCGCTCTGTGAAACCATCGTGCATTGAACAAGAAACAAACAACACCTCTCACAACCGACCGGCTGCGCGGCTCTCGGTGCTTTTTCTGCCTCTTCAGCCTCGCACTTGCATCCCCCGGCGTGCCTTGCTGCACCATCGCCGTTGTGGCGCTTCCCGCGCTTCGGTTTGCGTCTTATCTTATCGCCAACGCGTGAGCTCCGGGTAGCGTTTGAGGCCCGGCGACATCGCCGCACCACGTCACGACTTCGGCAGAGAGAGGCCGTTTACAAGCGTCTTGGGGCGGTGCCTCCGGACGCGGTGCTGGCACGCATCGCACCATACCTGCAACACGTCCTCTTTCCTAAGGTTGCTACTCCGCAACCCCGAGTGAAAGCACCCGCTGACCCTGCCTCAGGAACCTTGGTTCCTTCTTAACCCTCATAACCGCCAAAACACGACACAATACCACGGCACCTGAACCACGAAATGCCCTTCTCATCGCCCTCTCCCCCCGCCATATTTCCCCTCTACCTCTTCCCCTCCCTCCCATTCCGCCGGCGCTCCTCAACCTCGACTTCCGCCGCCTCACCGCCCTCTCTCTCCAGCTCCCCTTCTAGCACCATATCCGCCTCACCACCACGGCCCTCCTACCTTACTGGCTCCTCTTCCCACCTCCGTTGCGCAGGCTGCCTCACAGACCTTTGTCCCACGGCCTCCATCATCAGCAAAGGCTTCACTGGCCGCCACGGCCGAGCATACCTCGTCGCGCCTCCCAGTCCTCCCGTAGCAACCAGCCTGCGTAGCAAGCCGGGAGACTTACCCAATACGCATACCCATAAGGCAGTCCCGAGGCAGCTAGTCACAGGCGCCCACACTGTCTCTGATATCAGTTGTGCCCATTGTGGGACCGTGCTGGGTTGGAAGTACGTCGCGGCAGATGAGGAAAGCCAGCGGTACAAAGTAGGGAAGTTCATCCTGGAGACAAAGCGGGTATGTCGGGCTGTGGATTGGGAGAGGGAAGAGGACGAGCTAGAAGTGATCGGCGAGAGTGCGGGGTTTGGAATTGGGTTGAAAGCGGAGGGGAAAGAGGACGACATTCAGTTTGATAGTCAGGACGAGGATGAGTGCGAGGATCTATTTGCAGGAATATGGAGCCCACAGTTAGCGAAGAAGAGGAGGCGGAACAGGAAGTTCCTCAACGAAGAGGTTTGAACACGACTCATACACATCGGTTTACGGCGCTTTCACCGGAAATGGGCTTTGCATGGATTGGGAAGGTTTGATTTGGCGTTGCTAGGGACTCATCTTGGGGCCAGATCCATGGTTCCTAACACGACTGACGTGCATGATACCCCACCCTACAACTCTTTGGTAATATCGTTTTCATTCATTTGTTTTGCGTCGATCTTAAAGCACATAATGCATAATGGAAACACTGTTTATACCTCAGACTAGACCCGGCCAACTCAGGATCTTAAAATAACATCAATGTCGGTATATCTGTTTCACGAACCTCGAAGGGCCAAAGAAGTTTCTTTAGATAGGAAGAATCTACAAGAAGACGTCATTCCAACTGTGGGCCCGCGAGAACACGTCTCGTTCACAACATGCTTATCGGATCGGTTTGTTTCCCGTCTACTTGACAGAGGAGAGGGAATGGTGGTTTACGGGATCTTACAAATTCCATTCACTCTTCTCTACTATTGAAACCGAACTCCCATCAAACACCTAAGAAATATTAGTATACTCCTCTTTCCCATCTCCACAAGCCTCGCAGCCCCTCAAACCCTCTCCTTTCCCGTAATCCTCACAAACTCACCCATCGTATGGCTCCACAACGCCGCCTGCACCCCCTCTTCCTTCAACCCCTCCAAAAGCTCCACAACCTTCTCCCCCGTGCTCTCCCCCTCCTGCGTCACCGAATAACACCCGCTCCCGACGACCCCATCCATCCCCTTGACCCCCTCAATCCCCTCCACCGCCACGCCCCCGCTCCCGAACCGCCCGCTCGTCATCAGAAACAGATGCCGCTCCCCACACTCCTCATTCGGCATGCAGATAAACCTGCCCACAGCCTTCATGACCAGCCGCCCCGCCGCCCACCCGACCCCCTTCAGGTCGTCCGCGATGGCCGTCTGCACCATGCCGGGGAAGTTGTGGATGAAGGCGACGTCGGGCGCCTCGAGGGCCAGCCGGGCCAGGGAGAGCGAGACCATGGAGCCGGCGTGGCCGCGCGCGGCCATGAGGGAGGAGGCTTTGCGGCCGGGGAAGTCGGAGACGTCGACGGCGCCTTCTTTGCCCCCGCACAAGGTGGTGACGCACCGCCGGAGGGAGGAGGGCGAGGGGGCGCGCAGGAGCGGCAGCAGGTTGAGCATAAAGCGGGTGCGAGTGTAGTAGCCGAGGGCGATGGCTTGGGGGAGGCCGTCGGGTGTGTCTGGGGGCGGTGGGGTGTTAGGATGGGAGTAATGGGAGTAACAGGAGTTTGTATGGAAGACTTCATCGAAGGAAAGAGGGGTTTAGGTGCATACCTGTGGATACGAGAGAGCCGGCGCTGTTGAAGAGGATGTTCAGGCTTCTTTCCCGTCGTCGAATCTCCTCGCACGCGACGTCGACGGCGCTGATGAGGCTAACTTCGGCTTGGATAAAGTTGAACGTGCCGCCGGGGTTTAGTTGCTTGCATTCGGTGGTGAGGCGGTCGCCGGATGCTTGCGAGCGGCCGACGATGTAGACGCGAGGTGCGAGGGCGTGTTTTGCGAAGGCTTTTAGGGAGTATTCGCCGATGCCGCTGGTGGCTCCTACAAAGACTGCGACGAGGTTGGGAAGGGATGTAGAGAGGAGGGCATTGGAAGCTTTGACTTGGGTGAGGGTGACCATTCTGGGGGATATTTGAAGCTTGAATTTAAGTGAGGGCAGATAGTTGGTAGAGGATATTGAGACAACTTGAGTCTTTGAGGGAAAGCTTGATTTACGGGAGGCATCCTACATGCGGGCCTCTCGACATTTATATACATTTTGCTTTGTCTTGTCGGTTCCTGAGAAGTCGGAATATTGGTGGTGAAGGAACACCATCCGTTGCTGAAGAGGTCTATCCGGTATCCCAAAATAGGTGGACTCTACGAGTTTCGGTGTTAAATCTCCCTAGTCGCGAACCCAATCCTACCTATTGGCGGGCGAATTCCTCCGCTTCCGACTTCCAAACCACGCCGTCGTCTCTCAAGCCCTGTACCTCTACATCATTATAGATGATCAGGAGGGAATCGAATGAGCTAGGCGACGGGATGTCCTACTTCATAGAGAATCCTTCCATTATTTTGTCAACTCGTCCCGTATATCACGCAACTTATAGGACTCCGATTTTCGACCGCCGTGTACCGCAGCGCTTTCATATTCCATCACCTGGCCTCTCCACGGACGATTCTTACCAAATTCGACGTGCAGGATGCACTAATGACAGTATCGTTTACTTACATCTTCTCCGAATCGCGTTGAGAGTCTCTATGCAATCCCGGAATCCTAGCCCTATTCTGAAGACCCATGAAAGCGCATTCTGCGCTAAGATCTGAGAGCCTCTAAGGTAGCTTGATATGTCAAGTAGATGACAGAGGCTTTTAAAAGCCAGGGCAAATCACGCTCTTTGCTAACCCACATCTTATAGTCTTACCACTGCTTGAGGTGCCTCAATAGAAACTGGAAAACTCAACTGGATGTAAGTTCTTTCCCGGAAATATTGAGCCCAGCTTTGGAAACCTTTGAGAGGCCCATTGCCCAGTTAAGCCATTAATGGAGATATGTTATGGAAGGCGAGGAGAAGACGTTTTCTAGACACTCGAAATCAGGTATACCGTGATCGCATCACGATAATGTGATAAGTATACTTGGAGGTGACTCAGTGAGAAGCCGACGAGTGCATCATATATGCTTTTGAAATCAAGCTTTCCGAACGACTTCCTTTGATCTTGCTCAGATTCACTAAGCCAATTCATCGCCAAATGACTTGAACTTCAAACTTTCGAAAAATCTTTTCCAGTTGCGCTCGTGGCCAGGGGTGCTTTGACGCACCTGCCTCGGCATGTCTATCTCACTGCTCTTGCTCAGTATCTGTCTTCGTTATGGCATACTTTCCCTTTTCTTTTAGTTGTCATGGAGCTTCCTCTGTCGTTTCCCTCTCATCATCCCCATCTCTTCTCCCATCCGACATCCATCACATCACCTCAGCATTGTTATCGGCAATTCTGATTCTCAATCCGAAGGCTGCTATGGGTGCTATAGGAAGTTTCGCACGCAGAAAGAGGAAGACCATGGCTAGAATCCGGGCCCTTCTTCGAGCAAGAGCCTCCGTCAACGCTCCGCCTCAAGGAGGATTGGATGGAGAATCAGAACCTGCCATAGCGCCTCAACTTCCGCGCCCTGGCCCGCGTCCCAAGCTACCGGGTAAACTACATACCAGCAAGTCAACACCTGGTCTTTCAAGACAGATCAGCCACAAGCTGTCGGCTCTCTTTCAGAGCCCCACTGCCGTACACCGCCCGACATCGCGTCAAAGACCGTCCACAGTGGCATCCGTTGCGGATGAAGTTCATACCCACTCGAACTCTTCCGGGCTCCTCTTGAGCATTCTGCCGCCCGACCCACCATTGAGTACACCCGTTGATCAGAATGATCCATCGCCATCATCCTATCAGTCAAGCGTCAACAGTAGCAATCTTCCAAAGAGCGTCCAGTCAACAGCACCAACCTCACTATTCTCTTCGGGTGCCCTTCGGTCTGCCGAAACGATATACATCAAAAGCCGCAACCAAGACGGAGAGGGAAACGCGCCTCCAGTAGTTCCCGAGTACGTCATTGACCAAGTGATACCCCAGTCCCAATGGTGTGCCTTTCCTAGGCAAGACGCAGCCCGTCTTGTCCAGCCCTCTATCCGCACAGTCGAGAACGCTGCTGCCGCCAAAATCTTCCTCGAATCACACTTCAACGGGCTGTTTAGCCAAAGAATAAACCCACGTTCCCTCAGGCGCCGAAATCTCGAACGAACGCTCTTCAATCTGATTGTTTCAAACGAGGAGAGAAACCAGAAACGACAAGAGTGGTACCGCGGCGAAAGTGAGCATCTTCGCCAGACAAGAGTGCTCAAGTCTAGGACTATCGCGAGAAAGAATATGAAGGGATTACACATCACAGGCTACGAGATCGTCCGTATATTGGGAAAGGGTAGCTTTGGTGTGGTGAGGCTAGTCCGCGAGAGAGGCGAAAGTACCAGCGACGACCAGCGTATTGAGACCCTGGACGGACAAATGGGGCGAGCTATGCCTAATGATGCGTTGGTCAAAGATGGCACGCGAACCTGCAAACAGGTGTACGCTATGAAGGTTATCAGGAAGTCCGATATGCTTCGGAATAGTCAGGAAGGGCACCTACGCGCGGAACGAGATTTCCTCGTAGCCTCAGAAAACTCGCGCTGGGTTGTCCCACTTATTGCCAGCTTTCAAGACAACAACAACCTCTACCTCGTCATGGAGTATATGGTCGGCGGCGACTTCTTGGGTCTCCTACTCAGAGAAGACGTTCTGGACGAGGGCATTGCGCAGTGGTACATTGCCGAGATGATCTGTTGCGTAGAGGAGGCACATCGTATGAACTGGATCCATCGCGACGTCAAGCCCGACAATTTTCTCATAACCGCAACTGGCCATCTGAAGATATCTGATTTCGGACTTGCATTCGACGGACATTGGACGCACAACCAGAGTTACCATAACGAACAACGATACTCCCTTATGAGAGATCTCGATATCAATGTTAAAGGCGATTCTCAGGATTGCGAAGAAGAAATGGAGAAGAACAACGCACAGCGGGTGGCAGACATCATCAACGGCAAGCCTCTAGATTGCAAAAGATCCCCTGAGAAACAGCAATCACAGATCAACGGACCGGTTTTGGACTGGTTAAATCGAACGCAGAGGCGTAGCTTTGCAAAGAGTGTAGTCGGCACCAGCCAGTACATGGCGCCTGAAGTCATCCGAGGAGAGACGTATGATGGGAGGTGCGATTGGTGGAGCATCGGCATCATTCTCTACGAGGTGCGTGTCCACATATGCCAGACTTGCTACGATTCTGACGGGATGCTTCAGTGTCTGTACGGCTGCACTCCTTTCTTCTCCGAGAACAGAACCGCAACGAAAGAACGAATCCTGGTAAGCCTTGCCCTCTTCCTCTCGAAGCCCACATATCTAACGCCCCGTCCTATCAGCGCCACAAACAAGTCCTCAAATTCCCCTCCGAATTCCGCTACGCGCGCCCCTCCACCGACCGCGTTCCCCTCCGCCCCGTAACCCGCGCTGGCATCGACCTCATATCCCGCCTCCTCGATGAAAAAGAGACTCGCCTCTCTGCCCGCCGCTACCGTGACAATGACTTCGCCATCGCTCGCCGTACCCTTTCTTCCCGCTACCTGCGCAACTCGCACCTCCACGCACCCGGCCACTTCGTCTTCGCCAACGACGCCGAAGACATCAAAGCCCACCCCTTCTTCCGCGGCGTCGACTGGCAGAATATGCACCACGCCCAGCCGCCGTTCGTGCCGAGGGTCAGGGCGGATCAGCCGATTACAAAGTATTTTGATGATGAGGCGGATATTATGAGTGAGAGTGATCATTTTGATTCAAGTAGTTATGCGAGTGGAGTGGCGGTGAAGGAGGAGGGTGATGGGAATAAGGGGGGAAAGGGGAGGCGAAAGCGGAAAGAGAAGAAGAGACCTAGGGATAAGATACTCAGAGATCCGGAGGTCGGAAGGACGGTGTTGGAGATTAGGAAGAAAGGCGCGTTTGTGGGGTATACGTATCGGAGGCCTAGGTTCGCTATGCCGGAGTGTTGAGAGAGGATGGTTCCTATGGGAGGTTGGGGATGGATGAGAGGAGAGGGCTTTTGCTGAAGCTTTCGCTGTCTTTCTTTTGTCCGTAGTACTATTATTAGTTTCAGGCCTACTTTGGGTCTGTAGTCAAAATCCCTTTGGTGTTCGAGTCGTTTTGAATATAGTGCGACATTGTTAGATTTTTTATGTCCTCTTGCCGCTGCTCGGGGTGCCTCAGCAGGACATTCGAAATTTGGACAAGGTGTGAACGTGAACTTCCCAAGCGTAAGAATCAGACCGCTTTATGGGTTCTTTTCACACGATGGCGTTTTAAAAGCCTCTTCCAATGCTCCTTTTTGTCACACTCGACATCTCACTCCAAGCCCCTGTCCTTTGATTACCATCATATTGCACGAAAGAGTCCCCAGCTTCACGACCTGTCGCCTATAGAAGCCTACTATGCATCACGATTCAAGCCTGTGCGAATATGCCTCAGCAAATCACTGCCTGAATCAGCGTCTAAAATAAACGAAAAGCCTGAATCCAATTTACTCACGCCCGGGGTCCCCATTTCTACGTTCTCGCAACGCAAAGACGTACTGAAAGAATAGAAATCGCACGTACCAACTCTCATCCCAACTTCTCAAGACGTGGTGATAATCAACGCCACATTCACCAACCTTCAGTCTTCACCATAAACTTGTTCACCATGAGCGACATTCACGCCCTCCTTCCACCCAGCACACCTCTCACTTCAATCGCTACCTTCAAACCAAATGCCGGTCCAACCACGCTCTACCAACCGCTACTGTTGCACGTCTTCCAAACCTTTTACGGGCGACGGAAGACTGGGTGTTGCAAGTCGGGGTAGAGAAGAGACGGAGGTGGAGAGTACGACTGATCAGGGCTTGAGATAGGGGAGGCTGAGCTACCTTATGCCTTGTCTTATGCTGGATTGGAAGGAGGCCCGCTAGGTAACCAATTGTTTAACAGCTTTTACCCAGCTAGCTTACATCTCATGTAGAATTCTGAAAACCGGTGGAGGCACAATTGACGGTGATTGAGGCGTTTGTACAGTATCTCAACTGAGGAACGAGGAAGCCGATCTTTATCGCAAGGAGAAGGGTTTCATCCCACTACGATGAGAAGAAGGCCATTCATCTCAAGTACGACGAGATACCGACCTTCTACTTTGGCATCTGATACTCCTCATCACCACAACAACTTTCAAACCCCACACTACCACACCACCCATGAAGCTGCTGTCGCTGGATTTTTTATCCACCTCCCCCCCCTACCCCTCCCTCCACATGCTTGCATTCTGCTGTCGAGTTTTCGAGAACCCGACACCATACGGCTGTCGAGGGATCCAGTTCAAAAACCCTCCCTCCCCATTCAGTTTTCCAGCTTCGGATTTGATCTACAGACACCACCCATGAGGTCTAGGAAGTTTTATTTTGATCCACCTCCCTTCCCCTTCCACATGTCTTGTTTCTCTGTAGTATTTTCGAGAGTCCAGCACCATACAATTGTCGAGTGATCTAATTCGACCCACCACTCCATGTACGTGCTGTGTTTGAGTTTTGATTCCCGGACACTATCACATCACACTGCCGGAACGAGCTTTTTGATCCACCTCCTTTCCACCTCCCCATGCATTGGAGCGGCGAGCCATTTTCGCAAGCCCGGAACCATAAGGCTGTGGCGGTGTTACATTCGCTCCATCGCTCCACGTTAGAGCTTTGTTCTGTTTCTGATCCCCCAGACACCATCCATCAGACTGCTGAATTGAGCGCTTTGATCTACTACCTCCCCCCTCCACATACTCCATTTTCAACGTCGAGTTTTCGAGAGCCCAGCGCCATAGGGCTGGGAAGGGATCCATTTTGATCCACCAGCCCATGTGAGATCATCGTTCGGGTTTTGTTCCCCAGACACCACTCTATAACATGTGTCTTTGGACGATTCTGATCCACCTCCACCCCCCCTCCCCATGACGGGTTTCGACATTGTATTTTCGAGAACCCACTACCATATGGCGGCAAGTCCACTCTTCTAATCTACTACCCCATTCCGACGACGTTGTTTCGGATCTTGATCCGCAGACCCCACCCATGAGATTGTCCTAGTTGGGCTTTTGATCCACCGCCGCTCCCCACTCCACATTATGCAAGTGATCAGATATTCCAATTTGAGCAAGCCTAGGCCCACAACGCAGCTGTTCTGCTCTTCTGATCCACCACTCCCCCATACGGAGGACGACGATATGTTAACGATCTCCAGACGCCCTCGCATGAGGAGGTCCATGCCCGCATCCTTTTGATCCACCTCCGCTCCCCATCATGTGCTGGGTGCAGTAGTTTCTGCAGGCCCACCCACACCCACCACCATGAGACTGTGGAGGCGTCCAATTCAAACCCCCGGCCCCCCTTCCCTCGCCTTTCTCCATCGTGTCTTGTACTGTCCAGGGGTTTTGATCCCCAGACACCACTCCACCACCCCACAGTACCCATTCTTCCATCTTCCTAGTCCACTTCGCTCTCCTTCTCCCGACGAAGAGAAGAAAAGCAGAAGCGAAACCGGCAGCAGAAGAAGAAGAAGTTTTTAGACCCCTCTTCTGCCAAGCCGCACGTGAGACGCGTGTCGGGTGGCACGGCATGACTGCCTGCTGTGGAACCCACATGCGAGGTGCAGGTGGGGTGGTACGACATCTGCGGTGTGTGGGATGACGTCGGTATCGGAGCTGAGGGCTGGGAGACGGGTTTGGGAGGGAGTGGGGTGGAGTGGAGTGGCCGGATAATGGGGGATACGTAAAAATTCCCACAGTGCACGAAGTAGAGGGAGCAGTCTGAACACTTACAGTCAGCCTGTCAATTAAGGAGGGGAGGTTCAGCACGGTGGAGGGTTCCAAAACTGTCATAGATCGAAACAGAAGAAAAAGGTCATGGAGATTTGAAGTTGCTTTGATTGAAGGCGTTGGATATCTAAACTCGAAGCAAGTTTTTCGTACAAGCCCCTACGAAGTGAGTCGCGTGGCTATTAGACATAAACACAACACTGCTCCCTTCTTCTTCTTCTTCCTCCTCCTCCTCCTTTCCCCTTCTCATATGTCCAGAAATGGCACTGACTATCGAACAAGAACAAAAGGAACAAGTATGGACGTCCGAGGCTGCCAACGGCTCGCTCCGGCGGGAGCAGAACCAAAGAACCAAGGGCCGGAAAAGGTATAAACAACGAAGAGGTAGATGTCGAAAGACTTTTTATGCAAATGCGTCGGAAATTCCGCGAAAAAAAATGAACGAAGTATGTGGCTCTCAGCCAAAAAAGCCGGCCAGTAAACAAGGGTTGTCGAGAAGTGGTTTAACCGTGGGTCGTATTTCATCGTTAAAATCAGGTGGTTGGTCCAGATCAGATCCCCGCCACGTGGGTTTCCGTTACCGCTAAAGTCGACGGATCCGTGGTTCGTCTCAGCGCCGATAGACTGGAAGTGCGGGTGTAGCGGCAGTAAATATGGTCCATGGTCGTAACGCATCCAGCTGGCACATTATCGCTGGAAGCCGTAATCGCCCTGCCTCCTCTGTCGCTCTCTCTCTCTCGTCGTCGTCCGCCCCCCGGACTTTAGACTCGTCCGCGCTGAGGGTTGAGTGGCAGTTCCATCACCGCACCGCTCTGCCTGTGCCTATGCGCGATAGCTCTTTGATGCCGACCATCGGGCCCTTGCTCATCCTTCGACTCGCGCGGCTCGCGGTGGAGTTGTTGGTCGAGCTCGACTTGGAGCTCGTGGGGCTCGAGGCGTAGATGTACTCGCCGTCGACGTACTGGGCTTCGCTGATGAAGGTGGTGCGCTTCTCGCGGCGGGTGTAGCGCTGCTCGAGGCGGTAGAGCTCGAGTTCTGGTCGAGGGGTCAGCAGGAAGGTTTTCGGGGGCGCCGCGAAGGCGTGCTCAAGGTCGAGCGGTATGGAGTAATTGGACGAAGAGGGAGACGCACTGGCTTGTAGCTTCTCGAACAGACCCATAATGGAGTTGATTCAACTGTCGAGGGTGTGGAGGGTCAGAGGTCGTCGGGATATGCTGCTGACAGATTGACAGGCGATAAGATTGTTAATCTCGAGGGTTGATTGCTTTTCCGAGCGAGCAGAATGAATGAAGGGTGCAGTCGGGCTCGCAATTGGCGTCCGGTCGGTATGGCTGGGAACCACTTGGGCGGAAATGAGGGTGCTCGGGGTAGACTGCAGGATAAAGAGCGCAACGGGCGAGAAAGTCGAGCAGCAGAAGGCGGGTTGGACGGCGGGCGTGGAGGTTGCGAGGGCGTTCTTAGGGGCCCCAGCGGCGCTCCTTGGCGGGAGCACAGCACGGAGCCACCCCTGTTTCTGGAAGCAAACACGAGTCGCCGGCGGCCAGGGGGCCTGCAGCGCAGACACCTGGGTGCCGCCACGGACCGGTCCAGCTCTCGCCGTTTGCCTCTTGGCCTCGCACGTTGGGCATCTCCTGCCGCCGATACTGGATGCCGTGCTCGCTGTCCACCATCGCGGCCTCTCGTTCCCGCGCAGAGCATGAAGCAGCAGACAGGCTTGACACGCCCTGCATCTCGGGCGGGACCCGAAGAAGCTTAACGAGTCAGGCCCGCCAGCCCGGGGTTGGGCTGCTCGGGGCCTGTTCGCCGTGCCGGCCGCGTGAGTTTGCGCCATCACGAACTCGATGCGAGCCCCCTGGCCCGGGGCGACGATAGCTACCCACTCTCCACATTGCCGCCGCCCTGGGATCGCCTTATCGCCCGGACACACGCCTATCACTGGCCACTTGGTCGACTGCCAGGCGCCGGGGAAACGGTTGCAGAGTGCAGAGAACCTCCAACGACTTCGTGAAACTCTATTCTCGTATGCTACTTATTGAGGGAACCCGAGTCCATCCGCTCGCCAGACTATGCCGTGTATCATCGGAACACCGCGCAAACCACATTTGCCGCCCTAATGCCGCTACTCACAGTCGCGACTCCGGCACAGTTCCCTCAAGGACGGCCACAGCGCCTATATTGCCAGCGTCAGCAGAGCCATTGAGCAGCGAAATGACAGAAATGACATCGGACGGCTCAAGAAGGTGCCAGCTGGCAAGCGTCTGCTTGGAGCTGGCGCCCACTGTGACCGAGAAGACGTGATCTGCAGGCAGCTTGGACTGCCGCAGCGATCGGAACATATCTGCCGTTATTAGCAAACTTGATGCAGATAAAAGCACGACATCTCAATGCTCACCTTCGTCCGTGAAGTCGTCACCAAGACAGAGCACAAACTCTGGCGCTTGACCGGCCTGGTCGCCGTATGCTTCAACCAGCCTCTTCGCAATCTCGCCCTTGTTGACGAATCGCGGTCGCACTTCGAGGTTGGCCTTGCCCTCCATCACTTCGACGTCGAACTTCTTTACGACCGTGTTGTTCAGGAGCTTCTGGCATTCGCGTGCCTGGTACACTCCATACTCTGGGTCTGCTCGACGATAATGCCACGTGAGCGCAATCTTCTTTCGTTCGATGAAGGATCCTATAGCCTGTTAAACAGTGCACATATCAGCTTGCCAGTGGTCCTACCTTGAGTCCTCTCCGTGTAGTGCTGGAAGACGCTCATCACCTCCGATTGCCAGCTCATGTCTTCCTTCTCCGTGAGATTTTCCCATTCCTCGCTTCTTGGAGGCCGCATGAAGCTTCCATGCTCGGCACTGAGGCCCAGCTCCGTGATATGGCCCATCCATTCATCCAAGAACGCCTGGTCTCGCCCGCTGATGATCCACACAGCATTCGCCGGATCTGAAGCAAGAGTCTTGAGCGTGCGAAGCACTCGGTCTGATGGAATTGCCGCCTGCGGGTCTTTGACAATCGGAGTGAGAGTGCCATCGTAGTCGAACATGAACACTCGCTTCTTTGCTTGCCGGTATTGGTACAGGAGCTTAGCCCGGTCTAGTGCTGGCGTCGCAAAAGACTGGTCAAACGAAGACAGGTTTGTCATGAGACGCTTCAAAAAGTTGTTGGTCCAGTTTTGTACATTGTTCGTCACGACGTGTTTGTAGAGCTTCTCCTGGTGTTCCTTCCGCAGGTCCATGGGCATCGTAAGAGCTTCATTGATTGCTTCAGCCACCCCACCCAGGTCCCAAGGATTGATGTGAATAGCATTTCCTAGGCTTCCAGCTGTGCCCGAAAATTCAGAGAGGATTAATGGGCCGTTGTTTCCTTTTTGGCAAATGACGTATTCCAGGCTGGTAGTGTTCATCCCGTCTCGAACACTCGTGATCAGGCCCACGTCTGCCACTCGAAGGAGCGCGAAGTATTCCTCTCGCGACAGGTATTGGGGGAAGTGCTGAACTGGTGCGAAACTTAGCGAACCATAAGTACCGTTGATCCGGGCCACTAGGTCTGCGATCTTATTGACGAATCTGTTGTCTGCATCCTCTTGATCTTCCTGGAGATGGCTCGGGCTGGTGACCTGGATCAACACGACCTTGTCGTGCCACTCCGGATATCTCTCGAGAAACATCTCAAATGCTTGTAGCTTCTGTGCAACACCTCTGACTGAATCAAGGCGATCCCGCCCAACTATGATCTTCTTTCCCGCGTAGAGCTCGCGGATCCCTTTGATCTTTTCCTCTATGAGTGGATCTCCAAAAGCCTGTCGCTGTGTAGAAGCCGCGGCGATTCCGATGGGGAAAACATCTACAGCAACATGAGCACCATAAGCATCAACGCCTGCCGAGGACGAGTCGAAACCGAGAATTCTTGTGCAGCATGAAGAGAAGTGGCGAGAGTAGCTGTAGGACTGGAATCCAATCATATTTGCACCTAGAACACCTTCTAGGATCTCCTTTCTTCGACTGAGGCAACGGTAGAATTCGCTACTGGGAAAAGGTATATGAAGGAAGAAGCCAATGTACACGCTCGGGAGGCGCTGTCGGAGGAGACTGGGGAGAAGCAGTAGGTAGTAATCGTGAATGACTATAATGTCTCCCGGCTTGTAGATTTCCAGGATCCTATCCGCGAAAAGCTTGTTCATACGATAGTAGTCTGCCCAATATCGGCGTACAGCTCGGCCATCGGCAGGCTCGTTCTGTTTGTAGTGGAAGAGGGTGTAGAGCTCATGCTCGGCGTAACGACGCCACTTGGACTGGTCTTTGATGGTGGCCACATCTTGGTCTGCGTCCAGTCCATCTGTCAGCCATACTGGAACGATTCTGCCTCCATGGTTACGTTCTAGTTGCCGCTCCAGGCGTTGCCGGTCTTCACGGCTGACTCTTAGCCCCTCAAAAGCTGCCGGCTGCTGCGGTCTGGAAGATCCGTCAATTGGAATTGGAGCAGATGCTTTGTTCGTTTGCGCAGCGATTGCGGGGGCTGAGGTTGTTGCTGGACGTGCTTCTGGACGCTCTTCGATTTCGCCAGTCCACCCTACCATTGTGTGGTTCCATGGCGATGAAGATGAAGCCAAGTATGATAGCGAGTCAAACAATGCGGAGGTCCCTCGCCTTGATTTCAGTTCCTGATCTCAATTAGCTAATTCTTGAAACGAAGAGCAGCGCTTCCTGAGAAATCCTATAAGAATATTATGACCATTCAATCGTTCATGGCAGTCAGATATCTCCGTCTCACACCAATTTTTGAGAACCTACCCAGTCAAGGCCCGGAGAGTATCCAATCTGATATGGCACACAGAAAGTTGCGCTGATAACTCCACCACTGAGGTTCAAGCCAGGGTGTGCTGCCCTGGGATCTACATCTGCGAGGTCGGGCTTCCCAACTGTATCTCCAATGAGGCTGAGTTTGCGTAATAGGTCCTCTCCGCTCCTCGCTCCAGCCGCCGCTTCGGTCGGCGAAGCGGGTCTAGGTTTATCTTTGGGCGCGAAATATGAGTTTGCGTTCCATTGTGGGCCTGGTGTGGCCTGCTCATCGAACGGAAGCTGTGTGCTTTGCTCGGCTTGGTCTGGCTCGATATATGCCGAGTGTCCGGCGAGATGAACACCAGGGGTGACGGGGACCGATGTTATTGACGGGTGCAGTGCCGGATGAGCATCATCCTGGTGCTTATCGTCTGCAGAGGTGGGACGAGGGGAGGAAGACATTGGCACGCTCTCTTTGGTGTCGCTCTGCATTTTGGACCGTCAGCCAGGTGTGGTACAGTGTGAGGAGTCTAAAGAGAAAGGGCAGGAAAGGATAACAACGATAGCAAACTCGGCAAGGAGTGAGCTGGCCAGGTCACCAGGCGATCATAATGTGCACGCTCACCTGGGCAGTCGCTGGGTGAAGCACTAGAATCTACGCAACGGCCACCGCTTAGATTACAGTAGTGACGAGCGGGTACAGGTTATAGAAGCCCACCTTCTTCAAGAGGATGTAATATATGTGACAGGAGATGTCTCGCGTCGTATCTGGAAACTGGTAGTCTGAGGACAATGCGGGATTGCGGGCAATTGAGGCCGAAGCTATGGCATGTTCGGGGGAGAGGAACAATGGCAGGCAGAGGCAGGCAAAGAGGGAGGAATTGGTGCCGACGCGTCAATGGTGCGGCAGGGCGGCGGGGTCTGGTCAAGATATATTACCGGGTCAGGAGAGAGCAGATGTTGGAAGATTGCTGCATCTAATCATTACTACCTATCGACGGGAGGTTTGAAGGCCTGGCCCCGCGTGCGTCATTTCGCGGCAATGCTATTTCGTCCCTGGGTTTGCCCATCCACATGACACCGATTTGTTCCGCATTGCAATAACGAGCAAATAGTAGACATCCTCACCATCTACAGATCTGCTCCGCTATCGGGCGGGTTGGATTTGAGATGGCGTGGCCCGGGTGTTTCACTCGGCTCTGGACGTCTCTAAGTCTCCAATTGACAGCCAGACCTTGGGAAGGAAAATGTCTGATCATGCCGGCAATTCGGCGAGAGCTACTATGAGAATCAAGAATTATTGGGCAATATACAAAGTGCTACTTAGCAGCTAGAGAGATCTCTGACTAGAGCTGTGTTTAGGATTGGTACGGCGCTAGGCTAGAACGAGGCTAATTACATCTGTAAACTAAATCTCCAGAATCTCGCGAGGACTTCGACTTTCGCGCCCGGCTGTCAATCATCACTCACACCTCGCGCCGCCAATGCATACAGCTCGCTACACAGCGGTGTGCACTGCCAAAAATGCCTTCAAGCCCTCAATTGTCCTCTGGCAGCAGTTCGTTGCTGCTGGTACCCCTATCCAGCGTTTCTCCTCCACCATAGCTACGCACGACTCCGAACGGCCTCTACCTCAACTGCCATCCAACGAAACAGCCGAAGCGCCTTCCTCGCCAGTTATCTCTGATATATCCGACCAGTCTCCGGCAGAGCTGCCACTGAAGAAGCACGCCTATCCTCGAGAGAGCATCGCTGCTGCGAACGAGCGCCAAATCGACGACATAGACCCTCATGACCTCTCCGCCACGCTTGAGGCGCATCGCGCCTCGAATCGGGCATCCCTCATTCGTGGTGTTAAGAGCAATCAGATTGACACGGATTACAAACAAGCCCAGGTAAAGTCGTCGCTGAGATTGATTAGCGGCGCTGCGACAGGGCGTGGAAAAAAAGGCCACCAGCGTCGAATGCCTGACATTCCTATCATTCCCCTCGCAGGCATTTTGCAGAGGCCGAACCCGTCTCTCAACAGAGGAAAAAAACTTTGGGCGACCCCAATTCCCCTCGAAGGCATTTTGTACAAGAAGAAACAGACTAGGGCAAAATATCAAGTGACATTCAATCCTCGTGAAGAAGTTCGCAGGGTGCAGCGACCAGAGCCCAAGAAACCCAAGGAAACCAAGAAAACCAACAGTATCAGCGACGTTGAAATAAAGCGTAGACTTCCCATTCCCCTCAAAGGCATTATGCTGAGGTCGATCCACCCTACGAATAAACGGCCGGCGACCACCATTCCCCTTTCAGGCATTTCTTTCAAGATAATTCAAAAAAGGGCAAAAGATCAAGTGACCGTCCATCCTTTTCAAGAAGTTCCCAGGGTACAGCCAGAAGAAGTCCAGAGGTTACAGCCAGAAGAAGTCCACAGAGTACAGCGACCAGGGCCCAAGAAACCTAAGAAGCCCGTCACTGACTCACAACACAATCGAAATACCGACGTTGTGCCGCCAATCGATCCAATGCTTAGACAAGACGGGTCAAAAGCGAATCTGAAGGAGCTTAGGAAGAAGTCCAAGAAGGAGTCGGCGCCGATGAAATGGCCAACCATAACAACGTTCAAACAAGGTCAACAGCTTTTGGAATACAAGGGGGAAAACGTTGAGCCACTCTCTGAGGTGCTTGTCCCTGAGAGCGAACTTCCTTGGGTTGTCAAGGAGGACTTGCAGTCGATGACGGGGGCTGAGAGGTCAACTATACTCGCACATATGTTGTTTAAGCCATGCTAACTCCCTGTTGTAGGCTTTCAGAGGAAATCTCTAGATTCAATTCATACATGATGCCAACACCAAACGAGCGTACCGCGCGACAAGCGGTGATCAAAGAGCTTTCTGACCTGGTAAAGAAACATTTCCCCAAGCATACAGTGAGCGTGTTTGGGTCAGAGTGGAACGGACTGGCATTGGCAACGTCAGACATTGACTTCCGACTGTCAGTGCCTGCATTGGTCGGCTCAAAACTGGAAAACGCACCGCGCTACATTGTACGAAAGGTTCTGACCAAGGACCTTGAGCGTCTTCACTTGATTATGCAGAGGTCGGTGGGCATCTACATGCTCTGCTCAATCAGGCATGCCCGTTATCCCCTCATCTCCGTACAGCACATCAAATCGCGTCTTGATCTTCAAGTGGTGGGATCAAACGACACTTCAGTATCCCGGACGTACGTCTTGAAATACCTAGCAGAGCACCCAGGCTTGAAGGAACTCATCGCCGTGCTGAAGGTCCTATTTGACATCCGAGGCATCTCGGACGTTTTCAGAGGCGGCTTGGGCTCGTACAGCGTCTTCATGATGGCCGTTGCCAGCATCAAGCTGGGACCACAGGGCACATCCACCGATCTCGGGCAACGACTACTGAACTTTTTAAGCTTCTGGGCCAAGTTCGATACGTACACAACCGGAGTTTCGATCGAGCCAGCCGAAGTATTTCCTAAGACGTCGAGAACCATCATCACCGTCAAACAGAAGAAGAACCTAGATGAGGTAAATGCGGCCCCCTCTCCCTTGATCACATCCAACTAACTTCCTCCAGAAGGGCCTCCTCAGGGAAAAACTGGGCCAGATCGACCCCGCGCAACCCTATCTCTTATGCCTGCAAGACCCCGCCGATGCCACAAACGATGTCGGCAAGAAGGGTTTCGCCATCAAGCATATCCAAGCCACGTTTGCGCACTTGGAGAAAGAGCTCAGGACAGCCATGAAGGAGAACACCAGGCCGTCGCTGCTAGGTCCTGTTGTTGGTCCTGCTTATATTCTGAACAAAGAACGGCGTGCTACCATGGAGGAGTACGGGGCTTCAATCGGGCCACTACCAGAGCAGGCGGCTGAGGAGGCGGAGCGTGCGCCACCAGCGGAGATGACGATTGAGGAGTTCAGGGAAGAATACCCGCTTCCCAACAACCCTCTTATGCATCTTTCTTTGGGTGAGGTGGAGGGGATTGAGAAAGAGGCTCCAGCTGCGACGGAGCAGAGTGCGGAGGAACCTCAAGATGTCGTGGAGCAGGAAGCTGAGAGTGCTTCTGAGGTGATTGAGAAGGAGGCTCCGGATGCGTCGGAGCAGGTTGCAGAAGAAACTCCAGATGTGGTGGAGCCGACCGCGGAAAGCGCTTCTGAAGTGGTCGAAAAAAGCTGAAGAGATAACACCGAAAGAGGAAGAGGCAGGAGATGAAAAGGGTGAGGCTCCTCAGGACAAGACGAGATAGTCGTCCTTGGACGTGAGTCCTTTTGGACTTACCTGGTAACGGCAGAGGCTGGCATCGTATACATACTGTATCAATAGGCAAACGAGCAGAAGCGTTGTTATTTCGGAAGAAGCCCGGGGGGGCGGGGGGTTGGTTGCGGCTAATTGTAAAGATAAAATTTCAGTGAATGTATTCGTATGTGTTATTGATGTTGGCGCTCTTCTCCGGAAATTGCTCTAGCTCGTTGGTGCCTAGGTGCACAGCTCGTTCAAGTGTGTGCTAACAACTGGAAGCTCTTTTCTGATTATTAGGATGGTGATGGGAAGCCTTCGCTAGGTTCTTGCCTGAGGCAACACCGATAGGGCTGAGGGTGGTGATGCCGACTCTCCTGACATGGAATGACATCACGAACATTTCCACCGCCAGGACCACCGAATTTAGTTACATAGTCACTCACAAATATCACCAAGAACATGCTTCTGATACCATGATAAGCTAATCTAAATGCAGATTTCATCCTTACGCACTCCCGTGTAGTAGGAAAAACCCGGATATGCATCGTGAAAGCCGCAGAAACCCGGTAAGGAAAGAGCCATCTTTCGGAGCTGGGTTTTCAGATCCACGCCGAAAGACGGGGGTAATAACAGTCGGGAAGGCCGTGATAGATGTGGGGGGGGGAGTCGGGAAAAGAAACACCACGCCGAGTAACGCTGAGTCCATCTCCATGCCACTTGAACGCAATCAGAAAGCAAGCCTCGTCCACCCCGCCGCAAGGTTTTGCCCCATGTGAGAATTGGGTGGATGGGGTCCGTTAAGGTAGTCGTTGTAGAGCTCGACTGGTATCATGCCATGGATTCGCTTTGCGGGCGCTAGATGGCGTACTTTCGAGTCCATTCCCTAGCTGTGGACTCGTAACGGGAGCGGTCGGTCTTGTAGACGTGGGCGATCTCGGGTACCAGAGGGTCGTCCGGGTTCGGGTCTGTGAGCATAGAGCAGATTGAGAGTAGCACTGGAAAGGAAGTTAGCACCCGAATCAAGACATCTAGAAGGTTTTAGACTCGCCCTTCGAAATCGTCAACGCCGGGCTCCACTGGTCTCGTAGAATATCCAAGCAGATGCTTCCGTTCGAGTTGATGTTCGGGTGATAGATGCGGGTAGTGAAGTTGACCTTCGGCGGCTTGAAAGGATAGTCGGTGGGGAAGTGGATTGCTAGGAAGAAGACGCCTCCCGAGTATGGCGAGTCGCCCTGGAGTGGGGTTTGTCAGCTGGACGGATTCTCGAGTTTCGAGATGATGCGGCGTGGCGATGAGGCACAGCACCGCGGCATGAAAGGGGGGTCGAGTTCACTTACAGGGCCCATGATGGTCGCTTGCCAGTGGAACTATTGCGAGCACTCAGTCAGTATGTTGTCCCGCCTCTGTGATTGTCGACGGAGCCGGCGGCCTGAAAACCGCTCCAGCCGCTCCGATGCCTCCTCGAGAGTGATACGTACCAGATCATCGCCGATGGGGCCGGCAGAGCAGGACGACGGCGGGTCACTGGAGGAGGTTTGTTAGCCAGATCCGCGCGAACGAGGACTTTTGCCCGGGACGCAGAGCGACGGCCTTGCACCCCGCACTCCAGAGTCATGCGAGCAGTAGTGCGGCCGACGAGTGAAGAGAGAGACGGCGAACTTACCGACCGAGGTCAGTGAGCTCCTTGTTGATGCGCTTGAGAGCCATTTTGCGAGCGTGTTTTCGGGGGTGTGGGTCGGGAAGGAGTGGTTTTGGAAGAGGGTTTCTGTGACGGAGAACTGAACTGGGCTGCGTTAGCGCCGTGAAAGCAGGCGGGGCGTATCGCTGGCAACGTGAGGCCAGCACCAACAACATACCTGGTCCGCGTCGGGCGGTGTTGGGCTATTGTTGTTGTTGTTGTTGTGGGTGAAGGGCAGCGAAGGAAGTCGGGTGAGGGAAGAAGGGTGTCGAGGCAGCCGGCGGTTTTATGGGCTGGCAGGCTGAGACTTCTTCTTCAGCAGAATTCACCGCCAGGCCGCTCACGCGTGGCAAATGATAGAACCGCATCGTTCCCGCAACCACCCATCGACCATCGACGACGTCTGCCAATAATGCCCACCAATATATTGCATATCAACCCTCGGCGTTGACAAAGCAGCCTTGCAACGAGGCCGGTCGGACTGCTTCACCAGCTGCGCCTCAACTAGGGTTGGAGGCGGAAGGGCCTTTCTGCAAGCAGCAAGCTGTGCACGCCAGCTGCGAGGTCTGCTCTGAAACGTAGGACAGCAGTCTCGACGCCTCGCTCGATACAGCCGCTGGTCCTGCATTTGATATGGCGCTTTGCAAGTTGAGAGTGCTTGGCATGCATGAGTGTCGGGTACCTCTCATATCCAGGCTGGAGTGCTTCACCATCTGGGTACTCTTCTACAAAGGTGCTCACCCATACATCCGTCTCCCTTTCCATAAACATGCAGAAGGCTCTGGCGTTTATTTGCAATCTACGAAAGGTGTTCCTGCCTTGGTGGCACAGTGGTATGCCTGAGGTCGTAGCACGAGTCATCCCCTGTGCACCAACTACCCCGTACTTTTCCGTCATGGTCTTTACATGCCAAGAAGCGTGGATCTGCAAACCCTCGATATATGTATTTACAGCTATTATTTCTTGTCAAAGTATTCGCCGATCATTGTAAACTCCTAGCAGAAGGCTTGAAGGCCCGTGATGGCTCTTCCGAGAATGAGAGCTGCGTGACTTGATCAGCTGTGCCCAACATCATGCAGTCCGGCTGAGACTCACCGTGAATGTCACTTTGGCCCTCGTACGTCTGGGTCACGAACAGGTTCGCGACGTGTCGGCCTATTCCGTACTCGTCACTGACAGCGTTGCCGCCAAAGACCTCTTGCAGTCTGCATGAAAGTTAGCCTATGAGCATGCAGCCTGTCGTGCCAACTCACATCCTCGCGTTGACCAAGGCCCTATCACAGTTCTGTCGCTTGATCATCGAGATCATTTCCGGGGCCGCTTTGCCTTCGTCCTTGAGCCTTCCAACTTGGGTTGCTGCAAGGATACCGTATGCAGCATCCGTGGAGGCGTCCGCAAGTTTCTTTTGGACAAGTTGGTACTTTGCGATTGGATTGCCCTTGAACTGTTTGCGATTGAGGGCATACTCTCTTGTTCTCGAGATGCTGTCTTCCAGCGCGCCCATCGTTCCCCATGCGATTCCGTACCTCGCGTTGTTCAGGCAGCTGAAGGGACCCCTCAGGCCCTCAACGTCAGGAAACATGTTCTCTTCCGGAACAGGACACTCATCCAGTTGGATCATGCCAGTTATTGATGCCCTCAGACCGTTCTTGTTCTTTATGGCTGGCGTCTCCAGTGTGCCGGGTGGACACTGACTCCTCTCAATCACGAAGCCACGGATCTTCCCCGTGGTTTCGAGCTTGGCCCACACAAGAAACAGATCGGAGATGGGAGAATTGGTGATCCATGTTTTGGCTCCAGAGAGTGAGTAGTATCCCTTCTTGGACGGGTGTGGCTTTGCGACTGTCTCCATCGATCCAGGATCCGACCCGTGATTTGGTTCTGTCAAACCGAAGCAGCCTAGCAGCTTCCCTTTAGCCATCCCAGGCAAGTATTTGTCCTTCAGTTCCTGGGTGCCGTGCTCCTCGATCCCGCCCATTACCAGGGAGCTCTGTACCGAGTATCCGGATCGGTAACCCGAGTCGACTCGCTCTACGGCTCGTGTGATCAAACCGGACGCCACACTGCTCACTCCGGCGCACCCGTATCCTTGTATTGTTGCACCAAGAAGCCCGAGCTCTCCCATTTCCTCGAGGATCTTCCGATCGAAATCTTCGTTTCGGTATGCCTCTGCAATATTGTCAGTGGAGTGCTTCAGGACGAGAGGCTGGGATTACGATACCTAGCAGCCTGGGAAGCATGCGTTCCTGACAATACGCCTCAGCAGTCTCCGCAATTGCCAGCTCATCTTCCGTAAACAAATTGCTCGCGCCAAGGGGATCTTTCCAATCAAACGCCGCTGGAGTATGAGCATATCGCCTTCCAACGACTGCAGGACGAGCAGGCCTGGTCAATTGGCGGACAGCCTGCCTGCAGACTGGCTTGAACATGCTGGCGTGTTGGTGGTAGTATACAGAGTAAAGAGGGTGAGGAAATGGTAAATGCGCGTCATTGAATCATGGCAGTCAGCGAAGAGATATGTACCCCACGATCGACGGACGGGCCGCCATTGACCTGGACCGCGGTCCGATGCTCATTGGCTTTTTCTGGCCCGAACTTCGCCGCCAAAGGCCGCTGGGGGAGCAGAATTTACAGAATCTACGTTCTGGGGGCCGCGGTTCATGGAACAAGGGTACCAGAGACTAGTATCTCTATTCCTCGTGTAAAAAGTGAGACTTGTGACTTGACTGTGTGAAGTGGAACGAATGCCAAGACATATAGGGCTGTAACCCGGTGACATCGCGTCGAACGCGGAGATGACGCGAGTGAGGCGCTCTTCCTTCTTCAACTCCACCACCTCTGCCTGGGTGACAATTCGCCCTCCACGACGCGTACTTTGCTTTTCTATTTCCTCTCATATCAAGCGCGGTAGTCCATCCCCCTCTACTCGCAAATTCCTCCGGTAGTTGCTCAAGATGGGTATCAAGTCGCTCTTCCAGGTCATCAGCGAAAATGCCCCCGATGCTATCAAAACCGGCGAGATCAAGAACCAATTCGGCCGCAAGGTCGCGATAGTAAGCTCTTCATGTATATACGATCTATGGGCTCAAGATACTGATTCTTCCAGGACGCGTGGGTGCCCTCTCTGCTTCTCTTACCATCCGCGACTAAACCCCACCAGATCCATGAGCATCTACAGCTTCCTCATCGCGGTCCGCTCCGATGGCCAACAGCTCATGAACGAGACCGGCGAGACCACCTCCCACTTGATGGGCATGTTCTACCGAACCCTGCGCATGGTCGACAACGGTATCAAGCCACTCTACGTCTTCGACGGCGCCCCACCCAAGCTGAAATCCGGCGAGTTGGCCAAGCGATTCCAGCGCAAATCCGAGGCACAAGCATCGCATGAAGAGGCCAAGGAGACCGGTACAGCTGAGGACGTGGAGAAGTTCTCGCGGCGGACCGTGAGGGTCACGAGGGAGCACAATGCAGAGTGCCAGAAGCTGCTGAAGCTGATGGGTATCCCCTACATTGTGGCGCCCACCGAGGCAGAAGCACAGTGCGCGACGCTTGCGAGGGGTGGCAAGGTGTATGCGGCTGCTTCGGAGGATATGGATACACTCACGTTCGATTCGCCGGTGCTGCTGCGACATCTTACGTTTAGCGAGCAGCGGAAGGAACCAATTCTAGAGATCCATCTTGACAAGGTGTTGGAGGGACTAGAGATGGACAGGACACAGGTATGATACATGTGCGTGAAATGTGGTTCAGGTTTAGTGTGCTGACTACTCCGTCATCCACAGTTCATCGATCTCTGCATCCTTCTTGGCTGCGACTACCTCGACCCCATCAAAGGCATTGGCCCCACTACCGCTCTCAAGCTCATCCGCGAACACAAGAATCTCGAAGGCGTCGTCGCTGCAATCGAAAAGTCTACGAAATACACCATCCCCGAAGACTGGCCCTATGCCGACGCTCGCCTCCTCTTCCTCGAACCTGATGTCCGCCCCGCTGACGACCCCGAATGCGACTTTAAGTGGGAGGCGCCCGACCTTCCCGGTCTTCTCAAGTTCCTTGTTGAGGAGAAGGGTTTTAGTGAAGACAGAGTGAAGAACGGTGCCGCAAAACTCACGAAGAACCTCAAGACCGCACAACAGAGCCGACTCGAGGGCTTCTTCAAGCCAGTGGCAAAGACTGAAGAGCAGCAAGCTAGTCTGAAGCGCAAGAATGAAGCTAAAATCGAGGAGAAGAAAAAGAAGCAGAAGCAAGCGGCCAAGGAGAAGAAGGCCACCAAGTCCAAGCCTAGGCAGGTTGCTTGATCGAGGCCAAAGTCCTGCTCAGCGGCATGGAGTGGACTATTGTAGATGTTTCTGCCGTGCTAGTGGATGGCTTCATGATCTGCGGGCGGTCTAGGGGAGGCGTTTCTGAAGCCTTCGGTTGCTGGCTAGCGACTTTCAATTTAAATCTCGGTTTCGGCGTTCATCAGGCAGGGCATCATGGCATCATGGCATGGGAACTTATGATCAGTTTCTGACGCAGATGAAAACCACGGGGGTGCCACATGACAGGCGATCTCTCCTTCGCCAGGGAAGAGCGAAGCACGGCAAGTATCTTATCCTACAGAGTATGCCATCTGGCGAGAATATCAAATCACAAAAGAATCTTGTTCTGAATTCCACCGTGCTCTGTGTGTGTTTGCATGTTAGATTTGACTACTCACGCTTAGCACGCGCATATTTAGGCCACGTTGTAGTCGTGTGCGTCTTGTTGTCAGCATATTGATCTTCTCGAGCTTCGGGAGCTTTCGATGCCTTTAACCACAGCCTGAATCACTACGTGACAGATTGAAGCACTCATGGAGCACTCACTCCAGGCAGCTACAAAGGTACCATCGTCAATGTCTGAACGGAACCTTAAGAGGCTAGCGTCGGTCTATTAGGCTTAGCTCGCAAATTCGGAGGTCATGTCAAGGAACTACCCTCCATCGTCGCCTTACCAAAGATCACCATCGACGCTCGTTTGTATACAGGCTAGGTCCGGAGACCGGTGAGCAGCATTAGGCCTAATCATGTTCTCAACCTTCCGCATCAAGTTCGGACGACCCCATGTTGTATTTTCAGCCCCCACAGCCTGACCCCCTTTCTCCTTATAGCACAGTCTTGCTCTCTTTCCAGGCCTATGGCTTCTGCGCAACACATACACCAGACCGAATTCCTAAGGATCACTTACGTGGTGCACGTCTAAGTGAGCCTCTGGTTCAGATACCCTTTGTGCGCAAGTCCGGTTCCGATCTTTCATTCCTTGTCAATTCAGATACATTTCTCAACTTTCCTCTCCACCACCTCAAGTCGTTACAATCCAATCATTCTGAAATCAGTAAAGACGATGCTCTTCTCTCACTGATACAATCATAGCTCTTTTTCAGCACGTTGATAGAGTTCTTTCGAGGGAAAGTCGTGCCCAAGGAGTTCCGAAAGGTCTTAGAAGATGGCAGCGAGGTGCTTACCACAAAGCAGCTCCGCCACATGATGGCATGTTGGCCAGAGTACCAATATGATTCCGACGACGCTACAAAAGAGGAGGCCCATAAGATGGCTGTCGAGACCAGTGGACAGCTCCTCGCCCGTTCTTTGTTTGCTTGCGAGCGGTTCGGAAAGGTCAAGTCAAACGACGACCGGCTACATCGTGTCCTTTTCTCGGTCAAAGTTCTGATATGCACTATTACTCTTTTAGCGCGCAACTATTCTCCGGAGTCGAATATGGCGCTGGACGCAGTTTTGACTAGAGCCTGTTTCAAACACCCTCCGGACGGCTCACCGGAATCTACCTTCTTACTATGGGACTCTATGATCGAGAATCGGTGGTGGTAAGTGGCCTTAAATTATGATCCCGGCTTGAGTGCAAGCGCTTATGCAACCTTCTCAAGCCCTCAACAAGTCTACTACATGCTCCAAACCCAACCGGCGACCAGCGTATGTCACATCGCTCATACAAAACGACCAGAGTGGCATGGAGAACGTCATTCATGCGATAAACACGATTATTGCGTTGCACACCAAATCGACTGAGAAACTTTCGAGCCTACGCATGATCACAGTTTTAGATCAGACGATCCTGGATGCTGTCTTGCACTGAAGGATAATGAAGTAGCTCTCCTTGAAAAACAAATGATGGAATTACTCGACAAGGGCAAGATCCCGTTGGTATCCTGCGTTAGAAAACCGAACAACTGTCTACGACTAGACGTCATCGAAGCCAGGCAAGGAGTAGACTACACCGCAATCACTCATGTAGGTATTTCTCCCCTCATTCAGCTGCTATCACAGTGCCTTGACAGAAACCTGGGCACACTCGCTCACCACTGTTCGAGGTGCTTCAGCACATTTAAAATCTTTCGATAATATTTAAAAGCCTTGAGAGCTTGAACCAGAGAGCTTTCGTGCGCTTACAGTCGGCCTATTTGGCCTTTGTTTGTGCTTCAGCACATCATCGTAATTCTGGAGGAGACCAGAGGACGACGTGCCGAAACTTGTGTCCAAGTATTGTACTAACCAATGAGTACTAGGTATGGGCCGATGGACTTGGAAACGCCAAAAACAATCAATTACCGGCCTGCCGACTTCAAAAAGTGCTTGCTGCTATACGCCTCGTCGAGAAAAAGGACACTGAGAACGCGAAATACTTTAAGGGGTTCCGTCGTCGTAAATTCGCAAAGAAAAGGCAGCGTACCATGTTCTAGATGGACATTTTCTGTGTCCCGAAAGGGCCGAAGAGCGAAAGGCATCGGACGCTTGAGCAGAGAGCTATTTCGCTCATGGCAGCAACTTACGTGGGAGCCAAATACGTCTTGGTTCTAGACTCTGAGTTGCAGAGCATACCTTGCAAGAAACCGATAGGCGTACCTTTGGTGCCCTTGCTTCTCCGTCAAGTTTGTGGTATGACTTTAGCGACGGCGTGCTCCCTCACAACGAAATCGACTCCTTCGGCTCTCCAACCGCTGCAGTAAGCTGTGCTGGGCCAGTCAAATGGCATCAGTGATGGGTGCCATTAAAGCTACCATTTGTCGGGAACTTCACATTCCATTTGTCCGAGACTATTTCAATACAGGAGTATCGATTCATTACGGTATGGAACAGTTTCTTAGGTCGATCAACTACCAAGCCAAAGGACGTCCATGTTGTTCTAGCAAAGTAGGTACATCCAGAACAGTTGTTGGGAGCTCATGCCTGATTAGTTCACTAGTCTGCTCGGATTCAGCGCGGTTAAAATATCAGAACTATCGTCAAAGGTGCAATCAACCGAAGAAGATGAAGAATTTGTTGATCGCCGGGGTAGATCTGAAAGGATGAAAGCAATGCTTTTAGCACAAGATCGCTTTCCTCTGGAGCTTTTTAGTATTTCTCAAGCCGAGCCTTCCACTCGGCCTCGCCATCTTTCATGAATTCCAAATGCGTCAACCAGACGACAAATTACGGGCCTCAACACCAGGATGGTAGAAATAGACGGTGAAATATTGAGGGTCGACTCTCATTGCGGTCCTTACGGCTTCTTTGTAACCCTACCGTCTAACGCATCATTGCGTACATTTTGTATCAATGTCGCAGCAACACCCGAAGAGCCGCACATATACATTACACTAGACGTCCCCCAGAATGATATGTCGGGAGATTTTTACCTCCACCTTAATCTGCACAAGGAAGCTCATTCCCTCATTCAAGACACCTACGGTACCGGAGCATGTTTTGCAGTGCTCAGAAGGCAAAGTTACGAGGTAGAAGTGCGTTTTGAATCAGCCTTACGATTCTGCCACTGCTGGGAGAACCATCCAGAGGATGAACAGTCAGACATGTTCCTTCCCGTGGAAGCAGAGACGGCGCAACATAGGATATCGATAAGCCTTCGTAAGTCCCCATCCCTTCTAAATGTGGAGTCCTCCTGCTGATCAGCCTAGATCCCCGATCCGTGTATAAACCCTCAACGCAGCGCCCAGCCGATCTCTTTGATTTCTTTCCCAAGAGCCGACTATCCTTGAAAGTCACACTCCCTATTATTGTAGCGTTGTGGTTTGCTAGTGCTGGAATATGCATCGTAGGTCATATCAAATTCGGCTTCAGCTTCTTCGCCTTCACCTGGGTCATCATCCTCTTCTTCCCTTTCCTAACCATGACCTACATCATGTACTTGACGAAATCCAGTTGGCTCATGAGCTACACAACCGGCAACGTGGCCTGGTACGTCAAAGTAGCTTGGTCCCGCTGGTCACCGACGGTCTACAATGTGCGCATCTGGTCGAGATGGGTCTGGATACATTGCAAACCGGGCGTTATCTGGATCAGGGGATTGAAACCTCGACGTGACATCTTCAAGTTCAGCAAGAAGGCTTCGGGGTCTACTACGGAATTGATGAGCAAGGATCACCAAGGTCATGTGAAAGATGAGGATGTGACTGGGGTCAATGCGTCAAACTATGATGCTTTCAAAGATATGGAGAATATAACATACAAGATGCTGGATGAGGATTACGCGCGGGTTCTTTGTGCTATGGATAGGCAGATGTGGTGGGCGGACGGCCATACTGAATGATTCGTGGGTCTCAGAATGCCAAAGGCTCCAATCTGAAAGAGTAGGTCTTGGCGAATCTGAAAGTGTCGAGCGCAGAGGAAGAGGAACCTGAGGTGAGTTTATATCGCTATAAAACTTTAGCGAGGGGCTAAGCAAACGCTACTGACATAGCGTCACGTGATGAAAATGATTCAGCATCTTGGCGTTCTGGTTCTCAGCGTCCAAATATCGCATCGACTACTTCCTGAGCAAAACAATCATCCTGGTGCGAAAGAGCCTTTCCCAGTGACGGAAAGATAGAACAAACTAGCTATGGCACCAAGAATGCTTTTCATTTTAAGATTCTATTTTCCGCCCCCGTAAGCCCTGATTTCGGAAACACGCACCGTGTCATTGCGCGCCTACAGGGTCCTCAGCGCTTCCCCATCAGTGGTGCGGGAAAGCTCCAGATCGACATATCCAGCGTTTTCTAGCCTTCTGATCCAACGAACTCCCCGTTTCCTGCATTTCTAGCGGCTATCGCTATGCCCGCGCTCTCTATCCACCCCGATCTTTTTCTGTCTTCCCGCCCCCTTTTAGTTTTCATTTCTGCAGCCCTGAAACTAGAGCATGCGGCGCGGATTGCGGCGTAGCAATCGTTGTTGGGGAGGATAAGAGAATTGGCTCCTGCTCGTGTGATGGCTCTGGGACTATTTTGCAAGGAACCGCCCTGGAGTCGCACGTGTTTCAGAATCCGAGTTTGGAACTGGATATCCATTCCCCGGGAGCCTTTTGGAATTTTTTGAGGTTCGCGGAGACGCTAGTCGTACATGTCTAGGTTATCGAGGTCGTCGTATGGGGATGGAAGGGAAGAGGTGCAGGTGGGAGGGAGGCCGTGGAGCATTGGGTCGGAGTCGCTAGGCCATTATCAGGAGCAGCATTTGGAGGTGCCGGAGGACCAGGGATCGCATCGCCAGCTTCATGATTCTCATGTCTCGGAGGTGTCAGGGGTCTCTCGGAGTAGCGCTTTCATCGAGATCCATAACGCAACCCAGGTGGAGGACAAGGAAGAGACGGATTCAACGATGGAGGGAGGGCCGCCCAGGTTGATCAGGGCAAAGACGACAGTCGTCGATCGGGTACTGACGGATTGGTGGTGGTGGGAGCTTTTCAGCTGGCTGGTCTCCTTCTTTGCTACCGCTGCAATCCTCGTCGTCTTGTTACTTCGCAGCGAACAACCTTTGCCGCATTGGCCTCTCGGACTTAGCATCAACGCCTACATTTCTATTCTTGCTGCCATAGCAAAAGCAGCCTTGATTCTTCCGGTATCAGAAGCGATCGGTCAGCTCAAGTGGGTTTGGTTCAAGAAGGAGTCGAAATTAATGGACTTTTTCACGTTTGATAGTGCTAGTAGAGGCCCATGGGGCTCTCTGATGCTCATTTGGACCACGAAGTGCAAGTACGTATCTGTCGCATTATCTTTCCTGGATAATTGTCACACTCCAATACAACTAGTGACTAATCATTAGTTTCAGACACCTAGCAACATTAGGAGCAGTCATCACCATCCTCGCCCTAGCTTTCGAAACCATGTTTCAACAGATAGTTGCGTATCCAGAGAGAGCTGTCATCGTTGGGAATTCCTCGGTCGCCGTTGCTAGAAGCTTCCACGTCCAACCCCGTTGGGGCGGGTCGATTCACGACGCTCCTTCGTTGATAAGCGATCCACAGACGAGCATGTTTATCAGTACTGCTATTTACTCCAACTCTAACGACACTTTCACTCCACCTCCGTCAAATTGTCCCTCTGGTAACTGCTCCTGGCCAACCTATTCTTCCCTAGCAGTGTGCAACCAATGCAAGGACGTCACCAATCTGCTCTATTACCAATGTCGGAACTATACCATAGTAGACTATGTTGCTGATAATGCATCGAATACTAACAAAGCGTGTGGTTGGCTACTAAACAATACTTTGATGGTCGGGAAAGACGATTTGGGTTCTATAGAGGAGCATAGCTATCACTATCTGTCCATGTTAGCAGTCTCTATGCCATCGGATCCTTCATCGGATAAGAAATGGAACTCCACTCTCTTCCAGGATGTTGCATACCCGCTTCTCGACCTATACGTAGCGTTCATTCCTGGAGGACCAGAGGCAGCCAAAAGAAACGATACTCCGGTTATGCTTGAGTGTCTCATGAGTTGGTGTGTCCAGTCGTATCAAGGCATTCACGAAGGCGGTGTTCTGAACGAAACGCGTGTTAGCACATACCTAGATCCAACGACAACGAGGGTCTCAGAGGCAGACATGCTGGCCGGGAAGCAGCCTGTCACCCTCTCTCCATCAGACGTGAACGGCACATTTACCGTCTCGAACTCAACAACCGAAGCCGTCAGACAACAGCTTGCGTTCGGCGGCACCGCAGGTTTAACGCCGACCGACTTTTCCGATCATGAAGGGGAATTTGAGACTTATGGGAACGGTCTATTTAACTTCGTTTTTCAGCCTCCCTACGATATCGTCCCTTATTTGGACAATATTGCTGCGGCTATGACGAATAGCGTAAGGAGAAAGGACAACGGGACAGAATTAGTAAGGGGCAGTGCCTGGGCTCCTCAGACATTTGTTCAAATCAGGTGGATTTGGATCTTGCTTCCTGCCCTTCTGCTTATTTTCAGCTTTGTATTCTTGGTAGGGACGATCGTGAAAAGCACGAGACAGAATGTTGCAGTGTGGAAGACATCCGCCTTGGCGATCCTCCTTCACGGGTTATCAGGAGATGCGCGCCACATGCTGGACCCAGAAACGCCTGCCAGTGAGGTCGAGGCGACCGCTCAGAGGGTTCAAGTAGTTCTCTCTTCTGAAAAGGATGCGTCCAAGCTAGTTCTTGTCTAAGGCTCGTGAAGAGGAGATTGAGTTGTAGAGGGATTCATAGAAAGCGGTGTCCTGTTTAGTAAAGTTGGAACCTATCGCAATAGTTAGGAAGTGGTGACCAGTGGGTTGGAAAGCACTTGAAGGACAAAATGACTGCTGAACGTAACCCCTGGATAGAAAATACCTGACCAAGGCTACCTGTGGCAATGATAGCCGCATATACTGTTCCATTTGACCAGTACCTACCTGCTATTGAGCAGACCCCTATCGTATATCTGGCCGAGCCCAAAGGCTAATTACGCAAGAAGGAGGTGAGTTTAAACGAGTTCAATCAAAAGAGAGCGCCCGATTCGAGACGTATGTCAGCTACGTCGATCTGGTGGAGATGCGGGGGGCATGAGGTTGCGTGTGAGGCTCCTTCATGGCGAACGCTCTCAGACGTGCGAGGTACTCGGTCCCTATCCCATCTTCTGGGTTCAAGTAGTAGACCGTGCGGAGGCGTCCCTCTAATTTGGAAGGTAGTCAAAAAAAGGCGAAACGATGTTTGAAGCAATAATGCCACTCCCTCCGGCTTTTCATCCAGAGTGGGAACCGCTGGACGTATCTTTGCCGAAGGCTCCGTGTCTTCACTTGCCATAACAAGTGGGCAGTAACCACGTCGGCTCGCCAACACGAACGGAGATGCCTGGAGGCTGAAACAGAAGCTCCTTTCTTCATGCACTTAGCCGAGACTAATCAGGGTTGGACTAGTGTCTGGACTCTGAGCTTGATGAGACATCGGGACCCCTTGAACGTTTCGCGTCCACCTTCGCACTTGACGGCTGCACTAGAAATGCGGGATGGCTCAGAAGTCGCATCACATCTGCTTCTGTACGCTCCGAAAAAGAAAATAATTTTACATTTCATCTTTCGGCGACTAAACTGAAAAAGCCTAACTCCCACGCAAGATTGAACCAGGGGAAAGGCATTGCTCCGTCCTGTGCTAAGCTTCGCGCTGGAGGAAGATAAGATTTATGCGACATGATGTAGTCCAGAAACGTTCCAAGAAAGAAGCATTACATCTTAGCACCTACCACCTCCACCAATCCTCTTCAGCTCGTGAATCAATCCTCCCCTGTCAGTCCCGTTTCCTCAGTATCTCTTGGTCGGTGAACGCAAGCCTCTACGCAATGAACTCGCGTACTGTGAACTTCCTGGGTCGGCCAAAACGGCCGCCTTTACCTTGACCGAAGCGCTGACCACCTTTGCCACCTTGTCCCTTTCCACCAGCGACGTTGCCTCCAGCAGTGGCCGTGGCCGTGGCCGTGGTCTTAGCTGCTGCCACACTGCTTGTCGCTGTATTTCCACCATTGCCTGCGTTGCCAGCATTGCCAGCGTTTCCAGCATTGCCAGCGTTTCCGGCGTTGCCACCGTTACCAGTATTTCCATTGTCTGCCCCATCAGCTACTGTGAACCGTACACAGTCGTCTTGAGCACCACGTTGAGCCACAGGCATGAGCACAGGCTGGTGATTGCTGGCCGAGGTCATAGAGCAGACACGGTAAGCTCCCGCTGGGAGGCCGCCAGACAAGGTGGCACTTAGAAGACCGTTCCCATTGCCAGCATCGTTGATGCCCTTGAAGAATGCAAACACGGTTGGGTCGGGAGGCGTAGTAGTCTCTATATCTCCTTGCAGGTCCTGGACGGTGATGTGAGTGTGTCCGATAACCGCGCCATTGCTGCCGATTTGTTGAGGCGCTGCGTAGTATGTGTTGTCGGGGTTTGTAAATGTGCCAGCATTGAGATTCGTAACCTGGACGGAAAAGGTGATATTTTTGTTTGCTGCAACAGTGTCGTTGAAAGTTGGTGAGACGAAAGCTGCCGAAATCATCTTGTTCTTCGCTGGAATGTCGCCCATTGCTGGTCGTCCATTAGTCTATAGATCTCTTCAAGAGATTTGAAGAATTTAACATACGAATGGGGTTACATGAGCCTGTCTGGGTTTGCAAGCCGTTGGTTATATCCTTGCCCTCACAGAAGTCGATGAAGTTGTTGTTTGAACTACATAGGTTAGTCGGATACTTGGCTACGGTGTAAACGCAACGTACGTCAGGGAAGCCGCTTGGCCGGGCTCCGCATCAGCGAGACCATTGTCCGTCTTTTGAATCACGTCTGGATTCAACGTAAGGGAGCCAGTTGCAGAAGCAGCGTTACCGCCTCCATTCTGTTTGTTGTTGACTGCCGATTGGGCGTTGACCAGCCCGGCTGCTAGAGCCAACATAGGAATAACGGTAGTGAATCGCATGATGGTGTAAGGTGACGGAGACGAGCGATGGCTGTGAAAGTATGCACAAGTAAAAGAAAGAATACCGTCTTGCGGAGATTATAATTGGGGCAAAAACAGACACGCTCAACGTGATCTGGAAAAGAAGGTAGAAGGACAAAAAGGAACGTAAGCCCCAAGAAGAGATCTTCGGATGAAAGGCAGTGAAGGCAGTGGATGGAGAGTGGATTAAGGCGGCCATGGCAGCAGTCTTTAAGTCCTTGGCGACGTTCGAAAGCAGCCCCAGGAATAATGCTCCTCGGCGTCCTTGAAACCCGATGAAGGCGTCCCTGTCTCACGAGGGCCCGCGAGGGGTACTATAGCAGCCGCAAGCGTCGACGGAGGCCATCTGGGCCGCGCCCATGAGGCTGCCGGGCAAGCACCGCGCGAGGCATTGAGGTGTCGGTGGAAACAGTCTTGAAGCCCATCCTGAGACCGACGTGGTTTCGTGCCTTATGTCATCCACGCTTCTTGCCGCGGGGCTAGCCGGAAGGGGTGATCCTCGACAGCTAGGACAACAACCTTAATTTCCTCTGGCTTTCATCCGTCTCAAGGACACTGCGTCCCCCATTTTGAGGCGTCGTCCATGCAACAGGCGGTAACGGGCCGGGAGCTGTGGCTCGAACAATGTCATCGCGAATGCTGTTGGCTGGGGAGCCGGAGGAGCTCTGACCCGTGGTGCTGTAACTACCACTTCCCCTCCCCTTCAAACCGCCATCGCACCTATCGTTTCTGCCTGAGCTTCTAGCCTGAATCGCTTGTTCCCTCGCGATGCTACTTGACAAATTCAGCTAAGGGCGGAACCGTATTCCGAGTCTGAGGCAAACAGAGCCGCCGCCGCTCCCCCTTCCTCCTGGCTGGCCTGCTGGTCATCTCTCTGCTTCATTCGATTCGGAAACTGTGATGGAGAATCAACTGCAACCTACGGCCGCATGCGCCTCTGTTTTGTACTTCTCGCAAGCTTCATCCTCCATCCTTCGTGCTACAACTTCGAAGCATCCTTACAATACCTCTTGCCTTTGCTCTTGACGCCGTACCCTCCGTTTACGCGCCTTTCCTTCCTGCAACTTGAATGAGGAAGAGTCTGGCGTGAAGATCTGCACTGGACGTGCACCAAACCTGAATATGGTTTAACGTCAAGATCTGCTGGTCCAATCTTATCCACCAGATTCATGCACTACCGCCGAGTTTTGGAATCATGTCAAAAGAGCGAAGTAGAAGCGAAAGAACTCGGCTCGCGTTGACGATTGAAACTAAATCACCACTACCAAGAGAATTGGCGTCGGCACGCAATGGCCGTCTCAACTGAATGTTCTGTCTTTGTGTCGGTCTATACACTGCGCAGCAGACATGATATAGCAAATCGGTCCCTACTCAAAAGAGATCCGCCTCTGACCTTCCAACGTAGGGATAACATCTCGACCTCTTTTCTTTTCAAGCAATCACTCGACCTTCCATGACTCGCACGGCGCTTCCGATCAAGCTGATGGTATCAATGCCTTGAGATTCGGCCATGGCCACCTCAATCCCGATCTCACTCCGACGACCCATTTCGACGCCTTGAGTCATCTCATACTTCAGTGTTGTACCGGCCTTTCCTTCCTTCAAGGAGAGATATCCTGCCAAAGCACTGGTTGCGCTGCCCGTAGCAGGGTCCTCCAACAGACCTTCGATCATCCTCGTGCGCAGCTTAATCACTCCGCCCTCCGAACTGCCGAGCTGGACATAAAAGTACCAGCCTACGAATGTCTCATTCCAATTCTGGTCAAGGTCTGTGAACTCGATGGATGAGCTGGTTGTCGACACTGCTCCCAATGCCTTCTCGTCCGCGAGCTCTACAAGTACGAAGGTCATTCCCTTGACAATGGATACTACAGGAGAACTCTCTTTCAGGCTAGTCGTGCCAGACTCCTCTGCTGTTTTGAGGCCTGGCTGGAACTGACCGAGAGATTCTCGACTGCACGTTCGCTGATGGATGTTGACATTGTGCGGTATGGAAGCTTTCGCCGTCTTGTCCGGGATGTTGTATTGAAGATCAATCTTGCCGGCTTTAACATTAAAAACGGCCTTGATGATTTCGTCGCCCGTATGCGCTCCTGATTCAGCTATCTCCGAGAGCGCGTGATAAGCAGTACCAATGGTCGGATGTCCTGCGAAAGGCAGCTCTTTGTCGGTCATAAATATGTCGACTGTCCACTCGTACGCCTCGCCACTGCGCTCATGCAAGAACGTCGATTCCGACAGATTGAATTCTGCTGCAATCGATTGCTTCTGCTTTTGAGTCAGAGTAGCAGATTTTGGAACTTTGATTATCGCCAAAGGATTCCCTTCGTACCGGGTCTTGGTGAAGACGTCCACCGTGACAAATTCGTATGCCATCGCGCTTGTCCTTTCGTGAGCATATGGTGCAAGGTTGCGATCCTACAGTTCCGGGAAACAGTGGACTGCTTGATGGTCTCTAGCAGCGTTGTTGTTCGGCCGTTTCACGGTCTGGAAGATTTGTGTGTTCGTGGAAGGCTAACCCAAGTTTGTAAGCGTAGATTAATAAACCACCAATCCTCCACATCCTCACATCCTTTACATCCTTTACCTCCTCTACTTCCTTTAAAGCCTGCGCGTCCAACATTTAATTTCCATCCGTATCATGACGCGCCATCGCAACCAGGCCCCGCCTCCACGCCTGTGGATTCGAGTGGGAGCCGGACGACAGGTTTGCGTGGCCCTAAGATTCCGTCACTCCTAATTATCAATAGTACCGAATGTCACACTCGTGAATATTGGTCATTTCGGGAGATTCGCCAGCCCCTTCGATGAGTAGTTATGGACCCTTGGGATGTGATAGGAACTGGCCAATGAGGGGACATTTCTCGAGGGTGAGGCTGGTGCTGACGGAGAAAAGCAGAAGGGGGCTTATTGGTTGTGGTGCCACTGTGCGTGAACGCCACGGTGACGATCCACGCGGAAGCCTCGCGGCCGGGCAGATCAATCGTGGCACTCGGACGGGAAGATTGCTTTTGTGCCACTAGACGCAAACCTCAGGGAGGACGTAAATATAGGAGTCTGGATGGCTGGGTTGTCTACTTTCGTGAGGTCAACCGTCGGACGGGCTGATCGTCTAGTAACACATGATTACTATCTATCTGGCCTCCGGCTTCACCTATTGCTCAACTCGGCGGGGTCGATTCCGGTATCCTAATTATCTCTGCATCCAGCCGTCCTCGCACACGTCAAGACTTCAGAGCTCAACGCTTTTGTTGTTCTCTGAGCATGTTCTGTGCTGGCTTCATCCCAGTACGCCCCATGCGGCCCTGCCCCCTATCTTTTCCCACGCGTCTGGGAGGGCAGTCCCAATCAATACCATGATATACTCTGGAATATCTCCACATTTGCATGGCTGACACGGGCGTCCCGGCTCGATAGCCGACTGCTCCGCCTGGGCCACGGGTAGGCCTCCGGACAAGATTCGGTTCGCAGCGACTCAGCATGCTGACGCTGCAGCACGCCGCCCTTGTCTTTCACAAAAGTCTGTTTGGTGATGACCGTCACTTCGACTTGCACGTGTCTGTGGGTTTGCGGAGAGGGGCGGGGAACACGACACGAACAGGTCCGACGATATACACAACAGCCCTGCCAGGCGGTGCTAGGCCCTACAAAGGAGGAGATGAGCCAGACGCCGCCGTGGCTTCTCCGTGGGATAATGGCGTCGGTTCAGTTCCGAGAGGGCTGCGCGTGGTGGCTGAAACCCATCGTCGTGGGAGCAGTCCGGCGGCCTGGCTGAATTATCGAAAAGCCCCGATAAACCTGACCAGGGGGGGGCGCTGATTGGGCGGGCCGAATCAATTTTGGTTCTTCACGCTGTGCATTTGCACGTTTGAAGCCAGGGACGCACGGCGTCATGTAGCACTTAAATGGCGCCCGGCGCCGACTCGATAGGGCATTTGTTACTCTGCACGTGGGAGAGAGACCGGCCCACGAGGCAACCCGTGTGGATTTTAGGCGTGGTGCACCGCGGGCTGCTGGGCTGAGCAATAACGGCATGCTATATTGTGGCTGTCGATGGTGGAAGTGGCCGCCGCCGCCTCCTCCTCCGACTTCGTGGGATCCGCACTGCAGCTGAAGCCGAGGACGCAGAGAAGGGATGCCCTCGTGCCCTTGACGGCGAACAGAGAGGCACAGCAGGCCTCGCTGGTGGCATGCCGACAGGCCTCAAGGAGGGTGCGGGCCCGCTGCACCGCGCCCTTTGCAGGAGTCGTTCACAGCGTCCTAGCCACTCCGGCGGGCTCGGAGGATCAGAAGCGCAAGCAGCGCGGCCAGAGGGCCAGAGGATTGTGAAGCTAAGGCGGGTGCCGCCGCCAGGAGAGGGCGAAGAGCGTGGGCCAGCATCCGTGTGGTCCTCTTCCCCGGGATCGCCATCCCAGTCGCAACGTGCATAGTGCCTTTTCACGGCTTGGCGCGTCTCTAGACGGCTTGAGCGCCCCTGGTGGAGTTCCGGCCGATCGACACCCCAAAAATCCTCTCCTCCCTCGCACACCACTCAACACCATCCCTCGCGCGCCCTCTGCTCCCTCTGCGTATAACTACTCCCTCCTTTGTGCCTCTCGACCGTGCTGCCGTCCGTCCTTCGTTTGTTGCCCGGGACGCACTTCGCCGTGACCCGGCCGCCTCCCATTCTTTCAACGCCCGCCCACCACCTACTGTTTGCTACGACGCCCGTCGCCTGCGTGCAGCCTCCTCGACGCGCCATTGCATATCGACTCCTGTGCCGCCTCGAGGGTTATGTCAGGGCGTCTAGACTCCTCCGCCTCCCTTGCCTGCAGAGTCGGCCACCCCGCCCTTTAGGCCTTCTGCACCCCACCACCCCACGTTCCCTCGTCGACCGCAAGCCAGTCTCGTGTCTGCGACCTTTCGATTCCTATCGAGTATATATGCGCTCGCTGCCAGCGTCGGTTTCTTGCATCGGATTTCGTACCCGTTTTCAAACAGTAACTTGAACCTGACTGTTCCGAGACACCGATCAAAACATAAACACCGCCCACCATCTTCCCCCCACTAACATATCTACGCCCGCCATTGAGCACCCAGAAACTGCCAGAACGGCCAGCCAGGACGGTTTCTGCTGATTTGCTCCACCATGGCGTCGCAGATCCACTCTCGGAACGTCTCCGAGGAGAGCAACGGTTCTGCATCTTCGTACCAGGACGTCCTAGAGCACCTGCTCCAGTACCCCGGCAACTATGAGATCCCTCTCCGCACCATGTACACCATCAACTCCGCAGGACGACCCCAACCAGCTGCAAGATCTCGTGCACAGACGCCCACCACGTCCAAGGGAGAGGATCGCTCTCCTATCTCGGAGGGTGAATACCCGAATCATGAATTCACCGCCTCGCTCATGAACCAAATCTCCAAACTGCCCTCGCAGCCGTGCTCGCTGCCTCCAACCTTCATCGTCTCTTTCGTCTCAAAGTGCTTCCCACCCTTCCTGGGCGAAGCTGAGTTTTCACAATCTCTTGCAGCTCTCGACTACATCCGCGACTTGGAGACTCGTCGGCACAAGGAGTATGCAGCCGCGCTCCGTCGTCTGACCGTGCTGCCTAACACTGTGGGGACTGAGGCCGACGATTTCTCGGAGCGCTTACCAGGTGTGGGAAGATGGGTCGCCAACGCTGAGGCGAAGAACAACAAGGCGGATATGTACTACGCTCAACTCTGGATCGGCCTTCGCCGATGGGTATGTGCTGGCACTTGACTCGGCTTTGAACCAACTCAGTTACTGACGATTTAGATCATGATTAATGAGATGTCCGCAGACCCATTCAGCAAGCACAACAGTGTGGCTATGCTAAACACCCTATACCCGCCTCCTCATCCTGGTCTCAACCCACAGCTAGTCAAGGGTTTGACGCCTGAGAGTTACAAGCAGCAGCGCGACGGCTTCTTCAAATACATAACCGCTGTCGGGAAGCGTGGTAGCTCTTCGCTCCAGAACCTACGGGATCAGGGCAAGTTGGATGGAGAGGAGGACGGCTACCACCAAGTTGCGATTAGTGTGGACAAATACCTCGGTGTTGCGAAACAGATCATCGACGACTGCTGCAATGTCTTGAGCATCGAGCAGTTGGATCCAGTGCAAGAGGCACCCAATCGCAAGGGAAAGAAGACGGATTCGGGGGTGAGTTTTGGCTCAAGCAGACGTCCCAGTACCAGTGCCGGAAAGGAGACCCCACTAGCGATAGCCTCGGCCGCAACTCCACACAAATCTTCGCAAAAAGGTCTTACCACTCTCGAGAAGATCTCTCGCGAGTTCAAGAGGATACGTGTTAAGACTAGGCCTGATGTTGAAGAGATTGTGAAGCCCCAAAAGGTTTCACCCCTCTTCGATATCACGGACAACGACAACAGGAAGCCCAAACCGAAGATCAAGAAGATGAAATCGATGGGATCTCTTCAGACCCTCAAGAAGAACAACATGAGCGCAACCTCGCTGATTGGAAGAAGAAAGGCCAGTGCTACCGAGGATTTCGATGAGGAAGAGATGCGACGAGCTCGAATGCACTACAACGCCAGAAGCAAGACCCTAAGGGGCTGACGAATGTCGGAGGACCTGGATGATACCCTGGGATGTCCCATGACGTTGCTTGGAAGATCTTTGAACGAAAATGAGGAAGATCATGACTTTCACGGCAATCAGGTACGGTAAACGATTTCTTTTCTTGGTGTTCTGTGCGAGCAATCTGCCCAAACACCCCACAAAATTACGGAACGGCACTGAAGCGATGGATCATGTTCTGGTACACCTTTTCTGCCTTGGTCTCTCTACCGGCACGAGCTCATGTTCATGCTTTATTTTGCGCTGGTATGATTTTCTTTGAATCACTGGATTCAACCTATGCTTTCCAGGCGTACCGGAGGCGACTCTCACGAGCTGGAAAAATCCCTTTTTCTTTCTTCGCTGTACTCTTTTGTTCGCATAGGTCGGCCGTCCTCTTGGACAGCATACCCCTTTCTTTCCATCTTGTGCATAGCTTCGGCGGGGGTCTTTTTCATGTTGGCGGTTCTTGGCGCTACGGCCTGGATGAGCATAACTATGGGCGTACTAGCTTCTCGGGCTTTCCATCATCAGTGTGGAGGACAAATGAAGGGAGCATGATTGCATACTTTGGGATGAAGGCTGAGATTGGAATGAGCGGTCTGTCTGACCTTATGAGTTGGTACGAGGTGGGCTCGCTGCAAGCCTTCATGCGCGTCATGCGAGCAAAGATTCCGTAGGAATCAATTAAACTCGATACACTGCTATCTACGTTTCATGCTTGCTCTTGGTGAATGGTGATCCTTCCGATAGTATAGACATGCCCACCTCCGCGAGTGAGTTTCATAGTAGTCGAAGTCTCGTGACACCGTAACCGCCTGCCCGCCGTCGACTTTACGCGACGTGGCGGCACCCCTCCATCTTCCAATTCCTTTCACGCAGTCAATACCACTACATCCATCAACTGAAGGTCACCACCAAGGCCCCCGTCGCCCCCCTCCCCTGCACCCACATTTCTTATTTCACGTTCTGTGCCTGAAGCTAGCGAGCGAGCCACACCTGTGCACGAGGATCGTCGCAGGCGCTACCTGGGATCTGCATAACTGCGCGAGGATCTGCGAGGGCTTTATTTGCTTTTTTACGAGTGCGTTTTTTCTTTGTGGAATATTCGTATTGTCGATCTGGTACGTTCTTAGTGCTAAGTGCTCCAATTGCTTACTCTGATGACTGCTAATGCTACTCATGAAGTGCTTATTCCTACCTCCTGCTGAGGCTATTTCCGGAGCCTCTTCTGGGCCTTGTTCAAGGCAAGGAGCATAGCTATAGACAGCCTTAGACGCTGGTACTCCTCTTTAGTACTTTAGTAATGGTTTTGGCGTAAAGCTCGCATCTAGCGGTGAAGAGAGCCATTCCCCTGCTTTGATGCAGAGTCAGAGTGTGGAAAACATTCGCGGTGTCGATCTTACTTTGAAACGAAAGCGTGAGCAGGGGCCAGAACTGGTTGAGGCTCGAGGAGATGGGACGAAGGGGATGAGGGTGAGGGATTTTGGCATGACCGTGGAGGAGCAGGATGAGGATATGATCACGGCGAAAGAGAAGGCAGACGAAAGAAGGCATTGGGATGTAGAAGGGGATTCGAGGTTCGACCCACCGCCTTCTGGGCAAGAGCTGTGTAATTCGAAGGACATGGAGGGGCCGGCATTGGATAGACGGAGGGGACGGAACGTCGACACTACCACTACTTTTGGGAGAACGATCTCTTCTTCAACCCAAACAGCCACAACAGTTCTACCTAAAGTCGAGTCGAATACCTCGACGAGACTCGGTTCTATTCCCATATCTACGAACCCCAAATCGACCTCAGTATTCACATCCGCGCCCACGAACACAAACACATCCACGACCTCCAACGCCCCCGTTGACACCTCCCAACCCATCACCCGCGCCGCTCTGCCTACCCGCAAAATATTCGACGCATGGAACTCATCCTCCACCGGCCACCAGCGCGCCGAGAACCACCTCGGCGGCAGCACCGACTGGCGACAATCCCGCCAAAGGAAACTCAGCTCGCAGTTCACCAGCGGCATGAGCCGCTGCCGCCGCATCGCCGACAGTGTCGGCGCCGGAAACTCGAGTTTCGGCAAAGACGGGCGAGAACCCAACGGCGGGTGGGAAGCTGGCGCCAGCGGCCTAAGTGGTGCAGGACAAACGGACGTGAAGAGCTGGCTCACTCGCGAACGAACGGCCGACGGGAAGACGAACTCCCAGGCGGCTGGTTAGAACAAAGACGGGGATGATACCAACGGGCAAACAAAAGAAGAAGACCCAAGCACCGACAAACCTCAGCTCCCCCAAATCTTCGCCTCCCTAACCTTCTATGTAAACGGCTCCACCGCGCCCCTCGTCTCTAACCACAAACTCAAGCGCCTCCTCGCCTCCCACGGCGCCACCCTCGCGCAGGGGCTCGCCCGGCGCTCCGTCACGCACGTCGTGCTGGGGACCGAGAACGCACGCGGCGGTGTCGGTGGTGGGCTTGCGGCGACGAAGATCCAGAAGGAGGTCACGCGGACAGGGGGCAAGGCGGTGCGCTTCGTAGGCGCAGAGTGGGTGCTCGAGAGCATCAAGGTAGGGAAGCGGCTGCCGGAGTCGCGGTTTGGGGGATTGAAGCTGGCGCCCGAGAGGCAGGGGAGTGTGCTGGAGGCTTTTAGGGTGAGAGAGGGTAGGTAAGCGCATGACGATTAGATGAGGTTATGAGGGATGAGGGATGATTACGGCACGCTTTGGTAGGTTTATTGGATAGAGATGGCTCACGAAGATGATGTTGATATGGAAGAGGCGTAGGATGGTGAGGCGAAAGGGATTACGACATTTTGCGTTTATGTCTTTCGGACTTGCTGTTGCTACTACCCTGATGTTCTATACTCTGTACAATTGAGACACTCGCTGTTTATCGAACCAACAGCTCCGCAACATCAGAAGCAGCGGCGCTAAAGAACATGCATAGTCAGGTGGCTGTGGATGCCTACAGCGTCTGTATCCCAGTACACGATTCCACAAGATCAAGAGCACTGCAAAGCGAGGCTGCACAAGAAGCCCGTCGGGTCTGAGGGTACACGTGAAGTTGCATGGTAGGTTGAAGGCTCATAATTGACCTTTAAATATCCGTATAACTACCATACGAAGCCTAGGAACCGTTTTTTTTCACTACAAGCGATCGAAAAGACAGACGCAGGACTCTAAGCTAAACTTGAAAGTTAAAACAAGTGCCTAGCGACAAAAGCGGAGACAGAAAGGAATCACACTAGACGTCCATGCCCATGAAAATCCAGGAATCACTGGTAATCTCGTCCCCATTGGTCCAGCCGTCGAGCGTCGTCAGGCTGAACCCAACCCAGCCAAGGTCCCTCGAAAGAGCGCTCATGGCGTGGGATTCGGTGTGTCGGTCCAGGCAGACGACGAGCTGGGAGCATTCGAACGAAGGGATGTCGCAGAGTTCGAGGAGGGCCATCAAGCTGCGGTCCAAAATTAGTTTTCGAGATCCCCTGAGATCGGAAAAAGGGAGCTCGTGGACTTACCCAGGCTTGAGATCGTTTCCAACGACCTGATTGTCGAAGAAAACGAACATAGCTCTCTCCCCGTCCTTCTCCGCCACAAACCCTCGAAACCGGATGCCCCCAACGTAGTCGAACATTTCCACCCACTCGGTTACCAGCCCTTGGCTCCCGCCAAAGCCATCCATTTCAGGTGACGGCAGACCACGCGTCCGGTACGCATAGCGCGCGTGGGCGTTGGGATCGGAGCCAAAGTTGCTGGTAGTAGTGGTGATGTTGTTGTAGTTTTGCACACCCGCCACAAGCGAGTCCTGAACGGCCGCGTTCCCCTCACCCAGGAAAACAGCCTTCAGTGTCTCGCAGAAGAGTCTCTCACACTCCTCCGTGATGGTGTATGCAGCCCCCCCTCTGCGCGCCCTGCCACTGCGACTCCCGTTGTTCGAAGCGGGGCGCTTGGTGGCGTGACTGTTGTAGGCGGCGAGGGGGGGACTCTGCGGTGGTGATGGCATTCCCTAGGGTATTGTCAGTTTGCGCTGTCTGCATACTGTGTTGTGTTTCGGCATTGGGGGAGTACTCACCGAGCTCACCTCAGGAACGCCAATCGACCCCGCCAGCCCCCGTAGTGGAGTAGTGGTATCCTTGAAGCGCGGTAGTGGCGGCGTCGACGACGTAGCAGCTGGCGCGGATGTTGGAGTGGGTGTTGTCTTCGTAATTCATGGCGGCGGCGTGAGAATTACTACTACTATTACTAGAGTAGGGTTTGGAAGTATGTTTCGCCATTGGTTAGGTTTGCCACGGTTGCGCTTGAAGGGGACTTCTGGGGTGTCCGGTGTGTCTAATGACGGTGACTTTGAAAGCCGATGGATAGCGGGCTGAGAGTTGAGGATGTTGGGAAGCGTTGGTAGTGTTCAGGAGGAGCGGCTGTGGTGGTTAGGTCGGAGAAGGTTGGAAAGAAGGTGAGGTTAAAAGTGGAGTCCAGTGCGCTCGGCTTTCTTTCGGTCCGCGTCCTTTGCCACCGGTTTACCAATCATGTCACTAGTTCTGACTCCATCTTCGAAATTTCTGATTCTTTTACATATTGAAAGCTCGACTGCCTGTCAACCTGCAACTTCGTCTTGAAACTCACGGATAGACAGCATGACCAGAGTCAGAGGATCGGGGAATTGGAACATCTTCCATTTAAGCCGACGACAAATCGGGCCGCAAAAATGAGTAGTAACGAATTTAAGGCATCCTACCCCTCAACCAAGGTCTACTTTCGAAGCATAGAGTCAGCCTCAATGCCAATCCCTTCTGTAAATCTATCATTAGTAGTCAAGCATCAAACCCATTTAACTCGTATACCTACGGGCGAGCACAAAGCCGTGTCCGATTTCTGATTGCATTTTCAATTCAAATTCCTATCTTCCCCCATCTCATCTGTTCTGTCAGCCATGTCAACCAACATGGCAAGCTTTCTTCTCATATCCTTAGTTCTACTACCATGCACATTCCTTGTTTGGAACATCCACACCTTCTCCATCAACTACTCCCGCGCCCGTAAAATCGGCCTCCCCATCATCATCCGCCCCTTCGACCAACTGAATCCAATATAGATCCTAGCCGGCCGCTTCCTCCTCCCCATCTTCGAGCGCGTTCCCTTCGACCCCGGAAACTTCACACGCTTTTGCCGCCACGGTTTCGAGATTGGCGATACATACCACTGGGTTGACGAGTTCGGCGACGCCTTCGTCACCGTGTCGCCCGCGAAGATATAGCTCTGTATCGCCGATCCAAACACGGTCTTAGATATTATAGTGCGCAGCCGGAAGGAGTTCGACAGGCCGATGGAGACGATGGGGATGCTGAATGTGCTCGGGAAGAACGTGAGCTCGGTGCAGGGCGCGGAGTGCCAGCGCCAGCGCAGAATCGTGACGATTCCGTTCAATGAGCAGAACAATCGGATTGCTTTTGATGAGGCGCTAAGACAGGGTGAGGGGATGATTGGGCATTGGATGTCGCGACCTGGGAATATTACGGAGGATGTGCTGGAGGACTGGAAGACTTTTACGTTGAATGTGCTCGCTGGTGCTGGATTTGGCAGATCGGCGCCTTTTGCTAGCTTTAACAAGCAGCAGAGAACTACGGATAATGGCTTCGCAAGGAACAATAGGGATGACCTATCGACGATATTGGATTACATTTTCCTGATCTTAGTGTTGGGTCCGAAATTGCTCACTGCCCCATGTATGCCCAGAGCCGCTTCTAGGATCGGATACGCCGTTGCAGATTTTAAGAAGTATGTCAGCAACATCGTATCTGAAGAAAAGAGTTTGATAAGGCAGGGAAAGTCGTCTGCTTCAAGCCTGGTCGCTTCCCTCATTCGAGCCTCCGAGCAGGCTGGCACCAAAGAGGGCACCAAAGCGGCGCTCTCCCAGAGTGAGATATTTGGGAATATATTCATCTTTCACTTTGCAGGGTACGACACGACCGCCTTGTCACTATCGACGGCTTTTGTGTTTCTTGCAGCGTGTCCTGATGTTAAAGACTGGATTTCGGAAGAGATCCGCCATGTCCTACCGAATGACGACAAATCGACTTAGAATTATGCAGAAGCCTTTCCAAGCTTGAAGCGCTGCGTAGCCGTATTGGTAATAACTTATTGTTCTTTTTTTGGTCGAAGCATGGTAGTACTGTTTGATTATTCTTTTGCACTTCTCTTGTTACGGGTTCTCTGCACATACTATTCTCCCAAATCTCTTCCAACCGTCTCCCCTCTTCTTTCCCCTAAACAGCTCCCCTTGTCTCCAGCTAATCAAATACTACCAGTACGAAACACTCCGCCTCTACAACCCGACCCTCGGCATCCTCAAAATGTCTACGCTCACCACCCCCACCACCCTCACAATCAACAACCTTCCCTACACGCTTCCCCTAGAAACAATCTTCGATGTCAACTCCATGGCCCTAGCAACGCACCCACGCTACTGGGGCGCCGACTCCCTCGCGTGGAACCCATAGCGCTGGATCAATTCCACGACAATTGAGACCGAGTCCCTCCTCGCACCTCCAAAAGTGACATTCCTCCCCTGGGCCGACGGCCCACGCGTGTGCCCAGGGAAGAAGTTCACGCAAGTCGAGTTGTGGGCCTGATGTGTGCGCTGTTTCGGGATCATCGGGTAGAGCCGGTGCCAGAGGTCGGAGAGAGCATGCAGAAGGCGCGGGAGCGGACGTTAGGGGTCGCAAGAGACCAAGAAATGTATTTGCTTATGCAGATGCGGAGGCCGGGAGACGCGAAGCTGAGGTGGGTGAGGCGGTGATCAGAGATGCTGATGACTACAGTAGGCTTCGTAATTCTGTATCTTTATCCCTCTGCAAGGACTTCAGGTTGCTGCTCTGGCAAGGTCCGCTTGATTTATTGGGATTCGAGGTGATAGCTGTTGAAAGTTTTCCAGTATAGTGTAGGACCTTGGCTGGAGCCTTTGGACGTGTACACAATATCAATACCCTGTAGGACTGGATCCTTCATCATCCCGAAGGATCTCTGGTCGCTGACCACAGCTGGTGAAACGAGCTAGGCCGTTAAAGCTGTTGGTCGCAAGGAGCAGGATTTGGGTCATCCATGGAGGTGTTTCTTGTCTCTTACTCTTTCGATCTCGAACAGAGATTTCATGAGCTTGTTCCCCAACACCCCGGTATCACTGCGATGGCCACATCTGAAGTCCTTCAGGTGGCACCGGCCAGTCCCGATCCCCACACTGCCCAAAGTAGTCGCACGCGCATTGTTGCGGAGGCGGACAGCTATAACTAATCAGCAAAATGGCCAGCTCCACGTAACATCTCTCAGAACTTACTGCACCGCATCGTTTGTCATGATGTAAGCCCACAGCTTCTCCAACACCCGCCCACTAACATCATCAATCAACGTCGTATTCAGAATCCACTCCCTCATCCCCTCATACGCTTTTTTCTCTCTCCTCTGAATCGCCTCCCTCGTTACCGCAAACTGCGCACAGCACTGCGACGCGATCGTCTCCGGCACCGCTACCCCGGGGAACAGCGTTTCCCACGCGTCTGAGATCCCGCGCTCGGCGTCTTCGCGATGCACGCCGGGTCCCCATTGCACAGCGTCGTGGGTCACGGGGCGTATCTCAGCGGGGCAGGACGGGTACCAGTCGCAGCGAAGGGGGATGTAGCCAGCGGATTCGAGGGCGGGGAGGCGGAGCGAGCGAACGAGAGTGACGATGTCGCCTTCTTGGTGCCAGCTGCTGCGATGGCCGTGGACGAAGATGACGCGGGAGGGGAGGCGGTCCCAGTGGTTGATGATGAAGGTGAGGTAGACCATGGCTTCGTGGCCTTTGTTTTGGGGGATGCTGAGCTCGAGGGGTGGTGAGGGATTGTTTACGATATACGGAAACAGGGTCCAGCTGGAGGTTGTTAGTGGTTGGAGATGCTGGGGTAGGACGGTGACGCTGTCGTACTCATCTGCTAGTTCGTGCATCCAATCGATGTCGGTTGTGTTCATTGCAGCGGCTACGATGGCGCCGAGCGGCTCCTTGACGTGGTTCTCGGCTTGCTGAGTTGGGGATGCGGATGGCTTTGCTGTTGCCGTGGCTGTTGCTCTGGCTTTCGTTTTAGACGCTGTCGAGGTCTTAAAGGTGGATAACGAGGGTTGCTGGAATATAGGAGTTGACGAGACAGCTGCAGGAGAGCTCTCAACGCTAGATGCCAACGGTTCAACAACAGTAGACGTCGAATGAGCTATACTGGCAGTTACAGCAATAGGCGCGTCATGATGTACAAATGGAAGCTTCCTGTAGTCTGAAAATGGGTACAAACAAATGAAGGTGAGGACGCAGATGGCAGCATAGGCGACAATCCTCAACCTTCCGCTCAAGAACGGCCCCGTAAAAGAGCGCATGAACGCGGATAATGGAAGAACAGAACAATGAAGATTCAAGAGAGCTAAGAGAGCCAAGAGTAAGAATGTATGTACATATGAAAGTCGGAAGAAATGAGCACGCGCAAGGGGTGAGGTGCAGACGCGCGGGGACAGCAAGAGGACTTGACTTGAAACGGCCGGGCAACGTTGTAATTAAATTGGCATCGGTGTTGCCGCCAGGGCTGGAACACGGTGGTGCGACCATTGCGGCGTTGGAAGTGCTGTGCCGCACGCCTTCAAGCCCAAGTTGTCGATTATTGGCGAGGTGTTCGTGAAAGCTGAAGATTCTTAGCGCGCGGCGTCGTCCGACCTTTCTGCAATTGGGTAGCGGCTGTACCCCTGGAAGCCACAGCCAGCTGCAAAGACGGAAATTCATGACTGATCAACCTACCTGGGTATACATACGGGCAGCCTGCCGCTTCAGCTTGCTGTGCTGTGCCGCAGGAGCACCGAGTACAGTGGTCAGAACTACGTCTTCTGCTTGCTCAGCATTCCACAAGTAACGAGACGATATGCTCCAATTCGCTAATTAATTTAGCTCGACAAGACGATCAAGCCTTTCCAAACAGAGTACCATCGCCTAGACAGTTCTCCTGGCGCCATGTCTTAAGCGCGCGCCATGGCACGTGGCCGATCAGAATCCGGGTAACGGCCTCCTTCCAACAACTCGTGCAGCTGTCTAGCGGCCATTCATGCCGTCTGCGTTGCTGCGCCCTTGTCGAGACAAATATGCCTGCGTCGAATTCTGGGCGTCTATGCCTCACTGCTACTTGCCAGGTAGAGCTGCATGCTCGGATCTTGATATTCTCTGCATCTGCAGGAGGTGCTGTGCCTCACCCTGACCATCTCAACCCTAGCATGTTGGAACGCTGATGAGCTCTGCCGAGGAGGAAAACATCGTCGTAAGTTCTCAGTTCTTAGATGATTCCCTCGTCTTACATATCTGCTGCTCTGTCCCAATGTCGATGTCGATAATGTTTAAACTTGATGCTGCGTTTACCCTTTCCCTCCTCCTGCAACACTTCTTCATCGCCGCTTGCAGCGCCGGCTCGTGCTTTGCCTTTGACGGCCTCGAATATCCTGATAACCAGGTCTGTCCAGGCTCATCAGCATGCTGCGGGTATAACGCAACCTGCCTTCCAAATCGCCTCTGCCACAACAATGGAGATCCAGAGACAACGCTGATCCGGGGACCATGCGCTGTAGATCCGTGGGATAACAGGGTGTGCTCCCAGATATGCCTGTACAGTGAGTTCGACAGAGACATTCTTGATCTTCACACATGCTGACGGTATAGACGAGTCTGATAACGGGAACTTCTTCCCACGTGTCTTCGTGTGTCAAGATGGAAGTCTGTGCTGCGACAACGACCGACAGTGCTGCCAGAATAACCGTGGAGTATTCCTGGACGATAATGGAAATATCCTTACTGCGAGCCCTACAAGTCGTACGAGCACCGCGCAGTTAACCACGTCTTCTCGCACTACGTCGTCATTCGTTACTTCAATATCAACTCAACAGGCTTCCACAACGCCTTCCTCGGTCCTAACATCCCAAAACCCAACAAGCCCCTCAAGCCCAGGTTCGCATGGATTATCCACCGAATCCAAAGTCGGTCTCGGAGTCGGCGTTCCCTTCGGCATCGCAGCCCTCATAGGACTCGGAGCGATAGCCTACTTTATACGACGACGGGGGCAAGCGAGATCTGTCTCTGACCGGGTCGAGCTAGTATCATCAGCACGGCCGTATAGAGTTGACCAACACGCGTCGGAGGCAGAATATATGGGCATAGGTGCCGATCTGCCTCACAAGCCTAGGGACGAGAACAAAGACAGGCGCGAGACAGTACGTTACGAGATGCCGGCTGGGTTTGCCTCGCCGAGGGAATTACCATCATCTTTTAAGTGACGCAGCCGGTGGCGGGTTTCTTGAGAAAGAAGTCAGAGTTGAAACGCGTAGGGCCCAATCGCCTATTAGGGGAACACAAGCCCCTAGGCCTACTTATACACCACTTGCAAATCTACCGTGCCTAGACGATTATCTCCTAAACCCTTCCGCGCGCAGCGCTTATTATATTTAGCTCGATGGAAAGCTTACATCGAACACATGTAAAATATTAATATACAAGAAGTGAGAGAGGCTATGATTACTATTGACCGGAGATTGCGGATGCTCTCATGGTAAGAGATGAGACATGGCTCTGAGCTTTCCGTGTCAGCCAATCTTCAGAGCATCAACAGCTGTGATGGTGGAAATGAGACTCCAAAGACTCTACTTAGAGTGCTCGCGGTCTCCTGAAAGCTTTTGCTGGTCCTGATCATGATGGATTGGCTCGCTCTCCAACTGCACGAGGCGGACGTTCTCATCCTTGACCCCAACGAAACACTTCAGCTTACAGTCTTTTGCAACCTCAAGATTGACCATGAACGTGGGTCCCAAAACGGGAGGGCTGTACATACCGAGCTTCAACTTCCTCCGCTGGTCCCACACAGACTTCGAAAACCACTCTGCAATCCATTTCATGGGAACTGCGCGCCAGATTTCACGGGTATTCACCGGATACGTAGACTTAACTCTCCACCAGGCGCAGCCTTTCGTAGGGCGCAAGGGTTCGAACGTCACTCCGGGGAGCAGGGCAAACTTGCTCTCCTCAGACGTCGTCTCTTCGTCATCGCGAAATTGCGCCTTGAATCTAGTTGCCAGGGGTCCGTCGTGTAATCGGCATCCCATTGAGAGGCCCAACGGATTGATTTGATGCCCGAATGCCCATTGCTCCCACGAGAAGCCTAACTCGCATTTCTGGTCGCCTCGCTGATGTAGTGGCTCGTCAGCCTCGACGCCGCGGAAGAACATCCAGTATGCATGGCTGATCTCGTGAACTATCGTCGTGGCGAACATGAAATGAAATCGGTACCTTGCGGATAGCGACGCGTGTTCGAAGTCTTCGATCACGAAATTGAGGTATTAGCGGTTAAGAACAACGACTGGGAACTCTTGTGGATAGCGCTGCTGTGGATCCTTCTTATTGCGGAACAGCCTCTCCCAGACGCTGATATCAGCGTTCTGTTTCGCAGGCCAGTCATCGGGGTGGATATGCCACTCAAGCTTTCCTCGATCTGAGACGGTCCACGCGTAGGTTGTTCTCGTATCGAGCAATCGGCTTTCGTACCCTGGGGGAGCGAACGTCAAAGCCAGGTTTTTCGCAAGAATGTCGAAGTTCTTTTTGACTTTGCCAATACCTCTGCATGTGTTTTCGTCGGGTGAGGTCTCAAGGTACACCATGCCGTCCTGGCCTCGTTTCTTCATTATGCCCCAAGTAAGGTGTGACCACCAAGGCAAAAGGCAATCTGTCGTGATGAGCATTGTGGCTAGCTGAAGTGCTGGCTCGAGTCTTCCGTAATCTTTAGATGTAACTTGACCCCTTATCCACCGATTGTGTCCAAAGAGGGGATGAATATGATCAGGAAGGTCAGGCTCGTCTAATCCTTCGCTTCCAATGGCTCCGTTTTCTAGCAACTCCCTTTGATGAGAAGTGTAAAGTTCTTCTGCGATGTCTTGGGTAGAGAACATGAAGTCTGTAGTGGGCCCTCCTGTAGTACTTCGTAGTTTGGAAAATGTGCAAGACAAGCCGGTCAGTCTCGATTGCGGTCTTCGAAAAATGAAGTGCTGTGGGGTTTTACTCACCCGCGACTAATATATATTAGGGGAGTCGGGGAATCGAGTCAAAGGCATCGTCAAGTTACGACACTCTTACCGTGAATTACATTGTAGCCCCTGAACGGCCTTTGTTCAGCTTCGGATCTCGATCAGTGGCCAAAGCTCCGGTATGATGATCCATGTTACGGATGCTCATGTATGAAGTTGGGAGAGGACGGAGTAATTGGCAGTAGGTTTCCTGACGTTCAGTAGTACGTGCGCATTTCAACAAAAAGGTGTTAAGTTTGTAACAACATTTGAAGTCTGATTTGTACGCAGCGATCTGTCGGCAAATATTCTAGCAAAGATATATGTATGTCAGCATCTCTATCCTGCCTTGGGGCAATATCGCCATGTAGCTTACCTATCTATATACAGCAATGGAGCTTGTCCAATATGAGCCGCTTATACTGCATGTGAAGCTCATTACCCTCTACACCATTCACTCGTACAATTTGCCAGTCACCTTCGTGACAGTAATTTTCTCGTGTGCGTTGAGTGAATATAGACATGTGCACCTACACTTTCACTGTAGTTAGTACAGCTATGGCTCATATAAATTCTCCACCGTGCAATGGTAGCCTTTCCTGGTCATTCCCACCACACCCTATCACTTTTTCACAACCACTTTATCGTCTCCACCACTGCCTCAATGTCTCCAACACCCTTTACTCCCCTTAGCCAAACAGAAGGCATCGAAGCATTATTGCATATGCTACGCCTTCAACCGAATCTGGAACTCCAGTAAGCGTATCTCAAGCCAAACTCCTCAAATGCACTCAGATTAACCTTAGTCTTCTAATTTAGGATTCCATTCGATGTCGTGTTCGTATCTATAGACATTGAGAGCGCGAATTGGCTGCCCAAGCGCCATGCAAAGCATGGTTGCATCACCGAAATCGGCGTTGCAGTTGTCGACACACGAGATACAGACCTAGGTCCGGGTGGATCGAACTGGCTCTAATCTATCACTGCTAAGCACTACCAGGCTCGAGAGACGGCCGGCCTTAGTACACGAAAGCTGGATAGACATGGGTCTCGGCTGTGGGCGGGGGACAAGTTCGAATTTGGACGTTGAATCCAGGTTCCCAAGAACGACCTTAAGGATACTATCGTCAACGATCTCCGAATCCCTGACGAGGGCCATTCAGGAGAGGATGGAGAGGAGTCGTCGTCGATGAAATTCCCCTGCACTAGGTATCGTGACGTTGTGCTGGTAACCCATGCGTGGGAGAACGAAGATGCGTATCTTCGTGAGCAGCTAGACTTCTCCTATACCGAAGTAGGTACAATCGCTGGTATCCTGGACACCCAAATCTTGGAGCGATTTGGTCCAAGGCTTGGACTCCTGACCTTGCTGGGCAAGTATGAAATCACATCACTGCATCGCCACAATGGTGGCAACGACAGCGTATATATACTTGCGGTACTCGTCGCTCGAGGCATTAGCTGTCATCTCGCGAGAACTGGACAGTCCACAGGCGAGCATCATGGTGGTGCAGAAGAAGGCTTGCTCTTGTTGAAGGGAAAATTCGCAGCTATGATCGGTCGTTGCGACCACTGCCAACGCCACGGTCATCGCATCTCGCAGTGCGCGAAATGGCTCCTCACAGAATATGGAAAAGCGGTCACGATGAAGCAGAAGATGGGCGATAAGGTGTTCCTTATCAAAGCCGAAGATGTTGCGTTGCTTAGAGGACGGCTGGGCAGAAAAACCCCTACGAATCACCCCAAACAGGCTCCAAACCGCTTACTGGCTGATCCGGAGGATGAATTGCAATTCCCCAGCTTGAGGGCTTCAAGCGACACTAACACTTCGTCGCGATCTCTGGAGTCGAACTCTTAAACAGAGAAGGCTGACAAACAAGCACGGGACCGAGTGTTCACGGGTGGTCTGCTAGGGCCACAAAACCTGGCGAGCAAGTCTGTGAGGAGCCTGGCGTTTCTGAGAAGGGGTCTGGGGCAGGAAAGGACGTAAGAAGCAGACATATGTGCCTCTTCGCCTCTGGTGAAGTGAGGTTGAACGGAGTAGTGTATTTCAGGAAGGCCCGGCCTAGAAATGCATGGAATTGATAAGTAATATACTAGACGGACTGAGGCAAAGATTGGGTTATTTGAAAGGGGTTTGGCTCTGATTGAAATAAATACTATGTTCTTGAAAACGATGCACCATGAGACTGAGGATGAGAAAACTGTGATGAATGAGAGGAAGAAACCGATATCTTAGAACAGAGAAAGAGAAATGAAGAGCAAGGGCTTTGCAAACTAATGTATTTTCCAAGGCTCTTCTCGTTGAACACATACCCTTGTATGAGCAGACGTAAACCTTCCACAATTGGTCGTCGTAGGTTCATGTGAGCTTTCCAATCACTGTCATGGTTGGTTCTGTACGCAATTGGCTGTGAACGATATCGTGACAGGCAGATGAAGGCCCCGATTTCTGCGTAGACAAGAAAGAGAGTGTAGGTAGGAGTTAGCTTAGGGGCGTTCACGATGGCCGTTGTCGGGCGGCCTGTGCGTGGATGACGTGATTCTAACATTTCAAACCTCCAAAACCTATAGGCTTTGCTTTGCCACTTCTAACGAGATTCAACATACAAAACCGCGACAATGGCTTCATTTCTCCCCCGTGCAGCTCCTCGAGCCTTTAGACCGACCTTTCGCATATTTGCGCGGCCGCAGTTCAACGTCCAGCGCCCCTCTGCGCCCCTCTTCCGCCGCTATCTTTCTACGCCTACCGAGCAACCGCGTCTGCGACTTGGTTCAACAGGTTCATAAACCAGCTCACGATAGATGTAATAGGGATAATAACTAACAGCTTCAGCTCCCGACTTCACGGCCAAAACCACCCACGGAGACATCAACTTCCACAACTTCATCGGCAACAGCTGGGCCATTCTCTTTTCACATCCCGCGGACTTCACCCCCGTATGCACAACTGAACTGGGCGCGTTTGCGAAGCTGAAAGATGAATTTGAGAAGCGAGGCGTCAAGATGATTGGACTAGTAGGTCAACAGAGCTTGCACGATTCCCGATTCTAGTCGTGGAGGCTAATATATGGGACTCCAGAGTGCCAATGATCTTGGATCCCATGACCAGTGGGTTGACGACATCAACGAGGTCTGCCAAACAAACGTCCAATTCCCCATCATAGCCGACGCCGATCGCAAAGTTGCCTTCCTTTACGATATGATCAACCAGGATGATCTGGACAACATTGCCGAGAAGGGTATTGCGTTCACGATTCGATCGGTCTTCATAATCGACCCGAACAAGAAGATCAGGTTGACGATGATGTATCCCGCTTCCACGGGACGAAACACTTCGGAGGTTTTGAGGGTTATCGATTCGCTGCAGACAGGAGACAAGAAGGGCATCGCGACCCCAATCAACTGGCAAGCTGGCGAGGACGTGATCGTACCTCCATCTGTGTCAACAGCAGATGCGAGGAAGAAGTTCGGAGAAGTTAGGGAAGTCAAGCCCTATCTACGGTATACCAACATCGGGAAATAGGTAGGGATCTCCAACAAGCGATATAGATCGAAGGTGAGCCCTCAAGGTTTCACCACTACAGTAGAAAAATCTTGCCAATAAGGGACTTTCGCAATTTGCTGGTTTCGTCAGGCGAGATGTAATAGTTTTGCGCCGTGGGGCAATTGGACTCCAGATTGAAACGCTATACTTCACTAACAAATGCTAATATGACAAAACGCTACGACCTACACTCTCCCGCGGTCAAGAAACCTTTTGGGGATATCAACCGTTTTAGCCCTCAGATACTCCATACAGTTCTTCCCCAAAGTGTCATACGTCGAGCACGCGTTGTACCCTCTGTCTAGATGATCGTGCAATAGGAAATGGACGGCGCGGATGTTTGGCATCTCGAACCGATCAATAGGCTTCTTCTTATACTCCTCAGGACCCAGCAACTCGATGATCTTTTCAATCGTCAATATCGACCGCAGCCAGTCCCACTCGTCATCATGGCGGACGAAGAAGCCATTGTTGCAATCCGACGCTTTGTCTCCACCGCGACCTAGCACGACGTACCCCAAGGGCGCTCGCACCGTCTCTCCAAAAGCCGAGAGGTCCACAGGGTCCTTGGTCTCGTATGATGGTTGTTTCCTGACGAAGGGTTCTGTCTTCACTGGAGCGTCAATTGGAATGATCTTTTTGTCGCCGAATAGGAGGTGGACTCGGTGATTGATTTCTGACTGTGGGAACAGGGTGACCCAATACTCGTAGTAGGGCTTGCCCTCAGCTTGTCGCATGTCGTTGCCCAAAGATGCGCCCTAAGATTTTTTTTAGCGAGATCAGCTGATTTAACAGATGCTACGTACCGGAACACTCTCAAGGAACGTCACCATTGACAGTCTGAAAAAGCCCTGTGGGTTGTCCATTCGGAGGAGTTCCCGGTTCTTTGCCTGGGCAAAGACTCTGAAGTCGACAGTAGCCAGATCCTGATTTCGAGCATCGATTGGAGAAGATCCGTTGGCATGGAACTTAAGCATTGAGAATTCTTTGATGCGTTGCTCGCCTAGAGATTCCCGGATCTGGTCCTCGGTCCACTTACACTTCTCTTCGATGTCTAGACCTACCATGTAGATGTGGTATTCCGCTTGCCACCCAGCAGGAGCTGTGATTCTAAAATCCTTTAGTATGGTTCTCTCATATGGGATGCTTTACGTACCCAATCTTCGTGGTGGGAGGCGGAGGAAGCCCTTTCACGCCACTTATTTTAACGCGATCTTCGCCAACCTGTTCCATCTTGATATTGGAAATCTCGGCTACAACATCAGAGCCGTAGTACAGCGGTCCTTGAATTTCATACAGCAATTGCGATGTCACAGAACCTACTGTGATGCAGCCTCCTGTGTTCTCTTCCTTGGTCAAGATGCACTCGCCCTTGTGGTCGACTTCAGCGATTGGGAATCCGACATTCAGGTACTTCTTTGCCTTGAGCAGGTCTTTGAAACCCGAATAGTACCCACCGCAAACGTAAGAAGCGCACTCGATCAGATCTACGATGCCAATCAGCTATTCGCGTCAGCAGTCGAACAATTTGGAGTTACTTACGTCCGACGATGAGGGAACCTGCGAGTTCATCATGCTGGTCAGGCCTCCAGTCGTGCCACCATCTATCGAATGTCAATACTGCTTCAGATTATATGGGAACGCCACCTACGCTGCCGCACCGATCGCAGGAGCCGCATCAGAAACACGACCACAGATGACGATATCCGCGCCCTGCCTCAGCGCCTCCGCAATCCCAAGCCCTCCCAGATATGCCTACGCGCACAGCGGATCCAGCCCTAGTTCCTCTAATGCCTTGCCATGCATCAGACTCTCAAACTTCTCCCCTTTCGCAATAAGCTTATTCACGGCCTCCGTAACGTCATCCCCCTCGACCCACGCTACCTTCATCGGATGCCCCGCCTCATCGCACATCTTCTTCACATACTTTGCCAAAATTTCCGTATCGCTCGCCCCCGCATTAACAGCTAGTTTCGTCCCGTTCTTCGCAAGATACGGGATAGCAGGCCTGAAGCAGTCGATGAAATTCTCGGCGAACATGGCACCCGCCACGCTCTCGTCCACATTCCAGGCTTTGTGGTGGCCGGTGCCTGTGGTGCCGAATGCGGCGCTCACGATGCCGGATTTCTGGGCGGCGGCTTTCTGCTGGTTAGCGGCTTTGCCGGCGCCGTGGATGGTCATGGTCATTTCGGAGAGCCAGTCGCCCATGATGAGGTCGACGTCGGGGTTTTTGGCGAGCTGGGTGATGGCGAAGACGCGGTCGGAGAAGCCGCCTGAGGCGCCGCCGATGCGGATGGGACGTTTGATACTGGAGATGGGGGACATGGTGATGGAAATTGGTATATTGAAGATATTGAGAGGGAAGGGATAAATGCAGCCAACTACCCAAGAAAGCGTCCAAGGTGGATATATATACCCTCCACCATACTCCCCAAGAAAAGGCTACCGGAACAGCAGCCCTGAACCTCCATGCTTCGGAAAAAGACACTCGTGGGTATGGAGAAGAGGAAGCAGAGAAAGAGATAGGTCGCGAGACGCAGCCTATCACGGATGCGAGCTGGGCATCCCCAAAACGTGGTGAGCGCGATCTAGCAGCTCAGGAGGGACGGTGAGTGGTGCTTGGTATCAGAAATATTTGGACTGCAGACATGCCGTTTTCCCGTCGCCCCGCATGGTGTTCTTAGAGGTTTGCGGGGTACATGTGGTGGAGACGCGTTGCTGAGAGGGGAAAGGGGGCAGGGGATGCTCGGGGCTGACCCCGGCACGTGATGAGGAGGATGAACGTCGACGAGGCTCGGTCTTACTTCGTATGCTTTGCTGTAAAAAGGTACGTTTCTCCTGAGTCTGATGCCTTTGATCTATATCTCTTCTTCTTTACCAATTTCTCCCGCAAAGTCATCCATTGGATTGCCGCCACAATCACTCCACATGGACGTTCCACAGTTCTCTTGTGAAACCAGTGGACGGGTGACTTTGAACATGCTCCGACTCGGCCCTCTGACCCATTTTTGCAATATGCAGTAGTTTTCGCCGCTGCTCTCTTACGCTGGCATATCTCGAAATGCTGTGAAGGGCCTCTCTTGGCTTTACAGTCAATCATTAGATTGAGTCGCTTAAACAGAATTCTGCGCAGTTGACTCTCTTCTGCAACGATTTTTGGAGCATGGAATTTTCGACAACGAGCCAAAAACTGTCTTGCTACACGCACAGATGGCTGAGCCTGTTCCCATCTTTTCCGTCTTCGATTCTAGTCACGTGGGTAGCACGCGGGAGGTCTGAGTCAGAGCGGCGTTGCACACCCCGCTCGTCCATTTCTTTCACAGCACAGCCTCGGAGATGACTCAGGGCCTTGTTTTTTACTTGGCTTGGCACTTGTAGTACATGCCCCGCTTAATGCTCTTACTATAATAAATGCGTGCCTTGGTGCCTTCCTCAAGTTCTATCATCTTCAATCCTACTGCATTTTGTACCCACTCCCCCTCAAGCGCCCTTACTTCGAAACAGCACATCTACCCCATCATCAATTGCAAAAGCATGACTGCCACAACTGCATCCAGTTCCAGCACGACCGCGTCCGGTTCCAGCATGACTTCACCAACTTCCAACTACAGCTGCAACACCTGCTCAACGACATTCGACTCAAGTGAGACGCAGCGCTCACATATGCGAGAAGATTGGCAGTACGTACTAGTAGACACATGCCCTGTATACATCAGGCTGCTGACTACCGAGTAGCCTACACAACCTAAGACTCCGCATGTCTTCGCTCCCTGCCATCCCTCGTTCGCAATTCCAGGACAAGGCCGAAATAGTAACATCCCCTCCCAACTTGACATGTCCGACCTGCAACCACAAGTGCGAAACTTCCGTCGCATATGAACAGCATGTGGAACGGCATGCTAGGGGGAACGGCCCCGAAGCTTCCCCTCCCTCACCCGAAAACGACGACGACGAAGACGAGGAAGAGCTAAAAAAGCTAGATCTATCGCAGTGTCTCTTCTGCAGCCTCCAGTCAACGACCTTAGAAACGAACCTCGACCACATGCTCGCCCAACACGGGCTTTTCATCCCCGAACCAGAAAGTTTGACCGATATAGAAATATTCCTCGGCTATCTCGCCGCGATCGTCCGCCATTACCATGAATGCCTGTACTGCGGTGTCCAGAAAGGATCCGTCGAGGGCGTTCAGAGGCATATGAAGGACAAAGGCCACTGCATGATCAAGCTAGATGCCGGATCTGAGCTCCTGGACTTCTGGGACTCCCCGCCGGACGTCGATGAGGGAGGGGACGAGGAAGGTGGCGAGAAAGGCAAGGGGTGGGAAGCGGTGCGGGTGTCAGATACGGAGCTGCGGCTCGCTTCCGGCACAATCGTGGAGTCCAGATCGAGGAGCGCACACAGCCGTCATAATCTCACCAAGACTCGGACCGGCGCCAAGAAAGCACGAATGAAGGCCATCGCGGACGCCGCCGAAAGCGGCGAGCCACAGACGTCCACAGCCAATGCTAGACCGAGTAGGGATACTCGCGTCGCAGTTCGCGGAGAGATGGGCTTGGTCGGCGTGACAGAGCAGCAAAGGAGAGCGCTCATGGTGGTCGAGAAGAAGATGAAAAAGCGCGAGACCCTTTCGCGGGCGGCGGAGAGATGGTCGAAGGAGAAGGTTGAGAATAAGAAAAAGTACCTCAAAGTATGCATAAGCCGCAGCGGTGTTCATAGGTGCGTATCCCGTGAAGCATATTTTTGTGGTATGATTTGCTAATGTTGGTATAGCCTGGCGTTCATGGTCCAATGAATGGGTGGTTCGGGCAGTGACGAAGGCGGAGGAACAGGCTCGATACATGCCGAGTTGGTTGATGTACTTGAATCCAAGTAAATCCCACGCACGAAGAAACTTATGGCTTTGGTATTCACTGTGCATCGTTCTGATTGCCGTCATTCTCATCGACTCCCGTCCATGAGAGCTTCCACAGCCAAAACCAAAATGTGTCATGACCAGAAACTCCTACCATGCCCAAGGGCGTCATGCGACCTATCCAGTCGTGCGTGATAGAATCATGAACGTATCGCTTCGTCAGGGAAATAAAGCCAGTTTTGATATGAATATACCCGTCCAGAAAGAACTTGTCGTTGAAATCCACAGCGTGGGAAGAACGTAGGTGTAGATACGTTTTATTACTCGTTACTGAAGCTTGGAATTGTACTTTGAAAGGTTGATCAATCATGAATGCTAACCTCCGAGACAGATTCAAGGATGCCACGCAAATATATCCTCCCCACTTTCCCTCCTCAACGAATTCCTCGGTAGTCATTCTGGGTAGGTGGCAGGAAATGAAGCGCTCCCCGGCTGGGCTCCTAGTCGAAAATGGCCAAGGTACGTCCATGAAGTCTAGGAACGCGATATTTGTAGGATTTGGAAGTGCCACAAAGGTTTCAGGGCAGGGTGATTCGGGAGGAATATGCTTTGCGTATTGATTCGGTCAGCCGAGAGAGGCAAGGCATTTTCTAGCTCGACGGCAAACGCTGCGATTATCTTGAACGACAGGCCCGCCGAATCTTGAAGGGCACGACGTTCATATGAGCTATCTCGCTCGATAATGTCCGGTAAACGATAAGAGATTGACCCCTATTAGCCTCATCGGCCCCAACCCCCAACATTGAAACAAGCATAATTGCGGATCTTGGAGGCAAATCCCTGCGCAATAGTTAGCCCATAACTATATAGAAGATTTAAAATGACGCTATCGCTAAAGACAAAACGTTATGTAGAAACTGAAAATCTCACCTACCCTCTCTTTGGTCCATTGATGGCGCAGATCGCTACCTGAAGAAAATACCAACGCGCGATTTTGGGAATCCTCTGGGATCACGCACCCAGCTAAAGCGTCCACTCGAACCTTGTAAAGTAGACTACTCGTAGACTTCAACGAAACATGACCGTATGACGCAAAAAAGAGGACCACACATACTTCTTGTGAACAAGTGTCAGGTCACCGCCTCACAGCCTCACCTAAATTCGACAGGCGAAAATTCTAGTATGGTGAAGAATCAAGTGAGCACCTGCGCGCCTATATATTTCAATCAGCTCCCGCTCCGCTACCAAAGCTATCAGACTCAGTGTCATTTCTTTCCAAGTGATCGAGAAACCATTCTAATTCTTTTTATCTATCTACTACAATTAGCACCATGCATTTCTCAGCTTGTAGCATGTTTGCTACCGTGGTAGTCGCTGCGGCTATGCTGGTCCCTTCTGCTATTGCCAACCCACTTTCTATCGAGAAACGAGATGGCTCCCTTAAGAAACGAGATGGCTCCCTTAAGAAACGAGATGGCTGCTATGATGCTAGTGAGTCAACATAAACTCTCTTCCAATCAATAAGCAGGGCTGATACTCTTATGTATAGACGACAGTATTGGCAACTATTGCAGATACTTTTCCAAAAATGTTTGGAACAAAGCAGCCACATTGTATTGCACTTCCTTTGCTTATGGATTCACGGGGCCGAAGGGAAAATCTCTCACGACATACGTGAAGGGGATGATGGAGCCGGAGGCCATCAAACCTTTTTTGGTAAGCTATCCCTCAATGTCCTTACAATCCAAGCATGGAAACAAGAACTATGTGACCACTGCTCACCATACGTAAAGGGAATTGGCGTATTGACTCGGATGATACCTATGTTACGCAGGCGAATTGCAATGATTGGATGTCGAAGATATACACAAGCTGTGGAGGACACGGCGGCTGGATCAACACAACTCAGGTTGCAGCACTACAACCTAGGATCAACAACTCATATGCCAGAAAGCTACTCTCCGAACATCAGCTGTAGAGAACCCAGCTGAAATCTCAGCTGTAGAGAACCGAGCTGAAGCCTCAGCTGTGCAGGGCTCATCTGAACTTACTAGCGCGCCACCCTGGGGGTGGCCCCCTTCCTTCCCCTAGTATATATACAACTAGCTAGACGTCTATAGAAATCAGAGTTCACATCAATTTCAACCTGAGTACACAGATTGGAGCACGGTATGTGTTCTGAGCGGTCTCATGATATCATCAACTAAGAATCAACACTAGGCATTTGGTGGATGTATTCGCGAGGATCAGTGATTCGTAAGGATCAGTGAGGCGAGGATACCAAAACGGAGTAGAATAGCAAGACTAGTCAATTTGTGAAAGGGTGAGGGTGCTTAGGCTTGGCAAGAGAACTAAAGATGGAAACGCGTCTGTACAGCTAGCTACGCCTCGAAAGGATTAAGACTTGGAGTCTGAACATATCATATGTAAACATTGACATCAAGCCCGATGCTTCAACGTAACATGAAAGCAGAGATAGGTGACGGAGATGGAATCGTAGAGATCGTGCGGTTGTTCATGACGGAGCCGTATGAAAAGACTAGCAAGACCAATAGTGAAGCCCGTTGTGGATGAGGCTTATTGTGGATGAAATGATAAAGTTTGACAGATGGAATGTTGAGGTATCGACGTGGAGGCAGAGAAGAGGACGCGATTACCATATACGATAGGTGATAGACCGAGCTAAATTCAAGACTCCAATTGCCCCTAAGTCGTCTGTTGTATGCTGAAGCATGTTCCGGCGCTCAATATCTCTTTCGACATCCTTCATCCGGTGTGGTAGGCGTGGAGGAGGAACACTACCAAGTTAGGCCGGATTGTCTAATTCGAACGTGGTATAGAGCCCTCAAAGTTCTCCAACGTGTGAAGAATGAAGCATCTTGCTGATGGAAACTTGCAATGAAATATGCAAATTGAAGATTGCTGTCGACCTTTCCTCCCTTCAGGCCATCCACGAGACTTTATACATCCAGAAGAAGGACAGTTCATTAGGGTTTCCAAAGGCTACTCCAGCCATGCCGAAGGGTGTCATTCGCCCACAAAACCCTCCTCTTCTAGAAGTGGTTACATATTGTTTAGTAAGACCAAAGAAGCCTGTGCCGGGATAGATTCTTCCATCTAACCAGAATTCGTCGATATCATCTTGAGTGTGGGAAGATACTAGTTGTAAAGAACCATCATCATTTCCTGACACGTCAAATTGTATCTTGAATAGATGATACATAGCCGGGGCCCTTTGCGCGCCCTGAGGGTCTAAAGGTATGGTATAGACAAATCCTGCCCATTTCCCATCTTCAATGAACCTCTTGGTGGCCATCATTGGTAAATGACTGGAAATGAGATCTGGTACATTCCCGGGAGTAAATGGCGAGGGTATATCCATGAAAGCTGAGAGTGGTATAGCAGCGTGATCCAGAAGCGAGAAATCCCGAGGTGAGGGTGGGCTTGGAGGGAATGCGGATAGTGTTGCGAATTCTACAGCAACCGCTGCGACTACTTTCAGCAGTAGACTCGCTGACACCACGGGGAAATGACGCTGGCCTGGCTCATAAGAAGTCGCTAGTTCTGTGAGCTCGTGCAGTAAGGAAATAACCCAGCCTGCTGATTTGATATTATGGGCTTCTTTGTCGCGAATTTCTAGAAGTCTTCTCGTAGGCGGGGCGATCTTGTCAAGGGTCGAAAGCACGGACATGGTAATGCAGAATTGAAAGGGATAATAGCAAGCCACAGGCCACTCCATATCGTGGTAAACCAAATCCAGCGTATTTTCATCGTGCAGAGGATCTAACGTACGTCAATGTCAAAGCACGAAGCAGTTTACCCTTGTGACTTCGCTGGAAGACCGAAAAAAACGTACAATGTCTCGCGGCTAATGAAGGGCCCCATTTCAATATCCGCTCAATACGGCCTTGATGCAAATTCGATTCAACTTTTTGCACGATTTGACCGTCTGAAGGTTTGGTCTCGTCAATGAAGTCATTAAATTCTGATGATCTCGTTGCTGCAAGTGCAAACTTCTTCCAGAGCTGGAGTTCTGAATGATTATTGAGGAATGCAGAATAGTTCCACTTCCTTCCTGTCAGATTCACTTGATGTTCGATGATGTTTCTGAAAGTCGTCCAGTGATTGCAGATACTGTGTATGTAACGAGAGACTTGCAGCAGGGTAAGTGTAGATTCACAAGGGCCCAGAGATGCGATGTGCTGTATTATCTCCACTGGGAGCTCGTCCAGCTTGAGCAGGCGCTGTGGCGCCTTTCGAGAAGGCTGGTAGGTGGAAACGTTCCGAGAGCTTCGAAGCCTCATGTTCCGAGATGGCAGTGAGGGTGATGTTGAGGAAGAAGGCTGGACACTTCGCGACATGAGTCGTGGTGATGGAACGGCTTACATAATCAGGCGCTTAAGTTTCTTTCTCTAACGTAATCCACAAGTTAGTGGCCCGCACAAGCTAGTGGCCCACCCAACTCAACACGCGACGCGTCGTCCAACAACCACCCCAATGGCAGCACCACAACAACAAGAAGCCATCTTTCAAGAAGGCAGAGTTATTCTAGGCGTTCAAGCCTACAAGACCGGCCAAATTACATCCTTCCGAGGCGTTGAGAAACTATACGATGTGCCCAGAAAGACGGTTACGCGTCGCGCCCGTGGTATTCCTCCACAACGCGGTGC